GCCAATCCATTAGGATACTGTTTACCAAACATGACACTGATTTATACATCTGGGTCATTTCATGTCAAATCACCCAATGGTTTTAACCCGACCATTTTTGATTTTGATGAAACTTAGTGTACTTGTTGAGTGTGATCCCACAGCACCAAATCCCAAATTTTAGGTCAATCGGGAGAGGGTTTTGGGAGATACGGCCCACCAAATTTTGAGATTTTTTCAAAAATGGGGGTGGCGGGCCTACCTTTGAACCCTTGTATCTCGGGACCTAATGGGTCAATCTTCACAAAATTTGTATTGTTGGAAAGGGAATTCAATAAGGATTCCAAATCTGCCGCCATTTTGAAGATTCGTACATGTTGGGGTACTTTGACCTCTTGACCTCAGATTTGACCTTGAAATTGACCTTGTGGATCACGTAACTTTGACAACATTTTTCATGAAATGTAATCTCTGACATGTTCACTAAAACATATAAAAGTTTCAGAAATATAATATTTTTTGTTTAGGAGCAATAAGGATTGAAAGTATCCATGCTCACAGATATTCACAATAAACCCTATTATAATGTATACAATACATGCAATATGCACAGTACAACATACATCTTCCACATGCTTTTTTGTTTTAGTCATATCCATCCTAAATGTCAGCAGTTCTTGAATAGAAATAAAATGACAAGTTCATATAGGCCTAAAGGGTTAACAGGATGTATGGCTTTAGGCCTCTGAGTCGGTTCTAGGATAATTACCCCCCTGGAAAATTAACCCTCAGGAAATGTCCCCCCCCCCCCCGAGGACAATTACCCCCAAAGGACTATCACACCCAGAGGATTATTACCCCCCAGAAAATTACCTCCTAGGACAATCTGTCCCCCCCCCCCCCCGAGGACAATTAACCCCCGGACAATTTCCCCCTAGGACAATTACCCCCCCCCCCCCCCCGGGAAAATTACCCCTCAAGAATATTATACCCCCCCAAAAAAAAAAAAATCTGCTTTGATTAAAACCACTTTATTATCAGGATGGACTTCCCCTTTAACAAATAGGGGGGGGGATAATTGTCCTCTGGGGTAATTGTCCTTAGAGGGTAGTTTTCCTAGAACTGACTCTGGAGGTCTAAAGCCATACATCCTGTTAACCCTTTAGGCCTATATGAACTTGTCATTTTATTTCTATTCAAGAACTGCTGACATTTAGGATGGATATGACTAAAACAAAAAAGCATGTGGAAGATGTATGTTGTACTGTGCATATTGCATGTATTTGTATACATTATAATAGGGCTTATTGTGAATATCTATGAGTATGGATACTTTCAATCCTTATTGCTCCAAAACAAAAAATATTATATCTCTGAAACTTTTATATGTTTTAGTGAACATGTCAGAGATTACATTTCATGAAAAATGTTGTCAAAGTTACGTGATCCACAAGGTCAATTTCAAGGTCAAATCTGAGGTCAAGAGGTCAAAGTACCCCAACATGAACGAATCTTCAAAATGGCGGCAGATTTGGAATCCTTATTGAATACCCTTTCCAACAATACAAATTTTGAGAAGATTGACCCATTAGGTCCCGAGATACAAGGGTTCAAAGGTAGGCCCGCCACCCCCATTTTTGAAAAAATCTCAAAATTTGGTGGGCCGTATCTCCCAAACCCCTCACCCGATTGACCTAAAATTTGGGATTTGGTGCTGTGAGATCACACTCAACAAGTTCACCAAATTTCATCAAAATCAAAAATGGTCGGGTTAAGATTTTCAGATTTTTTGGGTGATTTGACATGGAATGACCCATCTGGGACTGCATGTATATTGCAACGAGTCCAAATTCAAAGCAAACGCACAGATTCTGTACCATTTGGCCACATATGATTCCCTTGCAGCTGTTTTGTATCCACTTTCTGTTAATGGTTAGTGGTGTTTACAAGATATTCAGTAAAGGTCACAGATTTCTTTCATTTGTGTTAGATCATGATATGGAACTGAAACCAGGTCATTGGTAAATATTGATGGAAATTGTAACAAATGTATAAATAGGATAATGTAGGGAAAGACCAACTTTCATGACCTTTGAACTAAGCCACTCTTGATATAATCATGGCTAATTGAAATTGATGATGCTGTTGTTGTATTTTCAGTCAAATGTTTTTATTGAAAGAAGATGAAATTCTTCCTTTTTTATTCCCTCTCATAAAAATATATACTGGTAATTCACTTATGGACCTTTACATGATAACAAAAAAGGTTTGATGCATTTTGTTATCATAGGGGCTCTGTATACCAAGATATGTATATTTACATTGGTTATTTATGTTGCTTTTTTTTTAATTTGCTAGATTGAGTTCAAGCTGAGCTAAATGTAAAACTTAGAAAAGGACATGATTTTGTTTTGTTGCCATGGTTATTGCCTATCGAAAGTTCCATTAAGTGATGTCAAAATCAATCTCATTGTGGGCATATAATTGCTTCCTCCAAAAGGCTTGTTTTTCATCATCCCAGTGATCCCACTCTATTCTTCAATTGATTTCCTGTTTTGTTGCAGATCTAAACCTACGATGGAAGTACTCAATGATAATTTGTTTTTCTAACAAGCTGGAAAGATCTTTTTTTATTAATCGACATGGAAATGATTCAATAATTGTTTATGGCAGTCTGAAGAGGCTTAAAGCTAGACGGTGGAGTGAATTATTTTGTTTGCCTGTCTGTCTTTAAAATGAAAATGAAGAGGACATCATGTGTTTGTAATTCAATAAATAAATTCATCATTATCATTGAAACTTTTATATGTACATGGTGTTGTAAATTGTCTGTTTATGAGGAGTTGACTCTGATTTATGGTACTTCTAACATCATATTTTGCATTCTAAAATTTGTACAATATTCATCTTTTCGTAGTTACCCTGATCATTTTCATACAAATTGACATAGATGTGATTAGATTGACCCACATGACATTTCATATCCAGACTTTCACAAGCATACAAATCATTTTGTATCATGGGTAAGGTTACTGGTATGACTCATAACATTAGAAAGATAGAGATGAAATGTCAAAACTCAGCAAATGCAATTTAGTCTCCAAATGATGATCGTTTCCTGAACGCTCAATGAATCTCACCTTGGATTAGGTTTTGTGGGAATCAGCATTACATGAGCTTACACAGGATGTCACCATATTACAGGGGTAAAGATCTAAATCCCATCAAGTGTTTCAAATGATAATGAAAGTCTAACCGATTATTAGCACTGTTGATGTATTCAACTGAATAAATGAGGCTGGAATAGCATTGTGTAGGTTAAAAAAAGTGCGATAAAAACAATAATAGAAAAGATCATCAGGGCTCAGAAAATTCAGCATTGGTGGTTTCAATATCTGCCTTTATATTACTTGTTGGCATCAACAATTATAAATGAGTTTGAGGATGATGTAGTTTAATTTTCATTCGATATTAAGAAAGTTAATTATTATTAGAAACATAGACAAAATTAATGCAACAAAGCAACATTTTTCTTGAATTGAATATCTGAAGCTATTGGAAATGGTACTGTGGTCATTTTTTGCTGGTACTTGAACATTAAAAGTTCTTGTATACGTCATGTTAAGGACTGCATCATTTTCAAAGAAATGAAGGGATGAAGCCTTCATGCCAAAGAATCCATTTCCAACTCCTTCATGAGAAGCAAGGTTTAACATAGTATTTACCTTTCTTGTTGATATTGATCTATTAATAACTCTCTTGGTTCTGTTCTTCAGAGAGTGTGCTAGCTGCGTATAAAACTCTCTAGCGACACCTAGGGAGTGATTGCACTTTAGCTCTGCCTTTGCTTGCAGGTAATTTAAAACAAGGAGAAATTCTAGTCGAGGTTTTCACTCGCACCGCGCATTAAAGATGTATTGATGCGTGCCCAAGTACATAGGAAATGTAAAGGAAGCTACAGCACTTCAAAGTAGCTTTACAGGGTGCCACAGAAGAAAAAATATAACTGATGCATTGATTTGATGACATGATTGTAAGATATTAGTAACTCTTTTTATTGATGAATAGTGTAGTTGGAATTCATTGATTAGTTATTGGAATGGGGTTTGAGCTCTAGTTTGAGCATCAGTTGCTGTGCCATTTGATCAACTGCTTGAGTCAAGAGAACAGGAATACCTAAGAATTTCTTTCAGCCAAGTGTGCATGTAGTGTAAATGGAAGGATATTCTTGTACTGACTAACTTTGAGACCGGATGTGACCGGATACATTTCATGTATTGGCTTTTGCCTATCCCTTTCAAGTTAGAAGATGTGACCCACTTTTTTCATGAGACACCCTGTACCATTGCAATTTGTTATTCTCTGCCCACCAGCAATTTAAGGGAGCCGTGATGTGTCTCGTTGTCTAGATCGTGAGCGCACTTTGTTTCTGATAAAAGCTTGGCTTGCCAACAGAAGGAGACTTCAATAAAGTGGAGAGATAAACAGGGCTATTATGGTTGTAGTGTTCTTGTAAAGCGGATATGGATTGTCATGTCTAGCTTGTCCAGCTTTCTTGGAATAACTTAGTTTTACTCGATATTTTACTCTCGGTAGATTTTGAGAAAGTGTTTTCATATCTTCTGCTGATCAAGAACAAAATTTCTAAATTGTGTATACATATCATTCTGTATTGTACATCTATCTGTACGTTCATCTCTCTGCATTTGTATCCCCCACTCCCCCCCCCCCCTCTCTCTTTCTCTCCTTTTCATACACAAGCACACATACATACCCACCATTCACACTTCTTTTGTTTTGTCACTGTGAACAGGAAATTTAAAACACTCAAATAACTCAACATCCTTATTTGATAACTGTAAATGTTAACGACAGTTAAACATACATTCCATTAGAAGCATTTTCTAGTTTATGATGTACATCATAATTATGTACCGTATTTGATTAGTTTGTTCACATGTAATTCAAACAATCCAAGCATCTTAAATGAATTCTTTTTCTTCTTCTTTTTCATTTTGCAGATTCATTTGTAAATAGCCAAGAATGGACATTGAGCAGAACAGTTCCAGAACTGAAATTGGTAAGTTGGAAAAAATGGATATATTTGTCAATATACATGTTACTACTTATGAACTCTCCAAACTAAGACATCCCTAAAACAAAACATACTTGAAATACAGTAAGGATAAGAAACATGCAATAACTCAATAAAGAAGATGCCATACAATACAAGAGCTTTAATACCTATGATTAAAAACGCTGGAAAATGTCCATCCCCATCCCCCCCCCCCCCTTCTAGTCAGATGTAATTCACATTGTCAGATGAAATTCACATTTGCCGCAATCTCTATGGATATTTCACAGCTCTATTTCTTGCATAAGCTAATGTTACTAAATATATACCTGATCATACCTTTGATAAATCAACCCCCACAAGTTCATCTCTCTCATCTTGGCAATTTGTTCCCTGTCTTGGATTATGGATTTCTTCTGGCCTTGATCAGAGTTTTAATCTTATTAGCATTTAGGATGATGCCCCTGCCCCCTCTTACGTCAATGCATCTAGCCAAGTCAATCCTTTACAAATCTTTCCTCGATAAGAAAATATGAAATTATAATATAAGAAAGTGAGGTAAACACGCTGTGCTGATGGATATATTGTGTCCCTTTTCTCTCTCTATATCTGTAGATAGCTAAGAAGTATTTTTTATATTTTACATTCAAGTCTTGAAGATATTGCCAAGAATAAGCAGACAAATTTCTAAGAGTTCACCAGAAAGCATTTTACACCATACACCATATTTATATAACACTTTATAATATAGCCAAGACAAGTATGATGATCGATGAGATGTTGCAATACTAAAAAATTATGAGAAATTTACTGGTATGTTTTATTATGTGATAGTACTGCTAAGCCTCATATATTAATTTTAAAGGAAATGTTGAAGAAATCTCTCAAAGTCGTGATATTTACTTGACAATGATAATGTAATGTTTTACATAACAGTTCTGTGTATAAGAAATGCTGGTTCCAGTATGTTTTTGCATTAGTATGGCTGCTTATTTTGTTAAGACCACACTAGATGTTGATGGATATTTGAAAGTCACTGATAAGACATTCAGTAGTATAGTATGCCCACTATTATGATCATTGCTTGAAGCTGGTGAATAATAATAATAATAATAATGACAAGATCTAACCAAAATATTTTCTTTTCCTGTAAGCTCCTGGGATAAAATCTCGAATTCCTTGTATGTTCTTTTGATGTGTGTGTTTTGACAAGCGTCTAATGCTGGAGGCTATGGATACATGATGCATGGAGGCAGATTCATCAAAGCCATGGGTTCCATAGTAAAGGACTGTATTGATGCTATTACATTCTAATCTAGTATGAGTGGCGTTGGGTGTTATTAACAAATCTGTCTAAACTTCAGGGTTGTTCTCATTGCCATATGGATGTAAGGAGCATGGAGTGAAATAAATTCAGTTCAAACAAAGAAGAAATGTTGTATGTACAATGAGATTGGAACATCTGTCTTGTATCCCAGATACATGAAGAGAGAATTAAACTTACTTGTAAAGTCCTGATTGTATCTGAGAGAACTGACCTGAATTGGCACACAGTAGTGTGTGAACTGATCTTCAGTGACTAATGTCAGGTATGAAATCCTGTTTAGAAGGACTTTATTCCTGCCTTTCTGACTCTAAATAGCAAGGGCAGTGTTTGACACTTACAGGGAGGGGTCTACCGTCTAGTGCCCATGAATCCCCCCCCCTCCACCAAATTAAGAACATTTAAGCTGGGTGGGGGCATCATGCATGCATATAGACCTCATTCCATGCAGACCCCTGTAAAGTGTGGGATCCAGGTCAGAATGTATTTTAGTTGAATCCTATATTGTTGAGTAATATATGATGATACAGTGTACCTGTTGTTGTTTGTGTACAGGGTGTAGTAGGGAGTCTAACCAGTGGGAAGTCAGCTCTGGTCCATCGCTACCTTACAGGATCTTACATGCAGGAGGAATCACCTGAAGGTATCAACAAACTTTCTTCTATTCTCAAAGCCTTTACTTGTTATGTTTGTTTTTATTTTTATATTGTTTATTATATTACAAGAGAATAGGTTAGAAAAATATAAGTTTAAGGAAAACTTCATTAATTTTAATAGAGTTAATATTCAGGATTTAATACGCTGAAGCATATGATTCATCAAAACCCTATAAATAACTTGCACTTAAGGGGTAGAGGTGTTTCATGTCATCCTTGGAAACATTTAAAAAATGCATGTATCAAAATTATCTTTGTCCTTATAGAAATTCTACTGTAACATATTTATCTGCTACTAATTAATGTTAGATTAAAAAACTTTTCAAGTGAATGTTTTGGGGGTCATAATGCATTCACGTCAAAGTATTGAAGATGAATATACTGAATCAATTGATGATATTGGGATATATTAATCCACCTCGATTCAATACCTCTATACTTTTGCTACATTCCAGGAGGGAGATTCAAGAAGGAGATTGTTGTGGATGACAGGAGTTACCTGCTTCTGATCAGAGATGAAGGAGGTCCTCCAGAGCTTCAGTTCTGCTCCTGGGTGGATGCTGTCATCTTGGTCTTCAGCGTAGAAGATGAGATGAGTTTCCAGATGCTCTATAATTTCTATGCTAAGATAGCACACTACCGTAACACAGCTGACCTACCAATGATTCTAGTCGGTACTCAAGGTAAGCATCCTCAAGAATTCAAGTTGATAATGTTAATAAACTAAAATGAAACATCTTAGGTGTTGCAACCACAATCTTTTGTCATATGACTCGAAATTCCAGATCTGAACTATGGTGACCCGACATTTGATCTTGCACAATTCGTCCTTGTTTTCACGAAGTGACGGTAGTGAGGAAAATCGTAACGCAAAGTGAATGCAATTTTTTTTCACTACCGTCACTTCGTGAAAACAGCGACAAATTGTTCCATGCTTTATTTTGCACAGGTATAGGGTGAGGGTTTTTCTCACTCTTTGTGTTGAATTCAGTCATAATTTGTACAATTTGTGACTCGTACAAGGTTCAATCATACAAGAATAGAGCAGGCTATTAGGGATTGATCTGCATGACTCAGTCTCATGGTGTCCTTGAAAGTGAAAATTAAAAGCTATGGGTTCCTCTGAACTCATTAGTGACTTGATGGAGGGCTGGCCGAACCTTGGCTTTTCTTCTACAATGACTATCTTATAGAGTGAATGGAATGCATGGATGCGAACCTACAAGGATTTTTATTGATTGGTTTACTACGAAGAGAAGGAAGGAGAGTGGTAATCATTTTCTTTCCACTTGAGATGAGAAAGACCCTGAAAGCACTCTTATTACAAGGTTTAGCTGTGTATATGGAGTCATTTGTGTAAAAGATGTGAATTTGTAATGTTATTTACTCCGCCAAAGGGCGGGGTGAAAAAATCATGCTTATGAAAGTTTATTTGTTTTTGTTTATTGATCATAAACAAAAAGATGATTTGCAGTTCAAGAAAAATTCTGGAAAATATAAAGCTCTTAATTTTAAACAGATGTTACTTAAGTCTTCTTTCTTTTGACCTCATATCCTTTTGTCTTTACTGTTCTCTTCACAATCCCTCAGGGAAGCATAACTGTAAAACCTCTTCGGTCAATATCTGTCTGTTTTCGGCTTGTTGCCGGAGCTATCATTACTCAGCGATTTTAAGAGAATCAAAAGCAGGCAGATATAGTTGTCAATAACTGACAAACAGACCTCACATCAGTCATCATTGATGACTGGCACTGAGACAATAGAGTATAGATCATATTCAGGGCTTAAAGAGAAGGTTGAGTTCTGGGAAGAGGTGAAAAATAATTTGTGAGCATTACTCATTCTTATTATGCAAGTGTGGAAGAACATCAGTTAAGACATGTTCCCTGAAAAACATGGCTCTTCAAATGCCTCCATATTCTAAATATGCATGTAACATCGTAAAAATCGGGGGCCGGCTTTTTACGCCACGTGTTCGTGTAGTCCCATATACATCTTTCTGTGCAAGTGTTTGTAACTTTACCAAGACTTGGCCACATTTCTTATCATTTTGATGATTCCAGAACCTTGCAATACACATAAATTCTTATATGCTAGATGATCAACCTCATCTGGTCGGTTCCACACCGTTTCTTTCACAATGCAATGGCATGACCAGAACTCAACTTTATCTTTAACACTATGCATCTGAAGATTAAAAGCACTTTAGAATTCAGAAAGCACCCTACATTTTAACAGATATTGCAACAAGTATCCCATGCTTTGACAATATTCTTTGAATTATTTGTATCCATGAGAGTTTAAGTTAATTTGCAGCCTTGGAAATGGAATATTGACCAAATTCTCTCACAGGAATTTATTTTTACAGACCTATATTGAATGTAATCATTCTCAGTGAATGTATTGTCTGCTTAGAGGCAGAAAGGCCTTAACTCATATACTTTAACAGAGAGTTAATGCCCTTCTGGCTCTCAACAGGCAGTGTGTTAGTTTGTAATATGTACTCATTGATGAGAAACTTGAGAAGGGAGATAATTTGACAAGTGACACTAACCTGCATGATATGATAGACCAACAGTAGTCATGTCAAACTCTTTATCATCATCATACTCATGTGCTTCTTACTCAACAAACAAGAGTCACAAACACCCATTGTCACCAAGCAGAAGGTAGCCTGTCCATCAGACATTGGGTTTCTTTGAAGTATCAGTTTCCAAATATGTCATAACATTGCAATTTGTATAAACATGAACTGTATCAGTCTTGTGGGGGGGGGGGGGGGTGTTGACATAATACAATGAAGGATATCTTTGTATAGGAGAACCTGTAATGTATGGCATGATAAGTTACTAATGTGTACACTTGTTATGCATTTCTTTTTAGCTACTTCTTTAAAGACTCACCATCACTTGTTAACTCTTCTCGATATTGAGTTAGATTGTTGGCCATTACTTGAAACAAGTAGGAAATAAAGATTGAATCCTTACAAAGAAATGTACAAGAGTGAATCCTTACCAAATCTAATATTAGCAGTAAATCATAAGTTCCATAACTGATAGAAATCCTGCCATATGGGAGTGACTTTACAAACTAAATTAACTGATATTCTTGAATAAGGCTATAAAATATAACTATGGAAAATAGTTACTTGAGGTTTTCAAGCAGCATCATAATTAGTCACTTTCTAATAAGCCTTTTCTAAGAGTCATGTTTAGTCGGGAGTTCATAACCTAAAATAATTGCCGACGGAGGTGTTTGCTTGTGAGGCACCTACTTTTAATTTGTAATATGTTGAAGATTCATCTTAATATAAGAAGAAGGAGCACAATATCGGTCAGATTTAAGCAAGGTAAAAAAAATATTATTTATTGAATTACCGGTATATTATTCTTTATGTAGTATATCTAATAGTAATCTTAACAGTGATGGAGGGATTTGTTGTTTAGCTTTTTACCTCTCTGATCCAGCTTTGAAACTGTGTGAAGCACTTTATGGAGGACAAAATTAAAAAGGGAAAAAATATCAATATACCAGACTCTTTCAAAAATGTTTGTCCTGTGTACTTTATGAGGGACAGTCAAATTTAAAATTCTCTTTGCTAATATATGTATACAGCCTACTGCTGACCCTCAATTAGAGATATCTTCTCAGATACTCTTCCTTCCACAGATATGCTGTTTGATGAGATATTTTGTTTTGCAGGATCATGATACGTCTGTCTGTCTGTCTGTCCTATGATTTTCAAAGCAGACAGGAGAGGCACTTAAACTGAAGTAGACCTACAGCAAAACTAAAAAAACCTCTGCATTTAGAGATCCATGGGGATATCATCTGTCTAGATCCAGTAGGGCTTTAACTCTTTGTTAAAGTATTTAAGTTACTGCCCTTCTGCTTCCAAACTAATGAAGATGGTGCTATTCAATATGGGTCCTAATTTGATTTAATGTTTCCACCAACTGTAAATGTCAGAGGTGAGGTCTTATTTGTTCAGACATTTTCTCCAATGGCACTGCATGCATGGAGGATGCAGAATGGAGAAATATTTGTCCCACTTGTAGGACTAGGAGAGAAGATAAAAGGCCAAGGAATTTTTAATGTTTTTTTGTCCAAAGAAGATTTTCTGATGAGCTGGAGGCTCTTCCGTTCAGTTCTCGAAGGAGCTATTAAATGGAGGATGGGTTGTAGATGTTTTGCATTTCTTATATTTTGGGGGATCATAAATCTCACTGTGGTTTGATTAAAAGAAACTTGTGACGAAACCACTATTTATTTATGCGAACGTGGGTTGCTTTTCAAGCTGTTGTAAATAGCCTGAAGTTAAATGGATGTACAAAATTGAATATTATAAGAGATAATCATAAGAGATGTGAGCATTACTGATTAGCAGTATCCTGTGTCACAATATCACATAGAATTCTATTATTCACAAAACGATGCTGTTTTGCACTGTACAAATATTAAGATGTTTTCAAATATTAAGACTTTACTAACAAAAATACGCTTTATTCTGGAAGAAGAATTAAGTAAGAACTGCTAAGATGGAAGGCCTTTAATACAGAAGAAGATAATGTCATATCCATATTAACAGAATATAGGCCTCATTGTATCTTGATTTTCAAATACTAGTTGTCTTGTTTTGTTAAGTTCTTCATTTTTATCAAACCTATGTAATTTATGTCTGTTAGTTTTGTCTATCTCCTCCCTATAACCCATCCGTCCCTCTCTGTCTATACCTGTCTCTACTCCCTCTCTATTTGGTCAGTTTGCACTGATATTCCAAACTGATTTGATTAAAGCATTCCCTACAGGTATGATTTACCTACATGTTGCCATTGTGCCATGCCCCACATCTTCTGTCACAAACAATCTATTCAAGATCTACATGTTCATGTATCCTTCCGTGAGCTTTGAAATGTCCCAGATTTTATGACTTTTATTATGCATTCACGCTCTCTTGCCTGAAAGACTGGCAGAATGTGATTCTAATGGCTGAACTTAATGAGAGTGAAATCTAATAACATTTCTAATTGGTTATAGCATCACATGTGTGCTGCTTTTATTGATGTGGGTGAAATCTTCACCTAACAAATCAACAAATTTGCTTCTTATCAATGCTGCTGATGCTCGTTTACTGTCCCAGAAGATACTATCGAGATAGCCTTTACAAATACAAGATATTTTATTACAGTCTTATTGGCTATCTTCTTGTAATACACTTGTAAGAGTGCACTGTTAGATTGTTCTCTCAAGGCTGTTTTATTGAGTTTCAAGTCACAAAGGAATTGATGTGCGCAGAAATAAAACACTTCAATATATTGTAATAGAAGGAAACTGGTTGTACTCAAGGAGCTTTTGTGAAAAGCAGAAAGAAGGGTTTTAAATATAAAGACTTGCCATGATGGAGAGGCCTTGGAATAACTTGTAGTAAGGATAGTAAGTTGTAAATCATTCATTTTTCTTTAAAAAATATTGCATTTTTTCTTGTGAATTCATTTAAAACTTCTTGATAAGGTGAATCCTATGAATTAAGAATAGAATTAAGTGACAGGGTAGGAACGTAACAACATAGTCCTAATTTAGGTGCTTTGTTTGTTGACCTTGCTGGGACATTAATGTTTACTTTTTATCTGTCAATATAATACAAAAATGTTTAGTGAACATTTCTCTGAATATGTTTCATGTACAGATAGAAAAATGTAACATGCAAATCCACAGTCAGATACTAGTTACTGTCAATACATTGAAATACACTTTAAATGTATTTAATACTGTGATGTATCATTTATGATATCGAACAGAATTAAAAAATACATTTACATATACTAACTTACTGAGAATGTAAAAGAGCATTTGGTAGTGGAGAAAAAAATATGGGTAAACAAATGAAATAATGAGAATGTTTTTCTTCTAAAGCACTCCATCAAAGTGTTCGCTTACAATGTTTTGTGTAAGATGAGTGTGACATACAGCATCATTTTCCCCCATGGTAGAAAAGCAAGTACCATAATTGCTTTCATATTTTTAGAAAGTAGGTCAAACATCCAAAGAAGAGTTCAAAGGTCAAGTCACAGCATCTTATTCACGACCTCTGTTCCCACCCCATCAACAACAACAAAAGTAGAATTCCTGTATTTGTAGGGAGAGGGCCCTGGATAAGGAACTTAAAGGGACGTCATCTACATGTATGTGGATTATATTTTGACTGCAAAGATATTTAGTCAATAATGGCAACTTAAATGTTTTACTAATTCCTGTATTCTTCTTATACATGTAGTTCTCCTTGATTTGTCAGATTTCTATTTGAATGAATATGACATGAATGCAAATGTAACATGTAGCCAGTAGTCTTCTGCAATATATTAAATAATGAAGCTTTGCCCATTTCTTGCATTTATATGTACAATCGTAGGCATTTTTAGAATGTACATCTAGCTGTGAGGTATGCTTCCACCTCCCTGATGTAAGTCTCACTGTCATTTTTATTTGGGATTTCATTTCAAGTGAAAGATGTGTGTTTGTGTATGTACACCACTACACAGGGGATGCTTTGTTCTTCCAAGACAGCTATTTCAGTGAATCTCTTATTTATGTAGACCATCAGCAACTTGATCCTAACAGTAACACACATGTATGCGTTAAAATAGCTGTTTTTCACTGGGCTGTGACCGTATATGGAGGTGGACATGATGCAGCCTTCTTCCATTGCTATTTAGATAAAGGATATGTATAGAATCTGTCTAGAAGAATCTAACTAAATGTTTGTTGTTTTTTTTTTTTCTACTGCTGTGGTTTATTTGTAGACTACACTTATTTCAACCATAAGCTGTCATTAGTTTGAGCTTCAACCTGTTACTTTCAAGCTTTTTAATAGTCAACTTAAATCATTTAGCCCTACATATATGTGCGCTCATTTTATGTAAAATACCATTCTTGAATAGGTAAAGATTAAGTAGGAAAGGACAATGAATCTACTCTTATGTCATCCTCTTTGCTTCCTTCTGTGCCCTTCATAGTAATTTTGTGACAAGTGCATAATTGTCCTTTCCTATATCCCATCCTCAAATATCATTTTGTCTGTATCAAGCTTGATTGTATATCCAGTAAACCTTAGAATATTATCAAGCCAGAACTTCATGTATGTAAGACAGAGTTTACAGAACATTATTCCTACAGGTAACTGATACGATTGAATTGTCACTACATTGTATGAACTCTAAATGATACATTTAGAGGAACATGCCTACAGAGTATACAGACTGTATCGCATAGGTTTCTGCACCGTGTTTTATGAGAGAATCATATTTAGAGGAACATGCCTACAGAGTATACAGACTGTATCGCTTAGGTTTCTGCACCGTGTTTCATGAGAGAATCATATTTGACAAGAGTTGAACGAGGTGATCAAATGCAAGTATCAGCAGGCTTGTAGCAGGTGTCATTTTAGGAATAGATGAGAGATATTCATTGGAGTCAGGGTGCTACAGCTGGACAACCCTGGCTAGGATAGGAGCATTGCAGCAATGTAATGAGCTTTTTGACGTCACCTTTGCTTTCTCTGAGGGATACACAGTACCATGTGTACATAAATACAATGTTTATAAAGCTGAAGACAATAGCATGATGGGACAACAATATGACATTATGGATAGGTGTGTTGTCAGGAAGGTGCTTTTAGTGTGAATAGTCATGTTATTGGCAAATTAAATTATATCAGAAATTAAAGCAAGTCTGCAAATATATTACGAGCAAATTCATGACTTCTTTACCCTAAGTCAAGATATTCTACTTTGCAGTCTCCCTATCAGAAGTATAAATAACTTTTATATGTTTTATGTGATGCTCTCTGTATATTTGAAAGAAAGTTGCATAGTATCAGGTCATGGATACATGTAAGTGATTAAAATGCCAAAAGTTATTGCATATAATAGTTATTACTTCAAATGGTGGATAAAGTCCATATTTATATGTTTTGCAAATGATATTTAGTATGACAGATATATTTTGATCCTTATTTATGGTTGCACAAATTCTTTTCTTTGATGGCTTATTTTTATCACAGTGTTCCAATTTCTGTCACCTTTTCTGTTGTTTTTGTTTGTTGATCGATTTCTCATTCTCCATGACTGACTGACTACCTTGATGATAGGTGACTGTACTACCTTCTACTTCTTGTTTTCTCCCAACGGTTCACTTATTGAAACGAAAATGGACAATCCTCAAGACCTTGACTGTAAATAGGCCGCCATGTATGCGTGTCATCTTGGTGGACGGACACGGCTCAGCCAAAAAGTTCATCACCAGACTGGGCAGGGGCAGACCAGACCAGACCAGGCCAAACTAATTGCTCTCTTGCTTTCATGATTACCATAACAGATGACACCCTTTATCACCTAGCCCTACAATATTTCTCATAAAACGCTCTCTCTCCTGTCTTTTCATTTTGATTCTCGTCGCAGATGCGCTAACACAGAACTCGCCGAGGCTGATCGACGATACGAAAGCCAAGAAGCTGGCGGCCGATCTCAAGCGCTGCCCGTACTTTGAAACATGTGCAATGTATGGACTCAACGTAGAAAGGGTCTTCCAAGATGGTACGTATTACATTCTTATGTCTTTTCCAGGTTGATTTAAGTTCCATTTATGCTTTAATTTCATCACTTAGAGAGCGACAGATGTTCATTCACATTCAGCTAAATGCGCGAGAACAGGGACCATCCATTAATGTATAATACCAGTTCCATATGGTTTTTCTTTAAAAAATAAAAAAAATAAAAATTACTCACAAAATAGATGTCTATGCATGAACATGTAGGTATACATTTTGTACATTTTCATTGCAAATAGTTTATTTGCATAGAGACATTGCTTTCTGTTATTGTTTTAATCTGTTTTCCTTTTTGTTCAACTACAATAATAGTGTACATTTACAATCTACATTGTAAAAGAAATGCATTGTACATTGGCAGGTAGTGAGAAATCAAAATGAGAGGGAGGCACACTGGATTCAAACCTGACGTCCCACAAAAGGATGCATGTTTAGATGCACACAGGCACCATGAGAGATGAAGAGAGATTGCAGAGTGTGTGTTGATGATATCTTTCCCAGACACAGATGTATTAGCATACATAGATGCATCTATGAATAGAGATGTCAGTAAGCGAACCCCAATCTTTCCCACACCAGTTAGCGTCCATTACCACTTGCCAATATAACCCTTTTTTCCACATGTCACTCCTACCATTCATCCCAGTGACTGCAAATGTAATTCAGGAGCACTCTAATATAGGCCGTTCAGACAGACAAAAGGAAATTGTATACAAAACTCTTCAAGAAACACGTTTTTTTCTTTCTTAGTGCTTTGTAATATGTGATGTTCGTACTATAGAGCAGCACGCTTATTATTATCGAGGTTGTGTTAGAAAAATACTAAAAGAGGCGTTTTGCTATAAACGACATTTCTTTATAAAAAGTTCAGACTAGACATTTTCTAACTATACAATGAACTATGGTAATGTGAATGCATGGATAGAAAGGTAGAGTTCTTCTTTGTGGTCTTAGGATGGGATACACATTATACCATTAGGGAGTGGTAAGGATTGTAGAAGTGAACTCTGAAAATGAAAAGTGCTGAGGTTAAGGAAAATGGCTAGTGTATTGGCTTTATAAAAAAGCAAGTTGAGAAGGAGATGAATTTGTTGATTTTAAATCTACGAACCAGATGGCTTACCAGGACATGCATCATAAGGATGTTGAATGTATATCTTAATATTACTTTATGAATTTAGGCAATGTAGTGTTTGCTTCTTTATATCCACTTTTTTCAAAATATGAGTCATGGTGAACTACATCCAAAATTACCATGAAGATGATGCAATGGATTCCTGGAATATTTTAATTAAAACTAGTTACTAGAATCATTTTCTCCTTTAAAAAAAGAAGCTTCAAACATAGAATAGCTTTACAACATTTCACAGTGGTGATGTACACATGTTGATACAGGTTTGAAATTCATTCTTTGTGTAGTGAAACTGCTTTTAAAATTGTGATGCTTCAAGATTGGAGGCACATCTCTGTCTGTATTTCAAATATGATGCCATTGTGAAACTGAAGACTGGATCAAATCAATGTTTGATACGATCAAGTCTCTCTCACAGTCACTTTGAGTAACCTGATCAATAGTGTACATTTCTCCATGGAACTAATGGTTTCTCCCCCCTAGTACAGCTCTTAAGTCTTCAATTTCATGACAAGGACTTTGTACGAATAAGAATAAGGGTAAAGATAATGGAGAAAGAGAGAGAGAGTGAGAATGAGTGAAAGAGGAGAGAGAGAGAGATGAAAGGGAACCGACTGATCATCCCACATTTCCTACTCCTACATTCATATGATTTTCATTATAAAATGGAAAGGATAGTATTACACTTCTTTTGCTACAGGCTGTAATAGTAGAGAAAGAGACGACAATCTCTAGGGTTAGTGTACAAATGAAATTCCATTGGTACAAATGAGGTAATATCATAAGTATGTTCATATCGTATGGCAGTGATGCATGAGTGTGTCTTGATGTGAAGATTTCTTCAGAGATGGAAACGGGTTGAATAATTTGAGAAAAGAAAATCTAAATTTGTTATTTTAGTGTTGATGGGCCTGTACTGCCCTTGAACACCAGTAGTCATTGTTGAGTTGCTGAATGTTAATCATGTCTATGCTCTCTTTTTCTTTATTTCAGCTGCCCAGTTAATAGTGGAGAAGAAGCACTATCATCCGATGGCCTCCCTCTCCAACTCCAGCAGCTCCCTCCCAAGCACCCCCCACTCGGTGCGTAGCAACCCCTTCCCAGGCACAGCCCCCTTTCCTGGTCCCAACACCCTCTCTGCCCCGAGCGCCAACCACTCCAACAGTCAGCACCATCATCACCAGCAGCAGCAGCAAGCAGGAACCACTGGATCCATGGGCTCCAGGAAAGGGAGCAGAGACTCTATCAGGGAAGGATCACAAGGATCCAATCAAGGATCGGATAGAGGACCACTTCAGCCAAGCCCTAGCAGTACACCTAACTTCACAAGAAAGTCCAGGAGGAAATCAAATCTCTTCACAGTAAGTTAGAAGCAGTCATACCCATCTAATTCTCTGTCCCTGCCCTCTTTGGGGTCTGTCTCCATTAGTTATCTCCCATGTAACAAAATATGACGTCAGATGAAGTACGAAACTACATTTACACATCCTTTAAGATGAATATAGAGCAATGTGAACAGATTGTTTCCCAGGGATATTGTTTATAGTTATTGGTATGGATTATGATAGCTTGACCCCAATTCTTTCTATTCTTACCTCTCTATTAACCATCCATGAAGCTTTGATCGATCTGGTCATCTGTTTTAGAGGATTAATGCCCCCAAGCCCAAGCTTCTAATCCCGATGGAAAAACAACTCTCAGTTTAATAACCACCGTATCCATCTCAGATGGACATCATCAAGAAGGCCAAGGGGGACCTGGCTTTTTTAATTTGGTATACCTTTTATCTTATGGCAGTTACATGTAGCAACTTTTCTGGGTAGAATAGCCGACTGAAATTTTATTACAATGTACTAAGAAAAAAATTCCAATTTCTTATAGATGCTCAGAAAAAATAATGTGTTTGTAAGTAAGCAAGAAGGAAACTGGCATGTACTTAGCTTTGATTCTTCTGCTGAGGAACAAAGCACTTGAGAAGTAATGTCACATCTAAAGACACAAGTGTACATAATGCTTTGAACCAAGGACCTTCCAGTTCCAAGACCACTACATAAAGCACTGACCTATACTGTACCCCCTTTTGATGAAAATTTTGATAAAGTGATTAAACTAATGAATCAGTGAAGATTTTGAAAATTATCCAATTCAGTTCAGTTTGTATGAGAAAGAAGGACATTGAAGAAAATTGTCAAGAAAGTGGTTTGAAATGCAATGCTGTGCAAAGAGGACAGATGTTTTCCAATCTGTCCAATTCATCTTCTCCTTGCATGAGCTTGCAACATGATCTTCTGAAAGTACCTACATTCCTACAAGATGTATCAAAATCTAGACAGAACGTGGAATTCTTGGCACCTTGTGAAAGTATTTTTGTGAATTGGAAATGTCTCTTTCGATTATGAATTGTTGCTTGTTAGTCGTAGTAGCAAAAGATCAGAATTTTGTAGAAAATAGGTTTTACAAAGTGATGGAGAAATTTTACTTCCTCCAATAGATGCCTTGGGGATATATTGCTATATGTGACTGCTTTTAGATATTGGCTTAACGACAGACTACAAGATATAGACAGGCTGTCTGCTTTTATCTTACAAAAAATGAGTTTCAGGATTACATGCCCCCCTCCCCCCCCCCCCCCCCCCCCCCCCCGATCGTTTAAAAGGATTATTTTAAAGTTGCTCTCTTTTTTGTGAATCTCTCTCTTCATCTCTGCCTCTTGTTGTGCAGGATTTATGTGTTGTTATAAAGCTCATGAAAAGTCTTCATGATCACGGTGTGAATTTTTTAAATGGCATTCATCTGAGCACTTCATCACGATCACCATCTTTGACTCGCTCCTGTCATAAAATATCTTTTAAAACCCTTCATTTTCAATATTCCATTTGATTGTCTTTTGAGTGACTCTGTCTTACTGCTTTATGATACGCTCTAGATAAATGTCAATGTAATTATGCTAATATCGTCTGTTTGGAGCCAGAAGGGTGGTAACTCTGCTAATGGTTAACACCCTTCTTGTTCCAACAAATCATATCATGATCAGTTGTCCCTTCTTATTTTACATGAAGATTCTGAAATCAACCTTCCTCTTCTGTGCTGCCTTGCTGCTTCTTTACTTTACATAAAGATTCTGAAATCAACCTTCCTCCCCTGTGCCGCCTTACTGCTTCTTTTGTTTTTCCATCTTATGCATCTCTCTTCCCCAAAGGTCTCTTTTCACCTGCCCTACATAAAGGAACAATTCCCATTGCTTAGAATTCTGTATCATTCCTAGACTTAATTTTTGTAAACATGCATCCTTCAATTTTCTTGCTCAACTTCTTGGTAATATCTTAAACAAATGGTCAGTTTGGGGGATTTCTTGCTTTGTGGGACAGTGTATACTAGGGATATGACATACAAGTTCAATTATAGAATTTCAGTCCTATCAGCACAGTGTAGTGCATTTACATTTCCTTTGTCAATATCTTCATTGTTTGCTCATCCTATTAGTCATCTCCAGCCAGTCAAGTGATATATTTACCATTACATGATAGTGAGCTTACTATTTACTGGTTGACATTGAAACAGAGATGGACTCTTTATTAGTTCAGAAAAATGATTCATCAGCAAATTTGGAGCTGTGTAAATATTACTTCTATGAGACATGTTTTGACAAAGATAAATAATTATCTTCTAATCATTGTCAATGAATAAACTCATTACAAAATTTAGAAGGTATAGGATTTAGAAGGTATAGGATTTAGAAGGCACAGGATTTATAAGACATAGGATTTATATGACGTAGAATTTAAAAGGCATTTGTAGCTCCTTACTCTAATCTGATTGCTTGCTTTTAACTTGCTCCTGTAATGTCAGTAATGAAGGGATGATTGAATTGTTCATCTATCATAGCTATCACTTTACAGTTAGAAGCGGGTCTATAATATAATCAAGTTTTTTTATGGTTAATTGGTATGATACTCCTTTTGCCAGTGGCTTGATTCGTTTCAGATAAATTCTTTCCTTTCCTTCTATATCGATATAATTGAGGAGTGATATGTATGAACTGTAATTCTCTGAAGGCTTAGATGTATACCTTTTTTTTACGCAGAATTTTGTTCTGATGTCAATAGATGGCAAGACATCAGCCAGTTCGTCTCCAAGTGTGTCTCCTGGTGTGTCTGTCTATGTAGCAGTGAGTGGCATGCAGGAATGGAATGAAAGGAACACTCCCCCTCCCCCTCCCCCTCCCCTCCCTCTTTTTGCTTCTGATCTATGCATGATCCCCTGTCCCCCTGTCCCAGATCTACTCGTACTTGGCTATTAATTCGGATGTGATGGCAACTAAGCATTTGTGTATGTTTCCAACTTTCCATTAATGACAGATTGGAAATAAATATGCTTATCTCCCTCTCCACCTCGCTCGCTCGCTCGCTCGCTCTCCCTCTCCTCCTAGAATGATTCTTTTGTTCTTATGATGAGAAGAATTTCCATTGAAGGGTTGTTGCATGCAGCATGTATGGTCTATTGCATTGATCTTTTTCAATTCACTTGTAGGATTCACATTGCATCTGCCTTTTCCTGAGCATAATAGTCTTTGAATAGGTACTCAAAAGGTATAGAAGGAATATTCGATAAGGCTTTAAACAGAGGCCAATTTTTTTTAACCAAATGTGATAAAAGCATTCATTCTTTTGAATGTATTGTTCAGCAGAGACTCATATATATGGTCAAAATGTTATAGATCTACCCATCTATACTCTGTAGTATTCTGTACTTTGAACTGAATGCAGTGTCAAGTACAGCATCCATTTATATCCAGGGAGGTCCTATTCACTTTCTAATCAGTACTGTATCATTTCATTAGCCTACTGATTGGAAGCAATGCCTTTCGACTTCCAGTTCGATCCAGCCTCTGTATCTCACCATCTCTCCTAGTTTAATAGATTACAATACAATCCTTGTATGTGAATGGTTGGGAGAAAAGAAAGAGTTCTAAAAGAGGTAAAACTGATGTGACAGATTGTGAAAAAGCTGAACTTTTGAACTTGATTCTGAATGTGGCCTGCTAGCCTAGCTGTTAAGCTCCCAGAAGTGGCCTGTTTGGTGATGTGGCATTCTGTATATAAGTACAATGCCTGGAAGGGGCACGTATAGCCATCAAACTAATATATTTAATTCCCAATCCGAAGTGCTTATAGAATTTTCACGAATATCCCAGGAAACTTGGATTTGATAAACTCTGTGGGTGTCAATTTTTATTGAATTTTTAAAAAATCTTTTAACAAGACAGTTAACTTTCTATTACAGAAGATTGTGATGGGGGTCACCATGCACTATCACTACTTTAGGAAACATTTGCATCTTATTATTTAGGACATCTGTGCTTGGGGATATGAAGATGTACAGATGTAGATTAAGGAATTCAGTTGTCTTGATCTGTATGTTAAGGGGATGCATCTCGTTGAAATGTGGTAGATATATATGTACATGTATGTTAGAACTTAGACGTAGGAGCTCTGCAAGTGAGTCAAGGGTTTTAGTAAATACCAACCTGCCATCTAGGGTGGATGTTTGCCTCCAGAAGACAGACAAGGAAAAGTGGTTTACAAGAATTAAATAAGCTTTTGCGGTGTTCACTCTGAAGAACCTCATAGCTCCCTTGCTTCACAGTGTCCATCGACTGCAGCTTCTACTTGAAGCTCCTACACTATTCTATCTGCATGTTTAGAGCCAGATGATGTGTGTACAAGTATATGGGTTAACACCCTTCTAGATATGCATAGTTTATTTATAAGCTTCAATTAGGTATGGGGCTATGATAATCATGATTTATTCTGATGGAATAATGTTAAATTTTCATGGAAATAGTTTTGTTTTAAGCAGCTCTTTCCATGCATACTTTACTCTGCGATCTTTCTATTTCTATTTTCCTTTCAAATGATTCCTTATTGTACACTACAGGGTTTTTCTTTGGTTTGGTTTTATCAAGAAATAACACTTGCACTGAAAATTTTGAAATGAACCCATTACAATGTAAAATATTATTTGATTGGAATTAGTTGTTGCTGGCTGACCTACTTCACTTGTGGAATTGAGCGGATCAATATTTTGTTCATCATCTGTCCGCGTTATACAGCTTTATCTATTTTCTATTCCAAGTCACTGAGTATTATTCATTATGCAGATAGGGAAGCAGCGACACACTTTCTAGATTTGAACAGGATCTCAACAGTATGAGGACAAGCAACTAATCCCTTGCGTGAACTCCCGTTAGTGAAATTAGTCATCGCACAAATCATTACAAATGGCAAGAGATTGAGAAAATGAGCGATTAAATCAATACAAATGGAAAGAGATTGATAAATGAGCAATTAAATCATGGACTCGTAGGTTCTGCCTCATCTCACTAATACAGATTTGGATAATCATTGGTTTGTGGCTGATTGCCCTGGTTGCCCTATCACTTAACAGAGAATTCAGAATAAGCCAGGAAGCAATCAAGGAGGGATTGTGCTGTGATGAAAATCATCCTGAAAGCAAAAGTTAAAAAGCATTTAATTTTACATTATATTAAATCTCATTTTTGTTTTGTCTTTACCCAATCTATCCTCACTTTATTTTGTTTGTTTGATTACTAGTATATATACATTGCTTCAGTATATAATGAGAGCAGATTGCAATCATTCTTGTTTTTAAATCAACAGGACATGTCTTTTAATTTCTCATAACAAAATTATGTGCAGTTATCTAGGGTCCTTTGAATTTATATTATATTTTCTATATAACATATGATAAAATAGTGTATAGCTAAAAAAAAACTGTTCCTTGGTATAAGAAAAATGTAGTTCTTGTCGTTCCATATTGTTCACTGTTATCTGGAACATGTAAATGTACAAATATGAAACATGTGGATGTTTACAACCTAGTGTGCAAAATCATACTCTAATTTGACACCTTACCACAATTTCTAAAGCCTTGAGCAGATCCTAGAACTGTCAGTTTCGGGCCGTGTTAGCAGTTCTCAAACTACACAGACAATTGTAGTCTTATAGTGCCGACACTAGTCCACTTAACAAGTGACAAGGCTTTGTGTCTGCAAACTAGGTGTAACCACTGTGGAAAGTTAAAGCTTTGTTACATTATACACTTCTTAGAATGAGAAGAAAAATTATACTGGTACTTTCATTCCCATCAGAAAGCCAGATACATCATACATGTATACAGCCAACCCTATGGAAGACACGCAGGGAGGAAATCGATATGACCCATTTTACTTTCACTGTAGCAAGATTTCAGGCAAAGGCCAAAACGACAGGTGTTTTAGGAGTAGGGAATAGATCTGAAAAACGTCTACAATGTAAAAAGATTCAACAAATTGTCCCTTTTTCCCATGTGATCTGAGACGATGGACCTGATCACCAACCCAGATGGAATCGATAGTGTCAAAAGAGCAAACTGTTGGCTTGATCTGGTTACTAGCTTACTGCATGTTTGGCCTATTATTTGATCTACCAGTACTTTTGTGCATCTCTGCTCTTGCTCCTGAATGTTCATTTTCAGTCTTTGTGTGTATTTAATGTGTAATACTTCTAATCCCAATGAATATGTGTTATCTTTTCACTTTGCTCTATATGTTGTATATCACATTGTTTTTGTTTTGTTGGGGGTTGTTTTTTGTGTACATGTGTGTGTGTGTTTGCTTTACATTTATTGTGACAGCCAGCCTACCAGAGATCTATTAGCTCATAATACAAATATACTAACTCCATTGAAGTCCTATCAGTGGGGGAAATGACAAACAATAGATATAAATTCAACTGTCAGCAAACAAAATAATGATACATTTTTTGTTTGTTTTTGCAGCCCAACAAAGGCAAACCTCAGAACAATGAGACTAAGAATGGTGGTGGTGATAGCAGCTCTCTTCCCAACCATCATCAGAGAGGGATCGGAAGCGGCAGGAGTATTCCAGTCAAGCAGGTAAAAAACATTTGTAGTTTAGTTTATTTCATCAATATGACAGAAATACATCTTAACGGAGTGAGGACGATCATGTTAAGTTCACGCATGAAAATACAGTCACCATTGAGAATGATATACATTATACATGTACATATAGTGCAGTCACACATTGTGTGATAATTTTAAGTCTTTGTTTTGAAACACGTGAATTATATTTTATAGAGTCTTTAGATAAAACTAAAATTGTTGTTGATGTTTTCATCTTCATCAATCTCAGTTTTGACATGTTTTAAAGGCTCTGTCAAAAATGTTCTTCATGTACTATACTTGTACCCACCTTGTATATTTTAGTAAGTTTTGCCATTGACTTTGCTTGTAAGAAATGTAGAAATGCAGCCCTATTTGGTGACGTTACCCTGTCCTGTCAATGACCTTTCTGGCTATTAATTATTCAGTTTTGACGTTCTTTGATATATTTCATGCGGCATTTAGTCTGCCTTGGTGTGTGAGGTTTGTCACCCTCTGTAGTTTGAATTGCAAGCTAAGAATAGATCAGAGGCCAATTGGGAAAATTAATGGGGCTGAACAGAACGATTCTTGTATTGTGGAATATCGCATTTATCCTACTTGTTATTTGTTGTTGCTAAATTGGCCATATCATCACTGAATGTAGAAATATGTTTGATTTCAATTTGAAAGATAAGCTTCAGCCAGTAATGAAATTATCGGTCTGATCTTGATATTAAACAGAATTTAAAATTCAAGTTTTAGTTTATTCTCTCCAAGCTTCAAATGAGTGATTAATCATGGTATGAAAATATATAGAAAACATAGAGAAAACAAGTAATGCAGTCTACTAAGTTATCTCTTTCTTTCTCCCCATCACTTCTTTTTGACAAATATCAAGTAATAAATATAATGTTGTTTGTTAAAGGTAGAAGGTAGAAACAATTTTTGGCAATAGATTAAATTCAGTACCACTAAAGCAGTACATCAAGTCTGTGGAGTCTTTTTAGGTTCCTAATAATGCAAAAAGATGGTCATTTAAACAGTAGCTGATGCAAACATGATGTAGCTTTATTATTTACCTTCCAGGCATTGTGCATGGTATGGTGTCCACCAGTAAGCAAATACTGACCTGTCCACTCAGTTTTATTGGGTCAAGTGTGTTTGTGAGAATCATAAAACAGTCTGTATTAATAGATCAAGGAGGTGTTGACCACCATGTAGTAGCTCAACCAACTGAAAATATATCTCAGGATGCTATACTCAAGTCTTCTTAGTTTAAAATTGTTACAAAATCATATAGAATCAATAGAATCATCATATAACGAAAGGAGCGTACAGACAAGATAAGATCTTATAAAGAAACTAGTTTTGAAGAGGTGAATCAATGGGTGCTCATCATAAGCCCCGCCCTCTTACATGATTTGTATACAATATAATGTTCAGCTAATTTTGAAGAGCTCAAGAGCATTAAGAGCAATGGTCTTCAAAACCACCTAACAAGCATTAAACCTCTAAAAAATTCTTCTAAATGGGCCCCCATTGTCTTTTAGCTTCCAAAGCAAAATGTAAACCTAGAATAGAGTTCATTTGAATCCAACAAGAAGTGAACAGTAGCCAACAAGAAAAAAAGTAGTTCTGCACTTGTCAATGTACTGAATCCTGTTTTTATGATTTGATTGGAGGCGATCCTCCTGCTTTCTTTTCTGTGGTTTTATTTTGGCTGTTGGCACTTGTCAGAGCAATAACAATTTTTTGTTTTATGTGAGGCCATGGGGAGGGGCTTAAGAGTGCTGTGTATGAAAATATGAGTGAAAGACAACTTAACCATCATTTGTTACATAAAACTATAAGACACTTATGAAAGCCAAGAGACGCTGTGATTGAATTAAGGTGTCATTCATATCATAATGTAGCATTCACCTGGCAGTGTTTAGGCAGGTTTCAAACAGGTGGGAATTGAAAGGAGATTTAACATGATGTAAATTTGATGTGAATACTCTCAACAAAGTGCAACACTCTTTCATTTTAGTACAGTCATCGTCTTAGCAGATGAGGATATAGACATTTTCAGGCACTTTATCCATTCAAAAGTACAGAAGAACTGTGTGGTGTTTGTTTTTCTTGTTAATTTTTTTCTTGTTATTTAATTTTTTTTTGGGAAGGATTTCATTGGCCATAAATAATACACAATCCTTTCCCACAAGACACATGAGAACATTAAAAAAACATTATTGGAGAAGTAAGAATACAAACTTGAAAGTCACAATAGCTCTGTGATAAATCTGATACCACAGTGCATGAACAGGGAAGTCACTGGGAGATTATTTCTTCTTCATGTGATTATGAAGATATTGAGAGTTTACACTCCTTGAAGCTTGTAATGCTTTCACTTGCAATGATGCCTGTGTTGAAAGTTTGCCTTTTCATTTAAATTTAGATATTGGATTATGCTTAATAAAGACCTGTGTTTTGTTCAATGATGAACCGATATACATGTACATGTACAGTGTAAGTACAAGTTTGTTGGCATCCCATCTAAATGGGTTAATTTTGATAGCCGCATTTAAATGGGATGTCAGAGAACTTGTACGGTTTTGTGGAACACTGCCATACATGTATGTGCAACAGTATGCATTTCTGAATTGATTTATGCTTTTATTTTGATTGATTTGTGCAGGGTTATCTGTACAAGAGGAGTAGCAAAGCATTAAACAAAGAGTGGAAGAAGAAGTATGTGACGCTTTGTGATGATGGCAGATTAACATATCACCCAAGCTTACATGTAAGTAATTATTCTAATCTTTTAGTTGAAATCACAATTCGCGATATAAAAAGATGGTAGCTATAACAAGGGAGTCTCCTCCATTATAAGGCAGTGTTGCATTTATTATCTTGCCTCTTCTTGTTAAGAACTGTTATTGATTTTAAAAACAGTACCGTAAGATTGCAAAGAAATTAGATATTTATTGAATGTTATTTATGATGCAAGTGGATTGCTTTATTCAATTGTTGATCTTGACTTACTTTAGCAATGCCTTGCTCAATAATCCATTAGTAATGAAGGGTATTTACATATAAAGCTGTTAAACATTCCTATACGCTAACTTATTTCTGCTTCAAATTCATTTATTTCTTAAATTCTTTGTAAAGTGTAATATTTTTTTTAAATCACTTTTTGAAACTCCAATTATAATATTTACCTACCCACACATTTGTCAATATGTAGGACTACATGGACGATGTGCATGGTAAGGAGATCCGTCTACTCAACACAACAGTGAAAGTACCTGGAAGGAGACCTCCCTTAGCTAGAGCAAACACTCAAGTAGGATCAAATACATCATCGTCAAACTCAGGGACCAATGGCATTGCTAACAACATGAAAGCCATGACAATATCAGGCCATGCTGGTAAGTTGATCTATCAATCTTTCTCATCTTACAAGCTTGATCATCTATCCCCTCTCTCTGGCATCATCAGAAGCCCTCTTACCCTCTCCAATAAGGGTGGGTGTATTGAATTTCTTGAAATAAAAAGTATTCATTTTCTCATTGTGTCTGAGATACATATATGATTATGAGTGTAGAGGTATTTCCTGTACCCCCCCCCCCCCTGTTTTTCACCCTTTTTTACTTCCTCTTATTCATATTTTCATTGCTCTGTCGATTCTTCATCTGTTTTTCCTTTCTTTGTTTATAGTTTAATCCCACCAGCTGTTGTAATGCATTTCTGTAATAGCTTTTATGAAGATGTCACAACGGTTTCATGTGTATAGCAGAAAGGAGAGGAATTTCTTGTACTCTAAGCTATGAAGGCTTGTTCAGATATATAACATGGTAAACCGCCGCCCAAAAAACACTGCCTCTGTTTTTTTGACATGTAAATGAATACCTACTGTTGACAGCAAAGGTCCTGTGCTTATTAAGTGAGCTCTGTTTATAAAGATACAGAGATGTGAATTAAGCTATGACCATTTACATCATCATGTTTGTGTGTATATGCCACTGTTTTGCCACGTCATATCTGAAACAGGCTTTAGGAATTTCCAATTCTAGCACTCATCTATGAGGCAGATAGAGGCATGGGAAATCATATTTCAAATTGCCAAAGGGACTGCAATCATAAGAAGTAGGTGATAGCTTATGCTTATATTTAGTTGAACACTGAACAACAATCAAGCACCATTTTGGTACATGTATGAGAAGTGCAACAAGTCCATTGACTGTGCACAGTCTGTGACTGCATGCAAGACATTCATGAAGCTTAACACATTCATGTAGCCTAAATGGCCAACCATATGCTGCATGTTTTAATGAAAGATCATCTGATAGTAGAGTATGCCCCAGGGAAGAAAGCCTGTCTGCAGATATGCAGATATAGTCCGGGAGAGGGGAATGGGGGAGATCGTTGGTGTTTGCCGTCTTACTCCTCATGCATCTGTTTAAAATGATGACAGTACAATTTTGATTGAGTGGAAATATACTATATTTCTATTGGGATAGGGGGTGGTATTGACTATTTGACAGATGATCATCGATGAGAAATAGCAGTTTTAAAAATGGGGGAGGGGGAAATGTATTCCCTTAATCTTTCTGGCAACGTCACTGGCTGTCAGACCTGATGTTCGCTGCTTCATGCAACATTGATTATCTTAGAAGGTTGAAGATGAGTCAGTGTCGGAGAAATTGAGCTTTGCTCCTTCATAGAGATAAAGCGAAACCTTTACATTTATGGGTAACATGATCTTCATCTCTCTCTCTCCCTCTCTCTCTCTCCCTTTCTCTCTCTACCCCTCTCTCTCTCTCTCTCTCTCTCTCTCTCTTACCCCTATTTATCTCTCTCCTATATATCTCTTTCACCCCTCTCTCTGTACCCCTCTCTCTCTCCCCTCTCCCCTCTCCTAGTCATCATATCTGAAGGTAATGGTCTGTCATTACATTACAATGTGGCCAATTTGAAAGGCTCCTTAAAGGTTGGGGGGAGGTTAGAGATGTTATTATCATGATGAAGATAACCTTTCCTAATGTATGAATGAGAAAGGCCACATTAAAGACAATAGGCACTCATGATGTTTATCTACATAGTACTTGCACATCAAGATTTTATATGAAAATGAGATTCAACACTATCTTTTACTTTTATTTGGATTATTGATAGTAGTTCGAAGAATTGTAAAGTATGATATTTTCTGTTGCATTTCAGAGGCTTCTCCAAACTCATCTTTGCAACAAATCTCAAAGCCTGTGCAATTACAAGTAGATATTAACCATTAACCATTAGGAGCCAGAGCACATAACACTGAGTTCCCATAGGACGTATATTTATTCAGATGGTCATATCTCAGCTAATACTTAACATATTCGATTGGTTTTCGACATATGGACATTATTTTTGATGCTCTTTCGGAAAATGAAGAAAAATATAGAAATTGTAAAAATAGATTTTTGATGACGTCACACTTCACCACTCTATACAGGACCGGGCACTCATTCCAGCCATGGACCTACTTCGTGCTCGTAGTAGGTCCATGTTCCAACAAAGCAGCTCTATCAAGAGATACGAGTAATCCTATGTTATCACAGAGAGAAGTCCAAGAAGCTAAGACGAAGATCACTAACAGATGTTTGTTTTGTTTTGTTTGTTTGTTTTACAGGACCTGGCATTCATTCCAACCAAGCAGCTCTATCAAGAGATACAAGTAATCCCATGTTATCGCAGAGAGAAGTCAATGAGGCCAAGGCTAAGTCTACATCACTGCCCAGAGATACATGTTTCTCAGATGCTGTCGTCATCTCAAATTCATCCGTCATGCCAAGTAAGCCAGGACTCTTTCTAACATTTTTTCAGGATTTGTGAACAATTTTGTTTTATTCAGTAGGGAAAGATTTGTGGCCATAGATACTGAAACTCTTTTGAAAACGTTATCTCCATCCAAACTTCCCTAAACATGAATGCAAAATGTTCAGTGTTTAATATGCAAGTTTGGAAAGAAAGATTATTTGTAATTGTAAGGATCCTTGCACATGTTTACAGGTAGACCCTTTCCAGGTCTTTTGGACAAGATAAGAGCCTTATGTCTGATTTCAAAATGTGATTATCATCTTAATTAAAAATTAATAAAGCAGAATACAGGTATTGTTTCTTCATGTAATTTTAAAATGTAATAAAAATGGATATTCAACTAACACAATTTAAAACTATGTTCTGTCAGATACAAATTCTACAAACCTTTCTCAAATTTTGAGATGATTTTAGAAGATGATGTCAAAGACTTGGTATGTCACTCATTGTCAAATCCTGAATTTCTTAAGTTGAGTTACAGAGTTTTTCTTGACTGGGAATGAATTACTTCAGATATTTAAAGGATTCCAAACCTTTTACATTTCTTGTGTCTTTCAATTTTCTTTCAGGCATGTCGAATGGGGTAGATGCTCCTCTCTCCTTCCCTCAGATGGGGATGACGAGTAAAGATGGTCATGGGTCCAAGAAGAAACATAGAAGATTGAGAAGTTCAGGAGGAAATAAGAGCTTAGATCAGCATCATTTAGAAGGTAAAATTTAGTCAAAGTGGCAAAGATACTTCCCTATGCCAAACATCATAAACACGCAAACCTTTACAAATCTGGATGCAAATTGAATGCCATTAATACATTATTTATTAATAGTATGAAGAGTATGAATAATAATAATTAGTATGAATACTGATTGAGATTTAGATGATCCTTGGATCCTTTTCTATCCACGTATGAACACCAAATTGAGTGACCATGTACTTTCTGTATTTTGGAAAATGATAAAGTTCAAAACTCTTGCTGTTCTGATACTACATTCAAACCTTTTTTGTTTAATGTGTAGAGCAGGAATCAAGCATTTATAAATGTTTGGGTTTTTTAAATTTCAGATAACAGTGGAGAATGCAAAAGTGTTTCTTACAGGTTTTTTAAGGCTTGGGGTTTTGAATGCTAGGATGTAGAGATTTTAAAGTACATATTGTCTAAATTTTTGCAAAAGTATTTAACCTCTTTTATACTCAAACTAATATCTGATTGTTGTTTGTTTTTGTGTGGTTGTATTTCAGCAGAGAGTGAAGACTGTGAGTTTGTCATTGTATCATTAGACAACAGGCAGTGGAATTTTGAGGCAACAAATTCAGAGGTAAGCTTTTCTATTCCTTTCCAGGTACTGTGAAAGCATGAGAAAAGGCAGTTTATATTATATCTTTACTGACAATGTTTGCTCTTAAAAATGGCTTAAACTTGTCTCAGGTTTATGTAATGGAGCAACAACTTATGATAAAACATACAATGTAATTCTGTATTGCTTGATCAAAAAATGAGTAATCTAATAAGGATAAACAGGGAAATATAATGTTGTCTCTATGTCAGAAGAAAAGAAGTATCCATAAATTTGATACAGTATTTAAAAAATAAGAAGATACACATGTGAAGATTGATAAATCAGAGTACGATTTCAAAATGTGGTGCTATTGAAATGACACTTTTAGTGTAAAAGTCCCTGTTCCTATGTCAAGGAAGCTGGTTATAAACTTAGCGTGAGGATGATTGGGTACTGACTGTTTTCTTTAAAATCACATGCTCAAACAAAATGTGAATTGCATCATGATGTCAGTTACAGAAAGTAACCCATTTTGTCCCATATGATTTATTTGTTTCACTAGGAGAGAGACGGATGGGTGGTAGCTGTTGAGCAGAGGATATTAGCGTGTCTTCAGACCAACGAGAGTGCAAAGGGCAAATGTCAACTCTCCAATCTTGAACGAAGCGCCATCGTAGACACCATTAGGAAAGTCAGGGGGAACGGGTCGTGTGTCGACTGTGAGGCACAGAGTAAGTTTACCAAACCAGACAAAGAGGATACAATATAGTAGTAAGCCTAAAATAATCCCTTTGGACCAAGATTTGATTCTTCCCTCCCTGTCGATTCAATCAATCTATGTGTTTTCACTATTAATTTCAGTTGGTGATACTCATAATTTACTGTTAAAACATACACAGGGAGTGTGCTTCTCATTTAAAATAACATGTTTAAGAAGACACTGTTTCTTTGTAAGAGTAAAAGCCACATTGATTTATTCCTCAGGTATTTATCAAAACAATACTTCATTTTCATTCAATCTACTTGACATAAAAAGAGATAGGTACAAGGTAACTTACTTGTAGTATGCTCCACAAGGTATTTTTATCAGACAAGTCAAAATTAATCATATCATATTGGCAGGAAACTCCTATAGAAGTTCTTTTTGTTCTAAAAGAAAGCTCTGTTTATTTGAAATATTCATGTTTTTATTGCACATCTTGGGTAAAGTTGTATGGAAGGTTCTTTGATGTTCTATCATATTTCTTTTTAGATCCCGACTGGTCGAGCTTAAATCTTGGAAGCTTAATGTGCATCGAATGTTCGGGTATTCACAGAAATCTGGGGTCACATATCTCCAGAGTTCGGTCGTTAACGTTAGACGAATGGCCGTAAGTACCACATTCATATGCATGATCATGTCTAATTTATTTATTTTAAACTAGTTCATGCAAGCTCCATGGTAATTATAAAATGTATTTATTTCTATAATAAGAATGGAAATATTTTTATGATTACAGATTTTACTTTTTAATTTGCGTAGAATAGATTTCTCTTACTCGCAAAAATTCAATGTAAATGGAATGTTATTAAGCATATGCTTTCCTCTTATCTTCATTTATTGACCACCAGACCTGAGTTAGCACAAGTGATGATGCTCTCTGGAAACGCTCTGACAAACAGCGTCTTTGAAGTGTCGTTACACAATCACGTCAAACCTACAATCACGTCAGGCCGCGAAGAAAAGGAGAATTGGATTCGAGCCAAGTACGAGAGGAAAGAATTCATCGCACCCTACCCCTACCCCGAGAGGAACCTCGGCCAGCAGCTGATGGAAGCTGTCATCAGGGAAGACATCAGGGCTGTCATGCTCCTATTAGTTCATGCACAGGAGGATGAGGTGAACTATCGCTATGGCGATGGAGATGGGAGGTCTGCTCTCCATCTTAGCTGTGCTATGGGAAACGTCGTCATCACACAACTTCTCATCTGGGTAAGTCATCTTTTCGGATTCAAAATTTCTTCCATTTCTTTCTTTGAAATTACAAATAAATAAACTTAATATTAGGTGCAGTCCTTGAAAAGGAAGTTAATTCCTGCCTTACACTGCATAGAACACTTACTTGGCACTTAACCTTGGCTTATAACCTCGGACAGTTTACTTACAAGACCAATGTATGATACACAAATATTTTATGTGAAAGCTATGGAGAATGTAACACTTGGTAATTGAATATGAAGAAATTGTATTTGTATAGTGAAATCATTCAATGAAGACAAGGAATTAAAGTTATAATTTATGTAAAAACACAATAATGTCATCATGTTAGGAAATACTTCATTACAGGCAGTTTTAATTGCTGTCATTTTTCTACTCAAAAGATGAAATCTCCCAAGTATCCTACCAGTTTGATGTTTTTTAACTATTTTGTTCCCATTGTCACTTTATTATATTATTCATTAAATTATTCAATGGAATTTATTTTCATATTGTCTAATATAGTTTATGTTGTCAAGTGAATATGAAAGCAAAGAAAGTAAAACTGTCCCAACAATTCTATTCCTGCTATTCTTCCTCTCCAGTACAAACTGAACGTGAACATCACTGATGCTGATGGGAGGACAGCACTAGGGTATGCTAGGAGTGTAGGAGCTGATGACTGTGCTAAGGTGCTCATCATGAATGGTTGCCAAGACAATGAAGATTTGAACTCTAACATGAACAATAGCACGTTACTGAGAGTGCCCCCAGGCCCCGGGAGGGGGCATCATCTTCCAGGCGATAAGATGTCTAGTGTAATATAGGATAAGGGAACATCTGGAATTGAGAGCTTGTGATGTGTTTGGTCGTAAGATGAAGAGAATGAGAGACACAGGATAAAAGAGGGAGAATGAGAGGAAGGGAGAGAGGGAGAGAGTTAGAGATGAAAGAGGAAAAAAGAGGAAGATAAAGAGAGAACAAGAGAGAGAGAGAGAGAGAGAGAGAGAGAGATAACAATATGATTCATTGATAATTATGAATATATAAATACATGTGGGACATGAATATAAGTGCTTAGACCCTTATCTTTGCAGCATATATTACTGCAGTACATGTATGTGTCATTCAAATCAGGCTTCAAGCCATATTATATCAGTTGATGGATTAATGGAAACAATAATGGAAAGCTTGTGGCTAGTTTTTCTGTTCTTTCCAGATCTCAGAAAATTGTGCTTTGAACTCCGTTTTGGAAAAAGCTTTAGCAGATATCGTTGCCTGCTACTGTATTAGCAATCACCCTAAAGCAAATACATGTATTTCCACTTATTGCAGTATGCTGATGGTTAATGAGTGAATGCATTGAAATACTGTTGCTACCCGGATTTGATCAGTTGTAGTGCTTTGTTATATTTCACTGAGAATCTATATCCGTGTAGGTCATTGTTGTTCTCGTGGAGTTTCATTGCATTTAGGCTCAAAATGGTCTTACACATATTACTATAGAAATGACATGATAGAATATGTGTTCGAACTATCACGTTTCCACATCTTATTACATGTACTCTACTCATTGATGAGGTATAAAATATCACACTGCAGAAATGATGTGAGATGTGTAGTTGGAGTACAACAAAATCCCATTTACAGAGTGTGATCAGCAGCTTTGAGAGGTTCGTTTTTGCTTTGAAAAATCTCCTCTCTTCATCAAGAAAACAAAATTGGGAATTTAAAAATGCTTTAAACAGTATTCATTTGATAAATCAAGTTGTGTTATTTATGATAGGATGAAGGATAATCCACCAAACTTGTTCTCTGTTGGAATGAAACGCATCCCTTTGTCAGAGCTGTAGGCTACGTGCATTTGATGCAACTCCTATGACATACATACATACCTTGCCAGGGATGATTCCATGCAAAGACACAGAAGAGTTTGATGGTGTTCCTTCTAATAATTGTGCAATGATTTTTAGTATTTTCCTACTTGGTGTATAGAATCTTCTCTGTAAATGTATCTTAGTTAGTCCTTATTTTAGACCCACTAGTCAATTGTATAGCTTTAGGACTATTCTGATCATTAACATGTATACATACTTTATAAAATATGTAAAGTTCTTTAGATATGATACAGTCATACACTTTGTCCATAATACATGTAGATATATCATACAAAAACATCATTAAAAACAGAAGCATTTTACCTATCCTTTTAACTGCTTTTTAGAATTTCTTGCTATTCATAAATGTGTGGTCTTAATGATAAAAATCCTTTTTTTTTTTAAAACATATGTGCAAATCAGGATGTAAGATTTTCCCTCAGTATAAGTATGATTCTATGGGAGTTTAATAATTCAGAGTATTGTAAATCTGACACAAAATATCTGCATGAATAAAATTCATTTTCCTTCTCTTTTTGTCAGTTTGAGGCTTGGGAGAAAGCTTGGAATATATTATTAATTTGGTTAAATAATGCTGATGGTGCTTCATTTTCATACCAATTGTTTGTTCATGTTTTAGATTAGGATTTATCCCACACTTGGCTGTTTAACTTTAGTTGTGATAAAGATTTATCCTGAACTGTAGTTCTAACTATGAACATCTTTTCCCCTTGTCCAAAATAATCATGTGAACATGCGTTCCATTTCCCCAAAGAAGGGTGCGACTTGTTTGAGGATGAAGGGAAAAATCATATGAATGTGAACATGAAACACATTATCTTTGAAAACCAAGACTCTGGGGAAATTTGCCGTAGAGGAGTATGCAGTAATGAATGTACCTTACTTGCTCCTTCACTTTTCAATATAATATGAGTAAGATTAATAATGGTCTATATGTACAATACCTGTTTGGCAAATAACATAACTGGACAACATTGACCACCCTAAACCCCAGAATACACAAAGACTATATATTATTTTGCAATATGAGGCTGGGAAGTTTTCTATTTTTCTTGCTGACATTTTTTCCTTACAATTAAATCATGTAGGATTTAGAGAGTGTATGAAGGTATTGTTGTAAAGTGTTTGTACTTTGTAGTGTGGTAGTAGATGGGTGAACATGAGAGTACAGGTGTATGTGCATGGTGGTATGCGTGGTGGTGGTGGTGTGCAGCAAGTTTTTGAATGATGATTACGAAAGCCATCCAAGGATACCATAATTTCTTGCCATAAACTAAGTTGTGGTTTAGTAATTGAGAATAATGCAATGCAAATCATTTTGATATAAATGCTAAATACTATGATTAGATCATTGTTTGTATTTAAAGCCAGTGTACCATAGTAGTTTTATTAACAGGTGTTGGTTAACAGTGTCGGAATACACTAAATCTACATGTGGAAGTTGATTAATTGATAGACTAATGGAAGATTACAATGTATGCATAGTTCCTTTGGTTATTAAGATACTTATAATCAGAAACTGTATTCATATACATATGATTCTATGATTGTAAGGTGAAAGAAAGTTAATGACCCTCTTCTATTATTTAATGCCCTTTACATACCTGCTAACCATTTCTATATGGAAGCAATGATTGCTGTGTTATGGCCTTCAAACTATTGTTATGAACCCTAGATTGTACTCTTTTTCTGGAGAATTCACCATAAAACCATACAGAACACACTGTTTTCCTAACTTTGTTTTAGGAGATTCCTATTTTTGTTGTGGAAGGTTTGCAGCTATGTCTTTATTTTCCTCGGACACATTCAAATAAGTTTATTCATCCGATTTGGGAAAAGTGTGTCGTACATTTTAAGTGTGCAGTGAGTGAGTTTTGTGCTATTCAAACAGTGTTAACCAATACCTTTATCTAACATTATGAGTGTAAATAGTCTATTCTTGTCCATGTGATATATTATCAAATCTATGTACATTTAAAGAAAAGAGGGTGTCAACAAATTCCAATCTCTTTGTAAATTATTTCATGTTTTCTTCTGTACATTGTAAATGTGATGCTCATGTTTAAAAGAAAAGTGTCTCTGTTGAAAATACAAGTCATTAACATGGTGAACTCCACAGTATTTACAGTTATAGAACTAGCTGATGACCAGACTTTGTAAGGTCAATATCTAGATCAACATTCAATTCAACTTTATTATCTCTACAAAAGTTTATGTACAGTGAGAAATTTCTTTCTATCTTGTAAACAGTGACAAGGAGTTATGGAATTGTCTTTCATATTTGTAATGGGTTTGATTTTATTTTGTAATGTATTTGTACTATTATATTAGAGGGATGTTTTCTCTTTTTTCATAATTCCCACTAGAAATTCATTCATCTATGAAACACAATTCCATAACTTTCATATTTTGATTTATTGTCTCATTTCATTTCTAATAAAAAGCCTGTGTCTGGCTGTTATTTGAATGAAAGTTATGTATTTGTGAATGCAAACAAACTAACATGAATGGACGATATGAAATGGAGAAAAAAATAACTTTAATAAAAATGATGAAATAAATGATTAAATAAGTATATATTATTGAAATATTGACTCTGGTGGTAAATTTGAAATTCTGTTCAATTTATGTTTTGGTTAATTGGAGGGTATTTGTATTGGCTAGAGGTTGGCTAGTGTGGACAAAGGAAATTTGAACAATTTCTTGTCCAATTCAAGCTGATGATGGTGGTGATGATGATCAGGAGGATAGAAATGATGATACTGATGATAATGGTGAAGATGATGATGAAGAAGAAGAGAAGGATGCTGAAGATAGTGATTGATGATGGTAATGACAGTGAGGATGATGATTATAATGATGGCGATGATGATGATGATTAAAATAATGATAAAGATGGTGAAGATGATGATTATTATGATGGTGAGGATGATGATAATGGTGAGGATGATGATTACAATGATAATAATGTTGGTGAGGCTGATGATTACAATGATAATAATGTTGGTGAGGATGATGATTATAATGATGATAATGATGGTGAAGATGATGATTATAATGATAATAATGTTGGTGAGGATGATGATTATAATGATGATAATGATGGTGAAGATGATGATTATAACAGACCTGCCAACCAGTACGATTTAGTCGTATTTAGTACGATTTTTAGAAGCAAATACGACAGTACGATTTTCCTTAATAAAATACGATTTTCAACACACAAAAAAAAACGATTTTTTTTTTTTTTTTTTTTTTTTTTTTTTTTTTAAATATTTTTTTTAATTAATATTTTGTGTGTGCGTCCGCCATTTTCAATGGCAAAATGTCCATTCTGTCCTGTAAAGTATCCTACAAGCATCTCACATTGGCAATTTGGGGATGTTCATTGGTTCATCGAACACACCAGTCGTGACGAAATAATGCATATTCAACCAATGATCAATACACAAAAATCTTCCTGTAGGTAGAAACTGTAAGAGGCATTGATCCGCATAACAATCCATGTTTATTTTCAAGAATACAACTTTTGTCAGTAAAATACAACTTTTGACACTAAAGAATACAGTTTTTGAACTCCAGAGGTTGGCAGGTCTGTTATAATGATAATAATGGTGAGGATGATGATTATAATAATGGTGAGGATGATGATTGTAATGATGATAATGTCGGTGAGGATGATGATTACAATGATGATAATGATGGTGATGATAATGATTATAATGATAATAATGGTGAGGCTGATGATTATAATGATGACGATGATGGTGATGTGGTAGTGGCGAAGGTGTTGGTAGAGGTAAGGAAGTGTTGATAGATGTGATAGTACCAGTATTGATAGTTTTGGGCTTTGACAAGAGTACAATCTGATCTCATTTTAATTTCTGCAAGTTTGTAAATCATTTAATGTCCACCGTCCAGATTTGTTCAGATTCAGCTTGCTTCCAATAAAATTTCCATGAAATTATCCAGTCATTTTTCAACTCGGATCTTTACATAATAATGTTGGTCATCATGTCACATCATGTGACATTTTAAACCTATGAAACATATCAATTCCATACAGAAATGAATATTCTTGTTAACAAATAGTTGTAACAGAAAATACCTTTCATAGATAATGTTTATAATAGTCACTACCATAAATTATCTTCCCTCCTAAACAAAATTAGGAGTGAGTACTAAAATGTGTATCCTTTTTCAATAAGTGCATCATAAGTACACAACTAGATATGTCTTTAAAATTGACACACATCATTCTGAATACTCATATAGCCAGTACAAAGAAAATTAGGAGGAAAATAACTCCATTTCATTTACATCATTCGAAAACATGATATTTTATTAAAATGTTTTAGATTTCAGGTGTAAAGGCAAGAACATTATAATTACATTATCAATTCTATCTAAAAAATGAAAGTTTCAATCGAATAATTGGCCAGAAATGCTAGGCGAATTAAATAATGCTACAGTGCGCAACCTTTAGAAGTGACATAAATTCAATTTTATTACCAATATGCCTAAACCATATATAAGAAACATGCGATAATTCTTTATTCAGAAAGAAATTTTTTATTTTGAACGTTGTTTACGAAGTATAAATATGATTTATTTCATATCGCACATTGTGCATTTACCGACCTCTAAATAAATAACATCGTTTCATTGAGTTTCATGAATTTTTTTTTGTGTGTGCACTTTTCTTTGGAATATGATTATAATCACGAGGTTTTTCATTTTTGTCTTTGTATCCGCGTCCTTTTGTGTCACAATACCAATAACAATATAAAAACTGATATCCGTTATCCACAAACATAATTATACACAACTACATACACAAATCAAATCAAATCAAACTAATACCAAAACATACAATTAAACAATCACTAAAACACCGTAGATATAGTACAAACGTTTGTAAATAATTTCAATGAAACCTCACAGGATTTTCAAATCGACTGTATCCATTTCTCTCTAGATCTTATCAATTTACTCTCTAGCAACTCGATTAATGTTCAGTCAACATTTCAAATGGCAGAGAAGTAAAAACATTTTCAAAATGGTAGATTAACACTTGACCTTATACATAATGTATTCAACCTTTTATAATGTTTAAAGACTTGAGTTTTTAGAGTGTTTGTATACCTATAGGAATATATGTATAAATATATGTGGAGATCCAAGGCTGCGCCATATTATGTTACCGACTACATCAAATATTTCAGAGTGTGTTGAAGCCATAAAGACGTTAACTCACAGACGTATTAAACCTGATGATTATTAAGTTGATAATCAAACAATACCTAGGACCACACCCTGTGATGAGACCAAATGTCAAGAAGAGTGATAATGGCGATGTTGATTAGGTTTCATGATACTGTATACCAGGGACACAAAACAGTCAGATACTTTAACCCCTAAATCTCTTATGAAAAGCGCTATATAAGTAAAAGTTATTACTATTATTAACAGTGCCAACAGTTTACAGAAACACATACTATACCGTAACTACAACTCAGTGAGACAAATTTAATCAAGTTTCTCTCATTCTCTTTCATTGATTTTCTTGATATATAAAAGGATCCCATTCCATGAGCCTATTTCGAATTTCATTGTAAATATCTTATCGTGGTCTAACTATATTATGTACGAGAGGTTCATTATTGGCTAAACTGCATGCACTAAAGTCACACCGCTAAACCGACTCCAAACCGATAAACTCTAAGTAAGTAATGTCATTTTGTTTCGGCCTACTGTCGGTACATGTCTGCTCCTTGGTGTGACTGATGTATTAAACATAATCAAATATGGATGCAAAGATTAATATCAATTCCACTCATATGATTTTTGTTTATTTATTTATCTACTGCCAAAGAGTCGAAGAAGAAGGAGGAAAAGGTTGATGATATCAAGATAAAGGTTGAGTGCCGCAAAGATGTATTCCTCTGGTGATATGGAATACCGGTGCTTGCCGCCGAGCAAAAGTTGAGTGTCGAATACAATGTACTGTCAGGGAGAAATGTAATCATAAATTACACTGATGTACTGTAAAGAATGTGGCAACTCGTTAAACATGTTTATATTTCTCCATTGAACTCTTTGAATATTTTGTTTATTCATTACGCTACAGAGTTATGACCATGGATTGACTGATGGTGCTAATTATCCAATTCAATTCCTATTGAATCCTTGCTACTAATTTGAATGTCTTTCCTTCATAATTATACACCTGTGTTTGTAGTCAATGTCAGGACTAGATATAGCCTATCTTGTGACTTTACAAAACGTTTTGAAGCAGTAAAATGCGTTTAATTAGGCCTTCTGCATAATGTTCAATACCTATATGATAACAGATTAAAATAAAACTGTATTTCTAAAATGCAATAGGTTGTATAATTTCTGATGCGGACTTGGGTACCTATGCAGTAGACATGACGTCATATGAGTCCGTAAACCCGACCCTGGGGAGGGGGGGGGGGGTAATAGTGTGTTTGGTTGGATGGGGTTATTTGCTTTGTGTTACAACTGATTTCATTTTTGTTTTCATCGATCGTATAACTATGTAATGAAAATGTTTTGAATTCATGTCAAGGAAAAGCAACTGCATTTTATTTCTAAGATTGATTTGTATTGTTTGGAATCAATACAAAAAATATTGAAAAAAAATAAAAATGATCACGTTAAGATTAGAAAAGGAAAACTTGAAAACCCTATAGATTTGTATCTTGTAACCTTTAAAAACAGCGCAAAACCCAATGTCTGGTTTAAATTTGAGCAGAATATCTGTAAAAATATTTAGTCATAGCTTTTGAAATTTAATTCTCGATTATTATAGGTTTTCCCGCCAAACTTCATAAACTTAGCACCCAAATTAACGTTACGTTCATTCAATTTCGTGCGAAATCGAATGACTATGTAGATCAACATTCAAAAAGCTAATTGCGTCATTCAATTTGATTTAGGGCGCGTTCATGCTTGATGTTGACGGCCAGAATCAGGCATCTGTTACGCGTTTAGTTTAAAACACGATTGCGTTCATGCTCACTTTTGTAGAATCACCGAAAAACGGCGTAAACTCACAAAAAGATGCGTTTACAATTTGTAAACGCGTTTAAATGGGGTCAACGCACTGACCTCTAGTGGGTCTACGTAGCATGCGCACACAGGTTTGCGAATCCAGCTGAAGGCCACCCAAGGAGAATTGCCTGGAGAAGTGAGCATGAACAGTGCACCGTGGAACTGCGATTACGATGAGCGTTTACGATGAGCGTTACAAATCGCTCATTCTGCCTTCACAATCAAGCATGAACGCGCCCTTAGTAGCATGCGATTTCATACTCTTGCCACAGAGACGTGCAAAATGAGCATTCAATTTAGAAAAGCGTGCAAAGAGCATTCAAATTCGCGCCGGACAGACGGTGGTATGTCTTCATGCATTCAATTTCATGATTAGGCATACATAATTATGTGACATTTGTGCATTGCTTTTCATTTGATGTTAATTTGTCACTTAATATACTTTTGTTTGAATAGTTTTATGCAAAGTTTACTTGGAGGAATGACATGCGTATTCGTTCTGTCATTGCACAGGTAACTGTCCCCGGAGAAGGTGCACAATTTGTGACTTCTCTTCTAAGCACAAGCTATATATAAACAGATCTTGTAGGTAGAGTTCAGGTTTAATAGACATGGACATGACGGAAACAAAATACAATGATGAATAAAGAAAAAGATGTTAAATGAAAAGAAAGAAAGATCCCTACTCAATCAAGATTAATCAAAACAAGCATTTTAAAAATAACCCCTAAAGCAGTTATAATGAAAAATATGAAGATATGAATAAAGAAATGTTTCAACAAAAATAAAGAATGTCGAAAGAAAGAGAAAACATAAAATGCATATATATAAATATATCAGACAAATAAGAAGATTGTATAATGTGAAATCATGTCAGAAAAGATAATAGAGAAAAAAAATAAACAAATGAACATGAAATACTGACTATCCGAATGAACATCCAGCCTCATACTTTGATTATATGAGGTCTAATTTTAATTTGAATGACCCTATTGCGAAAGAGGTTGCCCATAGACGAATGTGAAACCGCAATTCGCCAAAGTATTCACCTCCCACTCAACATTGGCGAAATTAAATGACCCTTACGCATTTCCAAACTGACTGAACCAAGCTTTAATTTGAATGTGCATCTTTAGAAAATTCGGTGACTCGAAACGAAATTGAATGCAACAAGTTTAAAAATGTAACAGGGGAGCAACGAGTGGAGAAAATTTGCTCGAACATGAATGCACGTTAATGAAATTGACTGCTGCTTTAACGAAATTGGCCGGGAAAACCTATATTCTTTTTTTTAAAGCATTTATTTTCGTATGAAAAGTCAAAAAGATTGCTCAGTTTTCGCTTCATATATACACAGTAAATAATACATTCTCCTTTTTATGACTTTAACGTGTTCTCCGACGCTTACATAAAGTTCTGTTATATAATCGTTTATTACTACGGGATAGAAAAACAGATATTGTACTTACCGCGCTGAATATAAATGCTCCAAATGCACAATAGAATGTGTACAGAAACTAAAAACAAAGTGAATAGGTGAAGAAATAAATAAATTGTAATCCTTAGTAATAATGATGATATGGAAATCCCGTGGAAATCATATCCTAATTTATAGATATAAAACTCATACACAGTAATACAAAAAAAAAAAAAATAATTTGCCAAATACTTTACAACAGCAGCATTATAGCCCCAATTCTGGCTATCTCGAAAATATTTGTGACATTATCCTGCGACCATAATTTCCCATACTTTGCTCCCCCCTCCTCGAAACTGAATTTACTGATAATGAATTTTTTAAAAAAATCACTACACTTTTGTCTCTTTTTATAGTGGTTATATTTAAAGGGGTATGGCCCATGCACCCCCTCCCTTTTTGTTGTACTGAGCGAGGCGGGAAGATTCGCCGGCAATTCGCTCGAAGATGTCGTTGACGAAGCTGTTCATTGTTTAAAACCAATTTGCAAACCCTAAGTACACCCATATTGCCCTTTCACAGTGTTTTTACTTTTATTGAGACCCTCCTTTTTTTACAAAATTTCGATCGACCTCTGGTAACCTGCCCAGGCCCACACTCTCTTGTAACACAAGAGCCATACGTCAAGTACACAACCAAAGATGCCCCCTTGGCAGTGTAGTTTTTTTCTTCAGAAAACATTCCCCTTTTACAAAAGTTATTGAGAGTTTTCCTAATTATTATAGTGAATCTTTCTTACGTCAGATCGGAAGATCGCAGCAAAGAATCCGAACATTAGAAGACTGATCAACAGCACGTACAGAAGACCAGCCATTAACGTGAAATCAATCTGATGAAAAGAGAATTACATTAAAATGTCAAAACTTATTGAAAGGTCAAACATAAAATCAAATAAATAGACACACAGACAGATAGAAAGATAGTTAGATAAATAACTAATTAACTAAATAAATAAAAAAAACAGATAAATGAATAAATAAATAGAAATGAATAAATAGTAAGCAAATAAACAAATAAATAACTAAATGAATATATAAACGAGTAAGTAAATAAATAAATTAATTAATTAAATAACAAATAATAGTGAACAGAAGAGGTATGGAACATGATTACTTCAGTTGTACACGAATGCATATAATGTTATATTAGTATATGGAAACAACAACAATTAACAACAACGACGACAATGACGACGACGAACCACAACAACAATAACAACATCATTAATAAAACAAAACAAAACAAAAAAAGTAGTATGGAGTAATATCATAAATTCGTGTAAGCCAATGTGGTAATGTTGAGGTCATACTGTCCTACCTTTGTTTGGAATGCGAACAGAGTCAGTGCAAGTGTGATGAGCTGTCAAAGAAAAACATATACAAGATTAAAACAAAAACAACACCATCAATTAAAAATCGTCGTGTGTACTTACACGACGAGACGTTAATTGTGTTTTATTTTCTTCTCCTAAAAGTGCAATCCAACCCGTGTTATAACTTCATTGGTAATGAAGCAGAAAAATAAGAGAAATGGAATGGCGAAAGTCTGAAATAAATTGGACCAATAACAAGGGAGTTATGAATGTTTGAAATATGAGATCATGAAATTCATGCCAATCCGAGTTAAAATTGCAATTTTGTCAGTGGACTTTGACGTTGTCATGGGACAACTCTCCCGGTTGTCATGTACAAAATCATTATAAATTTATCTCTTTCTTCGAAGTGCTATTAGGGCACAACTCAAAATGCATTATGGGTAACATATTATTAAAGGTCCTCAATAGAGAAAAGAATAATACGTTTTTAAAATGTATATTCTAATCATTTTGTGTGTTGAAACAAATTGGGAAGTAGTCCGGCACGTCGCCACATGGACTTAACCGATTCAGTAAATTAAAAGCACCCATACGTATATTACAACTTTAAAAATTCCTAACTTTCTTATTTTTTGTCCGATATAATACAAACTTTCATCAGTCTGCTTCTCTTATTGTTCTGCTTTCTCTTAGAGTAGTTGCCTGTTAAAGGGCCAATGACATCGAAATACAAGTGTATTCATGTTGGTGTGCAGTCCTGCATACATCTCATAATTTGATATGTAAACTTCTGAATTTGTTTCATAGAATTGTAAATATTTTTTGAAATATTTGTTTTTCAAACTTGCTAAGCTCAACCCGAAAAACCTCCAGATCTCATTCCCCTTGTGACATCATCTGTCAGTCATCAATGAGCTAATTTGAGGAAGTTGCATGTAACTTTGCCAAAGTTGACCACCTGTTACAATACCACAAACAATAGCAACATATAAGTTGCTATGTCAGACATGTCAGACTAAACAAATATTCTAGAATAGACAATGGTATGTAATTTCCCCCAGCTTAGCACACGTTCATAATAGAATTGCATGCTTCCATACATAATTATGTACAATACATTATCATTGCATTTGTCTTCCTGGTGATGCTACAGTATGTCTGACATAGCAACTTGTATGTTGCTATTGTATTACGTATAGTAACAGGTGGTCGACTTCGGACATTTTTTTTTTGTCCCAAAAATTTGAAAATTGGCAGATCGATATTTCGTTTCGTTGGGGGGGGGGGGGGGTTAAGGTCAGCTTTTTGGGGTCACCCATTACCACAATTTTGTTTTAAATGTTTAATTTTTTAAAAAATTGAGGGGGGGGGGTTCCTCCAAAACACACACATAAAAAAGTTTGAGGGGGTTCAACCCCCCCCCCCCCCTGCGTATGCGCCTGAGTAGGCCTATATATTTTTGTTATTCTATATGATATTCGCCATCGATTTGTGTAAAATTTTAGTACGTTCCTGTGAAAAACTGTATTATGTACCTGAACAAATGGACAAATAAAATAACCTGTGAAAAAAGAACTTTGACCTATTCTCACGTTTGTTGCTTCCTAAGAACATTTAGGTGTATAATACTTACGGCTGTAATGCCGATGGCCAAGAGAACTTCTGTACCATCATAGTAGGTACAGGTCAGTCCAAGTAACACTCCTTCACATATCGTCTGGAAAAGAAAACAAAAAAAGGGAAGATAATAATAATAACGTTTTATTTATCCAGGGTAGCCACTTCAGTTATGAAACTGCTCTTCCAGCGCGCCCTGCATAACATAACATGTTATTACTACCCTTCTCCACACTAATATGCTGAGCGCCTAGCTAGAAGGCAGAAGGTGCCATTGTTATAAGTCTCATGACTCGGCCGGGGTTCGAACCCACGACCTCCCGTTCATGAGGCGGGCGCTCTAACCACTGAGCCACCATGCCCGGTTTAAACAAAGATGAACAAAAGAACACCAAAAAGAAAGATACCAAGAAGAAAAGAATGAAAAGAAAGAATAGAAAAAGTGTGGCAACAAGTTATAGATTAATAACATGCCGAAGGACGTATACTAAGTAAAGTATAGCAGAGACTAAACCCCGTATTTTGTGGTCGACCCCACCCCTCTTTCCTGCATTCTATGGCACAAATTAATACTATAAGGCTACTTGAAATAAAATCAGGACCTTCAAAATTTGGGATGGGGTTCGCGCCTGTCCTTCCCTAAGTTATTATGGACTATAGGTCCGTCATTATTTGTCATAGCTTTATAATCTACAAAATAGACAAAGAGAGAAAATAAGGTGTATAAGTCTGCTATGTCGTTTCTTATTAAACACATGTGTTATAAGTGGAAAGTCTACTGTAACTTCTTGGTGTGCCCAAGAGGGAAACTAACATCGATTGTATATTATCTTTATGACATGAACTTAATGATTAAACTTAATTCAATGAAATTTAGGTTATCCTTGGTCTATACATTCCAGTGCTCATTCTTTTTTTCTTCAAATAATCAAAGTATACTTACAAATAGCATGAGACAGATGATGTTGATCGGAGAGCGTCTCCGCAGATCAGGGGTACATGCCAGAACAAAGATGAAGACGAAGGTCAGAGCACTACCAGTGAAGATAGGAAATATTTTGATATTTTAATTAACATTATCTGGTCATCGTAGTGATCAGAGTGTATGTATTTATAATTATATTAATTGAATGTGGAATACATAAACCTTGAATCATAGTAATCAATAACAAGAAATACTATTCTGTAAAGCATTAATATTTATTACGTAAATGAAAAGTGATCCTATACTTAAAAGCTATGCTTGTTGCGAGTAGGTTCACTGAATTATAAACATAAAGCACAAAAACCAGATTAAGTATACACTAGAATGTGAAAAAATATAAATAAAACAAAATACAAATTGTTACGACTAAAAGTTGAGGAGAGAGATATAGAGAGGGGGGCGAGATAGAAAAAGGATAGATACATGGATAAATAGTAAGTGTATAGATAGGCGGGTAGATGGAGAGAGAGAGAGAGAGAGAGAGAGAGAGAGAAAGAGAGAGAGAGAGAGAGAGAGAGAAGTATAACCTGTATAATGTCAAATTCATGTACTTACAAAGCAGTCCAAAATATCCAGTAATTTTGCTGAGCGTATTCCTTGACCTCGTCACTGTACAGGGGGGGGGGGGGGGGATTTAATGACAATACCACAGTAATGTGTGAAATTAAAACTTAAGTTTGTTGATTATATCACTAATAATTTGTGTTGTTTTAGTTTACTTTATTTTAGTTAAGATAGTTAAGATATTGATAGTAATACATGTATGTACAGCGCCATGAGCGTCAGAGCCTGGCGGATACCGGCGCTATATAAATATCCATAATTATTAAAAACGGGCAGACGATATTTTATATAAAAATATGCGGTACATAAAAGTGTAAATGTAATGTCAACAAATCTTCTAACTGTGATATAAGTACATCTCCTAAATATACTGCATGTATATTATGTAAGTATTCAGGGAGTTAAAATGACAAATGGTAGAATCATTAATTAATCAGTATTATGATCAAATTGATACATCATTACTCTCCATAGTCTAGTTGCAGACCAACACAATTATTATCACCATCGTTATAATATGCTGCCGTTTGGTAAAGCATTTTTACTGTTGTTATTTCTATCATCAACCTATTTAGCACGATTTATCACCATAATGTTTAATAAATAATGTCGTAATATGCATCTTTTTTTTCTGGGGGGGGGGGTGCTGTTCTTGGTTTTTCTACAAATTAAACATTCAAAAAGCTTACACTAAGATAAATATGCACATTATTCCAATTGTGACGGCCAGTTGCAGAGTCAGTATTGCATAGACTTTCTTGATGAAGGCTATAATCACGATCAGAAAAAGGAACGAAAGAAATATGATATCATAATTATTAGCAAATATGAAAACACAAAATAAAAACATCTCTATTTCCTATGGCCCGTGTTCTAATTCAGCATGTTGAAGAGTGAAACCCAACGTGATGACAATCTTGATATAAAATAATGCATAGTGGCTAATTGACTAGACTAGACTAGACTCGCCTTTTTAAACCTGGCATCGGATTTAGATTATTTGTAGAATAGTGTTGTTGATATAATTATTTGGAACAAGTGCCCATACAGATATCAAAATTTTGTTTGAAAATTGATTAATTTACATTCAATTACTCAGCGATATAGGTGAGATAATCAGGAACGCTTCCAGAAGAATAACAGGGAGGGGAGGGGGGCTTGGGGTTCTTGTCATCATTTTATATATGACTTTGGTCTTTTTGGGGGAGGCTCAACGAAACTAGGAGTCAAACATAAAATTATGATTTAGAGGTTTTGGAGAATACTTTATATTATTTCTATTACTAAACACTGTTGCAAATCACTACCGAACGGACAGTGTCCGGTAATTCAACAACGTAATTCATAACACTGTATTCCATGATTATCAATAAATTACAAAGTGCTTGAAGCCGAAGTACAATGTGCATGCATTTTGATAATAAGAATGCTATTTCAATCACATTAAATGACCCGTATTTTCAACAGCATATACATCTTATTATGTCGACTGACTTCTTTAAAGCCCCTTTCTGGTGTTGGGAGCCCAAAATTCACCAACAATTTGATGGCAAAATTTCACCTCAATAATTGTATCTTAATGTAAAAGAAGATGTCATTTAAGACACATTTCTGCAAAGTTTTCCTCCAAAAATGTGTTTTGAAGACAAATATTAATAAAGAATACATAATTTGGGTTTTCTATTGTACGAAAAAAGAAAAAAAAATTGTATTCTATCATCAACATTCGACTTCAAGCACGTTTGTTTTGAAGGTCCTTGCAGAAACGTGTCTTAAACATACTATGTCCCTTTTACAGCCAACATCAAATTCTGTAGAACTCTGCAGGAATTATGAATATGTCATGTACGTAATATCTGTGAAATTTAAACATTAGAAGTGTCCTTGTATTCAAATTATACAAGGAAACCCGTTTACCTTCTATCACTGTCAGACACTATTGAGTGACTTACTGACATTTGTTTTTCTTTGGTAATGACATACATAATAGCTATCACAGGTGCATGAGCATTAATATTTTGTCTTCATCAATAACCAACTTCTTGTAATGCCCAAAATTAAACTGATTACATCTTTGTGCAGCACAAAACATACGACCATTCGGTGAAAGGGTCTGAACATCAGACTATTACTTAGGTGATTGCAATCACTTAAGTCGATTCGACAACTAATGATCGTTATTTTCCCACTGAAAGCCATTTTCAAGCCCGTTCGTTCTGAGGCTGGTAAGTTCTAAATTAGTATTGTCTTTCAAATGCCGTTGGAATTTAACCTTTACATTTTTGGGCCTGCAAATGGGACATAGTACCTTTACTTTAAATGACATCCTCTTTCACATTATGATACAATTAAGTGAAATTTTGCCATCAAATTATTGGGGCTCCCACCACTTTAGAGACATAGAGACAAGTCAGTCACGTTATCATCAACGAGACCGACACCTGATCGACAATCTCATAGACCGGAGAAGCGCGTTGGTTATCTGTCGGTCTGATGGCTGCATGTGGTGTGACAGGGATATTGGCCATTACATCAGACACCCCCCTTTTTAAGATTGCGAGGTTACCATTCTGTTTTCAAGAATACATGCATATCGTCATTGGCTTGAATTTGGCGAAATTATTTCTAACAAAAAGTTAGGATGGGGTAAGATGGTTGAATTCCGGCCATGATTAGAAAGAGAAGGGCATTATCAAAATAATATCCCCACAATTTACTTGCCCTACGTATATGCAGCCAAAACTCAGATAGCCTTCTTTCTTGCTTCATGCTTTTCAGAGAAATTTCGAGGACATAATACGTATGCACCCAAGACATATAACATATATTTCCACCACGTTTTCGTATTTCCGCCCTTGGGTCTTATAAAAAAGCAAATGTTGACCAATTACTGTTTCAAAATAATAACAAGAACTTATTTTTGTCCATGCATTAGACCACGCATTAGCATCATTTCAACTTATTAAACATGTGTTTTTTTAGATTTTTAAATACAGACAAATTTAAGGGGAATTAATGAGTGTTATGTTTGGAACCGACTAAAATAAAGAACTGACAAAATTAAAATTCACAAGCCTATATTGGCGAATATACCAATAAAACATGACTTGTGTCGTGTATTTAAGGAGGTCCCTAAATCTATGGCTATAAGTAGATACGAGGGTTGTTTTATCTTACCGTGCCGTATCTCCTTCTCCACAAAATCAAAGTTGCCTTCTCCATAGTCGGAATCAGCCATGTTTACTTCGAATTAGCTGGTGGAGGAAAAACAAAAAACATGTTATTTGGCTTTCTAGGTCTATTTTACGTATGCATTTTAGTTGTCGTAACCTTATTTAGGGGATACGAGATAATGAATAATCATTATGAAAAATAGTTAATGTGTTATTTATCACGCAAAGATATCCAGATGTAGGTCTAAAGAACAAACTGCACGAAATTAATAACAAAATGATAATATTCAATTTTCAAGTTATAGAGTCTATATATATATATTTTAAAATCATTAATATAACGATATAGAAATACTTTTGAACTTACATAAACGCAGTATCCTAAAAGGCCAGCACCACGTTGTTTCACTACAGTCTTGTATAAAGATAATAGCAATCATACCCAAAGTGCTTAAAATCCAACCATACGTATTCTCCACTAAAAACCGCGCCCGGTTAGTAAGGGCTATCTTTCGCAAACACGTCATGAGATTTATCATTAACCAAATCTAACTTGAGATACAAAGTCCTCCTTTAACATGTATAATAATGAATATCATGTACAAGGTGCACTGTATGCGAGGGTGCGGCGAGTGTATGTTTTCGAACCATTTTTTACTTTCATCCCGATTGATATAAAGCATGACAGCCTCGACATGATCTGATTAATTCCTTAACCAAAAGCCTAATAATAATTATCATTTTCATGATTACGGTTTCACTGAATACAACCCGCTTCTTTCCTACGTGATAAAACAAAGTGCTTTTAGTTAAACATTAACTAGTCAAACATTCCGGATGAACCATGGACATAATTTAGAGATGAACTTGACACAGTTAAAAAAAAACGCATAGAATAAGCTTGTTTAAGAGGGTTTAGAATTTTTAACTATTGCAAGGAGGGAGAATTAAGCAATTGTGTTTTTCTTAAGGGGGCCTTTTTTAAATGCATTTTTAAAAGAAACCAATCAAAGCCAAGCATTTACAGAAACCTTAATCAGAAAATATCAAAGATAAATGGTCCGTCAGTTCTTGTACTGCTAGGTCTAATAATTATGAGCAGATGTTTGACGAAACCAAGTTCATATACAGTGAGAAGCAGTGGCGTAATGAGCACGAACTTGTTTGGGGGCAGAAAACAAATCCGCATCATCACCAGGTGGATATTGACGATAACGGTCAAAATGTTGGCCTACAAACTACATTTTAGCTATGGCGTATTATCTACCCACTATATACTTGATTCCTTATAATGATGTTCTTCACACTTTGACCAATGAGATGATAAGTTAATATCCCATCCATTATCCAGGGGCGGCGGAGCGTCTTATAAAGTGTGTGTGTGTGTGGGGAGGGGGCACCAACATAAAAGGGTACCTACAAAGGGAAACCTCAAAGTGAAAATATACCATTTTTAGACATTTAGACATCGTTATTACATTATCACAGGCTGCATTATCAGGGATGATTTCAATGTTTGTTTATCTCTTTACGTTGTCCAAGATACTGCTCAAGCATCATACTTGCAGTTGGATAGGATGAATGTATATGTGAGGTCGTAGTGCGAAAAACTACATCTTATAATTAAAAGAGGAAAAACACAATTCTGATGGGGTTTTTAAGCACAATCTAATCATGAAAGACTAAAAAGATATTTAAAACGAAATACAAATGATTGAGCTATGGGCGAAATTAATGGGAAAAAAAATGCTCTCAGTTGCTTTTAATTATGAGCACATTTTGAGGTCTAAGGAAAAAGGGGCACTAATGAGAACGGAAAAGGGGGCACTTATTTCAAAGGGGAATTAGGGGCAATTATCAGAAGGAAAATGGCACTAATTAGGAAGGATAAGGGGGCACATGTCAAAAGAACAGGGGCCGTCAGAGATAAACAGGGGCACTTATTACAAAATAAAAGAGGGCATCTCTCAAATTTGATTAAGGGCAGTTACCGAAGATTTAAAGGGGCACTTATAAGAAGAAAAAGGGGCACTCGTCGAAATAGAAGGGACACCTCTCAGATTTGAAAAGAGGCAAATATAAGAGGTGGATGGGCACTTATCAGAGGTAGTAAGGGGCACTTCTTGTACCTGAAAAGGGGCACTTACCCGAGATAAATAGGGGTAATTGTGAGAATAAAAAGGGGCACTTAGTACAAAGGAAATTGGCACTTGACGTAATAGAGGTATTTATCAGAGGTGTGAGTAGGAGCATTTATGAGAAGGGGAGGTGGCTTTAATTTTTAAAAGGGGCATTTATCAGAAGGAAAAAGGGTAGTTATTAGAAAGAAAGAGGGGCGTGTCAAAATAAAAAGGGGCACTTATCAGAGGTGACAAGGGGCACTCATCAAATATAAAAAGAGACACTTATCTGAAGAGGAAGGGGCACTTATTACAAAAGAAAAGGGCACTTGTTAAAGTAAAATGGACACCTCTCAGATTTGAATAGGGCAATTATCAGAGTTGGTATTAAAGAGGCACGTATTTGAATATGGAATAGACACATATAATTGAAATAAAAAAGAGGCGCACATCTAAAGTAAAAGGGGGCACCTTTTATATGTAAAAAGGGGCACTTTAGGGTTATTTGCCTGACTAAAAATTTGGGGTTTGTCATTTTCCAACAAACCTGGAATCATTATCTATAATATTATTATTACCATTATTATTGCTATTGTTATCATTATTATTATTTTCACTATTATTATTATTATTAGTAGTAGTAGTAGTAGTAGTAGTAGAAGTAGTAGTAGTAGTAGTAGTAGTCGTATCAGTAGTAGTAGTAGTAGTAGTAGTAGTAGTAGTAGTAGTAGTAGTAGTAGTAGTAGGAGTGGCGGATCAAGGGGGGCCGGGGGCCCGGCCCCCCCTTGAGAAAAAAAATCTAACCCCCCCCCCCCTGGCGCTCAGGGGGGGGGGGATGAGGTCACCTGTTTTGAAAACAAAATTGAGGGGCATTCGACCCCTCCCCCCCCCTCCCCCCTGCGTACGCGCCTGTGTGTATGCTTGTAGGCCGGAAACTTATGTTTAATACTCTTTTAAGCTCTCATGAATCCATTTCGTAACCAGGTTATCGTTTTCAAGAGGGAACGTGTTGTAGGTAGAAGCCAACCTCTAGTACAGCTTTCAGATGATAGAGGCATCCAGTTTATTGGCGCGCGCAATTCAAAGTGCGGGAGAATCATTTCCGGTTTTACTATTGAAACAGAATTTTGCCTCCACACTTCATACTACTTATTTTCAGTATGGCGCTCTTAGAAATGTGTGATCAGATGTTCGGAACAAGAATTCTTTATGACGTCTTAAAGATCTCAAAGGAAGCCTCAGCAAGTGAAGGTAAGATGGAAATAAACTAACGATTACGGTATCCATTCACGCGAAGTTAGACTTAAAGAAATATGAAATTGTCCCACATATTGAAATATATGTAAGTAAGACAGTAGTTTGCATTTGGTTATGTATGATTGGATGTTAACTGAAGATGAAGTTCACCATTATTTGAAATCAGTTGTAAAGCTATCTGTGAATCCATGTAAGTCTCAAGAGTGAGAAAAGTAAGAAAGTAATACTGTTGAGCTCTAATGCACTTTTGCACTGGGAGCCAAAGTCACAGTGTGATGACATTGTGACTGTCATTCACTCATTGATGTCGCATTGTCCTTGTTGCACAACAAGAGCTCACATTTCAAATCTCGTTTTCTCTTTACAGTGAAGAAAGCTTACTACAAACAATCATTGAAGGTCCATCCTGACCGGGCAGCTGAAGAGGATAAGGAAGATGCAACGGTCAAGTTCCAAACATTGTCCAGAGTCTACACTGTCCTTTCAGACAAAGCTAGGAGAAATCTTTATGATGAGACAGGTTGGGATCTGTATTATAATAATGATAGTAACATTTTAATAGTGCTTAATACTAATGTTTCTAAGTGCCTCAGCATTAGCAGAGCTAGTCTAATAAGGTACTCTGGAATTTGAGGAATTCCCTTCTACTGAGTACCCATTTACTACACCTGGCTGGGAGGACATTAATATTACTGTGGACTTGATTGCACAGTATGTGATCCGTTATGTTTTCTTATGCTAATAAGCCACTTCAGAGATGATATCTGTGCACTGGCAGATAAAGGGCATTTGTACAAATCTGTAAAACCTATTGAGACAATTGCTAGATACACGTTCTTGTCATCATTCTTCATTTATGCACCAGCAGTACATTCTATGATACAGATGGAACTTATGGATGTATTCTTTACAAGAGGGCAAACTTAGGGTATTCTTACTCCTCTTTGGCAGTGATTGTTAAAAAAATCAGAAAGTGGGACGTCTCCATGTGTAAAAAGATAAGATCTGTGGATATTTGAGGGTAATTTATACAATTGGTTTTGAAATTTGCATATGTGTGCACTCTAGTTTAGTACCATTAATCATATAAATTGGTATAGATGAGTCAAATATTTATATTGGCTCATTTTTATGTAGTAGTAGACTTGTTTAGCACAGGGGATAATTCTGCTACAAGTTCCACAAGCTATTTTGATGGTCCAAATGAATGATATTACCTTCCAGTTTCAACCCATTATAACTATAAAAAATGATGATCAAGTAGAAACATTACTGGGTGTCTTATCTATTGGTAGTGAGATGTGTTTAGGATTGATCATTTCCCATCATGCACTCAATTTGATTGACCTTTGTTTCAGGTGAGGTCGATGATGAGATAGATACCGACCAGCAGAAGGATTGGGATGCTTACTGGAGAATTCTCTTTAAGAAGGTCGAGGTGAAGGACATTCAAGAATTTAATGAGAAATACAGAGGTAAGTAAGATGTAGGCCCTAGTATTTTCTCTCTCTCTCTCTCTCTCTCTCTCTCTCTCTCTTCTCTCTCCCTCTCTCTCTTCTCTCTCCCTCTCTATCTCCCCCCATCTCTATCTCTCTCTCTCTCTCTCTCTGTTTTTATGTCTCTCTTTTCGCTACAATGTACCCCATTTACACAATTGAGATCAATACCAAATGGAAAACAGACCAAACATAAAAATGCATAATCTTAAATGGCCTAAAATCAATTGGTTTGGAAGCAGGGTGAAGTCGATTGGGCAGTGTGACTTTACACATGTGTAAGATTGTTGAAATAATTCAACTCGGCTCTTACTCGATTATGGTTGGTTACTCTTCCATCATAACGTCAAATGATATTGATAATAGCACATAACACTGAACGCCTCGTAGAATTTGTGGATATTGCCATTGTGGTTTTACTCTTTGCGGCTTTGGTTCACAATGCATTGCAACCCATACACCTGGGTCAATTTGTTCAAATGTAGAGTAGTGTGTTACCAACAGATGATGATGCTTTGCTTGTAGGGAAATAAAGAAATCATTATTGTGATATAGCATGGAAACCACCCAAACATGAACAGTTCAGTCAAATCAGAGACATCAATTGGAGGTATCCCTCTTACCGGTATATAAGAGAAACAGCTCAGATAATAGTGGTTATTTATGGTAGCTCCATAACCATGTTATTTACCTGCCTTTTCCTTATTATTGAAATACATTTTTGATAAGGCGTGAATGCAATAGTTTGTTTACAGGGTCGTAGGGTGGAAGCATCCATTAATTTGAATACATTCTTGAATGGGTCTATTTTGAATTGATGTTGATTATTTTATCTTCTAAGGCTGGTCACATAGCTACAATTTGACAACAATAGTGATAAAATCAGTCCATTCAGAAATGAACTGAATGCCTATTGGCTTAAATCGATGAGCACCATACATTTTCTAAGAATACTGACTCTATGATTATTATTAAAATCTGACCTAACAATAAACAGTCGGCTTCCAATCAAATAAAAAATCTTTTGTATCTCCATTCTTGTTGTGAAATGGTATCTTACCATGCAGTGCACCCATCTGTAAAATTAAATTAAATGTAATTTACCAGTTTATTGTAAAGTTATGATTGAAATGGATGAGATTAATTTTGGATTGATACATAACTTTTTATGTTACAGATCCCTGCTGTTATGTTTTATATGAAGTATGAGGATTTTGTATTAAACAAAATACTTGGTACTTAATTATTGAATCGCTTTGCTTTCTCGTACATTTCAGGTTCTGCAGAAGAACTAGATGACTTGAAAGCAGCATATGTGGAGTCTGAAGGTGACATGGATGAGATTCTGGATAATGTTATGTGCAGCACAGAGGAAGATGTGCCAAGGTTTACCAAGATCTTAAAGGGGCTCATTAAGGAAGGAGAGGTGCCCATGTTTGAAGCATTCGAGAAGGCCTCAAAGAAGAAACAGAAAGCTAGACAGAAAAGGGTAGGCTGAAAAAGCTTTTTTTGTGAAATAGGAAACCATTTATTCAATTTCTATGCACACACTGGCATAGAAAGGAGATAAAAGTAGCTGAGATTGATCTTACTTGTCAACTCAATTATCTTGGTGAAAGTCCAGTTTATTACGGATAGGCCTTTTAATAAACATGAAGTGTTTTTACAGGTCAAATATAGTTTAACTTATTAATGATAAATCATCCGATATCTTTTGGTAATAATTAATAACTATGGTACTGATACTCTATAATAACTGTGTTAGTGATTCATTTGACAAATAATGCATGCATTCAAGAGGTGGTCTTGCACAATATTGTTCAGGAGAGTCTTTAATCACATACATGAGAGTTCCCACAGTACTACTGCGGCAAGATAGAGAACTCAATCTATCCGCTTGACCAGGGTAAAACTGTATTTTTTTTTGGATATAGCTGATTGCTTATAACTTTGGGGCTGATTTCCAAAAGATATAATTCAGGGATGAGATTCCTCCGCCGATTTTGAAATTTCAAAACGGAAAAGAAAAAAGAAAACAAAATTAAATTGTCAGATTATCATTAATTGTACATCTAGCATTGACCTTACTACCTTAGCAGCATTTATCTCCCATCTGAACAATGTTATAGAGTCCATTTAAGCAAGATGGGGTAACAAATAGTTCTCAAATTTAGAATTTAAGTGCAAGGAAAACGTGTCCTTTTACGTAAATACAAGTTTTCTGAAGAAAGGGGGCATGGCTTATGACCTGTACCGTTTAACCTCCACACCATTCTCAAGTATAATGTGTATCCCTATATCTGTCTTCTCCTGCCTACAGGCAGCCCAGGAAGCTGAAGAAGCCAACGAGTTAGCTGAGGAGCTTGGGCTGAACGGCAGAGGGGCGTCCTCCACTGGAGATGGTGACGATGCTCTCAAGGCACTCATCTTAGGAAGGCAGAAGAGTCGAGAGCAGCAGATGGACGGTCTCTTTGCTAACCTAGAGGCTAAATACTGCCAACCTAAGAAAGGAAAGGGCAAGAAACAGAAGAGATAATGTTTCTAGGACGCTTGCTTTCTGCAGAAATGAACTATGATCGAACTTGGGGCCTATTAAGGTCTGGACTGTGTCTAGAATGTCATTCTTTAGTGTCACTCCACCCATGATATGTACTATCCTGTCTTGTTGTCTTGGTGTAAGAGATGCTTTGCCTCTAAGGTTTGTACCACATGCTACAGACTTCTAAAACTTAATATAAATGTCTTTAATTTGTTTGTGAAAACATGTAATATGTGTTTTCGACCGACAGCATTTTTGTAGTAAAGCTGCAAATAAATCAACTTATTTGTTTGAAAAAGATGTATGGGGGGGGGGGGGGGGTCCTTATGAGTCTGGTGTTTGTCTTGTAACTTCAGATGTTTTTTTTAGTTCAAATGATTTGTGCTTAAATGCAATGAAACCAACTCTGTATTTTTTCTCTCTCTCACTCTGTAAGGGTGTTGATATTTGTTGATTGATGTTATATGAAATATAATAACAGGTTTTTGTTGGCTTAATCATTCTGTGGCACTAAGTTTGAGGTATTTGCAACATTTCCAGTCATAAGATATTTATCTGTGATCATGGAGCATCACGATCAAATAATCCAATGTAGTGTGTTCTGTAGATTGAGTTCTGATTCTTGAAGTTACGTAGGTTTATTCCATTCAATAACTTATTTTGAATCGAAGCTAATCCCTTTTACATGAAGTCCCATGTCACAAAATACCAACCACAGTGAAGTGTGCCCATGGATAGTTTGGTAGCAGTTAGCAGGATGGGCCTGTACACTCCTAGTTGACTGTTGTATATTATGTGAACAAATTATGTCCTACCAATGGCAGAAGGATTTAGAACCTAAATGTTTAGTGTAAAAACTACTCTTTTGTGACCAAACCTAATATATAACTTTTGTACTTGTACTAATATCATACCGGTACACCTTTAGGTTCAAGAGAAGAGATTAAACTGTGTATGTCAAAGTGGATAGATTATCATGCATATTTTCGCTTGATTACAGCAACTGTATAGCTTTCTTGAATATAATTTTCCAAGTTTTGTTTGTGAATGTAGTGTGAATAAGCATGCTTGACTAGTTTACAGGGCTGCTGACAAAGCCTCTGGATTTTGAAACCTTTAGAAAATCAAACAGTTTGTTTCAAATTATGTTGTGTATTCTACTGAAGAAAAAAAAAAGAGTTTTGGGGTTTGTTGTTGTTATTAAACAATTTTAGCACATTTTTGTTGTCTTGATTGCTGAAATGTTGAAGCAAAGACTGAGCCAGAGACTTGTAAACTTGTGATATATAGTTATAGGTGCACCTTTAAGGATTAAAGAATGATCAGAGAGTGGAAGGAGAAGAAAGGGAAGAATATTTATATATAGCTTGTAAATCACTTTCTTCTAGTAATCCAAATTGAATCCGACGAAAATATTAATAAATTAAATATGAAAAATGAAAATGAGTCATTCAATGACTTCAGTTAATAATTATGTGTTGTGTATATTAATATTTATGTCACATGATTTTTTTGTGGATAAAATTGAGGCATTAGTTTAACTAGGGACTGACTATAAATGGCTACCAGATGATATTTGTTTATTGTAATTCTGTTCATTTTATGTATGCTTCAGAAGACTTGTAAGAAATCACCTTTTTCAAAGGATCTCCATACTATACTACAATGTGTAAAGCTAATAAACCACGTGAAGTATTCTGTATTTATTTTCTGATTGCCACTTTGTTCAATCTGTAGGGAAAGTGTGATGCCTGGCCAGATTCAGGGATGTCTGTAATTTCTTTTCTTTTCTTTCTTCACAGCTCTCTTCTCTTTCTCTCCGTCTCTCATGCTCTCTCTCTTTCTCTCTGTCTCTCATGCTCTCTCTCTTTCTCTTTCCAGTATCCCCCTGTCTCTCACTCTCTCACTTGAGGCAATATGACGTTAACTTTGCCAAATTGTGTATATGCAATTGTGAAGAAAATATTGTAGTTATCCTACTGGATGTAACACTAAGGAAATAACTCTGTACATTTGTTACTCTTCTCTTAATGATTTATAATATATTTATACCACAGTCCATTAACAGAATGATGACATGAAGAAATATATCTTTGATTGAATTTATTAGATTATACTTTCAAGGCTTCATTGTTGCATTAGAAGAAAACAATACACTAGGGCAGAAAGGTAGTTAAAGGCACTAGAAGGCGTACTTAAGTTGTTGACTGATTCTACATTCACACAAACAGATATAGGTTGCAGCTATTTATCCGATTCCTTTCACATATACAACAATGAGCATTAATTCAAAGTCAAACCAATTATGGGTGGAAATTGCTCATAGAAATTCCACATAACTCCCCTGTAACATCTTTGAATGATAAACTTTCAAACTAAAGGACTAGTCATTATATGATAAAGCATGTGTTTTGATAATCTGGAGGACCAATTTTCAAATCTTTACAGATAAATCAAGACTAGAGCTAGGATTACATGAAATAGTTATCCTAATAAAAAATGTTCCCCAAATTAATTTGACTTTGAATAGCTTTCAACAAAAAAGTATGACACACAAGATCTATAAAACTTTAGATTAATGTACATGATTTGTAAATCTAAACATAAAAACATTTCTTGCTCTGATAATAATATATATTGTTGTTCAAGGTGTTATCATACTGAAATGATGGAAGAGATATACAACTGAACTGTAGGAATAGACATCAGACAATGTGCATACTGGAAGTAATGCAAATGGTACATTTTGTAATATATTAAACTACACAATAATGATATGCAGTGATGCAAATCTAAACTGCACAAATCCCTCCACTCCAATAATGTCCAAATGGAGGCTTGAACTTGTATATAAGAATAATTGAAAGTAGTATATTTGCATGATGGATAGCATTGTTAAAATATTCATTTTATCTCCAAGTTTCTAAAGATACTTGTGCGAGTAATGTTTATACAAACAGACCTGACTCTGTGTGTATACAATGTAGTTTCCTTGACCCTTGATTCCAACTCCCCAAGTAGGTACAAAGATACTTTAGTCATAGTACAGATAGTTCATCATAGAAACCATTGGTGTGCATATGCTTCATCATCATGTACTATCGTCTATTATTGGATGGGGAGAAAGCCCATCTCCTTGGGTGTTTGAAAGTTCTATACATGTACTGACAGACAACAGGAGGACATGTATGAGTGAGTGATCCTGTACTACCTTTTCATCAACTAGAATCCCATAGCAAGCATTTTGGGCTTCCTCATATATGACTTCTATCATTCTAGATGAGAAACTCAGCATAAAACATCAGATTTCACAGTTTGAGGAAATAACTTCAATGAAAGATCTGAAGCTGATTCATTTGCATTGTAGAAAAAAAAGGGAAAAAAAAGATTTCTAACTTAACCACTGTTATTGGTACCTGTAACTTCTGGATGCACTTCAATATGCTTTCTGACATTACCTGTGGTCAGTGCCTCAAAATAATCATATGATGATATCATATGATGATATCACATATGAAGAAATCAACTTTTATTGTAGCATTTTTATTGACTGAACTTTATAATTTCAACAACTTCACATATACAGTAAGATGCACTTTCATATATTTATCCTACCAGGTTTGTATATAGAGGTAGTACATATATATTCTCTTAAGAAATGTTGACTTTTTGTACATTGTGCAGTTATACCTACAAACCAATGTAACAAGCTGACTGGGTTTGAAAGATGTAATGTTTTTACCAAATCATTTCTTTCTGTGTAAGCATTTATAGTCTGATAATCTACATATTTCACACACCATACATTAATATTTACAATCTTGGATAAACACAGAGTTGCTGATTCACGAGATGCTTTTGACATATATACATCAAAGTATAACATACATAGACTAGTTCTGATGCATTTCTTTAAGAAATATGAATCTACTACATTAATTCTACAAGCGCTCAAGATAAAAAAAACTTCATTGAAAACTTTCTAATATAAAAACAGATGCATATACCAACAGTAGCAAACAAAACTATGAATTGACAAAGATTCATGATCAAGCTTCTATGCGGGCGGGCACAATAACTTCTAGTAGGCCTACTACTAACATGTTTGCCTAGAGCATGAAGTCACATTGAATGAAGGTTATTCTTCTTCTTCCTGAGGAGGTATATTTCACTGAGAAGTTTGATATCAGCATATTGAGCGAGCATACCACTGGGCAGCTTGCTGTTATACATACATAACCCTATTAAAGTTGTATCATCCCGATAAATAGATTTTCAAATCGTTCAAATAAGAAAGACTTCAAATTTATAAATATCAAATACAAGTACTGTACAATGTATTCATAGATACCATATTGTAAAGTATCCTTCAAAATTTCCCTAAAATAGTAATTAAAATAATTATAAATCTTTTAGTACTCTATGGTTGATTAAAATAAACTTTTAATCCCCCCCCCCTCCTCCCAATTATCAGATTCCTACAAAATCAATTCAAAATGGCAAAATGGCTTTTATCAGTATTTTAGTTTCTCTTTACATGATCAGTACATTCTAAAGTAAATATTGAAACAAGAACTGCAGTGTCACTGTAATCTGGATCAGTATTCAGAAAAGCCTACCCTCCCTGCTATATAAATGATATCTTCACATTCAACATGAAATCAAAAAGCTGACAGAAAACTGACAGCCATGTCACATAGAATAAATATACCTCACAAACAAGACACCATCACAACCGACAGTCAAATATTAGTATATATTCCTGAGGTATACAGACCATCTCTAAACAGATCTTTGATCAAACAGGTCTTTTTATATCTTCTGAAGAGACATACTGTTGGACAAGATGCATGTACAATATGTCACAAACAGACAAAGAGGGTACCATTGGTATAAGGAATACAGTGCATGTGATTCAATTTTTATCAAAACATGATTATAAATTGTCTTTATTTCACTTCTTACATTAAAAAATCAACCCTGCAATTGTCAAGACTTTCTAAATATATATATATATATATATATATATATATATATATATATATATATATATATATAGAGTGTATTTAAAACAGAATGACACAGGTATTTCAGATTTTACACATATTTTATAACATTTCCTAGTTTCAATGAAAATATAATTCACTCTCTTTTAGAATGTGCACGAAAATTATCCAATTGTGGGCTAATTAAATCACTTCATAAAATTGTTAAATTTAGTTACACTTAAATGAAAACTTGTTGTCATAGAAAATTTAAATACAATGAAGGAAACATTAATACAAGTTTCTAACTTGTCAGTGATGTTGGCAGGTATGGTATTGTATAATGAATTTTGTGCTCATTTGTATTTACATGAAGTGTTCCATTCACTTATAAATTTTTGCTTCAGTTCTTAGGGGCAATTGGCTTCCGTTTAGCGCTTCGTCGATCCTTAAAGTTCTTCTCTAGATTCATGGACACCTCCCTCTGTAGATTGATCTGTTTGCCTGCAGCGCCCTCACTGGTGACCCAAGGATGTTTAAGAACCTGACCCGCAGTGTAGCGTTTCTCCTTGTTCACCACGAGAAGGTGATTAATCAGGTCCTTGGCAGCTGAATCAGGGAAAGTGAAAAGTCAAGTTGGTTAAAGATAAAAAGTAGATTTATATGAAAATGAGAAAGAAAGAAATCATTAAAAAAAGGAAAGATTAGAGAAAGATAGAGTTATTAGACAGAAAACAGAGATAGAAAGAGCTTGTGAGAGAAAGAGACTGTTGAACAGACAGTAAAAACCATTTGACAAACACACATTCTTCACACAAAATGTTGTATTGCTGAAGCATACGCTTATAATAATGAACACCTAAACAATGAAGGTGATGCTACTTCCTAGTCTATCAAATCAGCCTGGAGCCCGGCAATGGTTACTAGTCAATCAGATGAAAATCCATGCAACTATGATGTGTAACAAGATAAATTATTGCACAAAGAATTAAATGTGATACAAGTGAAAAGAAGATTTCATTACAACTCTTGCTAGCTTTTACATATTTGCGGACAATTCTGGACAAGATGCTACTCACATACTCTCAAGAAAACTGGCTTTTCATGCATTTTATGACATAATTGCTACACAAAGAATAAAACCAATCCACTTACAATACCACTAAACTATCTCACGGTTGATCTCTTTTTCTTATTCTTCCTAAGCACCAACTGCAATTGAATTGAATCATGCCTGATTTACTTAGAACACCAGCTTACCTGAAGAGATGTTATCCCAGTAAGGTGCAACGAAAGAGAATGCTCCTTCCTGGATGAGTTCAAAGAGTTCCTCTTGGTCTCTATCTGGGCTCCTGAAAGGAGGGAACCCACACAGCAGGATGTAGGTGATCACTCCAATAGCCCACATGTCCACCTCCAAACCATATCCTACAATACAGGGAAATCAACAAAAATAAGATGCTGGTTAAGTTGAGATACTATTAAAGAGTTGATAATCTAGTCGCCGTTTCATGTGTAGTTAATCTATGTTTAGTGATATGAGAGAGAGAGATAGAGATTGCATCCTGAATTAATTTTGATAGAGATATAAAATAATAAAATTGATGCTGCAAAAGAAAAACAATGTAAAGAAGCAATTCATATTTTCAAAATTAGGTGAATCAAAATAGTAAGCACAAAACTAAATCAGTTCAATAAAGATTATTGAAGTCAATTTTGCACATCTAGAAATCAATGTTTAAAATACTGAGTTCTTTCAGTGCATCAACACATTTAATTTTGAATATTTATGATATATATCCAAATGTTTTTAATATTCAAATTGCTTCATGAAAAATTACAAAGGAAAATGGCTTTGGTAGTAATATTTCTACATAATGTTGTGGAACTTCAGATACATATGTTCATCAATGTCTGAACTGCTATACCTGTATCCTTACCTTTCTCTCCAAGGATCTCTGGTGCTACATATGTAGGTGTACCACACACAGTATAGATGGGCTCCTTGACTTCCATTGCCAGACCAAAGTCAGCAAGCTTCAGCGTGATCTCTCCCGATTCTGATTTATTCACCTACATTATAAAATATTCAGAAAGCAATTTAGTTTAGATTTAATTTAATTTAGTGCTTCCACTATGAATACATTATGAAGAGAGAAAATCTAATTCCATGCTGAATGTAATGTATAACAAACTTTTCAATTATGAAATTGAATTCAGTCAAGCTGAATGCATTCCATCATTGCTTCATGTTCTATGAATGTAATTACATAATTGGATTGATGAAATAAAAAAAATTAAAAAAATAAAGTTCACATCATATCTAATACCATTTATAATGACTTGTATAATGACCTTTCGACAAGTATCTCATTAACAGACAGGTTCTCAAACCAATTATGATGAGATGAAAACTTTTTAAAGGAAGGTATACATGTACAATCTTTTCTCTTCATCTTTTAGGTTTGATATTCATTTGGGAATGATGAACTTTGCTCAGACTTACCAGGAGGTTTTCAGGTTTCAAGTCACGATGCACCACATTCAGATCATGGAGGTACTTAAGAGCCTTGGCCAGGTCAGTCACCATCAAAGCAGCATCTCTCTCTGTGAACTTGACACTTTCTGTGATAGCATCAAAGAGATCACCTCCTGTTACATACTCCATCACCAGGTAGATATGACCCCGAGTCTCATACTCCTCATACAGCCTCACAATGTTAGGATGACGAACGTGCTTCATGATAGCTATCTCATTCTCCACCATGTGTTCCTTGTTCTTAACCTTAGCCTTCTCAATGACCTTCAAGGCAAATTCGTCTCCGGTCTTCTTCTGAGTTGCTTCATGGACGTCTGCAAAGTTACCATCACCGATCTTAGCCCCAATATCATATTTCACTAAGATGTCAGACTTCTTCACAAGAGTTCGAGGCTGGTGAATAAATCTTTCTTTGGGTGGCTCTGGAGTGGGAGTGTCACCTTCATCTTTTTTGTAGTCAATGTTGTCATTGGCATCCCTCGGAGAGCCAGAAGGTGAGGGAGAACCTTCAGAATCCTTCTTGTGATTGGAATCTTCATCTGCACGTCTACCTCTTTCCTTCCTTAGGTCTGCTTCAAGCTGCGCAAGCCTCTCTGCATCCTCTCGTTTCCTGCGCTCCTCTTCTTGTCCCTCCTTGTATCGCAACGCTTCTTCTGCTATCCTCTCTGCTTCATCCCTTGCCTGCTTCTCTGACATTGCCCTACTTTGTGCTTCCTCCCTGGCCAACCTCTCTGCTTCTCTTGCTTCTCGTTCTGCCTCTTCTTTCTCCTTGAGCTTCTGTTCTTGCTGTAGTCTCTTCTCTCCTTCATCGCGTGCTCTTCTCTCTGCTGATGCTCTCCTTGCTTCTTTTTCTTTGACATTCATTTCTGCTTCAAGTCTTGCTCTCCTCTCTGCTTCCTCTTTCCTCTTGAGATCTTCTTCATCTCTATTTCTTCTCTCAATCTCAACCTTTGCCTTTCTCTCTGATTCTTCTCTTCTTGATGCTTCATCTGCTGCTCTCCTTTCCGCTGCTTCTCTGGCTTCTCTCTCTGTCTGAGCTTGTGCTTTCAATCTAGCGCCCTCTATTTTATGCTGCGAATCAGCTTCCAAGAGTTCTTGAAGTTTCTGTCCCTCTTCTCTCTCTCTCCTCTTCAACTCTTCCTCCTTCACTCTCAATTCTGCCTCCTTTTTTGCCAGTTCTTCTTCTCGTTCTCTGTCCTTCCTCTCCCGGTCACCCTGTTCCTTCCTCTTCAAATCCTCTTCCTTTAGCCTTAATTCTTCTTCCCTCTGTTGCAAATCTGATTCCCTCTTCTTGATATCCCCCTGCATTCTCTCTTCTAACTCCTTCCTTCTCCTCTCCAGTTCCTCATCCCTCTTTCTTTCATTGTCCTTTGGATTCAGATTAGATTCATCAGTTGTCAAATCTGACTCCCTGCTATCATGCAATCTAGAATCACTGTCTTTCAGTTTATTTTTGTCTCTTTTGTTCTTCCCTACCTTGACTTCTTCATCACTTATTCCGCTATCATGTTTCGTTCCATCTTTCCTTTTCCCCTTTCTTTTGCGGATGGTCTGGGCATATGGATTGTCTGGGAACAGTTCTTCATAAATATCAAGAATGGCATCATCTGTGAGGCTGCTTCTGGATGGAGATGCAATAAACACACCCTCTTTGTCTCTATAAAAATCAACCAGACTCTTCACCTCTTTCCCCTTCAACGTATACAGCTTCCGTACCCTGTTGTTCTTGTACTTGGGCATTCCAAAGGCATCCGACACATCCTGGATCAATTGTTCATAAGACTGTACACTACGTTTGTTGATCAGTAAAGACACCATCTTCCGCGGCTTTGGTCCAGTCTTGACAATCTTGACAACCCTAGGCTTGATAGGGCTTCGGTCTGAGTGGAGGATCCCTAAGGCTTTGGAATCTCCATCAAGACTTGCTCCAGGTTTACCCCTGTTGTGAGCAAATGAACCTGGCCCTGTGTGACCGGAGCCAAAGGTTGTCCTGCCGTACATCTCTGCATACTTTCCTTCTGTGGGGTACGACAACCCAACAGGGATGTGTGTGTAAAGATGTGCATCGCTTTTTGGATCCCTCCCTGCAAATGGAATAACAAAAGAGATGAAGGATAAATGATTGGTTAGAATTAAACATCAAATAGGAACGAACAATCAAACATATGAAATCAGAGAAAAACGTTCATAAATAGATTATATCATTCAAAATAAAAATGGAATATACCATGAACTTTCATGAGCATCTGATTATTAGGGTAAATATTTATGACTATCACAACATACGGTATATCTTATAAAGTTAAAGGTATAAAATGATGTTCTCAAGAAGTATGGTGTAAAAATTTAGCAAAGGTGTTGATTCTGAGTAAACTAACATGTAAGCAGCAATCTCCTGTTTTTGTTCCAGTACATGGTCCAGACAAATGCATAAATCACAGAAATATCAATCCAATGAAATCAAAAGAATGGGTTCAAGGAGAAAATGATCCTGTCCACATTAACATCCGACATCAATTAAGCCCAATCTCAAGTACATCCAAATATGAATTGAGGACACTCAAGTGTTTGTTTGGGGTATTAGATTCGTTGTCATGGGAATCTTGTAGACCAGCCCTACAAGGCACTCAATTGCATAGCTATTGAGAAATCCTAATAAAGCATATTGAACAGCCTTTACTCTGAGTCCTCATGCCACATTCTTGGGCTGTATGGAGCGGTTGCTATTGATACAGCAGAGACAGTGCTGTCGTAGACATGAACAGTCAACATCTTAAGTCGTCAAACTCCTCCTATTTAATTATTTACAAATTTCCCCTCCTTACAAGAGAAGTGGTGCTAAATCAAACAAAATCAAGTGTGAATTTGACAGCAGACTGGATTATTAGATATGGTAATTGGCTAGATAATGGGTGAATATTCACATATTTCTATTCAGATGTACATTCCCTCAGGAAGCTTTTCTCTTCATATATATATATATATATATATATATATATAATTATTTTGGAATTGATTCAACATTTATTCAACCCTCTTTCTAAATGAAATTAGTGATAAATCATTAGTTATGAAACAATTATTTTTTGAGCAGGGTAAAGATTTTTTGTTGTTATGGGTGACAATATACTGTCACATGGCAACATCATCTAGTTTCTACAGACTCTCCTAATTGTTAATGCTAGCATTGTTGTATACCGTATGTAATACTAAAGTTAAACAATCTTAAATTTCAAACATTATATATGCATTTAGACTACCGGTATATTCCTTAGCAACAAAGACATTTTGGTTTAATGTTAATAAAAAAAAATCTTACTTGACATGGTTTCTATTTGACTGATATTTTATAACTTTTATTCACTAATCCGCACTACCAGCAACATGTAATACATTTGGGTTGTTACTATTTGCTTGCTCTTGGTTATATCTAGCTGCCCAATGCCCACAACATGTATGACCATTTTTGTCAAAGTTGTGGTTATCCATCTTTGCATCATTGTAATATTTGTTTTGAGTATCTTCCATAGGACCAAATCTTCACACTGTACATACTTTTCAATTTTTTTAGGAAGAAAAATAACAAAACTGTAAATAGTCCAAACTTAGATGACAACATTTAATTCTTGGATGATATTTATTGCCCACAGTACAGAAGGGAGTAATAATAAAATATTGGTAATCCTTGAGTGGTATATATCAGATACATGCATATTTCAGTCAGCTCGCGAAGATTGCAAGAGTCAACAGAATAATATTATTAATATCAATACAAATTTGATTAAATCTACAGTGAAATTTGCTGTGGGCACAAGCGCTTGAAGCCGGCAGCCTCCACTGCTTACGAATAAATGATGCACACATGCAGGATTCAATGTATATTAAGAGAAAATCACACTCATCATGCTATATGGTAACACTGATTCTCCATCGATAGAGTGACGTCATATGCGGAGGAAAAGCAATATATGCTAACAATAATGGACTTGATCAAATATAGGGAATGTAGTAGTATAGTACATTATTTTATTATCTTGAAAAAGAGGTTTGTACTGTACGTATCATCTTGAATGGTGCATACTAATTCTTCATGTACATTGCACCTGTAGTCTATTTCAAAGTACCCTGCTACTCAATTCAACATGCTTTAAAATCATATGATCTTACAACCATGAATTACATGTATACAGTGAAACCTGCTTTACCAATAACCTCCATACAAAAACAACCTGTCCGTAAGACCATCTACAATGTAGTTTGTTTCCCTTCAAATTGCTTCCTATTGAAACCTGTCCTAAGACAAACTGTCTACAAAGACCACCTGTCTATAAAGTTTACAAACCCACTTTTGATGTGCCCTTGGAAGGTCTTTATATACAGGTTTCACTGTAGAGCTGCCAATCCCAACTGAACAAAAATCTTATTCTTTTCCCCCAAAAATCCCAATTTTAAAATAAAAATCTTTTTCACTGGGAACATGCATTTTTGTTTGTGTTTGTTTTGGTGCAAAATCGTATTTTATTGAGGGGAAAATTGTTGGCAGCTCTGGTATATGTACAAGTACTTTGTAATCAATATGGATAACCGCTTGATAGAAAAATAAATATCCTCCAATCTTCAAAGACTTTGGCTGTCATACTGGTATGTACTGTATGTAAAAACATAAAAACATATCAAGTGTTATTTTGTATTCATATTACCTTGCCAGCTACAATTACCGGTACAACAGCATCTCTGTTGCCTTCCCCAAACATACTTCTTGAAATAGCTTGGATATCCGTTCGGCATTGTAATACATTAAGTCATGAGATGTGATACATACAATGCACATGCATACATGTATTTTACTTCCTCTCTTCCTTTGTATTCACAGTTTATGATAGTGATTGTTCTGATGCTGTACAAACTATACAATGAACTTGAGCATACACTGTGAGGATTTTATCAAAACCAACATTATTAACACCATCCTTGAGCAGTGTTTATTCCATCTTCAAAATAATTCATCCTAAATTCCCAACTTCTGATTGTGTAGGAAGATCAAATGTAGTCCGATCTGGAACACAGCATCCATTTGAGAGAAAAAATGATCCACTTTTCATTCCACAAAATCTCTATATCCATAGTAAGTCCATTCAAAAGTTTTGGAGGAATCACTTCTGTTTAGTTGTCATTTCTGACCAACATTTAACAAATTCAAATTTTAAACAAACACAATTTTTAGCCTAGTTAAGATACATGTAATCATAACAAGCAGAGCTTCCATTTAGTTTTTTTTAAAAACCCAATAACAACGAGTGCTGCATCCAAAAACTTGTATTCAGCAGATTTTACTAGTTGCAATTGATTATAGTGCATAATGCAGTCAAAAATAAAAGTTTGGCCATTTCTTTGCAACAAGCACTTCGTCAAATATGACACTATTTGCACTCCATGAAAATATGACGTCTTGTTTGAGGAGGCTTGCAAACAATCTTGAGTCAAATGAGATGAAGTACATCATAATGATAATACTATGTGTTTTTCTTTTTCTATTTTTTTTTTTGTTTGGGGGGAGGGGGTGGGGGAGAATTACCATCTTTTGCCTACTGATGTGTACATACTACTGTACATGTATGCTTCATGTACATTTATATATGTTAAGTACTATTTTACCGCAAAGAGGAGTAGATCTACATATATATATTTAGGATATCTTTTGCACATTTCTTTGAATTCAAAATCTAAAATCTATAGCAAAGTAAAAAGCTGTTATATTGTTGGATTTTGAATCGAATTAATTTCCACATTTGAATTAAAAAAAAAAAATCACTGAATACAAACCTTGATTAGCTTGTCCAGGAGACCTGCCTGGTATATTTACACTAGGACTGCTTCCCATTCAAAGAACTTATACAAGTCATTTTATTATCAATATATATGATGATGTATGATCCAAGCTTTAAACAAATTCATTCATGTCTCATCATCAAACACAAATGTAGTTCATATCCTGAATAACAGTTACACCTTGGTAAACTGTTGAAAAATGTTCTCTGTTCTAGAAATATCAACTGGAACCAGAGTGATACCAGAGGCCTCAAATGTCTGAAATGTTGCTACTTCACCACACCCTGGCTTTCTACAAGAAAAACATTTGATTCCTGAAACGAGATGTCCTTTTTTTCTGCAATTGAGCATGCTGGCTACTTGTTTCACAAGAAATCTACTTGTCAAATGATCACAAACACATGTACGTGTAAATATACATGCATGTACAAGTAGACAAGATTGTATAATCTCATAAAGTCGATTCTATATTTGTCTTTCAAACATGGTGATTATCATTACCAACATTGATAAGCTACAGATCCTTAAAGGTAGCCAGGTTTCAGGGGGGTAACATGGGGTGATACAAGAGGGCTAAGTATAAACCGGAAACTTTTATGACGATTCTTCAAACATTGAAAATGAAGCTTGCATCAGAGTATTTATTTAAACGTGCGCACCAGTAGGTGATAATTTGGGTCTCGTAAGGTAAAGTTATGGTATTTTTTAAAATTGAACCAGACTTTGATCATCACACTCAGATGCTAGTATTTTTATCATTCTTTGGAGAAGAATTACATTTTAAATTCATTTTATATTCATCACATTACAGATAACATTAATTTTGATAGACTAAAAAATATAGTGAAGCGATTTTAAATATATATTTAGCAAAGCTGCAATTCAAGTAACAAAAAATAAATCAGCTATTTCAACCAAGAAAATGCTAATTCCCTGCTTCAACATTGCTACATTTAATTGGAAGACCATTTTTCCTGGATAGCAGTTCATAGAAGTCCTACAATAAACAAAGCAGAACTCTCTTACCCTTTTTCATTAGCACAAATATGCTGACGTGAATATGTACTAATGTACATATTCATGGATGAACGGATGCAAGGACAAGTTGACATCAATGACAGTAGACATTATAGATTCCTCCCACTCACAATCATAATATTAATCCAATTTGAAATTGATGAAAACTGCAGTAGATAATAAACATTTCCACTGCTGCAATAGTTGGTCATGCAAAGACTGATAGTAGATCCGGCATAATGTTGTGCTTTGAAGCATTTGCATTATTTCTATTAATATACTCAGTAAAACAAGATCATCATGTTTATTAAAAGAAATAATAAACACAGCTGCTGTAAGATTGTACAGCTACAAGTAAATCCCGAGGAGAAATGGGGGTTTCTCTACTGCAGTACCAGGTATACAAAAATACTAATCAAGCCTAAGAAACTTTCTGTTCATCAAAGTGCATATCAAAAAAGGGTTACATAATCTAAATTGGTACTTGAGCTTTTGATGCAACAATCTATTTGTTCAGCTCTCCTACATGTAAGTTCTAACCAAGGGCAGTTAGGATAGCAACAACAAGCAAGGGCTCTTATATTTGCTTGGACAGGACTCACTAGAATGCAGGTAAGTATACTGTTTACCGTTGCTATGACAAAGGGGTGTGATTTGCAGTGTCCAGAAACTGACAATGGGACGTGTAATGCTAGAGCTTAAATGTATAATTACATGTCCATTGTGCATGTACATGTACATGCAGTTTGAAGCGTGAACAAATCCTCTATCCTCCTAATTATAGGGTCTGAAACTTATGTGCGCAAGACTAGCATGTACCACATGTAGATGCCCACATAAAGTAGTGTAGCCATTCCATACAACAGACACTGACAACATTAGGCTAGACTCAAGTTGTGATGAGTTTAAATGTCAAACCTAGAGTCTGTGCCAGCTTATTACATTAAAAATGTTTTTTTAATTGTGACCCGAGTTGTTTCACTGTGTGTTTTTATAGTATGACCCAACTGATCTTATGCATAAGAAAAGAAACCTGGGTGTTTTGAATGTTGCTCTAGTTTTAAAATGCTAACAAAGAGTATACATCGAAACTGTAAAATAAGCTGGAAAATTATGAAATCTAGATTACAAATTAAATACTATAAATTACAAATCACCAACAATAAAGCTATAACAATCATACTGTCCTCAAAAGAAAAAGGAAAAGTCTCTTTAGGCCAATATAACTTGGTCCAACTCTACTCCCTTGTTGATAATAATAGTAAGCGTGTCAAAAAATCAATAACATGTAATATCTAAATCAATAAATAATTTCAGTGAAGGCAATAATTGAGATACAATGATTGAGATACAATGAATGTACTTCATTTCTAGATTCAGGTGATACTTACTTTGACCGCCTGTATTCCAGGAAGGAAACGCTGTGGAGGATTTATACTTGATCTTCTTTAACCTCTCAAAAGAAGCGCAGACATAAGACTCTCCATTCTTAAGTTCCTCAATGTCTCTGACCTTTGTACCATCAGGTGTAAAGATCTGCCTTACACCGTAAGGTAGCTTCATGTCCCTGGTGAGTTCACTCAGAAGGTCCTCAAACGAGGTGTACCGATGTGGTGTTATCAACATCTTCTTCCCCTTGAAGAAACGGTCACCGTTGCGGAAGAAGATGATCTGACGCGGTCGCCTCCTCTCCTGGTACTGTTCGTGGGTCAGGTCATGGAGTTGCTGGGATGCAGCGGCCATTGTTCTCGGTGATATCAAGGATGGCTGGATACTACGAGGGGACAGCATGTTCAACGGCATGGAGAGAGAAGAGACTCTGTTGTTATGTACGGAGCGGGGACTGAGCGAGGTGGCCATGGCAGTGGGTGGGTCTGTATGAGGAGGGCGTCTTTTGCTTTTCCTTGCCCGGATGGCACTGCTTGGTAATGGGTACTGTAACAATGTGTCGTGGCCAGACGATGATGCCATCCAACCATTGAGAGGTCGGGGTTGCCTTGGCTTGGTCATGCCATCAATCTCATCTTACTCTACATCGTACACTCTTGGCCTGAAATACAGTTCTGCAGTAGAAGATGGAATATAAAAACACAGACCATTAATTGGCATCTCAATGATTTCAGGTTTAAAAATACTTAGTGAAAACAGGAAATTAACCGGAAAAGTAAAGCATATATGTATCCTCGTGCAATTTCTCTTTTAGAGTACCTTCATGTATGTACATTGAAGACACTTTGAACAAGACCTACTGTACATGTACATGAATCACATGTACAAGCCCAAGCCTTAACATGTGCAGGTACATATACCAATCTAACAAATTATACATGTCCGCAACAATTAAAACAAATAAGCTTGAATTTACAAGGTTAGGTGAATGTACATATCATATAGCCTGCTTTAATATTCATCACTATTTCCAAAGACTCCTACATGCAAAGAAACGTAACGGAGATACAAACTTAAACTGCTCTCACATAATTAATCCACATATTTATTTTTACATAATTTTACACAGTAATGTACTGAGAATGGCACTGCAGAACATTAATTTCACAAGAAAGTTAGATAAAATTGACAAGCATACACAAATCTAATCATATAAAAAAAGGGATTTCTTAACAATAACATAGCAATTTCAAGATTACAAATAAATGACATGGGTCGAACAATTTGTTAGAAAATGTATACTGAGTAATGAGCATAGAAAGATAAAAGAAATCAAGGTATTATAGGCCCGACATTAACAGGTCACTATGTGCAAAAGGAAATTGTGGATTTTATTGAAGATGATTTCCAGCAAGATTTTGTGAACTTTCTTTATTTAAAGGTAAATGGTTCAAACAATCAATCTTCTGCAGGATAAACAATCCAGAATGAATTATAGTCATGTTCTCTCTCAACATCTGATGTACACACCAGAGCTCAAGATTAGCTTTAAACTAACTCTTCTCCCACAGACATCACCCAATCAATGAAGTATATCAAGGTCTTTCTTGTATAAAATCAATGTTGCCCTACAGCTATTTGTTATACCACTACCACAGGTATGTTTTAAACAAAAGGTTATTCAGGTCTGTGGTGTCTGTGTATCGAGGAAGAAGCACAATAAACAAGGATAACACTACATTTGTGCATGAAAACATTCACCACAATGAGGATTGATGTTAATGTGAAATCAATTTTCAAAACAGGTCAAACAGATTAATGGAATCTTGTTTGATAAGTACTTATAAAAAATTACTTTGACGAAGTGTTAGATGAAAAATAATCTTATTCATTACAGTGTTTTTGTCATTCAACTCAATTGAATATTGATTCCCCATTGATCATTCATGGGCAAGGCACATACTCAAGTTTTATGCATAATAAGTGTTGTATCCCCCCCCCCCAATTCAAATTATAGTCTATCTCATGATACATGTACATATCAATTCGCGTACATATCAATTCATGCATAAAGTGTGGGGGGGGGGGGGGGGAAGGGATCAAAAAAGAAAAGTTCAGTTTGCAATGAGAGTTTAGACATAATTTATCTGCCCAAGAACATACTGTACATGTTTATTTTTTGTAAATCAATGAAAACTGATCTGTTCATTACCGGTAATTAAAAAAATTGCTTTAGACCAAAACCTAATTCTTGATTCATTTTATGTAGACTAGTTTAATGTGCAGATGATTGAATCTATCATTTTTTTCTTCAAATATGGCTCTGAAAAAGCAAACATCCTCATAATTTCAAGCTTTCGACATAAAATATGTATTGTGCATATTTATGAAATCCTGCTTATAATATAACTGAAGTGAATTCTCTTCCTTTTAGGACTAATTTGAAGATTCATTTGAAGAAAAAGGCAAAGAGGAATGTACCTAATTTTAATCACATTCCCTTCTTGTTTTCCTGCTCTGCATGCTCTTATTGAAAATCTCAATAAAAAAAATGATTTCCCAAATAATGCAGGCCCTTATCAGGAGGAAATGTCACGCTTCCTCACTCTCAATGCAGGCCAAGCTCACATCTTCCAGTTCCTTACAAACCCATTATCTCTTAATGGAATCTTATATCCCACTTGAGTTGCCAGGCATCTGAAATCAAATGATTCAGGCCATTTCAGGGGATTGGAACAGGAAATAACACAGGTAGAGGAAGTGATCCTGAAGAGTATTGCAACTTGTTACTGCATTGCAATCAACCATATAATTGTACTTTAAACAGTAGTTACTTCACAAACTTGAGGAAATATAACCAATTTCTTCTTTTATTGCAAACAATGCACATATGAACCATTTAGGCAATGAAAAGAACTTAGATGAGAGTATTTTCGTTCCTTTCATATATGTTTGCGTTTCGTTTGTTAATTGAATGATCCCTTGCCAATATGATAACTGGCAAATCTGCTACTCTGACCAATACTTCTTCATAAAGCGACACATTATGAAGGAAAATGGAACTATGAACAATAGGATAGGAAAGCAACACACCTTTAGTACTTGATTTTTAAAAAATTATTACCACTTCTACTACTACTACTACTACTATTATTACTTTTTTCATAATCATTTGTACAGATGTACCTTTTGTCTAAAACAAATTACTTTTATATCACAAATGATATTAAACTAATTTAAATATTAAACTTACATGTAGTTTATAAAATGGTGAACATTTAAAAAATTACTTTTCCTAATAATTTTCGATGGAGAAATGAAATGCAAACATATAATATATGAAATAAATAAATTAATACAAAATAAAATGAAAACAGTAACAAAAGTATCAACACCAAAAACAATAATAACAAATAATTTGCCTTCCACCCAAAATGATGTAGCTACAACTGTAACATGAAGGCCTTGGGCCATATTCTGAACACTGTGTTATCTCTAATATTGTTGAATCTTTGAAGTTAAGATAAAGTTGGTATTTGAGAATTATTGTAACTTTTGGTGTATCTTTTGTTGTATCTTTTCTCTGTTTTTTAAATTTTTTATTGTGCGTATTTATAATAAAAATGGCACTTCATCCTCATTTGCATATGCGCATGGGAGATAATATGACTAGTATAATATAATTGGTATTCTAAAAATTGTTGTTTCATTTATCTTACGGGTTTCTTATCTTGCATGATATTTACAACAATATTTACAACAGGTAGGGGGTTGTTGTATCTTTTGTGGTGATATGCCCAGAACCAACTTAGTGACAATAGACGAGTTAGAAGAAGATTGTGTGTTGGTGGAGACATTACAGATGAGAACTTTCCAAGAATTTACATGCTAGGATATGACGATTTTAATGCTCTCATCTTTGTGATGTTTGAAAGCGTGAATTGTCTTCATGACCCACATGCCACAGCGCATATGATGACGCACGTACATGTAATAAGCGCTCAATTAACTAATTACACAGAAGAATAGTATGTGCTAGGCGCATCTTCAGATATGGCATAAAGTATTCCTATTGGTTGACCTACTTATCATGCTTTTATAAAATAGATCTTGGTTGGTAGGGGCCATAAAAATGGGCATGTCAAAGATAAGATAGTGGCAGTCCTTCAAGAGATAATACAGGGATAAAATGATTTTCAGAATACCAACTTACAACAAAATTAGCTGTGGTTGACTGACAGTTGTCATTGACAGTAGTTACACCTACTGGTATCATATCATATCAACTTCTGAATAAAAAGTAATTCCATTCATGAAATGTGAAATTCACCACTAATTTGAAGCTGAATATCAATCATTACTTAAGTATAAAAGGTTACATGTACATGTACCTATGTATTTAATTCTTACATGTACCGGTACTTCTAACCTTTTCCTTTGAAAATGAAAGTGGTTGGATTTTGCAACGTCTACAGAATGTGTGTGCATGATATGTTCGTTTTTTAGACACATTTATCCTAACAGAGAATCAATACAGCCTACACTGAAAATAAAAAACCCTCTATTACATGTATAGTATCAAATTGATAGAAATGTAGTTCCGGTATGCATGATGATATCTACAATGTTGAGCTAATTATTTAGCAAACATTAATAATAATAGACTATCTTGTCTGTTAGGAAAATAGGCATGGATCCAAACTATTCAAAGTTACATCATCAACAGAACGGTTAAGCACATCTAAGCACACATAAATCAACCCATTGTATACACACAGACACAGTCATCAACTACATGTATTACTGAAATGGAAGGAAACTCACCAAAAATTATCCTAAAACCTAAATTCTGCCGCCAAAAATGTAATATGAGAGCCTAAATCTAAAAGCCTGTGGGCGCCTACACATGGTGATAAGACAGGGTTGGCATATTTCCAGCTTCGGAGGCTTATTTCCCGCTTTTTACCGATATTTACCGCTTTTTACCGGGAAATACCGGGAAATATATTTTTCCACTCACTTGTTCATAGGGATTGTCCAATTTTGAACATAATAACAATGGCGGTGAGTATGGTTGCTCTGGTGTGTACTATTCATCATGTTTTATCCGGCTCAGAGGGGACCCTAATAATTACAAGCTCTGCTTTTACCAGGGTCTCCTCGTCTTTCTTTTAGTTAACTTTGTTTTTATCATTGCCATAATTTGTTATTTTGGATTGTAAATGTGTTATGATCCAATGTTATGCTCTGTATGTCATTTGAAAAAAAGACGAATAAAATCTTATCTTATCTTATCTTATCTTATCTTTTGTTTGTGTGTTTGTCTATGTCTGTTATTATGAAATTCTTGGAAAAAATACAGAAAAAAGATCCCAAATATACTGTACACCTAATCTACATGTAGATATGATGTTCTTCATTAAAGGTACTATGTCCCATTTGCAGGCCAAAAAAATGAAAAAGTTAAATTTCAACTGCATTTGAAAGATGATACTAACTTAGAACTTCCCTAAAAAACGTGGGGCTTGAAAATGTCTTCAAGTGGGAAAATAACGATTATTAATTGTCAAATCGACTTTAGGGCTATAGAGCCCAAAAGTAATAGTCTTGATTTTCAGACAATTGTACCGAATGGTCATACGTTTTATGCTGCGCAAAGATTCAATCAGTTTAATCTTGGCCATCACAAAAAGTGGGTTATTGATGTAGACAAATGCTCATGTACCCTTTACAACTCTTTTCATGTATGTTATTACCAAAGAAGAAAAAAAGCCAGTCAGTCACTCAATAGTGTCTGACAGTGAAGTCTAGCAAGTAAACAGGTTTCCTTCCATAATTTGAATATGAGGACACTGCTCACGTTTAAATTTCACAGATAGGACATACATGACATATTCATAATTCATGCAAAGTTCTACAGCATTTGAGGTTGGCTGCAAAAGGGACATAGTACCTTTAAGTCAGTTGCTAATTACCATATTCTTGAATACCTATTAATTAGCATATGAACAAAATGCCATGTGTTTGGGTGTGTACAAATGTACATGTATGCAGTGTGGATTTTATAAATCTGTTTGTGTGTTTCTACTATGAGTGTTGTGCTGCTAATTATTTCAGAACAATATTTTCAGTTGTTGAGGCTAAAAACAAGTAAAATTGTGATAAGAAAGAGGGTCGGCAAAAAAGAGCTGTAAGTCCCCCCAAAAATATGAGTTTTTGTTTATAGCGATTAGCGAGCCACAATACTGATGCAGGCATTGAAAAAGTTCGATTTTTACCGTTGTGCCAGTGACCTCCAAAATGCTCAAGTGTATAAATTATGATGTCCTCAGCGTTTCTAGTTAAAAGGAAATCTGACCCAAGTAGAAAACTACTTTAAAAGAAAGCAGAAAAATCAGAGAAGCAAACTGATTATCTGACTAAATATAAGAACTTTTGAACTTTTGAACTTTTGAAAATTGTAATCACTATTCTTTATATGGGCACTTCACATTTGCTGTTCCAACATATAAAATGACTAAAATTTAAATTTGGCAAAAAATCAGGGCTCATGGAGGTCTATTCTTTTTAAAGGAACCATAATAATATGCTATCAACAGTATAATGCATTTGAGTAGTGCCCGTGCCAAGGGATAAAGAATTTATGAGAAAAATAGAAATTAGTAATATTTATGCACATGGCAAATGGAATAGTTATAATAATAATAGTGGCTTCTTACATGTATATAGCGCACATGTCCGTCACGTTGTGACACTCCTGGCGTTGCCCTGATTATTACCCTGGCTTTAGCAAGGCAGCCACTGCGGCGCTCTAGCATTTCAAGGAATTAATTCCTGCCAGGTACCCATTTACATCACCTGGGTTGAGTGTGGCAGTTATCCACGTCCTACGTCACAATCGACTGACAAAACTACCAGTTTGAGATTTGCATAGACTTAATGATCTCATATTTCAAACATTCATCATCATCATCAACTTCAGGTGGCGCTGTACTTTCAAATCTCCTAACAATGTGCCAAAAATAGTTTAGTTTTCTTTCCATGATTCCCCACTCTGATGGTCAAGTCTGTTCCAATCTTTTCCAGGACCCACGCATTTGTCTTTTTATCTTTCCATGACACCTGCAACAACCTTCTTTAATAGTAATACTAGATCCTATAATATTGGTCCTATTCATTTCAAACTTTTGCCATTCTGTTTCTGTTAAAATTCCATCCCCTTATTGCCTTATTGTCTTGACTACCGGTATTGAACTATTCTCTTCTCCATCTCTTTTTATATATTTCTCTCTTTCTCTCTCTCTCAATCTCATCTTAGAGTTAGCAGGGTAAGACTTAGACTACACTCCAGCAAAGCTAGTCAAGAGTCTAGAGTAGAGAGTCAGACTGTCTCATATTAATTATAATTTTATTTTTTAAAAACATTATTCACATTTTCTTATGTGCCATAGGGGTCTAGACCTAGAGTCTACATGATTACTAATTCATAGTAAGACTTCTAGTTTTATCTGTTCGTGATAGGTATACAAGTTGACTTACATTTCCCCCCAAAATCAATTAAATACATCTTAGTCTATACCAACTCCCGGTTACACGAAGCTCAGCCGCATCACCTATGCGAGAGTCTCACACACATCACATATTATCGTGTTAATGGGACTGAACAAATTTCTACGCCATTCACACAGCACTGTCTAAGCCAAGTAACATAAGAAAGTACTCAAATCCATGTAGACCTATGCAATTCTAATTCTACATAACCTAATTTACTTTCACAAGAAATCTACTTACGAAAATCATTTCATGACAGAGTTTCCTCTTAGTCTTATCGATGATTATTACATTCTCGGTATGGCATTTTCCCCTTTTTTCCGGTATATGCTGGGTTGTGACGTCACGAGCCACTCCAAGTATATACAGTACGTACGTATTGCTGTTTCTTGGCGACCGAACAAGCTTTCGATCAAACAAAAGCCCATCATCATTATGCTGCTTCGCCTGGAGCACGTCACATACGAAATCCGGCTTTTTGTGTTTTAGTAATAATAATCAAGTTATGGCTTCGTTTAGAAGTGAGGTTTCTGCGAATATTATGAATGACTGGCTCATGGTAACCAGTCAATAATGAGTTACAATCTAAAATACGCTTCAACACAAGGCCTTTTAAATTATATCATTATTAAGAGGGAATAGGCCCCTCGGCATAATAGTTAATACTAAAGTTTGGCTGACTCTATAGCTGGACGAAAGAAGCGGGGATTTCCCATCCGGAGGCACATTGATAGCTCATTATGTACTGAACTAAATGTGCATGTAAAAAGTTGAACACGCTACATTTTCACCCGAAGAAGCAGCCAAAGGATTTGTAGTAAGGAGGAGGGGGAGGAGGAGAAGAAGCAAAAAGAAGAAGAAGAAGAAGAAACTAGAAAAAAAAATTTTTTTAAAGAGGAAGAAAAAAGAAGAGGAAGAAGAAGAAGAACTACACAAAAAGGAAAAGAAGAAAAAGAAAGAAGATGGAAGTGTCCCTTTGATTTAAACCCCAGTCATCTTGTAAAACTGTCATCATGTATCCATCATTCATGGCACCAGATTATGGAAAAAACAACTTTTCTAAGATAAATATGATCATTATTAAAAAGCATGCTCTGAAAATGATTAATTCCCTTCGCAGCTATAACGAAATTTTTACATAGCCTACATCGATCACTAGTGTGTTTTCATCATGCTTTAGGGCCTTTTGCTAAAGAAAATGCCTATTCATCATTGGAAAATATTATATCAAGAAGGAGGGATGAAATTTGACATTAATTATTGCTTATATTTTTAAAAGGGACATGTAACTTGGCTAAATAAGACAAATGTTTGAGAAAATTGTTGACATATACCTTGCTGTGTCATCCCTGTAAAAAGAAATAGTATTAATGCATTTATAGAAGAAAAAATAATCTGTAGTTATATATCTCCGGTTTGGGTTAGATTTGTTTGTCATTCGGTCGATTTGAATTCATTTCTTTCTGGGGGGGGGGGGGACACTTGGGGTAATTTGAGTGTGTTTTCATGCATTTTGAAATTTATTATCCAATGTATAACAAAATTGAGAATGATCCTATTTGTTAGGAATTGAATTTAATTCATATGCGTACTAGCGGGTACCCCCCGGACTTGAGGCCAAAATGTTGCAACAATTCGTTTGGACGCCCACGATTTCATTTGAACTTGCTTTAACATTGTATAGTATAGGTCTATAGTACTTGTATACTAGTGTGGATATCATTTTTTAGGTTTTGCATATTTTAATTTTCCTTCTTTTATTTTTTACGTGTGTATTCGTTTTAGATGTATGATTTTAATTAAAAGAAATAAATAATCAGAGAAAGCGATGTCTATATAGGCTAATTATGTATGTCACATTTAAAACATGGGAAGAAAGAAAAAAGGGGAAGGAGATTGGATCTAAACAAAATAAAGAGACAAGTGAATAATGGAAGATAATGATGATAAGAAGAAAAGGAGGTTAAACTTTTTCTTTACACCGCTTTTATATGTTTAGGTCATTAAATGCAACAAAGCAAAGCAAATATCGAGAGAGAGAGAGAGAGAGAGAGAGAGAGAGAGAGAGAGAGACAGAGAGAGAGGGGGGGGGGATGGGAGTACCTGTGGTATTGAAGTTACTCTTACCTATTATTGTCTTATTACGTAATAATATATTGTCCCCTTGTGGTGTGATGTAAGACTCATGCACTGATCAATGCAAGATGTGCACGATCGGAGTATTACAATGGGCATACATGTACGTTATCTCTTGAAGTCATATTTTACGTTATGTCAGTGTCTGCGTCATATTTAAAGTAAAACATACTAGTCTTATGACGATCATAACAAGATTCATATGTCAACAAGGCTTTATTAACAGCACACCCGCCTTTTGCCTGAAATTACAGTAATGTGCAACGTCAGTGCTTTCGCAGTGGATGCTATTTGCTTGTTGGTTGTTCTTTTTTTAGTCTGTGAGGTAAGTTGGTCATCTTGTTGTTACATTGTTACAAAATGTTGATTATTAGCGTTTTGGGATATTATGCCTTGAGATAATCCCTCTGAATATACACTTTACATGATCGTTTGTATTGATATTGAAGTAGGCCTACATCGAACATTGTCCTGCATAATACTAACAAGAGACCCCCCAAAACAGTCGGAAGTTTTGTTACAAAATGTGAAGTATATCAACACATTTTATACTTGTCTCGCTAGATTTGGTAAGAAATAGGCCTTTAAAAGAAAACCTCATTCGGAAATTTATTATCTAAATTATATTGCAGTGGCGTACTTCTATACATGTTATATATAATATACCCATGCATTCCCAGGCTCACGATCATCTATAGAATCATAATTTTTCAAATTAAAAGTGTTATGTTTAGAATCATTGTGCGCGGCCATTGAACCTAACTTAGAATTATGCAGAGTGCAGTTGTATAGGCACTGCTCATTATTATTATTATTAATAAAATGCATACTCACAATGCAATTGAATGCAAGGGTGTTCTCTACACAGATTGATGCACACATGAAAAATATGCACTTATTGTATAGAAAGTCTGGATTAAACTACCAAAGCAACCACACCTATTTCTGCTGGCTCCATTTTGTGTCTCTACACCGTCTCTATATACTATTTTATTTAGCCTAATAGTTATTAGCATCCAACCCACAACACAACAATAAGCAATGACATTATTATCATATTTGTCATTTCTCGTCAACCGTATCCATTATTTAGATGCAATGTACCTTGAGCTGCATTGCCAAACCTGAACAATAGATTAGGAAAAGAGGTTAGTTACACGTAATTCGGAAGCAAACTCCCGTCAATAATGTGTAGTACCGTAGGTAGAAAAAAAGGGAACAAAATCCAGAAAATACACGTGCACTGTATAAATTTGAACGTAGAAAAACCAATCTACGTCTACTACAAATCAGCTTTGTTATTATGATAAGAGCATCCAGTTCTAATGACTTAATCATTAAGAATGCTTGTATTATTAATGCAAAACATGACTTATGCGAGAGAATGCGAGAATGCACACACGATACAGGTTATCCATGGTTTTCTCCATCACACACACGATGTCTGGAATGATCTCTCATTCATGTTTTTCTTTTACTTTTTGCCCACAATGAATATGTGCAATTCAGTCGATGTTCCATTTTCAATTACTGTCAACTAGATTCAATCAAATCTAATTTAATTTGTATAAACCCCAAACAAATATACTTGTAAATATAGATAGTTGCATATTAATATGTTTTGGTTTTTGAAGAGAAGTTATTGGGTGTCAACTAAAAGAAAGACTACAATAATAACATGTGATAAGCAACCCCCCCCCCCCTCCCCCCGGAAGCTTCATATATTTTGGACAATAACCTCATAATTATTTGGGAAGGGAGGTGACAAAAATAGTGTAAGTACACTCAATTGCCACTCACTCACTTGGAAATAAAAGTAATGAGAAAGTTGATGTCTGGTAATAAGAGAGGTGAGGAGAAGCCGAGCTGTGACTTTCAATTTAAGTGAGTGATAGGGAGAAATAAACTTGAACAAATTCATAGATACCCCTGGATAATAATAAGCGCGTAAAACTACTTGAGTGCTAGAAAATGATGCAAATCCAGAACATTGCCTTAGGAAGGTCTTAACATCTTAGCTTTTAGTACTTACTGTGATCCATAATGGTTCAGTATGAAAACTACTATACGTGAACACACTGGATTACGCTACAGTGTGTGTGTGTGTGTGGGGGGGGGGGCGTCGTCTTTAAAAACGTGTTTTGTGAAGAAAGGGTCTTTTACAATATGTATATATTATTATATTGCGCGATTATTTATGAATAAACCCCTAAACTGGTAACTAATATCAAAAAGTGACTGTTTTTTTGTCGGCAATTATGTCAGAAGGGGATAATTGCCCCTTTACCCCTCTTTCAAAACGCTGGTGCTTGTCATGAAATATAAGACGTGTCATGATGTGAATAAGGCTGGAGCTTTTGCAGCAAAGACTGATATGGGCAAGTCACAAAACATTAAAAATATTATGTCATTTGATTTGATTTCTTTCCTATACTGTGAAGAACCATCTATTAATTTTACTGATTCACTGCCCTAAAAAAGTAAGTAAGAAAGAGAGATAGAAGGAGAGAGAAGGTGAAGGCGGGTGCATAGAGTCATGAATATTCCAAGGTGGCGCATAATAATCTTCCAATTCAACTCATTATAGAGAGCGAGGCAATCAATACCATTCATCGTCTGAAACAGAGGTCAACAGAAAGCGGGAAATTGTATTTCTGTCGGTATAGCGGTGGATGATAATTATCGTATGCGGATATTTTACGCGTTCCGTATACAGTTTGGTGATCGTACTCAGTTGCAGACCGAATGGATATGGGGTATTATGTCGTGCCAAAATGACTCAACCGTATGATTTTTAAGGAATTGTATACAGTGCATTATATTTTACAACTGACTTATGACTGTTGAATCTTGTCATTTTATTGCTATCGTCTCAATCTGCAGGAGAAGCACGATCTAGCCGGTGGCCCTTGTCTGAATTTGATCACTGATTGTTCCGTTTGGTAAGCTGACAGTGTTTATTGTATTATTGTTATGGAAGCATGCCAGATAGAATCGATATCACGTTTTACTTGTCTGATATTTATGCATTGTAACTGTTTCAGATCTAGGAAAGGTACATGGCAAAACATATCCTTTTGGGCGGACGGAGACCACAACATGTCTTTGGATTTAAAATAAAAATCAGCCCAAAAGTTACCTAGATCTATAACATTTTTTTGTTCTCCTTGGTCAAGCGGCACTCCGTCTTCAAATCGATCTGCCTCGAGTACCGGCCTTCGGGGATTTCCCCTACATTACTCTCCACCCAACTCTATACTATTCCAAGATTTAACGAGATGGTCTGTTTTGTCATGGACCCTATACGGTTTTATTACTGCAGCATTGTAATATGGTAATTTTAGGGGAAGTTGTCATGACGTATGTTGCAAAGGAAGAAACACAATGATTGTTACGATTAGGATAATACACTTTGCCTGTATGGTTGATAAAAGACCTCGTAATAGAGCCCCATAATTATCTGAGCAGCATGCACGGATGAGTCAGACATCAAGATCTGATCCTATTTCGCAGTATAACCTCCATGATTAAGGGGTGTCAATGAGAGCGTAAGGGGGAACGTGAGAAAGACGTCTTAGAGGATATGCCTTAAATTCTCCACATCCCTCAGAGGATGGTGCGTCTTAATGGCAAGGAGAAGTTCTCGGGACTTACTCCTAATGTCAGCTAGAATATCAACCATACCACAGAGTTATTAGAGCATGATTGCCGATCGCAGGTTTCCAAAAGTAATGACGGGTGTTGAAAGTGATTGATAGCTGTGGTTGGAACATGATGGTTTATTGATGAGGGAGAAGGCAAAGAAAATGAAATTGCTTTCTGTAAGACGTTAAAAGAAGAATGTTTTCACCTTGATTCATGAATTAACCCACAGTCCTCTGTTCCGAGAGTTTATCTGGGCAACGCTTCACGAGACCGCCATACATAACTACACGTTCACCGATATCACATTAACACGCATGTAATTAACACGTAATTCAATGGGATATCAGTGAACTTGTACTTATGACCATTTCGTGAAACAATTTGATGAATTGATTCATATGTGTATTGGGTGGTATTCTCTTAAGTTAAGCCGGGACTAAGTCCAGACTAAACAAGAATTTTAGTTCGCACTTCTATGGAATGCTAGGTTTCATCTTCCTCCTTCAATATTCATGACAAAGATAATCTACCAAGGACTTTGTTGAAATTTAGTGTATACTCATATTATCTTTTTCTTCCTATTTCAGTGCAAAATTAATTTGTTGGACACTTTTCATTGACGGATTTAAATAATCTGTTCAGGGCAAATTAGTTCACAACAGGCACTCCATAAAAGTGTGAACTAACTAAGCACGCGCTAACTTAGTACGCGCTACCGGAATACCACCCTATATTATTAAACAAACCAGGGAAATATGAGAGAGACTGAAATAACCCTCAAGACCAACAGCCCACAAGACCGACTATAATAACAATGTCAATGATAATGATGATAGGGTTAATATTGATATTAATAGTAGTAATAGCAATACCAATAATGATGATAATGACGACACATTTTTTTACCAACAGAAGTCTCATCAGTCTTTAGCCCTATCTAGCTCTTCTTGATTCCCTTTGATTAGAATCATTACCCCCAACATGCTTTGCAAGTACCTATGGTACACCTGTTCGGAGAGTGGCAGATGAGGATTGGCCGGGGGCGCATATGTTTTTTTACACAACTGTTTAGCCATTTTCGCGAAAAAATTCCAAGAAGTGCTCTGGTGAAAGAGTCTAAGTCGTCAGCGCACTATTATGTGCAAGCACGTACACCCAGGTCAGGGAAGGGAATATGATAGAAAGGGGAAAACAAGGATAGTGGAGAGGATATGGAGAAGGAAAACAAGGAAATACATAAGGAAAGAGAAGAGGATAAGTCAAAGGAAGAACATAGTAATACATAATTGAAGAGCTAAGAGGATCATAGATCTAGACTCAGGAAAAACAGGGAAATACATTCAGGAGAATGGGAATCTATCAGATTAAAACAAAGAAATACGCGACGAATATACATATACAAAAGAGAAGAGGTTAGAATAAAGGAGAACAAAAGAAATACATAACGAAGGAGAACTGGGGGTGATAGATTGAAGGAAAAACAAAGAAATATGGCGAAGGAGAAAAGGGATAGATTGAAAAAGAAAAAAAATACATGACAAAAGAGAAGAGGATAGATTGAAGAAGAACACAGAAATACACAATGAAAGAGAAGAGAGGATAAATTTAACCCGAAACAAATATAATGTAAATAGAATATGTACAGCTCCAGCAATCCATACAGTGAGTAATGCTAGACTCTGTCTCTAGTCGTTTGCACAGTATATTTGACTGCAGTGGCTAAACAGTTGTGTAAAAAAAATATGCGCTGGCCGGGGAGGGAGGGAGGGAGGTGGGGGGGGGGGGGACACGTAAACCTTTAAAACTTACTGGATCAGCCACTGATTCCTTCTTTACAAATCAATGGAAATCAATGACCACTGAGGAATATTCAATGAACGATCATTGATTAGATCTTATATTCTGTAAGAGGGTGTGTTCAACTTTGCAGTGTATACCAGCATCGAATGTTGGATATTCTCGAATGGTATCTATAAACAAAGGACTGTGAATCGATAATTACTTGAAAATACATGTAATCGTGATATGAGATGCTTTATCGTAGAAGACACTTTCAAACTGATATGATACTGCTTTGTAGGTTTTCAAGTTCATGATTTATAAGCTTAGCATATAACCAGAAACTTTTGAAATCTTACGTGAAATCTCAAAATTATAGACAAGCATTGGATGAGAATTTCACACGTCTCTAGCATGGCGTGTTGCCAAAGTATTGTGCTGACTTCATATTGTATGTATTCGTTCTTTAACATGTCCACAAATATCACATACGTAATTAAACAATTTATTGTTTCCACTTCCCTCTCTTTACAGTCCTTGAGAAAAGAAGTGTGTTGTCAAGGAAACATGATGTTATATCCTTTATCCATGTGAACCGGTTTTTGAAAACACTTCAAATGATGAGTGCAAGCGCAAAGATGAGCACTGTAAATTGTTTAGCATTGTTAGTTTGTTAGCTTCATGATTTAGTCGAGGTCGTTATTTACTGCCGAAGGTAAAAATTCAGTTGTTTTCCTTTAGACCAAAGTTAAAAAACTGCTTTCTTAAAATTTTCGGCTTGGCGACAGTTTACCTATTAAGGAAACATTTGAAATTCCAAAAGTCCTCATTGGACAAGTAAAAAAAGGTATATAGTAATAGTAATGTATTCAGAAAATCCATAATTTCTTTCACTGAATGAATTCTTGCATTTTCCCCCTTTAATGCAGGTGGCCCACTAATTGTCCAAAACGTTGTCAAGAGCTGAGATCGTGAAGTTAAGATGGCAGTCAAAAGCTTTGGAAAGCATCCAATAATACTCCTAATCTTGGCGTCATCTTGGACATTCGGAGCCGCCGTTGACGTAAGTGTTGACTTCGGAAATGCTGATTTTGTCATCGTAGAAGCTTTTAATGAAATCGAGCTCAACGTAACGGTCACATGTCTTGCCAGATATGGCGGAGACTTGACATTCGTGTCAGCAGATGAATCAGTGTTTACTGTTCGTGATAACACGAGTATGATTGAGTGCTTTCCAGGAGATAATGTTACAAACGTGACATATTCACTGTACCTTGACGGAGTCGCACTAGGTGTAGCCGATATGCGAACAGTGTTCCAGAATTCCTCAGGCGAATATCTTATCGATACCTACCTGGTGAAAGTTTTAAGGAAGCCGCTGTTTACCCCGACAGCTTTAGCGGCTGTTCTCCTTGTGTGGATATGTGTGTCGTATGTTACGATGGGGAGCAAGATTGAGCCAAAGTTAATGTGGGAGCACATAAAACGACCTCGTGCTGTATTGATTGGTTTGTTATGTCAGTTTCTCATCATGCCTCCGCTGTCTTTTGCTATCGCCAAGGCGTTCCAGTTGGACGACGCAGCTGCCATCGGGCTTATACTCGACGGGACATGCCCAGGTGGATGGTTTAGCAACGTATTCACGCTCCTGCTCGATTGCGACTTCAATCTCAGTCTAACGATGACGTTTAGCTCAACTGTCCTAGCGCTTGGCATGATGCCTTTGAACCTGTTCATCTACACTCGCTTCTTTCTTGACCATAATAAACAGCTTCAGGCACCATACGGTCAGCTCGCCATTCAACTAGCTTTTCTCGTTGTTCCTGTCGTCATTGGGCTCGGGCTCAGCCACAAGTTTCCGAAAGTAAAACGTATTTTTGATAAAATGCTGCGGCCGATGTTGGCCGGATTGGTGGTGGTCGCTCTCGGAGTGGGAATCCCGACGCAATACTACGTCGTCCTGGTTTCCTGGAAGATATGGATTGCCTCTGCTGTCTTTCCGCTAATCGGAGGTATGCTAGGCTTTGGCATCGCTCGCCTGACCTGTGTAGACCTCAAACCTGCTGTCACAATCGCCATTGAAACGGGTGTCCAGAATAGCTTACTGGCCATCACAGTGGTGACTCTGTATTATGATCAACCTGAGATTGATCTCATTGGACGTGTTCCCGCGCTCATCGGACTCCTTGTCGTAATGGAGGGAGGGACACTAGCCATAGTCAAATCCATCAGGGATTTCTACAAGAAAAGGACAGAAGTGCCTCATGTAGAGTTGGATGAAGAGACTGAAGATGTGGACAAGGAAAGAACTGTATCGTCAACCACGGTAGACCCTTATATTTTACAAGAAAGAGGAAACCAACAACTGGACAACTCTCATGATGTGCCAAAGTTATAAATTGTTATTGGATATTTTACAGTTTTATATATATGAAACAATATATATCTGTAATTTTCATTTTGCAGGTAATAAAAATTCCATAGTCGATATGGTTAATGATAAAAACCTTTCAGATGCCTTTGGGACAATCACGGTTGATATGGGTTCATTGTAATAGTTTTGTATTTCGAATTGAGACATTTACAAATAATCAATTTTATGTGTGGGTTAAATAAATTATCTTTAACGCAATAGCATTCCATAGTAAACTTATGATATAATATTTGGCTAAGCATAATAGGCCTAAGTAAAATGTTTCATACTTTATATTGGAATTATTGTTGACTGCATCGTTTACCTCTTTTATATAGCCATTATGAATGACAAAGTTTCAAGATTTAGAATGTATCATAACAAATATTTTGGTTTGTGTGCTGTCATCAATTAAAATTGAGATACTTTTTATACCTTTGTATTTTGTGTTCAGTAATTTATCCAGAAATTAAAGCAAAAATGGAGGCGCAACTCCCTGTAGATGGGAAGACCGAATGTAGGCTGCGGAAATATGACGTATTTAGTATTGAGTTTTCATTTTATTTTCATGTAAACTCACCGGTTTCGTGTTTAGGGGGGGGGGGTGGGTGGGCTTCAGACATGGGGCATAGTCTGCTTCTCACTATGCTTAAATATCATTGGAAGTAATTCCTTTTCGTTTATATATATATATATATATATATAATGGAATCTAAAACTGAACTAAACTGAACTGAAACTGAATCTGTTATGAATAAATTTTTAAAACTGCGATGGATCAACAATTGAATTAATAAATGAAAGCTGCATAACATAAACTGGATTTAATGTGTATATTTTTTCCTTGAATATTTTGATAATAATAATAATCTGTTTTTTTATATAGCGCTCAATACACCGATCCAACGATGGGCCTTAGCGCTTTACAGATATATTATTACCCCGGTCATCGGATTCAGGCTTACCCGCACACAATGTGTGCACATTTTCCACTCCCTGGGGAGCATTCCAGCCAGTCGCCATTGTACAAGCGCACACTTGCTCGTCTTTCATTTCAGATGAATTTGCTCAATAATGCCTGTTGCACACAAAACGTTGTTTTCTGACGTAGGAACGTGTCAAACACAGCCGTCATGCCTAAATTCCCAGCTGCTTCAAGCATGACCACGGTTGCAAAAGTAGTATATTTTAAAGAACAATGCCTCACACAAATAATAGTAGAATTCAAACGCCTTACCCAAATTTGTTGATCTGGGTGTCATTGTACTCGAAAAAAAATGTCCTATTCAATTAAATAGAAATCCATAAAGTTGTTCAAATGATTTCGGGAGTTTGTAGACCCTAATACCAGCTAAATATCTCAAACTATCTTAAATTTGCATACTTAACCATGAACAATAGGTTTGAACTAGTATGCCCTGTGGAGGAAATGTATGAAGGGATACTATAAACACAGTATTTTTGAGAGATAGAATATCAAAACCTAGTGACAGCCAAATTCATGATAATTTGCATGCTTCGCACAATGAACCATGTACAAATTTGATTTTGTGAGATCTGTGGAGAAGACGAAAAACATGCTATTTCAGGAGTCAAAATTTGAATGCGAATGTAATATCGCCAAACTACATACAAATTGCATAAATTGAATAAATGAAAATGATATCAATCTGAGCCATGTCGTAGGGTAAACGGCCGGCTGTAAGATCATCTCTTTTTGTTTTTCAAAATAATAACGACTCAAAAACACAAACAAAATGTACGCGTTGACTCTTTATTTCCCGTGCCAGAAAGAAGTGATACCACGCTGCACATTGAAATGCTTCATCAAATTATTCATTAGGATATTTCCCAAATAACTTGCCCGGCACCAAGTCAAATCATACAGTTTAATTTGTTTTGATATATTAATTCTCCCTCAAGATATTCATATAGACGATACACGAGACAGTGCATTGTTAATCTAGTTATTAACAAACTACAAAGCATCAAAAGTTAGTATTAAATGTAAAAATGAAATTGAATAAGATTTTGAAGAAATGTTGATACAGGACGAGTGACAATATTTTTGTTTAAAAAACGATTGTTTATACTAAGAGTGACTCATATTGATTGGAAATTCCTCGATGCGATTGAAAGCCATAGCCAAAATAAGCTATTTCGAAATCTTGCAATTTCCTGCCACGTCGATCTTGCAATGTCTTGTCATATTGATACTCCGGCAATGAAGCACAGCCATAGGTGTATGGGCATTTTTTTTTGTCGGGAGGGGGGGGGGGGGAAGGCTGTATGACGCCTCTTGCTCGAATATCTACTTCCCAGTTTATAAATTTTGACTCTTCATTACTGTGTGAAACTATATGTTGCCCGACCCCCACTCAGTGTTATTTAGGGTACGCATAACGTTCCTTCCTTTTGAAAACACACCCCCAAGTCCGGTGTGTACAGTCAATAAGGGCCGGATTTTTGTGTACTACGAGCCGGACTTTGGTGCGTGAAAAGTACCCCTTTACCGGACCTTTTGGGAACACGCAGAGTATCCCTCCGTTCACGGAGTGGGGGGGGGGGGGGGATATGTTGCCATCAAAATATACAATATAAGACGTATAAGATATTGAAACTTCAGATAATCCACCACACTGTCCAAAAATATGCCTGTCGCTCGAATATTGGTAAATTAGATTCTGGGATTGGGAGAGTTGCGGCCCCTTAGCTCCTACCCATGCACGCCTAGAATGCTGCTGATGTTCATATATTAACGAAATCAGAGAAAGTTATATCAACAATGATATCGAGTTCGAATTACACCCCTACTTTGATGATGCTTAAGATGATATCTTCATCACTTTAAAAAAAAAAAATGACAGCGGGGTGATTTTTAAAAACTGAACGGTGAACAATAATATTTACTCTAGAAATTATTTCGTTAATACTTCATATTTAAAGCTCATATTCTGCATCTTGTAGGGCTAACATCTTGTTACATTGTATTCCCGTGTTTGTAAATACCCCGATGAAAACAGGAGGTGTCCCCAGTAACCCTTTAATATCAAGAAGGAACTCAGTGAAAAGAAACCATTTTCCTTGTTGATAGGAAGTACATCATTGTATATGAAAGAGAAAGTTATAAAAGCCGATGTCTAGGCCTAAAGGAAATAACGTGACTAGCTACTGTATCTACGATTGGTGTAATCAATACCTAATTGGAAGGGACTACATCATTTACATAAGGAATGAATTTCCCAATTTGTATATAGAATGATTGAGTGAATTGATCAAACGCAACAAGATTGTGGACTTGGACGGACGAACGAGTTGCATAATCTTTCTAGTTTGTTATATCTTCATTGAACATGGGCAATATTACTACGACTACCATGGTCCCCACGGTCTCGTCATCGTCAACACCTATCATCAACATCGGATCTCTATCTTCAAGTTGGTCAGAAGGCCTAAGTGATACACCAATCATTCTTGACTACTCTGACTCTGTTCAGAGTTCTGAAAGTAGCGATCTGGATGAAGGCACACCTACTGCAACGTCCTTAACGAAGGAGTGAGTTTCTTTCTTTCTGTTTGTCTGTTTGATATGAAGCTTCTTGTAAACTTTAAAACATACATCATGTTAATATTTCATCGGGCACAGGTAATGAAGTTATTATACTGTTACTCTTTTTTGTGCCACCTTTACATTTTTTCACTTCTTGATTTTGTGCCATGACTAAAACCCACTGAACACTATACGATCCGACTACGATCCCATTTTTGGAAGAATTTGCCAAAAATCATTTGAAACTAACACTCAAACATGTAAAATCTTAATGACCGAGGATATGAATAGTCATATATGATTGAGAAAATTCAAATTTGAAGGCATTTCATGCTTCCTAGGAAGAAGAAATGCTAAATCGGTTCAGAATCGTTGTGGCGTCAGACCAGCTATAGTACGACTGTCTACGATTTAAAGTCGATTCGTCTCTTATACTGACAAGAACAGTTCAATACATTGAAAATCCGGTTGTTAGGAATTATCATTATTAAAAAGCTATATCAGGAAGAAGATGTTTTTCTAGATTTCCTATTTAATACAATTGCCATTTCTTCGAAAATCGGATCACATGCAGGACGACCGTGTAGTGGGCTTATCCCCATGCTGATGATATACTATACAAGATGATATTCTACTTATATAATATCCACTATAACAGGCAGTCTGGTGTGGTTGATCTCCAACAGCTAACAGAGGAGGAAGAAGAAGAGGGAAAAGAAGAAGAAGAGGAAGAAGAAGAGAAAGAAGAAGAAGAAGAGGAGGAAGAAGAAGATGAAGAAGGAGAAGAAGAAGAAAAAGGGGAAGAAAATGAGAAAAAAGAAGATTGAGAAATAGATTAAAGAAGAAAAACAAAAAACAACAACAACAAAATTACCATCACCACCATTAACAACAAAACTATACAATATGGTATACGGTAAAAATAATAGTGATTTGAAAGGGATTTTGAGAATTTTCTACAAAGTGTCTCCTCTCCTCAAGAGTTGGTAAATTGCATACTTGACATGCATTATGTAACTACGCCCTAAAATAATCTTACATACTCTACGTTTATTATTATTATTATTATTATTTTGTTCTACTGTAAGACTGCTATGAAACGCCGGAGCACATTATTCTAAAATTGGTCGTATATAACCTGCGTATACTGTCACTAAATCCTTCAAACCCTATGGATCACCATTACCGATGATATAAGACAGAAACTTCAGTCTTCAATTATTGTTTAAGATTTTAAAAACAGATATATTTTCGTGTAAAAAAAAAGAGTTAAATGATACACATCTAGATGTACTTCCAAGTTCCAAAAGACTTGAAACACATAATAACCGTTATCTTGAAATAACTATTTTTATAGAGGCAAGTTTCACATAAATATTTGAAAATTATAAGCGGCTTTAGGTAAAGACTAAAACAAAATCGTAACATTTTTGCTTGAAACAATCAAATGAAATTTGGATCGAGATTCATTGCTTTTTTTGCTCAAACATTATATTGAACACGAAAACGCTTTTAATTTTATGTCGTATTATTTTTTGCCACAAGCAATTGCGGTGACAGTATACAGTCACTGTAACATCTTCGTAAATTATAGATAGCGGCACACCTTTATATAGTTGCAGGACCAGATCTTTGAAATAGTAACCATAACTCATCAATCAGGCACACACTTTTTAACATTTTAAATATTAAATTATAAAACTTTCTAGTAAAAAAAAGTGTTCCACATTATACTTATTTATCTTAAAATGTATTTTACCCTGATTGTGTATAATGTCGGAAATGTATTCGGAATTCAGAATTTGTTTATTACACTCATTGCAACATTGTGGGAACACTGTGGTATATTGGTGAAGGTTCTAGACACTCATGCTAGAGGTCAAGGGTTCGATCCTTGCTCGGTGTTTATATATCCTTAGACAAGGTGCTTTTTCCACATTTACCCCTCTCGACCCATGTTTATGAAATGGGCACCTGGCAATGCCGGGGTAATTCAACATTACCCGAAAAATTAAATCACCATCATCATTATTATTAATATCATTAACCACATCGTTAACAAAAAAGAAGCTTGTGGACTGAAGCATTATAGTACATGCGAGCATCGGAAGGGGTTATCTACAGCTCAGTACAACTAGTGCAAAACTAAAAGGGAACTTTGGTAAAATCTTTCCGTTTCCGATAAACTTCTTTTTTTCATTGAATACAGGATGCTGACAAGTTCCTGTCAGGACACTGGTATTTTCCCAGGTAAGCATTTAGACTTTCCTCCTTTTTCTGAGATTATTTTCATGACGATAAAATTGCGGACCCTGACCTAGTGATTGAACTTTGAATAGCTGTATTAGTTTTTGTTCTTATTAATTGCATTTCACTATATTTCTGATAAATATGTTCGAATAATTTCTGAATACATTCTGAATTTCTTCAGGCATTAGTAGTTGGATATAAAACAACCAGTTATATTGCAGTGACGTGTCCAGCTAATGGTGAAGCCGATTTACGCTCCCTTGAAGGCACATGAACAAGTCAATAAAGCTTGAATGGGTCTAGACCACAAGTGTGTTACCCCCCCCCCTCCTTCCCCCCTCCCTTCATCTCAGGACAAGTTAGCCAATGCTTGTCATTTCCTAATGACGCCACTGTTGGAGAGTTTTGAAGAGAATTATTTTTATCAATTCTAAGACTTAATTTATTGTCATGTAATTTTAAGTGGAAACAATTATTATTAGTAAAAGCTAGCCAAATTGTTAATGTGTCGTACAACGTATTCCAGTATAATGTCTGTCGTGGTCGGCTATTAAAGTTAAAACCTGAATTAATTCTATATTAATTATACATGTTACATATATTTTGTGCAGATATTTAATTACTTAATCTTCATATTCTGTAGATTCCAGTCCGCCGCTATTACATGGATTCCCCGGTGGGTTTATCTCCGGCGTAGCATCTCTTACTCTCCTGCTCATCATCGTCGCTCTGGTTGTCTATACCATTCGTAAACGACGTCGACATGACCACGCTTTACCACCTAATGTCAACGTGTCAGCACTAGCAGAAGGGGTGTATCAAGAATATAATGGACAGCCGAAAAAGGTAGAGGGGGTGGCATCAACTAAGGGCGGCGATGGCCAACATTACCAGGAGATTATTACTATTAAACACGATCAGTTCATTGCAAATAAAGGAGCTAACAAGGATAATCTTGTGTCATCAGACAACGAATATGTTTACACTGATGTAGGGTATAAGTCAGATAACGAACCCACTTACTCAAATGTCAAAGTATTTCTAGGGCAATCACCAAACATGCAAAGTACCACGGTGTAAACTTGTGTGATTTCAAATGAGAAGGAAATTACCCCCTCTCCCCTCATAAAGAGGTGTCATGGTCTCCAGGGCGATGACCTTGATGCAGTTTACTGTCAGATGATAGGCTAACGGGGTTCGAATCACTAGCACGCCACCAACGTCCTATCTACAGTCGCCACTCTTTATCCTAAACAATAAAATTGTTTGTGATGAATAAAAGAAAGGTTATTGAATGATTAAGCACTTAGGATAGAAATGTGTTTAAAAATATCAACGTTTAAAAGCAGTATATTATCATACTGGGCTATATAAGCAGAAAGGAATCAGATAAACAGAGATAATTAGAATAAAAGAGAAATATTAAAGAAAGAGGTGGAGAAAGGGGGAGAGGAGATAAAGGAAGGGAGAGAGGGAGGGGTGGATGGGAGAGAGAGAGGGAGAGAGAGAGAGAAGGGTAGGGATCAACAACAAAAAAGAGAAGAGAGACGGGTGATAAATTGAGATGAGTGGTAGTCATATAGCAAAGAAAGGTTATTAACATTATCATCGTCGATAGGTCTCCGATCGAAAGCATGCCAAGCAATGATGAATAAGGTATGGCAAATTACTCTTTCATAGAATGTGTGAAAGTCTCCTAGTGTATGTAAATGACTAAAATAAACTCGAACGACTGAATTTTCCGCAAGTTTTTATCAGATGTTGAGAATGTATGGTCAAAGTGTTCCACGCCGCTTGGTTTATTATAAACCTTGGTTCTCTCATAACCAGGGCATTGATTAGAGGGAGAATGACACACCTCAATCAAATGTCTGTAACTACTAAAAATAGGATAATTATTATTCGAAAGATTTTAAAGCAAAGGGATTGATGAGTACTGCGTCGTGTGTGTAAACCGTCTATTAGTCTCTTTCTTGTTTATGTGTGTTTCTGATAGCATATCACTGTTAGGCATATCACGCAGTGTTTGATGTATAGGAAGAAAAAACAACGAACAACTATCATGATAATATTGATGTATTTGAATGATGGATCATTTATTTATTTGTAACAAAACAAAAATTATTTTCATTATAATAATATTGTAAGAAAACTTTGATAACATTGCATAATGCATATTGCATTGATGAAACAATTTCTTGATCTTTTTCTACAGGACGGCTATTCAATTCAATTCATTTCGAGGTTTTATTTCGAAAAACATGGAATACGATGAAGCACATGCTGCAGCTAAAAAGCTGAAATTTATGTGTGTACAATGATCGAGGATAAATAGAAAAGAATATCCATTCACAAAACATATCTACATTATCGTACATAATATATTATATTCAAATTCTTACATTATAGATCTCATCCACACACGTGAATTTATTTTAATGGCTGTCATGAATAAACGTGTCACTATAACGGAATAGCTACTATTGTACAGCTTCCTATTTTAGTTTGTTTGTGAAATATTAAAACTGAAAAAACAAAACATGTATGCACTCTAAATGGCAATTCGTGTTTACTCATGAGTCAAAGCAAAAAGATGTTGCAAAAGTCGATATACCTGACATAATAATATTGCTGAACGAGTCTTTCTGAAGATGTGCTGTGGACGATGATCGGATACGAATAGATCAAGTATAGTTTTAGGAGTGATGAGTTCTAAGATATATGAGGGAACAAGTTTATAAAAAGCCTTGTATGTAAGCAGGATGATTGGATACGCTGTGGGAAGGGAAGCCAGTGTAGAGAACGAATGAAAGTATCTATTTATCATTTCCTCATGTTATGACAATGTATTTTTCTGCATGGCATATTTTGGCCTGGTGTCATTATTTTTTTGGAAAATAAGACAAAATAAGGAGCAGGGTTAGTGTTGGCATAGTTAGGATTATACTTTTAATTCATAATACTATATTAGAGAAATATTAAGGTCGATATTATATCTATATGCAAATCACTGTTTGACAGGAAGGTTTTGATTGTTTGCATATTTTGATTTGGCCTATATAGTCATGTACCTTACGTTAACCTCTTTAAAATAATTCAAATCAAATCAAATGAAAGGAAATATTACTATAGTCATTTTTTTAAAATTATGAAACAATATATCTGTTATTACTGTAACAGTAAATAATTCAGATACGAAAGGAGGCGAAAACCCGGAAAGCATAGCTTGAGTTGGGAACGCCCATAATAAATTAACACAGTTACCGAAAGAACATTATAGATATTATTATGAAAATTATATTGTATATAACAGATCGTTGATAGGAAAGAAAAAATAGTGAAAGGAAGAGAGGAGAGAATTAAGTATAGGAAGGCATGGTCACTTAAGAGAAAGTTACATCAATTGGGCTGTACATGTGTCTGCGATTACATCATAAAGATAACGAAGTACAATTGTAAAATAGACAGCGGGTACATAATCATTAAAAACAAGTAAAATCATCAAACAGACAACAGCTTTATCAATAAAGTCACTGAAATTTATTCAAATTTAGTAGCAAAACCTTTCCTTTTAAATAATAATAGTGAAATCACAACTAAATAAACCTTTTGAAAAGAAAGTAAACAACATATCACAGTTTCACTCCAAAAGGAGCTAAATCCGTTTCATTCCAAAAGGAGCTAAATCCATGTTTCATTCCAAAAGGACACTTTTTTTTTTTTTTTTGGTCTCGAAATTTGAAAATTTGACATTTTACTCCCTTGGGGGGGGGGGGGGGGGGGTAAGGTCAGCTTTTTAGGTCATCCATGGGGAAAAAATTCCAAAGGGGGGGGGGTTAGGGGGTTAAGGGGGGGTTTACACACAAAAAAAATACCAAGGGAGGGGGGTTTAACCCCCCCCCCCAAACCCCCACCCCCCCCCCCCCCTGTGTACGCGCCTGATTGTAACTACAAAAAAAATCATACTTCCTGGTGAAATTTTAGAATGTGATATAGTGCATTTTGTCCCCATGTAGGAAGCCATTATTTTAAGACAAAAAACTCAGTTTTGATAAAATATGGATTTAGCTCCTTTTGGAATCAAGCTCTTCATATATGAAACTAAATCTGTAAACTTAGATCGCGTGACATAAAACTATCTGACTTATGATTGGTGCATTATTACCTGATCAAACTTATCAAATCGAGCCGTGCCTCGGCCAGTGAGTTGATGCTTTGAGAAGCCATATTAATAGTGATCATGGAAGGCAGTGGGTCGATTCCAGAAGGCTTGGATACCAGCGTTTCAACACATGTCATCATTCTGCATGATGATGAGGAACTTTATTTTGATAATAATGACACTTTGCATGATGGTACAATGGATACAAATTCCCAGCTGAATGAGTAAGTTTAAGACATCAAGAGCTCGGAAAAATATTAGTTTTAATTTATAATGTAACTTAAAGAAATAGCTTGGGGATACGTTAAAATGATTTTAATCCACAGAAAAAAATTGTGGTATATTTAAGTTCGGACTGTTAAAGGGAAATCCAACCTTATTAGCAAACTGAACTATTGGAAAGTAGTAAAACCAGAGAAGAACATTGATGAAAGCTTGAACGACACTGGACAAATGATAAGAAAGTTATGAGTTTTTTTTAAAAATTGTAATTCATATGCGGTAGGGGAATTTCAAATTGGGTGATGCCATTATTACGTTAAGTGGCGGACAACTTTACCATTCGTTCCGAGACACAAAATGACTAAAAGGCTACCCTTTTTCTTCAAAATGTATAACCCAGGAGGGCCTTTTCTTTTAGGAGAACCTGTAATGATATGCTCTCCTGTTATGTTGAGTAGTGCCCGAAGGAAGAAAGCGCTTACTATAGGACAAAAACAGGAAATAATGATATTTGTGCACAGAGCAGTCCTTGAGATTCGCATAGATATAGTGATCTCATATTCTAAACAAACACTTGAACTTTGAACTTTTATAATTGGTCGGATATATATCAAACTTTCCCCATTTGCGTGCTCCTAGTTTTGCTTTTATTTAAATCAACTCTTTACGAAGGTGCATGGATTGCCCTTAAAACATCCCACGATGATTCAAGTATTGTATATGAGTTTTAAACTACGAGTGCTAAACACGAGCGAGTTTTTGAAGCATTCGTGGGTGATAGTTTATACGAAACGATGGTTATTCTAGAATTATTTTGAAATTGAGTTAGATCAGGCACTCCTAAAGGGGACCAGAGTTATAGATGAATCAATTCAATTCAATTCAATTTTATTTCACATTTCTTTAAAAACACATCAGAAGATAAACAAACAAATCGGGATGAATTAAACAATATCAATATAAAAACATTCATTGACATGGTACTATGAAAGAAGGTTGAAGGATGGTAGATGCGAGGGATCAACAAAGACTATTGGCCTGTAAAGTTTGATCCCCTATATCACCACCCTTCAAGAGAAATACGTTAAAAAACCCAAAACAATCAAACAAACAGATAATTTAACATAGCATAATCACATAAAACACAACATAACTATTTACATAAATCACATAAAAGGCAATTAGATCAAATAAAACTAATCACTGTTAAAGAGATATAAGATTTATATCTTTCCTGAATGCAAGAACAGTTGAATATACATCTGACAAGCCTTCCAAAATTATGGGCCTTTAAAACTTACCGTGGTTCTTGAAAAGTTAAAATCATAAAAGGTACATACATTTTATTGGAATATCTTGTTTTATAACTTATTGATGTTGCTATTATATTCAAAATAATCAAGACTGAAAGAAACGTCGGCATAACAATGACAACAAATATTTTGGAAACGCCTTTGAATAATATTGATCAGATTATTTGTATAGGGTGTAACAAAATGAGGGGACCATGTTGGGTTTTTGCATGCTAAACCATGGTTAAACCAATGAATGTCAATAAATTGCTATGAAATCTTTTTTTCCTCCCAAAATATAATAGGCTCGGTGATTCATCCACAGACTCGTGCGTTTCTCAAGGTAAGCATTAGACGCGTCTGATTTGTCTTTTGATAATTCTCGTTTTGTCTTTTGATAATTCTCGTTTTGTCTTTTGATAATTCTCGTTTTTCTTCTAGCCGACGTTATATTACCATGATCCAACTTTTTCAATTCTTTTTCATTTTAGGGGTTTTACAAGAAGATGAAAAGCAAACGAAACTCTCTAAAGCAATTACAAAATGATTTTTTTGGTGAAATCTTAAGTTATAATTTTAATAATATCGTTCGAATGAATTCGAAAAAATAGAGCTGTCTTATTTAATTTGAAGACTATAATAAAGGGTTTAACCGTTAATTGCTGATAAATAAGTTATTGTTGTGCTCCCCCTTGCATGTACTCATAATGACTAAGTAGTTGGTAACTATTAGTAGTGGAACATTTTCGTTATCGCTAATAACACAAAATGCCCGGACGTTCGACCCCGCGGGGGTGGGGGGGGGGGGGGTACTCAGATTTGGTTTTGACGGGGTGTGCCGCAAAGCCTCGAAACCCATACCCATTATTAAGGGGCATTTTTCTTGAAAAAATGTTATTTTTCAAAATTTTCGGGTGTTTTGCAAATTTTGAAAAAACGGACCCATTTTTAAAGGAATCACACTAAGAAAATCCACTACATGTTTAGGGATTTGAGTGTGAAAAAGTTACCCATTAGAGGGTATACACTGACTACCTTGGAATTTGATTGTTCAGATCGTGACTGGACGGCAAGTACAGCCGCACAAAATAGACCGGAAGCGACTCAGTCACCAAGCTATCCCAGATTGCATTTGAAGTGGGGTATGAAAGGAATATCTGGGCATTTCGGGGTATTGGAAATGAATCGAAACAAAAACAGAGTTTTGAAGTGATGTTTCCTCTTAATATTTCCTTCCTTTCAAAGTCAAGCGATTGTGCAAAGTCAGGCACGTAGCTAGAGTTCGTTGTTTGGGGGGGGGGGGGCACATACATGTAATCGATCGAGGTAAAAAAAAGGGGTCTAAAAAAGTTCAACCGATCTTGGAAATTTTACGGGGGCACGTGCCCCCCCCCCCCCCCGTGGCTACGTGCCTGGTTAGCGTAAATAGTTACTAGAGAATGAAACATTATGTGTAGCCGATCATTAATAGTAAGTTAAGTTTAACATGAACATATAAATCACCTTATTATATTTCAGATTCCAATCCGTCGCTAATGTATAGCTTCCTCGGTGGGTACATCGCTGGCGTGGCATCTATTCTCCTGCTCATCCTCGTCGCTCTGATTGTCTATATCATTCTAACACGATGTCGACATGCACCACTCGATGTCAAAAGCGTGTCTGCGTTACCACCAGGGATATATGAAGAGTGTAACCGAGAGCAAGGGGTGACTAAAGGCAGCGTCGTTGGTCTCGACGATGACCACCAGTACCAGGAGATGAAGATTACAAGTTTGAATCAAGATGGAATTTATTCTGAGATATAAAGCAAATTTATTTGGGAGGAAAATATTAGGAAGAGAAAATGGAAATGGGAAGGAAATATTGTGTCTCGAAGACAAAAAAGAAAGAAAACAGATGCACAAATTATAGCTGCTTGTAAAAGGGATGTTATCAAAACTACTACTTTATTTGTCGAGCACCTAAGAATGAAAAATGTGTTGAGAGAAATTGACCAGAAATATACACATTTGTTAATGGGCGATCCAACTTCACAGGTTTTTGCAACCTTCATGGAAAGCCCCGCATATAACCTTTATAAACATAGTTAAAATTGACCGTTACTTTGTATATTTTTATTTTTATATTGCGAAATAAAATTGAATTGAATTGAATTGAATTGAAATCTGGAGTTATTACATATACCCAAAGATTCCAGAAAGAAAAATTCAAGCACTTTCAAACCTACCAATTCCAGCTATTAATAGAAGTTTGGATGAAGGTAATCATAAATTCAGAGCGCCAGGATAAGTGACAAGATGTTAGCTGATGTTAGCAACTATAGACCTATTAGTGTTTTAAGCGTAGCATCAAAGATTCTAGAAAAATCGGTCTGTGTTCAAATTGAAAGATACTTCAAAGAAAATGATATAATTTATGAATTTCAATCTGGTTTTCGACATGATTATTCGACTGAAACATGTCTAATTCATTTGACTGATTATTTGAGGAGAGAAACTTCCCAAGGGCGCTTTGTTGGTATGGTGCTCCTTTATCTGCAAAAAGCTTTTGATACAGTTAATCATTGCGTCTTATTGAAGAAGTTACAACTAATGGGTTTTGATAAGGCAAGTTTAGATTGGTTCAGATCCTACTTATCTAATCGGCACCAAGTAGTGGCCATTCATGATATTCGTTCCAAACTAATGCCTATATAGCAAAGAAAGGTTATTAACATTATCATCGTCGAAAGGTCTCCGATCGAAAGCATGCCAAGCAATGATGAATAAGGTATGGCAAATTACTCTTTCATAGAATGTGTGAAAGTCTCCTAGTGTATGTAAATGACTAAAATAAACTCGAACGACTGAATTTTCCGCATGTTTTTTATCAGATGTTCAGAATGTATGGTTAAAGTGTTCCACAACGCTCACAAGGTTGATTAAAAACCTTGGTTCTCTCATAACCAGGGCATTGATTAGAGGGAGAATGACACACCTCAAACAAATTAATAGCCTATCTGTAACTGCTAAGAATAGGATAATTATTCGAAGAATTCGAAGCAAAGCGATTGATGAGTACTGCGTCGTGTGTGTAAACCGTCGATTAGTCTCTTTCTTATTTATGTGTGTTTCTGATAGCATATCACTGTTAGGCATATCACGCAGTGTTTGATGTATAGGAAGAAAAAACAACGAACAACTATCATGATAATATTGATGTATTTGAATGATGGATCATCTATTTATTTGTAACAAAAAAAAATTATTTTCACTATAATAATATTGTAAGAAAACTTTGATAACATTGCATAATGCATATTGCATTGATGAAACAATTTCTTAATCTTTTTCTACAGGGCGGCTATTCAATTCAATTCATTTCAAGGTTTTATTTCTAAAAACATAGAGTACAATGATGCACATGCTGCAGCTAAAAATCTGAAATGTATGTGTTTCCAATGATCGAGGATACATATAAATAGAAAAGAATATCCATTCACAAAAAATATCTACATTATCGTACATAATATATTATATCAACATTCTTACATTATAGATCTCATCCACACACGTGAATTTATTTTAATGACTGTCATGAATAAACGTGTCACTATAACGGCATAGCTACTATTGTACAGCTACCTATTTTAGTTTGTTTGTGAAATATTAAAACCGACAAAACAAAACATGTATGCACTCTAAATGGCAATTCGAGTTTACTCGTGAGTCAAAGCAAAAAGATGTTGCAAAAGTCGATATACCTGACATAATAATATTGCTGAACGAGTCTTTCTGAAGATGTGCTGTGGACGATGATCGGATACGAATAGATCAAGTATAGTTTTAGGAGTGATGAGTTCTGAGAGATATAAGGGAACAAGTTTGTAAAAGGCCTTGTATGTAAGCAGGAGCAGGGGCGTACGCAGGATTTTTTCAAGGGGGGGGGGGGGTTTTAAAATATTTTGCTCCCGAAAATTTGAAAATCGCGCCGGCCGAAAAGTCGCTCAGTGGGGGGGGGGGGGGGGGGGGGGGGGGGGGGGGGGGGGGGGGGGGGGGTAAGCGGACACTTTTTTTTTTTTTTTTTTGGTCTCAAAATTTCAAAATTTGACATTTTTTTACGTATGGGGGGGGGGGGTAAGGTCACCTTATTTAGGTTAGCCGTGGGTATAAATAAAAAAAAAAAAAAAAAAAAAAAAAGCCAAAGGGGGGGGGGGGGGTTTAGGTTTTTTACGGGGGGTTTACATACATTAAAATACCAAAGGGGGGGTTTGAACCCCCAAAACACCCCCCTGCGTACGCCCCTGAGCAGGAGAATCTTGAATTGGATACGCTGTGGGAAGGGAAGCCAGTGTAGAGAACGAATGAAAATATCTATTTATCATTTCCTCATGTTATGAAAATGTATTTTTCTGCATGGCATATTTTGGCATGGTGCATTAATTTTTTGGAAAATAAGACAAAATAAGGAGCAGGGTTAGTGTTGGCATAGTTAGGATTATACTTTAAATTTATAATACTATATTAAAGAAATATTAAGGTCGATATTATATGTATATGCAAATCACTGTTTGACAGGAAGGTTTTGATTGTTTTGACAGCTTTATCAATAAAGTCACTGAAATTTATTTAAATTTAGTAGCAAAACCTTTCCTTTTAAATAATAACAGTGAAATCACATCTAAAAATAACTTTTGAAAAGAAAGTAAACAACATATCACAGTTTCATTCCAAAAGGAGCTAAATCCGTTTCATTCCAAAAGGAGCTAAATCCATGTTTCATTCCAAAAGGACACTTTTTTTTTTTTTTTTGGTCTCGAAATTTGAAAATTTGACATTTTACTCCCTTGGGGGGGGGGGGGGGTAAGGTCAGCTTTTTAGGTCATCCATGGGAAAACAAATTCCAAAGGGGGGGGGGAGGTTTTAGGGGGTTAAGGGGGGGGGGTTTAACCCCCAAACCACCCTCCCCCCCCCCCCCCCTGTGTACGCGCCTGATTGTAACTAAAAAAAAAATCATACTTCCTGGTGAAATTTTAGAATGTGATATAGTGCATTTTGTCCCCATGTAGGAAACAATTATTTTAAGACAAAAAACTCAGTTTTGATAAAATATGGATTTAGCTCCTTTTGGAATCAAGCTCTTCATATATGAAACTAAATCTGTAAACTTAGATCGCGTGACATAAAACTATCTGACTTATGATTGGTGCATTATTACCTGATCAAACTTATCAAATCGAGCCGTGCCTCGGCCAGTGAGTTGATGCTTTGAGAAGCCATATTAATAGTGATCATGGAAGGCAGTGGGTCGATTCCAGAAGGCTTGGATACCAGCGTTTCAACACATGTCATCATTCTGCATGATGATGAGGAACTTTATTTTGATAATAATGACACTTTGCATGATGGTACAATGGATACAAATTCCCAGCTGAATGAGTAAGTTTAAGACATCAAGAGCTCGGAAAAATATTAGTTTTAATTTATAATGTAACTTAAAGAAATAGCTTGGGGATACGTTAAAATGATTTTAATCCACAGAAAAAAAAATTGTGGTATATTTAAGTTCGGACTGTTAAAGGGAAATCCAACCTTATTAGCAAACTGAACTATTGGAAAGTAGTAAAACCAGAGAAAAACATTGGTGAAAGCTTGAACGACACTGGACAAATGATAAGAAAATTGTAATTCCTATGCGGTAAGGGAATTTCAAATTGGGTGATGCCATTATTACGTTAAGTGGCGGACAACTTTACCATTCATTCCGACACACAAAATGACTAAAAGGCTACTCTTTTTCTTCAAAATATATAACCCAGGAGGGCCTTTTCTTTTAAGAGAACCTGTAAGGATATGCTCTCCTATTATGTTGAGTAGTGCCCGAAGGAAGAAAGCGCTTACTATAGGACAAAAACAGGAAATAATGATATTTGTGCACAGAGCATATTCTAAACAAACACTTGAACTTTGAACTTTTATAATTAGTCGGATATATATCAAACTTTCCCCATTTGCGTGCTCCTAGTTTTGCTTTTATTTAAATCAACTCTTTACGAAGGTGCATGGATTGCCCTTAAAACATCCCACGATGATTCAAGTATTGTATATGAGTTTTAAACTACGAGTGCTAAACACGAGCGAGTTTTTGAAGCATTCGTGGGTGATAGTTTATACGAAACGATGGTTATTCTAGAATTATTTTGAAATTGAGTTAGATCAGGCACTCCTAAAGGGGACCAGAGTTATAGATGAATCAATTCAATTCAATTCAATTTTATTTCACATCTCTTTAAAAACACATCAGAAGATAAACAAACAAATCGGGATGAATTAAACAATATCAATATAAAAACATTCATTGACATGGTACTATGAAAGAATTAAGGTTGAAGGATGGTAGATGCGAGGGATCAACAAAGACTATTGGCCTGTTAAGTTTGATCCCCTATATCACCACCCTTCAAGAGAAATACGTTAAAAACACCCAAAACAATCAAACAAACAGATAATTTAACATAGCATAATCACATAAAACACAACATAACTATTTACATAAATCACATATAAGGCAATTAGATCAAATAAAACTAATCACTTTTAAAGAGATAAGATTTATATCTTTCCTGAATGCAAGAACAGTTGAATATACATCTGACAAGCCATTCCAAAATTATGGGCCTTTAAAACTTACCGTGGTTCTTGAAAAGTTAAAATCATAAAAGGTACATACATTTTATTGGAATATCTTGTTTTATAACTTATGGATGTTGCTATTATATTCAAAATAATCAAGGCTGAAAGAAACGTATAAGTGTCGTCGGCATAACAATGACAACAAATATTTTGGAAACGCCTTTGAATAATATTGATCAGATTATCAGATTGTATAGGGTGTAAAAAAAGAGGGGACCATGTTGGGTTTTTGCATGCTAAACCATGGTTAAACCAATGAATGTCAATAAATTACTATGAAATCTTTTTATCCTCCCAAAATATAATAGGCTCGGTGATTCATCCACAGGATCCTGTGTTTCTCAAGGTAAGCATTAGACGCGTCTGATTTGTCTTTTGATAATTCTCGTTTTTCTTCTAGCCGACGTTATATTACCATGATCCAACTTTTTCAATTCTTTTTCATTTTACGGGTTTTACAAGAAGATGAAAAGCAAACGAAACTCTCTAAAGCAATTACAAAATGATTTTTTTGTGTGAAATCTTAACGCACATTATTAAGTTATAATTTTTAATAATATCGTTCGAATGAATTCGAAAAAATAGAGCCGTCTTATTTAATTTGAAGACTATAATAAAGGGTTTAACCGTTAATTGCTGATAAATAAGTTATTGTTGTGCTCCCCCTTGCATGTACTCATAATGACTAAGTAGTTGGTAACTATTAGTAGTGGAACATTTTCGTTATCGCTAATAACCCAAAATGCCCGGACGTTCGACCCCGCGGGGGGGGGGGGGGGGGATACTCAGATTTGGTTTTGACGGGGTGTGCCGCAAAGCCTCAAAACCAATACCCATTATTAAGGGGCATTTAGGGGCACTTTTCTTGAAAAAATATTATTTTTCAAAATTTTCGGGTGTTTGCAAATTTTGAAAAAACGGACCCATTTTTAAAGGAATCACACTAAGAAAATCCACTACATGTTTAGGGATTTGTGTGTGAAAAAGTTACCCATTAGAGGGTATACACTGACTACCTTGGAATTTGATTGTTCGAGAAGAAATACTCCGGGAACCCCACTGCATGTCCATCAATTTGTAAAATTTGTCAAAATGCTGAGAACAGAGTCGCGATCGTGCAGTGATTTCAAACTTGTCTTGCTTTTGCAGCAACTTTTTCCAGGTCGCACAAAATAGACCGGAAGCGACTCAGTCATTAAGCTATCCCAGATTGCATTTGCAGTGGGGTATGAAAGGAATATCTGGGCATTTCGGGGTATTGGAAATGAATCGAAACAAAAACAGAGTTTTGAAGTGATGTTTCCTCTTAATATTTCCTTCCTTTGAAAGTCAAGCGATTGTGCAAAGTTAGTTAGCGTCAGGCACGTAGCTAGAGTTCGTTGTTTGGGGGGGGGGGGGCACATAGCGTAAATAGTTACTAGAAAATGAAACATTATGTGTAGCCGATCATTAATGGTAAGTTAAGTTTAACATGAACATATAAATCACCTTATTTCAGTTTCCAATCCGTCGCTAATGTATAGCTTCCTCGGTGGGTTTATCGCCGGCGTCACATCTCTTACTCTCCTGCTCACCATCATCGCTCTGGTTGTCTATACCATTCGTAAACGATGTCGACATGCACCACTCGATGTCAAAAGCGTGTCTGCGTTACCACCAGGGATATATGAAGAGTATAACGGAAAGCAAGGGGTGACTAAAGGCAGCGTCGTTGGTCTCGACGATGACCACCAGTACCAGGAGATGACGATTACAAGTTTGAATCAAGATGGAATTTATTCTGAGATATAAAGCAAATTTATTTGGGAGGAAAATATTAGGAAGAGAAAATGGAAATGGGAAGGATATATTGTGTCTCGAAGAAAAAGAAAAGAAGAAAACATATGCACAAATTATAGCTGCTTGTTAAAGGGATGTGTTATAAAAACTACTAATTTATTTGTCGAGCACCTAAGAATGAAAAATGTGTTGAGAGAAATTGACCAGAAATATACACATTTGTTAAATCTATATTGGTTTGTAATAAATTAAAATGGTTAATATGATTATCAAGTTAGATTTACAAATGGTTAATGGATTTAGAATTTAAGTCTTTAAGCTGTTAATTCAAAAAATATGAATTCGTAGTATTAGTTGTTTAGTATTGAAAAAAGCCTTTTCCCATTGTGCTTCCGTTCTCTGGAATCGGCTGGATAGTGGGATTCGGGGCGCTGTTTCTAGGCAGTCCTTTGCTACTTCATATTGGAGAATTAGAAATCAGTAGATGGTTGGTATGAACACAAACACATCAACAAACAAACAAAAAATTCAATATGGGGTGGCGAGGGAGAGTAGTGTTTGGAGGTAGTGCCTCGGACCTTGCTGTCTAGTTGGTTCCGGCAAGCAGAGGCATTGCTAGAGCCTTATAGTTTATTTTTTTCCCTTTTTTCTTAAAAGTGTAATATTTCATGCAGGTCTGATGTCTTTGTAATATTTGTTGTTTTGTATTCATTTACACGTTTGTAATTTGTGTTGTACTATTGCAGGGCCTCCGATTATAACAGTGTTTTACTCACTGATGGGGTTACCCTGGGTAAATAAAACAAAATAAATAAATAAATAAATAACCATTCCCAAAGAGGAATTAGCACCGTGGTGTATTGTCATGCCTACCGCATATGAAAACATAATTGATAACAAGTTTTTTTCTGTAGTTATTACATATACCCAAAGATTCCAGAAAGAAATATTCAAGCACTTTCAAACCTACTAATTCCAGCTATTAATAGAAGTTTGCATGAAGGCAATCATAAATTCAGAGCGCCAGGATAAGTGACAAGATCATACGTGACACGAGAATTTGATAAGTGACAAGATCATACGTGGCACGGGAATTTTCAGTATAATACTAAGTCTTGCTTTATTAAAGTGACCAATGATTGATATGATACTCTGAGAGTGTCTCTCAATTAATCTCAAACAATTGTAGGCTTTTAAAAACTACTTCAACATTTTTGTTTTTCTATGACGATATGTTCTTTATGTACATGCACATTTAGCATGTATATTATCATTGTTATGATTGTCTGTAGATAAATGTAGAAAAGTAAGTACAAGGCGTAGAAGGGCCAACATGAATATTTGAATCTTTTAGAATTAAAAGAAAACAATTATCTTTAAAAAAGATTCTGAACAGAAACCATTTCTGAACAATTTAATCTGTTTTACTCACTTGTATGTTTATTATGCGCTCAATAAATCTATCTTTATTATTATTATTATTAGGATTACAAGCAAATCATTGGTTTTGTTTCCCTCCTTTTTTCTTCGATTCAGTTTAGAGAGAACGAGCCATTCCACCATGGTTCTTGTAGATTACACCATCCTCCAATATCCTGTAGCCCTATATGTATGATAAAATAAGGAAGTTGGTAAAATCATCAATGCATAAAACATGAATACAGATTACACAAACACTTCAATTCCATTAGGACAAGGTATATGCAGCATTTATTAAAGGACAAATATAGAGAAATATAATTCAAGCAATTTTGCAGATGCTTGATCTTTTAAAGATACTTACATGCAACAAGAGAAAAGTAAGAGTTCTTAATTTATAAATCTAATATGTCTGCCTTAACACTACATGCCTTTATGTTCAGTTTACAACTAAATTATTCATAGCCCTTGTAAATTTCATGTGTTTTTTTGGTGTGACTCAAGAATGAAAGGTGGACTGTTTTAATCAGAGCCTTTGCTAAATATTAGGTATAATCTTTAATATGTGATACGTCACATTCTCACAAAACGTCATTCGGAACAAATCAATGTTTTACATACTAAAAAATGACAACATTTTGTAAGGTTATGAATCATATAGTTGTTAACTGTACACCAATTTATAGTCAATGAAAAGACATATATTAATTCTCAAAATCAGTAGGGCTTTAGCTCAAATATGACAGACTGATATAAATGGCAGTTCCTTTTATGATCACATGTATTAACATATTTTCATCCAGGAAAGAAACAAAGCTATTTTGAATATACTGGCATAGGAATATCACTTTCAAATACCAAGTTGGTGAATTACCACACACCCATTCACTCATACTCAACTTTGAGGCAGAATTAGTGTTTGACCCTGGGAAGAGATATAGAATAGTAATATGAATATTGGCTGGTATTCATACATGCATAATAACTTCAGTCCAGCGGGAGTTTCATCAATCCTTAGAATCAATCTCAAAATACACTTTTATGATTACAAATGTATCATCGTGCTTGATGATACCTCCCCCTGACGATATTTACAATGTACCATCAAAAGTATCAGATCATATTACAACATGTATTTCTGAGGACTATTGGTAATAAATAATGACAATAAAACAGAACTAGTAATATCATGACTGTTGACATTATAACTTTACTTACTTGTACACGAAAGTGTGGAAAACAATATTTTCTGTGAACCTCCCTACAACATTAGGGATAGATTTAACTACTTCTAACTCCTCTTAACGAACGTGTTAAAATATGATGGTAGGAAAAACTAGGATCATAAAATAAAGGGCTTCTGTATTTATGTGTTTTTGGATAATCTATCAATGTCACTTTATATGTTGCATTTATAAAAACCTTCATACATAGCATAAGCCAACAATAGGGAATACACCGCTATTACAAAAAGTTGAGTATTTCAATGAAACTTTGGATAAAATTCTGTTACAAACAATAGCCTTGTTAAAGAAGGGATCAAATACTATTGATAACCATGACCGCATAATTATATTGTGTATCTGATATCAATCAGCCACTACCATGGAATATGCTTTCATTTCAGGCAACATATGAAATGGGTAACATTTAGAAAAAAGCAGGCTCCATTTTCAACATTCAAATTTGAGGTTTTTTTAAATTTTTTTTTACTCACTTAGATCATACATGCACATTATTTACTTTATAACTTAATTAACCCAACAATCTAACAGTACAAGATAAAATCCATTCGATTATCATTTTATTCATTATTGAACTTATAAATTTTAACAAGCTACAAAAAATGCTTCCTAATCATGAATATTTACCAGAGGCTACATTAGCTCAACTTTACATTTTTCATTAAACTGTCTTTCAAAGTAATAGAAAATTAAGAAATTCTGATACTTTCTGTCTCAAGTGTTATTTTCTTCCCAATGAAAACAGTTACCATTTGCAAACTTTATTCATCTTGCCAAAATATACTGATTTACCTGAAATAGAAGAAATTTAAATTTGTCTTTTTTCAACTTTGTCCAAATAAAAGCAAATGTAATTAATAATTCAAAGGTATTATCTTTCCATAGCTTTCTTCTTTTCACTCACTCACCCCCCTCTCTCTCTGTGTCTCTCTCTCTCACGCTCTTTCGCTCTCCCCATCTATATCACACAAGCATATATGTATCATGTTGTAGTGGAGCATTTCATGTGTCAGAATATGGAAGGAAGATTAGATATTCTATGTTCATTCTTTGCATGAGTACAGTGTATGTGACAATTCAGAGACAAAAAATAGAAATGCTCCACTATTTCATATCAGATTGACGCAAACAATATAACTTTTCAGCTGCTAATGGTAAAATGTTGCATAGATTTAATTTCAACATGTTAAACATTAAAAAAAAAAAAAAAAATCAAAATTTACATGAATAGCACCAAATCTGGAAATAATAATACATGTGCATGTGCGTACAATACAAGTAGCATAAAAACTAAGCTCATTAATATATTACATTGATCAATGTAATATTTAGTTCATGCATCTATCAAAAATTAAAAAGTCAAGAGATTTTCCTTTACAGAGCTTTATGCTCATGCATATAATATATATGAGCGATCTCTATCTATGCTTCAAGTTATTTCATCTTTATATAACACACATCGATGTCAAGTACAGAGAGTGGCAGTGCTGATTCACTTACACATGGATTTTTACTATAGCCTTAAATATAGAAGTAAAAATCTTCAATCCACCCACTACTCTGCATGTACTATACTTCTTGAATACACATTCCATCCTGAGGAGAGTCTGAGATGGATGCTTGGGTCTTACAGCATTTTGGTACATGTGACATGACTGACCCATCTGACTAGGCACAGATGGGCAAGTTATGCTTTGTGTACCATACCAACATCTTCAGTATTAATTAAGTATTCACATTAGTTAAGCATTTTTTATTTGTACTATTGCAGCATATCATTTCTTTAGGATTATGCATTTGACACATTTTCAAGGTACTTCATCAAATAGCTACACAATGATGCATTGATGCAACAGTCATCAGGATTTTTCATTAACAGCCTTAGTTCACATCATCTTGTGGCATGGAAATCTTTCATGGATCATTACATTTCTTAGTTTGGCAAAACAAAATCCACTTCCATATCAGATTACAATTAATCTCATCATTACTATCATCATTCAACATACAGTCCAATATATTTGTAAGCATATACATATAAATTACATTTGCAGTTAAGTCCTATGTTTAACAGAACTTGTTGAATCAGACATGTTAAAAGAACAGTTAAACACATATGAAATGAATAAGGTATTGCACTTCCATTACCACTACATGAAAGATATCATACTAAGGTCAAGCATTACTCCTCTTTCCTCAGCTCCACAAACCTCCCCCTTTACCCCTCCTTTACTTTCTTAGTTCACAGAGTGAAGTACAATGTACATGGGACTATGTGAGGAACCTCTCAGTCAACTCTGCTGACTTGTCTGGTAATTCCCATAACATGGATGAGAGATCTCATCTCTCCCCATGAAGAAACACCATGTACAGAAGCTCTGAGAACCTTTCCCCTTTCCTCTCCTTGACCTTCTTACTCCATTCAGGAAGTATGTAGGACTATACGTGAGGCTTGTTTAGTACCGTCCTGTTATAGGGATGAGAGATCTCATCTCTTCCCATGATTAAGGAACACCATGTACAGAAGCTCTGAAAACCATTTCCCCTATCCCCCCTCCTTGACCTTCTTACTCCATTCAGGAAGTATGTAGGACTATACATGTGAGGATTGTGTAGTACAGTCCTGTTATAGGGATCAGAGTTATCATCCCTATTTAATGCTAGAAGGGACACAACTCTTCCCCCTTTCCCTCCTTTTTATTCCTTAGTTTATCAAGGAAGTACACAGGACTGTGTGAAGAGCCTCTGATCGAGTCATCTCTGCTGTCTGGTCTGGTCTGGTCTGGCCAACCCCTATTACAGGGATCAGGATCCAGATGTTAATTGCTTCTGCTCTACTTGCTCAGCTGGTTGACCCTGCTGAGAGTGTAGGACTTGTGTCCCCAGTAGCTTGCTGAACAGACTCAGTAATGCAGAGTGCCTCTCAAGGGCAGATCCAGACTGTGAGAAGAGACAGAGGAGGAGCAAGTGGCAAGATTGTAGGACATTGAATGTAACATCTACATATACGCTACAGTATAACTTACAAAGGTCAAACCTTTGAACCTAATACATTGTACACAATAAAAATTCTTAAAATGTCAAGAAAGGGAAGAAACCACTTGCACATCCACTAGAACAGCTTGACTAAGTGCCCCGATCAATTAAGATATGAAGACTGAGCCTGCAGTATACTGATTACCTCCTCACTATTCAAATATCACGTGTATCAGTCCCCAAAAACATGTTACAACAATCATGTTCACAAAAACTAAGTCATGTTCTGTCATCGATAACATTTCTTCAGAAAAAACATGGAATCCTAACCTTGAAATCAAAAGGTCAAAGATGAGTCACATGGCAGACAGAATGAATGAGATATGATGAGGAAGGCAGGGAAAGATATATGGAAGATAAACAAACCAAAGCACTCACCAGAAAGGCTGCTTCATTTGTGAGACACTCTTCAGTCATGTGCTTCATTGCTTTGATGAAAGCCATAGTGTAGAGTGCAGTATCCTTGGTCATGTAGAATGTGATTGGTAATCCTTCCCAAGGACTGAACTCACTCCCATCTTCACCACTCTCATGCGGTATCTGTTCATCATCAATCACCAGCTTCACAAGATGAGCAGGGCTGATGCCAGCGTGTTCTGCCAGGACTTCTTTCCTTTCTAAATGAAATACAATAAAAATGAAACCAACTTGGGTTAGGATTGCTGTCCCTTTGTGATTATACTTTCCTTTTTGGTATATATTTTGTCAGGTGATAATCTACATCAAGATTTTTTTATTAAATTGTGGTGTCAATGCATAACGGGGGCACAAGGTATCTAATTCGAGGTAGAATTTTATAACTATAAACATTTGACCTGAAAGATGACAAGGAACATGACAGAATTTTAGACTAAGCTAAACAATTAAAATAATGCGCAAACTAACAGTACTTTCATATACTTGTATTTCTTGTCAGTTGATGAAATGTCATTGCCATCAAGGAAAAAGACTTCTATCTTTCATATATATCAGTAAAGAGAAAAATATCAGTTAGAAGAAAATCAACTGACACTGGATTAAATACATTGCAAGATGAAGAAAAAAAAAGAGAGCAAAATGCTTGACTGTTCTGTCGCAATGTACTTGTATGTGATATCTTGACCACATTAAACCAACCTACCTCTCTGGGATAGTTTGTCTATGTAGAGAGTGTTTCCTGCAAAGGCCACTACAGCCATAGGATGGATGACAGAGCAGTCACGGACAAAGGTCACATCAGATCGTATCTGTAGGGATATGGAATAATCCAATATATATTTTATCAATCTAAAATTGTTTACTAAAAAAATGTAATCATTTGTGGCTTAAGGGATGAATTGCAGATTTTACACTGTACATGGAGGTAAACATTAAAACATAATTGGACTATATTATATAAAAGATATACATTAAGAACATGTGACATAAAATAGAATTATGGTAATACAGCTGGACTATACCACTCTCGGAGTCCAGTAAGCAGTACTCAATGGGTTATTCTTACAAATGTTATATCATTATGAGCTACCGTAAATCTCCGTGTATAAGGCGCACCTGTGTATAAGGCGCACCCCTATTTTTAAGACTTTAAAAAAAAAAAAATAAAAATCGAAAAAAAAAAAAAATCGGGAAATTCTTTTTGCTTTTATTTGTTTTTTGTTGCTTTTTGTTAAAACCAGATGAGATCCAGTCTTATTTCAGAGTTCGGAAATACTTTCATTTTATTACGAGGCAAAGTTGAAGTGCTTGTGAACTAAGTTAGACCTTTGCACAACAATAACAAAATCCAGCAGTCAAAACAGCATGTCCATTTGAAGATATGGGACTACAATGACTATACAATGGTACAGGACATTTCTAGAATAACTCCACACAACTTACCGACAATTTTATGTTGCATTGTTGATATGAAGACGAAAATAAACTGCATAACTTATTTTTCTAATAAAATCTGCCAGTAGATTTAGATCTAAATCCGTACCATATTGCCAAAAAGTAAAAGAAGGGACGTGAAAGATCGTTTCTTACGAAGCTAGCTGCCGCGCAACACAACTGCGCAGGTTAAAATCGCAATTCCGTATTACACCGCACATTGTGGTAGGATACCAAATCTGCCCCCGTGTAAGTGAACTGCATGATACAGGTGAGTGAGCTGAAGACACGGGAGAGCTTCGGCCGGCAAAGTGCTTTGTGAAGGGCATAATTTATCGAGACTGAAAAAAAAAAAAAAAAATCAAAATCTCTTCCCTTCAAAATTAGGAACGTAGTTTTACTTCATATAGTAGATTCCATTCTTTATTTTCATTATAAAATTCATGTTGAGATACAGAGATTTTTGAAAACCACTAAAAAGTTGCATTTTGAGGACTCAAAATATTCTGTACCTGTGTATACGGCGCACCCCGACTTTTGATTTTTCCCCGACGGTAAAAAAAGTGCGCCTTATACACGGAGATTTACGGTATTTGGTCTGCTATCAACCTATCAGAATCCAGTAAAGATTTTCCTTTTGTATTTTGTGATTGTATGCGGTGAACACTTTTGGCAATGTTCTTGATTTTCCAACAACATCTTTATCAGCCCAGTGATATCCTGCCTGCCATTGCGTGCCTTATTGTGCATGCATTCTTGTATACCCAAGGCACAACAATCCGGATGTATGAGGAACTATGGATATGTTCTGAAAGACTTTTACCTAAGAAACCCATATATCTACCCATAAGCAGGTTAAGAAAAAATAATTTCTGTAGTATGAAATTATTTACCAATGTTAGAAATGTCAATACAAACCTTTGAGAAGTACGTAAGCCATTTGCTCCTGAAGTCTTTCTTTCCGCAGTTGACAGATCTTCTATGAAGCAGAATATTGTTGGAATCTCTGGAGGGAGAGGAGGAATCAAGAGAAGATATAAACATCTTATAACAAAACCTTGAGTATGAAATGCAGCATTGATCAATGGTAATGTCTGGTCCAACCTTACTGAATGAATATTCTCTGATCAGCTATTTCAAGTCATACAGCTTCTACAGCAACAAAACACATCTGAAGTATTTCAGAGATTTTATTTTCTTCATAACTAGGAGTGCATTTAGGTTCATGATTTCTGCAGATACTTTGAATACAGTGAGCACATAACATCAACATGACACAAACCTCTAAATACATGTATCATTGCCACAAATGAATAAATCTTGTAATAGCATCTATTATCAAATAAAATCTTGTATTTTTAGGAAAGCATCGGGAGAAGTGTTTCAGTATGAGGATGATATACTTACAAGTCTTTGAAGATCAATTTATTGGTTCTAAGCTTGCCCTTCTCGTGCTTGCCAAATCTTGCCTTGAGAAGGTTGGGATAGAAAGCACTACAGATCACAGCCTGCAACATTATAGAATATAAAAGACATAAGTATATAAATCATATATGTATTACAAGGAAAGGAATATAGTACGCTACAGGATGGCCCTCAAGGTAATTTTTAATTAAATCCCTACAAATCTGTTGAAATATTCCATGCATTGACAGCCATCAATACATCCGAGCTAGAAGCTAACAATGTACACAACTTTAAAAAAATTTCTGACGTGAGATTTATCAGCATACGCATATGAAGCATATTTGCTCCATAAATCAGATATGTCAAAAGGAGCCTACCTGTATGTCTGATGCAAACATTAGGAAAATTGGAACAAACTGCTCAAACAATTTGAACGTGATGTAATTTCACAATACCAAGTCTTTCAAAGTCTGTATCACTTCATAAAATTAAATTGCCTTGAAATTATTCATAGTTTGCATCAGATAAGTTTCAACTTGACATCCATGGTCTAAATAGGACTTTCTGTAACAATATCTCAACAGACTTTGATGGATCTAAAATCTTGTTTCATTAAAGTGTACCAATCACCCAAACTACTATGTTCTATACAGTGTATGTTAGTAGTTCCAGGTCGTAATACTATATTCAAAATATGAGCTTCAATTACTACTTCTGTACATAGATTTTGCAAGATTAAATACACTCATGACTTGTGAGTAGACTACTCATCACACCTGTAGCTTGCATGGAATAGGACCTATAAGGAACCCAAAACAGACTTTGGTTCTGTGTGCATGGTTTTATGTTATTCTTAATTTGTTCATACTCTTTATCAGTTAGCCCATAGAATGCCAGGTGAAGTTTTTTTTAGGTTGATTTTATACATTCTAGCTGGACACAAATTATTTGTGTAGGTGATTGGTATATTTAAAGAAAGCATGAACTTTTGATTAGAAATTTGAAGTTGATAAGTCTTGGAAGGTTAAGAGATTGCGTACCTTTATGAGCTCTGGATCCCCACTATTCTCATTGCATCGTGCTGAAGGATCAAAACATTCACTAGACATCATCACCATCCCGGAATCCTCAAGATTGCTTGCAAACTGACGACGTAACCCTAGGTATAGACATACAAAAGATTGCTTAACGTTCAATCCATAATTGTTGTCACTGCTATATGCTGTAGATACTTAGAGAAGTTTCCATTTATTTCATACTGTTTTCGCAGAATTTTAAAGTGACCTACTCACTATCAACAGGATTGCCTTCACCTGTCACTAATCCAGTAGGATTTCTCCTACAGACATTTTTTTTTCATTTCATTATCATCATAGTAACAGGCATGCTACATTAACATACATCTTCAAGAATTATAAACAGGTTTTCATCTTGTTAAATTCATTTTGTCTTTCATTGCGTGATGTCAAAGGGAACGACAGATACTGTAAGACAGAATAAAGCCCTTCTGGTTCCAAACAGACAATATAATAATCCTTCATACTGGTTACCTCTGATGAATTGCAGGGTGAGGAGAGAGAGATGATGAGACTGCACATAGCTAAATGCACTCTGTCTACCAGCCTTCTGCTGTTCCTCCCATCCCTGATAAAGAGCTACTCTCATCAGATGATCACTCTCACCATCTCCGGAATACTCTTTCATCTTCTGTAAACATAAGAAAAGTGAAAATATGGTTATCAAAGCCAATGAAGAGTCAATGAGACTGCACATAGCTTGATGCACTCTATCCACCAGCCTTCTGCTGTTCCTCCCATCCCTGATAAACAACTACTCTCATCCGTTGATCACTCTGTCTCCAGAAAACTTGCATACATCCATCATAAAATGAAAGCAAGGTTATCAAAGCTAATAAGAATTTCTAGCTAAGGGAGCCACTGAGCTGAAATCTAACAAAAATTGCCAATAGAGATTAAGGGGCTACAAAATAAAATATGCATTTTGTCTGAAATGATCAATATTAGGGCATAGGTCAGAAAATAATACGATACACAATAGCCGGCCTCTGCCAGGAGAAAAGTAAATTCAAAATAATACCCTTTATTGGACTGGATGAAATCAGATTACATTTCAATCATACCATTAAGTTTTCAATTTTTATTTGAGCTTCTACTAAACTGGCATAAATAAAAAAGATTGTAAGAGCATTCGTACCTTCATGATGAGTTTTCTGTTATCCAGATTTTCTCTGAAAATATCTCTATTGCACAAACTGGCAGCTATAGTTAAAATGGGATCCACACACCTGGATTGAGAAAGAAAACAAGCATATACCAATAAAGACATTTTATAAAATATATGAAATTTATGGAAACATAATCTTTTCAAGAACAAAGAAAATTAAAAAATAGTGAGAATTATGAACAGAAATTACAATAGGGCCCTTTAAGGTTCTACCGAGGATGAAAGTTAATTAATTTAAAGGGATTGTGTCAAGTAACAGTTGATATAGAGGGAAAAAATACTGCGGAAAAAATGATATACCATGTATTGGGAAAAGTCAGATAAAATGAACCCTTCTAAAGAATGTTCATCAAGCCATAATGAAAGAGAACCAAGACAAGGGAGACAGACTGACTGACTGACACACACGCACCTGAAAATGGTTGAGAAGATGATAGCCTTAGCAATCCTAGGATCAGATCCAAAGCAGGAGATCTTCTTTCCTAAAGACGTCAGTTCCTCCTTCTCATTTAAGATGTCCAAGTCTTGTAAAAGATCAATGGCACCAGACACTGGAAAAACAGAAAGAAACATGGCATTCAATAATGAAATGGATGCTTGATGGGTTTGAACAGAAAGAGAGAACCATTTTAAGAGTTCAAACTGTAAATGAATTATACATTTTTTGACTCCAATTGTCAGTCATGTGATCCGTCACAAAAATTGTGGGAAAGCTCACAAGACCAGACAACATGGGCTTCTGACAACTTTACTGAGGGTTCCTGGGACTAAAGATATCTGTCTTGTGGAACTTGGGATATTTTAAAGCAGGAAACCCACGCACAGACATGTCAGCATCGTGTGCTGTTGGTCTCAGGGGCTGAAGCCTGTCTGAATTTCTCCTTTTGTTTGTCTCTACATAAGCTGATAATTCCACAACATCAGAACCTTAAGGTCCTTTGATAATGAATGAAGCATATTCCCATTTCTAGAATTTCTAGACTTTTTTCTAGGAATGTGTGGTTGTATTACCTGCTTGAGATGGAGGTGGTTCTAGAGCTTGTGCAAGGAACATCTCTGCTGATACAGCCTCATTATGAACCTTGGCTTGGACTACAATCTGCTCTAATGGTATTCTTAGAATCTCTGCTGTCTGGAATTTACCTGAAATATACAGATATCATGCACTGGATTTTAAATGTAAGCCTCATGTATGTAATTTCTTTATGTTTAATTATTTATTTACGTCAAATGTTAGTTAATCAGTTGGCTAGTGAAGCCTTTACTTCTCATTTTCCCTGTATTCTCTGGCAATCTGAATTGACCATGGGAATAAGGTTACTTTGGGGGTAAAGTTGTAGCTATCATTCTCACAGGCCCCCACTGTCACACAACAATGCTTCCTAAAGTTAATTAAAGTTTTAAAAAAGCCATCAAGGTTTCATCTATTAATTGTATTGATGTATCAAAATGGTAAACCTGGGTCAATTCATTGAAATTCATAACTGGCAATTCCTGCATATGACTATTAGACTAGATTGGACTGTCGAGTTGTATGCTAACATTTCTCACTACTGAAAAGATAAACATACAAGAACACAGAGTCAAAATTTAAAGCAAAAAGAGCTCAATATTGATGTCATTCCTGATTCTCATGTATTCAATGAGTGCCAGATTAATGATCAACTTACTCATCTGTTTGTATACATCTTCATCAAATAGGTGGAAGCATTCCCCTGGCTGGCGGCGTCCTGCCCTGCCTTTCCTCTGTGTAATGTTGGCTTTGGATGCCCAATGAAGGTCCAGACAAGAGACCTACAATATAACATACAAGACACAAGATAACATACAATTCAAAAAAATTTCTTGCTGCAATAAAAAAGCTCTTAATTACAAATAGCATATTGCCATGCTAAGGATATTTTCTAGTTTTTTTCAGTAGATTATTGAAATTTTATTATGTGTCATGATCTTTAAAAAAAAAAAAAATCCAATACCACTTCCTAATAGGCATTATGAACCTTTCTCAATGACCATTTTCATACATATTTTGTGCTACTCATCTAGCTCATTAAAATCTATGAATAAACAATAAGATTCTTCCATATTTGAAAATTAGTTAATGCATTTAATGTACATGTGTATATTGAACAAATATCCCCTTCACAAATTACTGCCAGGGAGAAGATATTTTCGCTGTGTATACTGTAATTTGTATTGTAGTTTTGAGAGAATGAGGTTCCTAAAATAGGAAGCAGGATAAACTTACCCCCAAGTCTGAATCAAAACGCTCTTCTTTGTGGTTTCCAGTGTTCACTACGTACACTACATCTCCTATAGTGATGGATGTCTCTGCTACATTCGTTGCCAGGACAACCTTCCTCACCCCTACTGGTGGTCTGGAGAAGAAACAATCTTAATCTCTTTAATTTTACAAGTGTAAGTAAGTACTGAACATGTACTTAACAGAAAACGCAATCTTTGGCATGTTGCATTTACACATGTATTTGGCTTTCCTATAGAAGAAGTACACAAATATACTGAACATTGCTAGAACAAAAATATGCTCACACTCTGTATAGAATCTTGGGCAATTATCATAATATATGTAAGAAAAGCTCTCATATTTGGTATTCTGCTAATGAAGTCTTCATAGTTTCATGAATTTCTTTGAGTCTATTAACATCAAGTAAAGTAACTAAATTGTTTCTCTATTCATTTGATATACATCACCAACCTCTATGTTGGACATGTTAAAGACATATGGTATGAAAGCAGAAGCAACAGCAAAGTAAGAGTTTTCTTGTCCCTCAGAAAACCTCCCAACTTACATATCAAACATTGCTTGCTGGTTATCAACTGTGATATGAGAGTGCACTGGATAGACCTCATGCTCATCTCTACTCTGTAATAATAAAAATGAAAGCACAAATAATTATTGTTTCGCTGAGCGAAATTTATTTTTGTGTTTTTTAAGCAAGTTGAAAATCTTAGAGGAGATTTTTAGAGTTCAGATTGTTTGTTACATAAGATGAGAAAAAAGGGTCATTTTGTTCATTTTAATAACAAGAAAGCTAGATATCTATTCTCTTTCAGCTTCAATGAAGCATTTAGGTATTTTATAGAAGGTCAATTGACAATTTAAACATTTACAATAACTGTTGTATTTATGATCGATGTTTTTTATAGTAGGATTTGAAATGGCCTTTTCTTTGAGTATTTTTTTTAAAGGATACCTTACATTCGACTTCGATAATAACCGAAGCCATTTTAGACACTTGTTTGTGTAGTCTGTCGAGCGTCAAGTCACTGGAGATGAGCTCTCCAGTTTTCCCAGTTTTCCCCGTTTTGTCCTGTTTTTTTACAGTGACACCAGTTAGCCCAGTGTTTCGGCAGTAAATTGCTAAGTTCCGGCCAAAGAAGTGAGTTTCTGATATTTAGATAAAGTTATGTTAAATGTGCAAATGATAAGTTGAATTTAATTCGTTCAACTTCAGTAAACATTTAATCGCACGTGTGAAAGTGAATATTATATGTGTGGTGCTATGCCAGAGACAGTACTGTACAATTTGTTGCCGTTTTGGCGAAGAGTAAAAGTGGATAAATATAAAGGGAAATAAGAGAAATGTCAATAATTTAGGCGAGATTTGGTCAATTTATATTGAACTGTATTGTGTTTATTTAGTCAGTGCAAGTGAAGTTTTGCTTTGAAATATTCATGTAGATTTCTGGATAATGTAATTTAAAAGCAAGTGGTTCATACTGTGCAGGGTGTAAATGTCACCTACTTAATTATGCGCACAGCTAGAGCCAAGCTTTTACATGGGGCTTTGCATTGAAAGCAGTCTTCATGTTTTGAGTTATCTTTGTAACATAAACAGAGAGTTATGAATTATAGGTTTGTGAAGACTAATTGAGTATAGTTCAGATAAAGGAATTTAGTCAAAACTTTATTGTGAATTATTAGGAACAAGTGTTGATTTTCAGATTGGGTTGATATTTTGGAAAGATGTGATTTAAACACGTATAGTGAGATAGGCTTTTGGATTTCAGCCATAGCATTTATTTTTGTTTGGCATTTATCAGGATGTTTATGAAAGTATACATTTGTAGTGACAAATGTTTAACTTAGTTAGTTGCCTTTATTAATTATGCAAATACAAATGCATGTTTATGTATGGCTACCAAATCACAAGGTCCAGGTTTAGAACAGTTTGGGTAATTGATACACAAGTGGTGTATATTTATGAGTACAAGTTCATTAAGTTGTATTAGAGGCACTCAGAATTAAGAAAACAAAGGAAACTTTTTCGTGCAATACTTATTAATTTATTGTATTTTCTGTGCATCTGATTCTCATTATAGATTGAATTTTTGTGTCTGTGTTGTCTTCGACTCTTCATACTACTCTTCGTTTGAGGAAGCTGATAAAGACTTCATAATCCTATTTCGAGTTTGGAACTTTTGCAATTTGTTTCATGGTCAGCGAACCAATTATTCTATTGTAATTGTTTAATTTTTGTTATACAGTACATCATTCTTGTATATGGAAGCTAAATTATCTCAAATCTTTCTTCCTAAAAAAAGTTTTAAAAAATGGTGCAACCTTCATAAAGAATCAATATATTATAAGCTCTCAAGACAACATGAACTCTCAAAGAATCATTTAGGTTAGCATTATTGACAAAAGGCATTCTTGAACTGTTATACATTTATAATGATAATGACTTTCTCAGCTCATCCAAATTCAGTTAATAAGCAAACTCCTGACACAGGAGACTGTGAACATCATTCTAAAACTGTCACTACTTTTCAAATTTCTTACGAGGCTCTATACCTCATTCAGTCTGTCATACAAACGCTGAAATTACAACAGTATTGACTGTAAAAACCCAAGTTAATTGAAATATGTGATTCTGACTGTTACAGTCTGTTTCATGCATTTGTGAGTGCGTTTGTAACTATCATTTGTTAAAACTGTAAAACTCACGTTTCTGATGGTTTTATCTAGTTTTAATAGTTTTCTTTTCTCTTATGGTGTGTCATACAATTTACATGCTCTATGTCTGTTGAAGATAAACTTGAGTTCTGGTAAATATAGAAAATAAATTCACACAAAATCCAACAAAACTTACACTGAATGTTCAAGATTACAAATAAATGACATGTGCCAAACAATTTTGGTAGAAAATTTAAAGTGGTCGAGTAATGAGCATACAAAGGTAAGGAAATCCGGGTAAGTAGGCCCGACACCATGTGCTTAACACAGGTCACTAAGTGCAAATGAGAGTTGTGGTTTTTATTGAAAATGATGCCCAGTAAGTTTTTGTGCAATTGTTTTAATTTCACTGGTTCAAACAACCAATCTACTGCAGGATAAATCATAGCAATTTTCTCAAATACGATTCCCATTCCCATGCCAGAGCTCAAGAATAGCTTTAATAGTTTTGAGTCTCTCACCTGGTCCCATGCCCTCAGTAGTTTGTCATACACACTCTTGATGTCCTGCCAGCCAGGTAGGAAGCACAGTATAGCACCCTGGGGATAAAAAGAAGAATAGGCACGTTCAGGAGAAAGTAAAATCCACTAGCACAGGAATTAAACAATCACATTAAACCAATTCTACTGCTGTAAAACAATGAATGTAGAATGGTTTCATTACTAGAAAACTTACAAATTTATTCAAAAAGAAAATTTGAAGTAGAAGATTAGTTCTTATCAACCATCTAACAATTGAATCTACCTTAAAAGAACTACTACTTTGTACCAAATTATCGAAAGTGGAAGTACCATAAAATCACCCCCCCCCCCAAAAAAAAAAAAGCCCACAAGAAATTCAATGGATAAGAAACATAGAGCATAAAAAGAAACAAATAATTCTAAAACTATATCAGCATGAAATGCATGCTAGTTAATTAGAGTATGATTTTGGTATTTAAACTTGCAATATCATTTTACATTTTATACTCATTTGAGGCTGATATTTTAAATGGAGTATTCCAGCATGAAACCCCATACATACATTTTGGTGGTTAGTCCCCTTGAGTACTCACTTATCTAATTTGTCAGTTCAAACATTTTACCCTTTCTTTTTAAAAATACACCTCCTGAGAACACCGCTGAATATCTTTAGGATGACGAATCTAAAGAACAGAACTGTGTGTGTGTTAATTGGGTTTTACAGACTTGTGTCAAACAGATGTAATTATTTGCATCTGGAACTGACCTTAAACGTCACCATCTGAAAGACATGACTCAGTTTCAAACCTGGGTCCTTTCAGAGTCAGCTTCTACATGTAGGCAGAGACAAGGCACTGGCTGTACCGTGGACAATACTTCTTAACTTTAGCAATTCAAAAAGCATAGCAACTCACTGCTGGCTTTTTCTCGTCAATGGCTTTGATGACCTCTACCACAAGGTCAACATTGGTTGGTGGTGCTCTCTGATTCTTCCTGCTCTTCTTTGATTGGTCCTTTGCTTTAGTCTTGTTCTCCTGCTCAAAGAGTGGACTCTTGTGTTTGTTTGGATTGATATCCAGGTCTGCTAATGTTTCAGGGAGGAAGTATTCCTTGACAGGATACATGAATCCAGGCACATTGATCATAGGGCAGCTAAACATAACAGAAAGGTGAACATATGAAGACATTGTTACATCATATCCAGAACAATATAAATGTATCCAGGCACATTGATCATAGGGCAGCTAAATATAACAGAAAGGTGAACATATGTGGACATTGTTACATCATATACTTTGAAACCACAAATGGTTTCAAAGTTATCTTGCCGAAAGGAAGCAAATTACATCTGTAAATTCTCATTGTTCTTTTTTTAATCTGATATCATATGGCATCCCTCAGGGCTCTATTTTGGGGCCTCTCTTATTTTTGATTTACATCAATGATATTGTAAACTGTTCCACTTTCTGTAAATTCACACTTTTTGCAGACGATACGACTATTCTTGCCTCAGAACAAAAATTTGATCTATTAACCCATAAACTGAATATTAATTTGGAGTATGTTTACGAATGGCTAGTTTGCAATAAGCTGTCTTTGAATGTTTCTAAGAATAAATTTGTTATTTTCAAAAATGCTAGGAACCTAAATCCTGTATATGACAATGTATCTATTTCTATCAACAATAGATTAATTGAACAGTGTAGAGTTTTTAATTACATTGGAGTACTTTTCGATGAAATCCTATCTTGGACTTCTCATATTAATTATATTACAAAAAAGGTTTCTCAGAGCATTGGTATTATTAGTCACTTAAGATTTGTTATTCCACTCCGTATCTTATTCATGTTATATAATGCATTTTTTTTGCCATATATTATGTATTGCAATTCTGTTTGGGCGACGAAACATCCCTCTAAGTTACTCAAATTATATAGACTTCAAAAAAGGGCATTAAGACTCTGCTCTAATTCTCCTTTCTTAGCTCCCTCACAACCTTTATTTAGAAAATTCAATACTTTACAAATTTATGATATTAATAAATTGCAAATTGACGCAACAATTTTTTCTCAAATTCACTACCTCCAAACCTTATGCACCTATTTAGTCTTAACAATGTGGTCCATACCCACTACACAAGAATGCTTCGTCCAATATACTGACCGATTCTCTCCGTTATGTTGGTCCAAAAATGTGGAATTCCCTACCTCCATTTTTACAATCTGTCAGATTAAATAATTCTTTCAAAAGACTTTACAAGAAACATCTTCTCTCTCTTTATAACGCATAATTTATTTTTTAGACCACACCTATATTACTAATACTCCTCCTTTTTCTTTTTCTTTTTTTTCTTCTTCAAGTATGTGTTATTATTACTTCTGCACCTGGTGTATTCCATTGTCAAGCCTTACTGGCTTTTACGGATGCACCTTTTTCCATTTATATTTTGGATGGAAAACACATCAAAAAGTGCTACATTGACTAAACATACATGTGCTACATGATTACTCTTTACTGGGTTCAATAATTGTTTAATGATATTTTATGGTTTCCTGCAACTTATTTCAACAAACCCTCTATTTACATCATCAGTCAATGAATACCACATAATCCAATTAACTGATCTAGTATCAGAGTCGATTTACTCACTCGTCAAAATACTTTGAGAACAATCCTGGGTTAATAGAAGCACTCATTAGGATTAACTTGACCTTCGTGTTCCTTTCCAGGGCATTCTTTAACAAGACAAGAAGGAAGTCAGTGTTGACATCACGCTCATGAACTTCATCCACTATCACATGACTGATACCTACAACAACAACAAAAAGCAAAATATTTGCTGACTAATGTAATCTTTCCAATAAGGTGGTGATAATGTTCATACAACGAATCCCTGAATTGGAAGAGGAAGAGTAAACCTACATCTGTTCATGTCTGTGTATGTTTATTTCAATGACAGCAAAATTCCATGAAGATCACCATGAAGAACCTGATGGATTCTATGAAGTTAATAAGGACATGCTGACAATTTCAGGAGTCTCCATTCAAACTGACAAAATAATGTGAAACAACATTCAATTCATTTAACAGACGCTTGCTTACAATATATTTTATCACCTGACGAAGTGTTGCAGCGGCGCACGAAACGTCGTGATCTTTTGATCCCTTGTTGACCATGCATTGCGAGACAAACGAATGTCACTAGCGATATTATTTTTGAAAACATTCATTTCCTTGCAGAAACAACTAATACTAATGGAGAAATTAGTATACTAGTGGAAAAATTAGTTGATCAAAAATTAATCTACTCTCGTAGAGCTAACTTGACTGTTTCTTTACCGCAAGTGTTTGAGATCTATAAATATAAAACTTAGCTGGAGGCAGCATACCTGCAAAATATTTGTCCCATTCAAATAGTATTTGGTCAAATGAAAATTCTCAAATCTCATCGCATCTACTGCTCTGTAACAATTCAATCATTTCTTTTATAATACTCAGCTGGTCTTTTTTTTAAACCAAGTTGTTTTGGTTCAAGTCAACCATATTTACTGTTACCAAATCGCAAAGCACTTTGTAACTGCAATAAAATAAAAATCTGTTATATGTATTCTGCTACCTGTCAAATCTGGATTCTGTTGTAGTTTCTTGAGTAGGATACCAGTGGTACAGACGAGCATACATCCATGACTCTCTGGCATTCTACGATGAAGTCTGATCTGGTAACCAACTGTCTTGCCAACCTTTTCACCTCTTTCTAATGCGATCCTCTCTGCTGTGGATATTGTACTTATTCTCCTTGGCTAAGGAATGACACAAAAATGGTTGAAGGTTAAAAAATAAAAGTATCTGTATTTCTAATATTGTGTTCTTTTACACCTGGCAATACATCATTCACGATATAGTGTGCGTTGCTTGAATCCATACAGATCTCTACTATCGGTGACTTTTCTTTATTTTTCTTTGGGGGGGGGACCAAAAATTAGGTTATAATATCAGTCAACTTTTATATACAAGAACAAGAATTTAAATAAGTTTGACAAAAATTTCAAGAAAAATTTATTTCTGAACACATTATTAGAAGATCAGAACAAATCAAATCTTCATAGATGTTATCAAGTGAAATGTAGACTTAAATAGAAAATATATTCCCTGCAAAACATGAGTGGTTTCTCAAAGCACCAGTCTATTCACACATAAAGGTATGATAAAAGAGTGAACTAGATTTGTAAAAACTTCAATACGATCGATAAGACATACCTGAGTTATGACTATATTGCACTGTGATCCCATATCTTGTCTGATCCAATCGTCTAGAAGGAATTGTGGCATTTGAGTTGTCTTCCCACAACCAGTTTCTCCACAAAGAACCACTACCTGGTTCGCATTGATGATAGATAATATCTCCTCTCTGTAACAGGACAAACATGTGGAATCCAATACATTAGTTATATCAACATTGCAGTTGTTAAGAACATCATAGCAGAAACTTTCAAAGATCTTTGTACACCTTCTGTGGGACGAAAGAAAATGGGGTTTTAGAAAATGGCAGAGTTCTCTTGTAAAAGATTGCTGAACAAGTTGCTGACTGAAAATGAAAAATTATAATAATACAAAGTACTATGTTCAGACCTCGAGTCTGATTTAGCTACAAACACATCTTAAAGTACATGTAGAAAGATACATTTCTTGATTTTTGATTTTGATTTAAAAAAAAAGAAAAGAAATATGGCACCATAAACTTTGCGATCATCAATTTAGCAAAGAATACTTGCGAGCAGGGCTTCACTCTAACATATGTGTTTTTCTTAGGGTTCCTGTATAAAATGATTGCAGGTATACATACAAGCACGAGCCCCTTGTAAAACTTTTGAAATTTTGTGGGTCCAGACTTAAGATTTTGGGCACTCAGGTGTCTATTAAGTATTAGTTTTGATTCCTGCAGTAAGTCACAAACCTGGTTTTTGGAAGTAATCGCAAGTTAGGCTACTTCAAATATTGACACAGATTCAAGGATTACAAATTCACACAACTGAATTCAAATTAAAACAGTGTACCAACATCATATTACCTCTTATCTAAGATTGGCAGTGTCTGCACTTTCTTCATTATTTCAGCAATATCAGGGTTACTTCTTTGGTTGATGAGCCTCTGAAGTAGTATACCATTCCGTATATCACGCTTGGATTCTGAAAGATGCTTGTAAGGTTTGTCAGAGAAGATATCCGTGACCCTCTCTGCTGTTTCCTCCTCTGACATCATCATTGAGTAGAATGAAAGATCTTTATGTGTTTGGTCATTATCCTCAGAGTTCTTGGATTCTTGGTTCTGAAAATTAAAAAATCCTGAGAGTTTTCACTTCCTGGTCTGCATTAGGTCAACATAACAATGAGAAAATACTACCAATGATGCCAGTTAACTTTCATTCTATTTGCTAAAATGGTCAGCACTGTCCATTGAAAGATCTTCTCTAACCAAGAGTTAGTGAGTGTCTATTACTAATTCAATATCTTAAAATTCCAAAAAGTTCAAAGCAATCATTAGTTAGTTTCATGATAAAGAGAACAAAAATTACACATAATAACTAGAGCTTAATGGTATAAAAGGTTCTACAGATATACAAACTTGTATACGTACTACAAAATAAATGGCTCACACAACTTTCCTATAAGGAGTTACCGGTAACTGAAACAAGATAGTGGCAAAATCTGAAATTGAATTGCTGATTTGAGCACTTGTTGGTAGCTCTTTAACAAACCACATGAGCACAACTAGCACAGTCAAGCAGGTCGTCATCTGTTTGCAGGCCATATCTCTAGTATTGTGCAGCATGGATAATCAAGTTAGTCAATGGCTTGTACAAAGTAAAACTAGCTGTAACATTCACCTTCAGCTTTTTCAAGAAACTTGACAGCTCCTTGCTCACTTGCTCATCAGCCTCAATGATATCTGGTTGATTCTGTTTCCTCAAGAAGATCCGTCGGTCTTCTGTCTTATAAACCACGTCAGGAAGCAAAGGGTTGTTGTTATCATCCATCAGACCAAGCTCCTGTCAAAGAAAAACAATCAAACAAATGATGAAGACAAAGAGTTGTGGAATAAGTCAGGCAGGGCCATGGCTTGACTATGGAATGCAGACAAGCATACTTTAAATACTGTCCATACCCATAATGTATCCAGATCTACTCCTGTATACTGGATCAACAGGCTCATAGAGGGACGTACTGTACAACAAAAAGCAAGCTCAGTTTGGCGAGCTGTGATAGCTCTTGATTTCTTATTTTTTCAGATGATGAAAAACACCTCACAAACTGTGGTTTGTTAAAGAGCCTCCGACGATCCTGCGACATCAAGTATACCACAAACTTAGCCGTATCAACACATCGAAGGCCTGTCATCCAGGCGAATGCCCTTCACGTCTTTTGAAGGAGTTTGCCTTTGAGCTGTCCGAGCCCTTAACCCACATTTTTAATTGCTGTCTAAGAGAGGGTTGTTTTCCTAATATTTGGAAAAATGCTTCTGTGTGTGCAGTACCGAAGGTTTCACCAGTGACTGGTTTTGACCAGCTACGTCCCATCTCGATTACCCCTATAATATCTCGCATCTTTGAAGGGTTCCTTGCTGATTGGATATTGTACGACATCAAGGACAAAATCGACCCTAAGCAGTTTGGTAACAGACGCGGTACTTCGATTGTGCATTGCCTCGTCAGCCTGTTGGACACCATCCATACAGGTATCGACACCTCTGGAACCTTCGCTAATCTGTGCACAATAGACTTCAGTAAGGCGTTTGACCACGTTAATCACGCGATTGTGATCCAGAAGCTGATTGGGTTAGGAGTAGATCGCTCTATCATCCCTACTTTATGTAGCTTTTTGTCTCAGAGAACGCAAACTGTCCGCTACCATGGAACAACCTCCCAGGAGAGATCCATCACGTGTGGAGTGCCACAGGGAACACGTTTGGGCCCGATACTTTTTTTGGTATTAGCCAACGATGCTGCACAGATGACTGAGAACCGCTGGAAGTACGTAGATGACCTAACTTTGTTGGAGGTCATTAACAAATTTCAACCGTCCCAATTACAGTCTCATGTCGATTGCCTTACTAGTTGGTGTCAGGAAAATGATGTTATCCCGAATGCCGCTAAGTGCAAGGCTATGCAAGTCTCCTTTCTCCGAACTCCACAGCATCCTCCTGATCTGCTCATCGACTCAGCTAGCCTGGAGATTGTTTCCGCGATTAAGTTGCTCGGGGTCATCATCCAATATGACCTCAAGTGGGATCAACAAGTCGATCGCATCATATCAAACGCGTCGAGGAGATTGTTCATCATCAATAAGTTAAAAAGGAATGGGGTCAACACTCAAGATTTGGTGACAATCTATCAGCTCTACATTCGACCGGTACTGGAGTTTGCGGCCCCCGTTTGGACTTCTGGTATAACGAAGGCTCAGGCTGAAACCATCGAACGTATTCAGAAGCGAGCCTTGAGGATAATCGTTTACCCAAATTTACTGCCATATAGTGAACTCCTCAAAACTTTAAAACTAGAATCCCTTAGTAATAGGCGTCTCGAACTAGCAACTAAATTTGCCAAATCAGTTTTAACCTCTCCTGACTATCGCCATCTCTTGCCACAAAGTAGAGAATCAATCACAGGTCGCAATCTTCGGAACTCTACACACATGACATTACCTCGTATACGAACTCAAAGACGCATGCTTTCTCCCATTCCTTACTTTATACAACTTCTGAATTCAACTTCTTAGTTATGCCCTCATATGTTCGCCATTGTGAATTTTTAAATGTTAATTAATTATTGCATAATGATTATCTCAAGCATTAGTATTAATGTGATCTCCCAAAGCTGTTTTAATTTGTTTTTAATTTGAATTCCAAGTCCTTTCACTACAGCAATGATCATATTATATATAATTATTTATGGTAATTGTATGATCTCCCAAAGCTGTTTTAATTTGTTTTTAATTTGAAATCCAAGTCCTTTCACTATAGCAATGATCATATTATATATAATTATTCATGGTAATTGTATGATCTCCCAAAGCTGTTTTAATTTGTTTTTAATTTGAAATCCAAGTCCTTTCACTATAGCAATGATCATATTATATATAATTATTCATGGTAATTGTATGATCTCCCAAAGCTGTTTTAATTTGTTTTTAATTTTCCAAGTCCTTTCACTATAGCAATGATCGTATTATATATAATTATTTATGGTAATTGTATGATCTCCCAAACCTGTTTTAATTTGTTTCTAATTTGAATTCCAAGTCCTTTCACTGTAGCAATAATCGTATTATATATAATTATTTATGGTAATTGTATATACACTGTACTTATTTATTTACTTATTATTATGTACTTATATACTTATTATATTTTTTTTTACTTATTAATGATTTAATTCATCCATGTGTTTTTTTACCTTGTTATATTTTTTGTTATGCATTTTATATTGTTAACTGACTTGTTTAGTCTTCGGACTTTTTAATCAGTACTTGAATTAAACCAAATATCTATCTATCTATCTAAAACTGTAAAAAAAACTGGATTAGGCCCTTTTCGTAATTTAATTAAAATTTAATGCACAAATCTTTGTTAGGTTCATTGTTACAAATTATTTTAATCACCTAATATGAATAATTGTATTGCAAATTTTCTATAGTCAGAATGCATGTTACATATATTAAACATTGCTAGGTAGGACAAGCCATTTGTTTATCCTACCTAGCAAAAATTAATGTATGAAATTTGCATTATGACTATTGAAATACAATTACTTGTAACAGGTGAATGGACAAATTTGTAACAAGGCACTTTAATAACAAACATTGGTGCATTAAATTTGTTTACATTATGAAAATTGTCTATTTGGATATCACAATTGGTGAGCAAATGCAATGGAGAGCAAACAAGATGTAAGCTACAATGCATATACACTCAGAAAGTATACTATTTCTAAAATGATTCATGGCTAAATGTTGATTACGATGCCAAAAGAACCTAGGTTACAACATTCAGCAACAGAGTAACCAATAGGGTGCTTCCATGCAATAAGTCCAGTACAGCATGTGACTTTTATCCATTTATTTCATTGATTAATAAAAAATCTCTTGGTATGACAACAGAATAATGGTTCTCTCTGGTATCACTAACATTCTGTGGTCATATCAACAAATTGTTCACTTTTATTTGATGAATTAAATGGAAAAGTCATGCACCATACACACTGAAAGTACCTTTAATCTAGCACAAGCCAGTGCTGCTGCTACAAGCTCTGCCCCCCTCTTCTTTCTGCCTGACCCTTCCACCGCCATCACCTCCGGCCAGTTGAGAGTCAAGATGCTTTTCTTTAGAACCTGAGCACCCTTCTTCTCTGCGGGTATATCCTCTGTCTTGTACGTGACCACATCCTGAATAGAACTGCATTTAGCATTGCTGAGGATTACATTGTTAAGGATACCCTTTGGGTTGGGGAATGTTTTTAGCAGAAGCTGGTGTTCTTCACTCATTCCTGCAATGGCTTTTATTAAAAAGAGAAAGAAAGTACATGTAAAGCAACTTCTTCTTCCTCTGCGTCTAGTAATCTTCAAATATCTATGAAGTCCATTATCAAGATTAGACAAACTCAGTGGAACAAGAAAGATCAAATATGAAATAAAAAGAGAAAAGAACAAAAAAAGGACCAGTAGATTAAGTTGGTCTTAAAAACTGATATATTTATGTGCATGAACTACAAACCACAAGCATGAAAACAACCAATGAACCTAAAAAAGAAATTATTGATCAATCTTTACACAAAATCAGACATAAGATTGGAAATTACTGAATATGCATGAATCGAAGAAAAAGAGCACTTTGCAACCTCATGCATATTCAACAATTTTAAGCGAACGGCGCTCTACAATGTACATCATGAATATTCATATTTGCTGTGCTGCTTAACGCGCATCCATACTTTCTCTTTGCCATGTTGAATCAACGATACGCAGGTTATAGGACGATTCATCACCCTTTATCCCATCAAAGACTTTATCAAATTATAATTTCAACAATTTCAAGTGGCTGGGACGATGCCCAAGAGGAGTTAAAAAACATTGTTAGTCAACATTGTAATTCTAGAACTAGGCCTACCTCTTCACATTTCTGAAAAAATGTGATCCAACCCTTCGGGGCTCCCGGCTCCCTGGAGTTAATGTTCATGTTACTTAATTGTTTGCATGTATACGTATAGACAGAAATAACCGTCTGATATGGGTCATTTCTTTAATAAAACTGACATTTGTTGACATTCCCCATATAATCGGAGGTCTAGTGGAGCCAGACGTAGCTTAGTCTCGGTGGAACAACCGACGATGTGGTAACATAGCACCTGAGGAGTATGTTAAACTAGGGAAAAACAGTGCAGCATGGATATGTCACTTGTGCGGCTTTCCTAACTTTTCTACATCATTTGGTAGTGATGACTCGGTTTTAGACATCGACAATTCATTTGCAGTGTTATCTGAAGATGAAAGTAGCTCACAGTCCGACTTAAGCATGTCGTCAGATGAAGACGATAGTGTGACAGATAGAAGTACAACATCAGGTTCTGAACCAAAATCAAAACCTAAACATAGGCGATTAAAGCTTTTGTCCATTAACTGTAGAGGGCTAAAAAGTAAGAAAAAACAAAGAGACTTGTTAGGTGCCATTCAACAGGAAGATCCAGATATCATCTGTGGCTGTGAAAGTCACCTGGAAGGAAGCTACTATACTAGTGAAATCTTCCCAAGGAACTATGACATCTACAGGAAAGACAGGGACAGACATGGGGGAGGAGTGTATTGGCTTACGCAAAGACCTGCTTGGCATGGAAGAGGATAGCCTCCAAACAGATTGTGAATCGATCTGGGTGAAGATCTTCTTTGCTGGAAAACAACCACTCTATGTCGGGTCTATCTACAGACCAACAGATCGGGACACAAAGCCTCTGGAAGAACTGGATAAAGCCCTAAAGAAGCTAACCACCAAGAACAGGCTACCTAATATAATTCTAGCAGGCGACTTCAACACACCAGATATAGACTGGAAGACCAACTCGATTAAAAGGAAGCCTCAGTATGGCATGGAACTTAACCAGCTCCTCTTAGACACAGCAAACGATAACATGCTAACTCAAGTCCAGCACAAACCAACAAGGGAAGGCAACGTTCTTGATTTATGTTTCACCACCCTACCTGACCAGATAAAACAAGTGGACACAGCTCCAGGCATATCTGACCATGATGTGGTAAATGTTGAGATGGACACAGCAGTCAAGTATAGTCGAAAACAGCCAAGGACTGTGTATCACTATAACAAAGGCGACATGAACGGAGTCAGAAAAGAACTAGAAGACTTCAAAGAATCATTTCTTGAATCTGAGCCTATGACAAGGGGTGTTGAAGACAATTGGAGCCAGCTGAAGAATGCAGTTTTCAATGCCATGGACAAATTCATACCCAAAAAGAAGCTATCTTCCTGGCAGCATGTACCTTGGATAAACAGTACCATCAAGAGAATGATCAGAAAGAAGAAGAGGGCATGGAATAAAGCTAAGAAATCAGAGCTTGAGAAAGACTGGGATAAATTCAGAGAAATCAGGAAAGCAATAAAAGCCAAGATGAGGAAATCCCATGAAGAATATGTGAAGGGTATTCTAGAGAACTCACTGAAAGAGAAACCAAAGAAATTTTGGTCTTACATCAGCAGCCTCAAGAAAGACGCCAATGGAATACCAACTTTGAAAACAGATCACGGACCAGCGACAGACAGCAAGATGAAGGCAACAGCACTGAACCAGCAGTATCAGTCAGTATTCACAAAGGAAGATACTAACCACGTCCCAACCAAGGGCACCAGTCAACATCCATCTATGCCATGCATCTAGTTTAATACTGATGGAATCAAAAAGCTGTTGGAGAACCTAAACCCAGGGAAAGCTCCGGGACCAGACCAGGTACCAATATGCATTCTGAGAGAAGCTGCACAACAGATAGCTCCCGTTCTTCAGGTCATCTTTACTCAATCCTATGTAACTGGAACCTTGCCTCAAGATTGGCTCACAGCAAACATCGTAGCCATCTACAAAAAGGGTAATAGAAGCCTCCCAGTGAATTACCGCCCAGTGTCCTTGACGTGTGTAACAACTAAACTGATGGAACATATTATCTTCCACTCAATCATGGATCACCTGGAATTGCACACTCTACTCCAACATTACCAACATGGATTTCGGAAACAACATTCCACCGAGTCGCAGCTTGCTATAACAGTCGAAGAAATAGCGAGGGCTCTGGACCATCACCACCAGATTGATATGCTGATACTCGACTTCTCCAAAGCTTTCGACACGGTACCACATCAGCGCTTACTGGGGAAAATAGATCATTACGGCATCCGAGACAACACCAAGAACTGGATAAAGACCTGGCTGACTGCACGGACACAACGAGTAGTTGTTGATGGAGCAGCAACGGAAACCATAGATGTTGAATCAGGGGTGCCGCAGGGGACAGTTTTAGGGCCACTGATGTTCCTACTTTACATCAATGATATTGGAGAGGACATTAGCTCAACCATTAAGCTCTTTGCCGATGATTGCCTCCTGTTCAGAAAGATCGACAAAGATGAGGATGCCCAGGATCTACAGAAAGACCTTCAAAAGCTGCACAAATGGGCTGAAAAGTGGCAGATGCTATTCAATGCGAAGAAGTGCTACAGCATGAGAATTCACCGCAAGCAGAAACCCATCATCCTTAACTACACCATGGGAGATGAGGTGCTTGCCGCTGTTTCCAGCCAGTCTTACTTGGGGATGGAGATCCATGAAAAACTTAGCTGGAAACATCACATCAAGGCAGTCGCAGCCAAAGCCAACAGAACACTTGGATTCATTCGAAGAAACCTCAGCCTATGCTCATCTGCCATCAAGAAACAGGCATACACAACCCTAGTTAGATCACAACTAGAATATGGGGCAGCTATATGGGATCCATATCGGCAAAACCTGATAGATAGCCTTGAGAAAGTTCAGAGGAGGGGGATACGCTTCATCACAGGGAATCACAGCCGAGAAGACAGCGTCACGGCTATGCGATTGAACATCGGACTCCCAACTCTACAAGAGCGACGACTGAAATCACGTCTAGCCATGATGTACAAGATCCTCCACCACCAGATAGCCATCCCTCTTCCAGATTACATCTCACAGAAAGACAGAGCTACAAGGAGTCAACATCACCTTCGTTTCACCAGACTTGGTACATCCTCCGATTCTTACAAATACAGCTTCTTTCCTCGCACCATGAAAGACTGGGATGAGCTTCCTACAAATATCATTGAACTGCCCACATTGAAGCAGTTCAAGGAAGCCATCAGCTGCGAATAGTCACAGCATCATCATTATTTTTTATGATTTTTATGATTTTTATCATTTTACTTGCACCATAAACATGTATATATTTCAGCACAAATTTACACAAGCCGTCCACCGTCGGCAAAAGATCACCCTTGTCGAGATGCTGAGCAGGCTTTGACAAGTAGTAGAATAGAAGTAGAAGTAGACGATATAGAGAGACTGAAGCTTTTGGTCTAGTAATAGTATACGTACAAATACAATCCTCCCTTCACAAATATAGCAGTAAATATGGGAGAATCCTGGATCGCTGAACAGGCTTAGAATAACAACATCGTTGGATCAAAATAAAGATAATAGTGATGACTCTGATCACCAGGATCACATTCATTCTCAAATAATAAACACGACATATCATGATCATCAGCCAGGCAAGGATCATCATTCTCGTCGTTAGTCATGTTAGTGGATCACTAAAGTCAAAGTGTAATTCTTACCTGAATTCTTCTTCTTCTTCTGAGGTTTGCGAGAGCTCTTTGAAGCGTTTCGAATTGGAAAATTTGCCGAATTACTACACAGGCTCGGCTGCAAAACCCTCCATTTACTTGCCCAAATTGGGCAAGAGAGTACCCTCATTGGAATGGCCATGTTGATCATGAATTTCATTTCACAAATACTAAGCCGGGCAATTTGGCTAGAATTTGGATCTATTGCGAAATCCATGGAAGCATCCATTTGTATATTGCGCAATTCTAAAGGTATGTTTATTAACACTTTTCTGAATGATACATTTCTTCCGTAAATGTATAACTTTTTAGATCTTGAATTATTTTAATGATGATTGAAATATTAAATATTTGGAAATACAAATGATTTCAGACATCAATCAATCGATATTATAAATGCGCATAGTGAATTGATACTGACACCCCTACAACATAATGGATGTACCGGTACTGATTCCTCCATCCCAAACCACGTGTGTTGCGAAGCATGCAAGCTGCGTCAGGCAATCATAAGCCACTGTACAATCCACGCTATCACGTCGCCAGCGCCAGAGTCTACCCGGAAGCAAATCGGACCAGACCGCTGACAAGAGAACAACAACAGTTCACAGTCCAGCGAACGCCTCAGATAAAAGTAACAAGTTCATTTATATATTTATGCTAACAGAATTTGAGGATTTAATTTCAATTTTGGTTGGGATAACAGTAGACTATTACTGATAAGCATGTTTTTTCCATACTTTTCATGACATTTTTTGTCATTATTGATATTATTGTTGCACTTCAGGACTTTAAACTTTGCTTTGCTGTGTTTGTTTTGAATATTGTGAATGTGTTAATTTTACTGTGACTTGCTGATTGAATCCTTGTTGGCATTAGACCTATGCCTAAAATAAAAACTTGTTAACCCTAACCCTAACCCTAACCCTAACCCAATCCTATACTTTAGGGTGTTTTATTATTTTGGGTTTCTAACTTCAGTTTAATCCTAACCCTAACCCTAAACCTAACCCTAACCCTAACCCTAACCCTAACCCTAACCCTACCCTAACCCTAATCCTAACCCTACCCTAACCCTAATCCTAACCCTACCCTAACCCTAATCCTAACCCTACCCTAACCCTAATCCTAACCCTAACCCTAACCCTAACCCTATGATATGCACGTAGAGCTGTTAAAACTTAAATGAAGTTAGAAACCCAAAATAATAAAACAAGTAAAGTATAGGATTGCCGCATGTTTTTTCCATACTTTTCATGACACTTTTTGTCATTATTGACATTATTGTTGCACTTTCAACTTTGCTTTGCTGTGTTTGTTTTGAATATTGTGAATGTGTTAATTTTACTGTGACTTGCTGATTGAATCCTTGTTGGCATTACCATTAGACCTAGATCTATGCCTAAAATAAAAACTTGTTGTATTTATTGCCCTTTGCGACCGACCCCAAAATCTGAAAATCTACGGTCGGCATTTTAAAAAAGTATTTTAGATTTTTGAAAATTTAGATCTAGATCTAGGTCTAGATCTAGATCTAGTCCTAGGGTCTAGATAGTAGATCTATGAATACAAAAATTGTAGGTCTAGAGTCTAGACTAGGTTCTATTTTGTTTGTTTAAATGGGATATAAATGCATACAATCAAACTATTCCAAAATTCTCACTCGTGCAAACTATGGATAATTATGAGGTGAAAATGATGACGTTGAAACACATGTAGAGGTCTAGATCTATATTAAAGCATTAAAAACTGAGAAATATCAGCCAAAAGAGGGGGACAAAAAAAAAACTTTTCTGACCGACCGACCTACGTTTTGGCACCCAAAGGGCAATAGATCTAGAACAAGTTTTTATTTTAGGCCTTATCGTGATATAAGAAACCAGTTTTCTTCCCCCCCCCCCCCAGAGGCCCAGACACTTTTTCATGTCAAAACATGCCCTCTATACAATCATGTATAGGCAGGCTATAGGCCTAAAGAGTTGGGGTTTTCCACTTTCTATAATAATAATAATACTTATATCTAGTCAGTATGGCAGTAACTTAGTTATGGATTCTTATGAACGCAAATTTCTTCCTCGTTTTATGTTAGCTGGATCTACCTTCAGAGCCTGCATAGGAACGATTCAAACAGCAGGTTGGGTCACATTTTTTCTGAAATGTAAAGAAGTAGTTTTACTCACACCCTGTACATATATGCACAAGGATCCTGGCCAGCAGGCTCACTCAGGCTCCTCACAGGCACACACAGTGCACAATCTTCAAGGCCTTGAAGCAGCACTTTTCTGGGAAGAAGAAGTAGTATTAGTCACCATGTTTTTCGACTCCTATGGGCATCTGTTCAACTTCAAGTTCAACCACTTGAAATGATAATTTGAAGAAGTCTTTGATGGGAAAAAGGGTGATTCCTCGTCCTAATTACCTTAGTCTAGGGTAGTTTTTATATCCTAAACGGGTCAATCCGTCTAACACCTCCAGTTCTTAGATGCTTAACAGGGATTTTATATTTTGCATGGTATATAATTAGCACCCTATTCAACATTTCGAGCATTGCCTTTTCTCATTCACGCTTTTAATCTTCTTTTTATCATGTATTTCCACAGGATCTTAAAATCCTATCAGACCCTTTGCTCCTGACCTGCCCTCAAATTTCCTACCCTTTAAGCGTATTTTCTTATTACCAGTGAATTTGATACCCTTTTCACTTATTTTCCCAGTTCTGATACCCTTAACCCGATATGCGTGTTATGCGCCTGGTGAAGAAAAATTTCCCTTTTTACACGTTCCTTATGTACATGGATGATGTGCAGGCCTCAATAATCCTAATTTGGATTTATATAGCGCTTTATATACGAAATACAGTCTTGCTTACAGATATTATTATCAGATTCATTCACGCACAATGTGCACCATCTCCACTCCCTAGAAGGTATTTCTACCATATGGACACCATGGGGTCATATGACGATTACTAATACAAAGGCTTCTGTCATCCCACCTGGTCCCCATTTATCTGCTAGGTGTTGAGTGTCTAATATAGATTAACGCCTTTCCAAAGGACAGTAGTGCCGTGTCAGGGGTTGAACCCACAATGTTTGCAATTCAATTTAAGTGTCTAAACCAAACGATACCTCTCAATAAAATATAACTTTGACCTTAATATTCATATTGCCAATGAGACTTTACCTTTATCACATAATCTCAACAGTTTATACAAAATTTTCAGACAATTTTGTCTACTCTTGTTTATGATTTTCTGTTGCCACTCAGGCTAAAACAGTAGTTAGTTGATTCCCTGTTAAACATTTAGGATGGATTAAAAAAAAATATGCAGTTGTGCAGAAAAAAAAAGTATTTTTTATGTCCAAGAAATAAACTACAAGTTTGTGTCTCAATATTTGCGTCTAGGTCTAGTGCCCTATAAATTTGGAGTCGATGCACTCTGTTGATTGTATCCCCCATCTAAATTTTTTTTCCAGGTTCAGCCCATACTTGTAGTCCTACTTTGTCAAGATGGCCAGTGCTCACTATGAATGCAAGATTGGTCCATCTATTTTGAACTCTGACCTTTCAGCCCTGGCAGATGAGTGTCACAGGATGATGGACAGCGGAGCTGACTATCTACATCTTGATGTCATGGATGGGTAAGACATACGCCCACTGTGGCACTCTCCCTGTGAGACTCTCCCTGTGGGACTCTCCCTGTGGCACTCTCCCTGTGGCACTCTCCCTGTGAGACTCTCCCTGTGGGACTCTCCCTGTGAGACTCTTCCTGTGGGACTCTCCCTGTGGCACTCTCCCTGTGGCACTCTCCCTGTGAGACTCTCCCTGTGGGACTCTCCCTGTGAGACTCTCCCTGTGGGACTCTCCCTGTGGCACTCTCCCTGTGGGACTCTAGAGTGTACAAAGTGGTCGTAGTGATGCTCATAATATTTACTACCTTTTATTTGTAATCATGAAGGGTGACTAAGCGATGTAGTGATCATGCAGTCCTCCCCCTGTAAACATTAGCAAGATTGTTCTATTAAAATGTCCTGGGATTCTAGTTTTTGATGATTCTACTAGTCTTGCAAGGTGCAGGTGTGAATGGGGGGAAAAAAGAGTATAACTTGAAAAGAAATGTTCTTGAAATTTTAGTACTTGATATTGTTCACTGATGGTTCATTTATTGCATTATTGACTTGATGTCGTTGGAAATCTTAGCGCAAAACAGTTTGAGTGTGTGTCAATACAATGATAGTTTTTATCCTCCCTTTACAAGCAAGTTTAAATAATGACCTTTAATATCATTTTCTAGGCATTTTGTTCCAAATTTAACATTTGGTCATCCTGTTGTCAAGTGCCTGAGAGAAAAGGTCACCAATGCATTCTTTGGTAAGTTGCAGCTTTATCCAATTATTAATGAAATGTAAGAAAATTCATGGGTGTAATTACTTAAAGACTACAAGGCATTTTGGCTGCATTTCCTTCTTGCTGACTCTTATAATAATAATTTAAAGCCCCTTCTGGCCATGCCAGTTTGCCTTCATACATTGTATATTGTGTTGAGTCTTTTGTGCCTCTTAACTCTCCAAATTTAAATGTAGATGAGTTGGAATGGATAAGCATCCTATATCATTCTTAACCATAGAAGAAATAGATAATCTGGTGCATGTTTCCATAGATATGATTTGTGTTTTTAAGAAAAAAAGAAATACAAGTCTTTACCCTCTTCAATGTATAATGTTGTAATCCCAGTCATTTATATTCTTTTGTTTGTCAATTTATCTTTTTTTGTTGTTGCAGACATGCATATGATGGTTCTCAGTCCAGAAAAGGTAAGTACAATGAAGCTAAGGAGAAATTACCTTTGAGGGTGCATTATTTTACACTATTTCTGAATCTCTCTCTTGTAAAACAAATCCAATCACAGAACCTGGATTAATGTTTGATTGTGCAGGATTTGGGGGCAAATGACCAAGTACCAGCTTCACCATGTGATCACACTATTCTAATTTCACATTACTGTGGTTCATATTCAAGACTTTGTCAGTATTAAACGTGCTTAAACGATCCAACAGATACACACATCTCTTATCCTCTTCTCAGTACACTCTATCATTCTTAATTCCTTTCATAATAGAGTGCATACATAAATTTCCACTACATACATCCTGTACCTCTATCTCCATTGATAAATGTACATCAATGATTTATGTACAATACTTTTGTATATTGTTAGTTGCACTTTTTGCAATTGATATTGTTTTGTATTGTTTGTAGTGGATTGAGCCGATGAGTAGTGCAGGAGCTAACCAATATACATTCCATGTTGAAGCCACTGATGATCCCAAGATGGTCATTCGTCATATCAAGGAAGCTGGCATGAAGGTATGTACCCACCGACTCCTTGAATCTCTTTTGCTCATGTTATAATTAAAATTTCAACCCAACGCTGGTATTGCTTTTGTAAACACAAATGGGTTTAAAAAGGGTGTTTAATAGACTGGATAATAAGTTGTTTTTTTGGTACACAGGGCTTAGATATGCATTGAGTTTAACTGAGTAGAACACCGACCTTTGGCTATTCTTCTGACATTTTAATTCCACACTAAACCTAAAATCAAATTTAATAAATCAAACTAGACAGAGGTCTAAGTTTTCTCTTTCTTAAACATGGCTTAGAAACCAGCATCAGGTTAAATTTACTAAGCAGAATTTATTCCTATACATCTTTTTTTTTCTTAGCAATAAAGATGACAACAAATTTCTGGATAAAGAACATGGTTTCAGGTGATGGGTTAGAAAGAAACAACTAGACTCTTTATTTATGGCACTTTTTCATTTTTCTTACATTTTTGTCTCGCCTGCGTAGCAAAAAGCGAGACATAGGCGCCGCTTTTCCGGTGATGGCGGCGGCGGCGACGGCGACGGCGTCAACATCAAAAACTTAACCTAAGGTTAAGTTTTTGAATTTTTGGTATAATTTTTAAAGTATAAGTTCTTAGTCAATGAAACTTTTACTTTAGGGTAATCAAGTATCCCCAATCATGTGAGTAGAATTTCAGATCACAAAGTCAAGGTCAAAGGTCATTTCAGGTCAACAGACTTGGACTATGTTGTAGCATCATCATCGAAAACTTAACCTAAGGTTAAGTTTTTGAATTTTTGATATAATTTTGAAAGTATAAGTTCTTAGTCAATGAAACTTGGACTATAGAATTATCAAGTCTCCCCAATCATGTGAGTAGAATTTCAGGTCACTAAGTTAAGGTCAAAGGCCATTTAAGGTCAACAAACTTAGACTTTGTTGTGGCATCAACATTAAGATTTTCAAAATGCTTCTTCTTCGTTATTTTTCAACCGATTTTGATTCTGATTGTTTCATATGATAGGGCTAGGAGGGGATTTAAAATTTCTACACAGAATCGTGAAATTCATTATCTATGCTAATTTATGCAAAATCACAAAAATTGCTTCTTTTCCCTCATTTCTTGACCGATTTTGCCTTATCTGGTAGAGCTAAATTTGGAACAATAAACTTCTACACAGAATTGTGAGATTTTGCTCCATTGATTATTTATGGTACTTTATGCAAATGAAATGAAATTATGTCCCTTCCAGGGCATCAAATTTCTATTTTTTGACCAGTTCAAAAGTGTACCACATAAAATTTACGATATTTGTTGTTGTGAGATGCGGATGAGCGCTACGTCATTGATGTTCTGGTTTATCATATTGAATTGCGTTATGCAGGCGAGACCGCCGAGAGCGTTTCCCTTGTTTACCAAATTCACTTCCCAATTTTTCAATTTTAATTTTACATTTTTTCTTTTTCTTTTCTTTCACATTCTCTTCTTTTATAGTGTCCCTGTAAATTCACTTTATGTTGTATTTTTCAAAATTTCTTTCCTATACTTTAAATCTTGGAGACTTGATTAATCACAAAAACAGAATAAATATAATTGTTATTATCCTTTGGTGTTTTCTCATTTTTTTCAAGGATGTTGACCAAATCATCCCATTTTAATTGCCATTTTTTGTGTATAGCAATGACGTTAATAAAGTTCTTCAATTTTAGTTAGATAATTTGTGAAAGCACTCAGAGAAGTAACCTTAGTCCATATCATGACAGTTGAATTATTCCATTTTGATACTTTCTTTAGGTTGGTATAGCGATGAAGCCAGGTACTCCTATTGATGTAGTTCTGCCCTATGTGGAAGAAGTCAACATGGTTCTTGTGATGACGGTGGAGCCTGGATTCGGGGGTCAGAAGTTCATGGGTGACATGATGACAAAGGTACGTGCATTTTTACTTTGTCAGCTCGGCTATAACCTGGGTAATATGTGTAAAGCGCCATGAGCGTCAGAGTCTTGTGGATACCGGCGCTATATAAATATCCATATTATTATTATGTCCCTATCCTTGTGCAAGTTATTCTTGGTAAATACTGCCTTTCTGTTCGATTTAATTTGCATTGAAGCTTTAACAGTAACAAAATGTATAAATACAAGGTTTCTTGATTCTTCTTATATCACACAATGTAAGTTTTTGTCATTTAAACTTTCATTTAAAAGTCCCAGATATGTAATCCACGTCAACATTTAAAATGTTTGTTTCTTTGCATGTCCCTTTCAGATTTAAAAAAAAAGTTGAATTCTACCTGTGCCACTGAAATATGTTTTGGGAGATACTTTTTGTTGAGCAAGCCAAGTGTGACCATTATTCCACATTATTACATGAATGTAGGCAATTCTTTTGAAGTCATTTTTAACATAGCATCATATAACAACATATAGCTCTCTCATTGAATCTTTGTTTTTTGGTAAAGGTGAAGAAGCTAAGAGAGATGTACAAGAGTCTAGACATTGAAGTGGATGGGGGTGTAGGACTCTCTACCATCGATGCTGTAGCAGAGGTACGTCAGATGCTCATCTTATTTAAATTAAATGGACCTGAACTGGCAAGCAATTACGTTTAGTGTGTCAACATCCGAAATAATGTCTAAGTGGAGATTGATTTTTATACAATTATACATAGAAAGTGACACCACGTAAAGTAAATGTTTTCACCATCAGATGTGTTCCAGTGGACTTGTTATGGGGTGTTGTCCATATGTTAATGTCCGTTTATGTTACTTCAGGGTGAAATAAACAACATACCTGCCACCCTTTCATAATCAGGAATATTCTGATTTTCTGTATTTTTAGGACCTGAAAATTCTGAATAATCTGATTTTTCAAAATTTCGTTTTTTTTATTGTTGTAGTGCTAAAGCCAAATTAAGCTTGTTTTATCATGTGCCGCCATTTGAGAGTTCAGGTATTGTATGCGTTGAATGGCTGCATGATCGAGCAGCGAATTTGTATTAGCTTTTTGGTACAGATTTACCGCGTATTGCCAGTTACACTGCCTTTGCAAGTGCGATTTCTTATTTTTGAAGGTATACCGTGCTAAAAATTCCTAATTCTTATTTTCAATGTTGGCAGGTGTGAAACAATCTTATTTGAGGATCGACCTTCAAATTTAAATACCTTTACTAAAGACATAGAACTGCTCATATTTTTTAAATCTTAGCAAAATGTAGTGGCATGTAAAACTGTACCGGTATAACATGGCTGTATAAGCTCGTTCAGTAGGCATTCTAGGATATTATAATTTGAATTCTGGTACATATCTGTCCCAGTTAAGAAAGATCTGAGACAGGGTAAAATCAAATGTTGATATATTGCAATTGCTGAACTTAAACCGTTTCTCCTTACCGTTTTCTCAAATTCTTCTTGTTGTTTTGACATCTACTCAAATTCATCTTGTTGTTTTGACATTTTCTCTAATTGCTCTTGTTGTTTGATGCAGGCGGGAGCCAACATGATTGTTTCTGGTAGTGCAATCATGAAAAGTGATAACCCCAAACAAGTGATTCAATCTCTGAGAGGCAGCGTCCAAGATGCCATACAGAAGGCCAACCTGGAGAGGTAGCAGCAAAGTACTTGCATTCCACTTTGTTTTGCATTATATTATTATTTTATTGTACATTAACCTTGAGCATAAGAAATGGGATAATTTTTGTATTAAACCTAGGGGAAATGAGAGAATTGAGAAGTGATTAGGTTAATGTACCTGGAGAAATGTTATTTCCTATACATTGAGCTAAGTATTGGTAGTTCGTATCTGAGGTGAAGAATACTTGGATGTAAAATTTTTGGAAATGCATGTTTCATGAGAATGGAATGCATACAAATGAGGTTTAGCTTAGGGAAAGGGTAATAGCTGGATATATTACCATAATATGTGTCTGGTTACATATTTGATATGTTTCAGAATGTTTTTGAGTTATAAACTCATATTTGTACCAGTAAAGTCATGAATACCTTAGAGCACAGATGTCTAATTTTTAAAAATAAAATGTATATATATTGGAATTGAATTCCATACATTTGTTTGGCTTAGTAAACAAAACAAAACTATAATGATATTCATTAGACTCACTTATTCTTAATCCGTCAAAAAGGTCAATTGGAGTTAAACACCTTTAAAACTCACTCTTAGTTATGTTAATTCATTTTACACATTAATGCTCAGTATTAGGTTCTTTTACTGTACCTGTGGTTAGGAGAGAGATATAAAGATTTTATTTTACTTAACATGTTTTGAAGTGTTGAAATATGTATTATCCCCTTGTCAGTGTATTAAACAACACTTGAGATAGAAGTTATTGATAAATAGACATTGAAATGGGTCTTTTCCTATCAAAAAGAATTCAAAAGATAGATCCTTGTATTCCATGTGTAATGTTCAAGATATTTCATTGTTTTAGAATTTCTGTCAATTAATCTAACAGTACTAGATCTAGACAATTATTGTTACATACATGCCAACTTTTCAGATTAAAGAGGAACATTCCTCTTTTTGGGAGAAGATAATTATCATTTTAATGCAGGTGTTCCTCTTCCTGTACAAATTTGTCTATAGTATTGAATAGGAGAGTTAGGATTGTTCCTCTTTTTTTTGAAAATAGCACAATTTGTACAGATTTCTGATTTTCAAATGTTGGCATGTATGTTGTTAGTGTCCTACTGATAACTGTACATACCAAGCTGTACATGTATGCCGCCTGATAGGCACTCAATCATCATGTGTTCATGTCTTCCATTCGATTGTTATTTTGTTTTTGTAGTAGTAAATTTACTACATCCATTACTCTCACTTGTGTCAATACTCATTTAAGTCAAGTTTTGAATTCATAATATTTGGATTCTGATTGCTCTTTTATATTCATGTTCATGAAGACCATATTAACATGCCTTGTTATATCTAATTAAAGGTAATACCAATTTTTGGGGGAAATTTTGAATATTGGGTGGATAGTGATTTTTTATAATTTTGATATATTTGGATGCCCCTGTGGATGTATTATAAGCACATAAAAATTTAGCCCCCAAAACACTTCAGCTTTCAAGAAAAATTGAATATAAAAATTTGCCCGTGCTCCCTGTAAATTTTGGTACATTTCAAATGGCGCCTACGGCCGTACAATGGTAGCTGCGACCATGAAAATCTCGGAATATGTACCGGTAGTTGTGATATACAATTTCCAAACGGGAATAGCTAGTCGCTCGATTGTAGTCAAGAAAAATTATTTTATAGCTTATTTAATATCTTGACCTTGAGAGGGAGCTATACAACATAAAGAGTTTATTATTTACAATTTCATAACTTTAGGCTCGATTTCAACCGCGACAACGATCACTGAATATTGTAGGATCGCATATAAGCTTCCAATATGTTCATTTGAACCAAATGCATGACCCCATTCCAAAACTTTGTTTCACCTTTAAGGGAAAGTGGCTCAGCTGTGAGAATTGAAGACTTGTGGATATGGTGATTTAGATATACAATGCTATAATGTCACTCAGCAGAATTACTATCTGGCAGTATGACCTACCAACTCAAAGCAGTTAAGTTTTGTCTTACACAATACCCATTGTTAAAAATACTACCACCAAACTACAGATACATTGTCAAACACAGCTATGTAACAGCTATGTTCTTGATAGTGAAGTACATGTCATATGTGCAAAAGTATGTAGAAAATGGAAGATGGGCCTATGTAAGCTGTCAGATCATACTTGTGTTGGAAAGAGGCAGTTGGAAAGCACACTCAAAGCTAGTATGAATAAACATGAAATGGAAGCTTAAAATATATGAATTTGATTCTGAGTTTTGCTTATAGCTGGAGGATAATGTAGAGGGTGATGTTAGAGGGTGCTAGGATAATAATCAGTGCACCTCCTGAAAGGGTCTCTTCTGGGGTATGATGCAGGGGGTTGAGGTGCTAAGAGTGCTGTCAGAGGGTGCTAGGATAGTAATCAGTGCACCTCCTGAAAGGGTCTCTTCTGTGGTATGATGCTGTCAAAGGGTGCTGGGATAGTAATCAGTGCACCTCCTGAAAGGGTCTCTTCTGGGGTATTATACAGGGGGTTGAGGTGCTAAGGGTGCTGTCAGAGGGTGCTAGGATAGTAATCAGTGCACCTCCTGAAAGGGTCTCTTCTGGTGTATTATGCAGGGGGTTGAGGTGCTAAAGGTGATGTTAGAGGGTGCTGGGATAGTAATCAGTGGAATCTCCTGAAAGGGTCTCTTCTGGGGTATGATGCAGGGTGTTGAGGTGCTAAGGGTGATGTTAGAGGGTGCTGGGATAGTAATCAGTGAACCTCCTGAAAGGGTCTCTTCTGGGGTATGATGCAGGGGGTTGAGGTGCTAAGGGTGATGTTAGAGGGTGCTGGGATAGTAATCAGTGAACCTCCTGAAAGGGTCTCTTCTGGGGTATGATGCAGGGTGTTGAGGTGCTAAGGGTGATGTTAGAGGGTGCTGGGATAGTAATCAGTGAACCTCCTGAAAGGGTCTCTTCTGGGGTATGATGCAGGGTGTTGAGGTGCTAAGGGTGATGTTAGAGGGTGCTGGGATAGTAATCAGTGAACCTCCTGAAAGGGTCTTTTCTGGGGTATGATGCAGGGGGTGTAGGTGCTAAGGGTGCTGGGATAGTAATCAGTGAACCTCCTGAAAGGGTCTCTTCTGGGGTATGATGCAGGGGGTGTAGGTGCTAAGGGTGCTGGGATAGTAATCAGTGAACCTCCTGAAAGGGTCTCTTCTGGGGTATGATGCAGGGTGTTGAGGTGCTAAGGGTGATGTTAGAGGGTGCTGGGATAGTAATCAGTGCACCTCCTGAAAGGGTCTCTTCTGGGGTATGATGCAGGGGGTGTAGGTGCTAAGGGTGCTGGGGTAGTAATCAGTGCACCGCCTGAAAGGATCTCTTCTGGGGTATGATGCCCCTGTATCATACCCCAGAAGAGATCCTTGAGGTGATATGGGTGCTGTCAGTAAATTTTGTACTTATAATGCACCTTAAATGTGAGGACCTTTCTCTGTCGGAATGCTTGGGTAGTGGGTCGCTGTCATCAAATTTGTGTTGAAAAAAGGGGGAATTTCCATTTGGTCCAATGCTGCTTATTCAAATTGAAAAAGCACCAAAACATGTGAGATCCCCCTCCCCCTATTTTTCGGACTATTTTAGTAGTGAAAAGGAATCCCTCTTCACTCCTAGTGAGTAGGTCGTTTTCAGGTGCCTGTGTGGAATCCATTAATAAAGGTCCTCGACAGAGAAAGGTCCTCATATGCATATATATATATATATATATATATGAAAGCACAAATTACTTTTTTCCAAAAAGAAACATTGACTTTTATAGCCTTCATGTCTATTTTTATCTTCTATAATACTGTTATACAAAATAGAAGGCTTCTTGAAACAACAAATGGATAATAAATGGTGTTTTATTAGGATAAAGCATATACTTGTTATTCTTGATCAAAAGGAAACATACACTAGTTCTTAATCAAAGTGATATTTTTTTGATAAACAAAACACATTTTCCAAACGGTCAAAACAAAATTGGTGATTTATGTCATGCAGAAAGCTATTATCTATTGCACTCTTCTAAAATGTTAAGAATATGAATCATTAAATGAAGAAAATGTACAGTATGTACATTAGCTAAAAGCAATTACGATTCTGAAAAAATAATTTATCAATCGGTTAATATATACATACACTGATTAGGAATTTTGAAAGATTCGTTTCAAACAATAGGATTATTCATATCAAAATTAATAAATTAACCTCATTTGAAAATATCATTGATTTACAGACATTAGAAAACAAACTAGTTAACAAATTTTCTGTTGATATTCATCTTTTTCAAGAAAAGGATTTACAAAACATTCAAAATAGAAATACCTGTAGTCTGTAGACCTTTATATTGTGTACAGAACAGCTTAAAATTATTTAAATTAGACACGATTGCTCACCTTATATACAGAATTATTATACACGGTCATGCAAAATGAATTTTGATATCAAACGTGAGATTACAGAAAAATGTAATGTGATTATATGTATATATCATTACAGAAAATCATAATGCTAGTGAATTGACCTTTCTTGAAATAAACCTTACGTTTCATAAGAGATGCCATTCTTGTTACACAAAAGTCATGCAGAGTGACATATTTACAATTGCAAGTAAGATCATTTAATATACAATAGATTACTTTCATGATGGGCGTTACCAGAGGGGGGGGGGGGGGAGGCTAAAACCTTTGTAATAATGTATAAATTGATTGCCATTTTACTTTCTATTTCTTTTTCCTCTTTTTTTTTGGGGGGGGGGGGTCGCACATTTGTGGCAAACTAGTTGAAATCTTCGTGCGACACCCATTGTTATTCGACGCCGCTGACAGAAGTAATTATTTTTTTTAAAGATCAAACCACTATTCTTGATACTACCCAGACCCTTACAACAGATGGCTCAGCTCCTTCACAAAATAGGAACTGAGCCATCTGACTCGATCCTTTGAATGCGACGAAATCCAAATCATCGATCATTTAATCTACAGTTGCAACATATCCACCAGGCTCCCATTGATTTTGTAGGCTTAAATAACTTGATGATAACACAGTACAATAGCTTTCAACCAGTCTTATCCTTAACTGATTGTTACATAAGTTGGCAACCACACGAACATACGATTTCCTTACAACACGCTACAGCCCCAGCAACACTGCATGGGATACTCTGGGGCGTACACCTTACGTTCGAAGCCATACACAAAGAAGACGAATGGTTTGTCGTTATATAGGCATTTGGCTTCAGCAACGGGGATGATACGAACCTTGTGGCGCTGCAGGAAAAATTAATGGATGAAAGATATCATAAGCTAACAAAATTGTGTTTTCTAGTGCTCGAGCTAACCCAGCCTCTTAAGAAGAGAAAAAGAATATTTCAGACAGAAATGATTATGCATTTAAGGAAGCTTATAATATACACTGTTGGTCGTAATGGAATATATTTTTTTTACCCCAGTTTCGGGAAGGATATTAAAAATAATTTATTTCTATAATAGATCGAGATAATGGCATACATTCTTAGATTGTATTGAATAATAATTTGCAAGAGTTTGTTTTGTATGACCACTAAAGCATTTGTGTGCTTCTATGCTAATCAGCTAGGGGAACTACGTCCTTAAGTCATACATGACAGTAATGACGATTAATGCCTCACAAAAGGGCACTATATGGCTGATCGACACGATTTTGATCATGGGGCCTCACAGTAACGAGGCCGTTGCTTAGCCACTGAATCATGACTGTACGCAGCGGCTGCTAGGGTACGCGGCCGCCCCCACAAATCCAAAAAAACGAAGAAAATGCAATAAATTATCAAAAATTCATTGCAGTTTCCCCCGGCCCCCAACAGAAAAAAAAACTTCTGTAGGGCCATGCATTATGGTTCAGGCATGGCCACACAGAGGAATTTTTCCTGTTGGGGACCGGGGAAAAGTGCAATGAATTTTTGATAATTTATTGGATTTTTTCCTCGTTTTTTTGGCTTTGTGGGGGCGGCCATGTGACCCTAGACCAACAGTGTAGAATAATCATGTTCGAATCAAAGAATAAGCCCTGTCCAATTGGCTGCATCCCGTATAAATGGTAGCCAGTAAGATCTAAATATTATCTCATATCAAACACAAAAATTGAAACATATAAACAATATCACCGTTTTTAAAGACATTTCAAGATGGCAGCGACAGGACACTGGTCGATCATTTAATATTTTGAGTATCATTTTATGCACATTAATTAAAGACAAATTAACTCGGCATTGGTATTTTACTAATTCGCAAATTTAGCTTTTAAAATGGGTTGAGTTTCTCACCTGTTTGTGCAACCTCTCGCTCTTAAAAGAGTCCTCGTGCCTCTTAACAATCTGTTGGGATGCTTGATTGATTGCATTGTCGGGAAAATGGGTTATAGGCCACACCTACATTAACAAAGGAAAATAAAGATAAATTAGTATTATGATAAAAATATGTATACATGTATACAAGTTGAAACAATGATAATAAAAAAGCATATTAGCATTGCTAAAATTGTTAAATCAACCCTTATTGGAACCTTGATTTTATCTGATAGGTATTCTATATAGATATAGGCCTTTAATTCACCTTCAGCCTAGGATCCCCCCTAAAAAAGAAGAAGATTGCTCTAAAATAAATGTACACTCGGACAGATCACACTCTCCTGGCTATATATACTGTCCTATACACCCACCCTCGACTAACCCACGCCCACATCCTTACAACACATCCATTACCCCCTCACCCCTCGTCTTCTCGTTGCCACCAACATAGTTATCCCTCCCACATGCGTACATATCAGTGAAAGTTTGAGCAATATCCGATTAAAAGTAGGAAAGTTTTGCATGTTTGAAGTTGTCATCAGTCTAATACAAATTGACGGATCTTGCGAGCTCCTCTCCAAATTGCTATGTACAGAAAATTCATAAACTGTTAGTTTCTTAGTTATTGGTGAAGGATTAGACTTGTATTATACATATAAAAAATAAAGTGCAATAAAAAAATAAAAAGTAATATTCAGGGTGAATGTATAATTTATGATTGGATAATTTTCTTTAGGGAAAACTTTAATTTTTGAAGTTTTTAGTACAGGGAAAATGAAAGGGGACCTTGCAAGATTCGTCACAGAGTTACCAATTTGTGTTTGATTGATCGCACCTTTAACAATTCCCAACTTTCTTATTTTTAATCTGTGTTTGCTCAAACTGTTTCTCTCATTTTTCTGCTCCTATTAAAACCAACATAGTATCAGGGCGGACTTCCCCTTTAATACACATACACATTACCTTTGGTTGTTCTTCCTCAAATACTATATTGCCTGTGACGTCACGGATAAGTTCATCTGGAAGGTTGGTCCGCTCCACTATATTATCTTCTACATGGTTGATCCTGTATAGACATCAGATATACGCGTAAACATAGTTAATGAACCTCGGAAAACGTGGAAAATAAGCAGTACGGACTGAAAATTCCTTTCTTTGTGAAAGACAACAAAATTCAGTTTTAGCAATTAAACAAAATATCAATTTCCAGTGGTCAATCTTCTCCAAGATCAGTTTGCTTGATCTTAAATAACCAGGCCTTCTTTAGGGGTATTGATTTCCATACATCTGTACCTCGGAGAATAAAGGGGACATTTATTGGCTACGAAACACATTTTCTTTAAAACTAATTCAATGCCGTCAGTAATAGAAGGAGGAAGAATTTACATTGGGATAGAAACTAATGCTTGAACACTGGAAATAAACATCTGAAAAAGTGGAAACAAGCAGTACAATAATAACATGAACGGAAAAGATAAGCTAGAAAGGCTAATACAAAATGTTTCCAGAGGTGCAATAGCCTCCATGACCAAGACTAGTTTGCTTGATTCATTTTAGTCAAAAAAAATTTAATTTTGTAACCAGGCGTATTATTTGGCTTATTAATCGTCATGAATACTTATATATATCATACAATATAATATATGTAACACTATTAACCTAATTATTGGACCTTACCCAGTCCTGTTACCAATGCAAATATGAAGAATGCTTACCATTCGACAGTGAGTTGAATATAACATTTGAGCTGAGTTCTTCCATCGCATACGGGGCAAGTGATCTTGCCATAGCCAGTGCAACGGAAACATCTGGAAAGAAAAACACATTCATGGAAAACACAGTTTGAAATATTTTCTCCTCAAAATGATACCAATGATTTATCAGTAGATCGAGGGATAAAGCAATGATGGACAAGGAACCAAGTTATTCTGGGTACAGAGCTGGAAATTAAAGACCAAGCAGTTTGCATTTTTACAACCTTATGTCTTTGAACATAATGATTGATAATTGGTTTAGGTTTCTAAGAAAACATAGAATTATGAGGAGTTGATTGGGATGAGACCTATAGACCCTTCCAAGAACTAAAACATCCCAGAACAATACTCCTATTTGGGCAGTCTTAATTTTTTTTTCTTATCTTACCTATGGAATTTTGATAACGAAATTACATTTTAAAGGCTATAAACGGATACACAATTCACCTACAACTTCAATGGATATCAAGATAGTATCGGGGTTTTTTTCTCGCTCGCTTTGCTCGTTTGAAACTAGAGTGTTGATACGTTAATACATGTCAAGGGCAAGAAACATCAGTACTCCTGACAATAAATTCCACCGGTATGCGGCTATACAGAATCAACTACTACTCATCAAGATGAAAGAGAAAGTAACTGTATTTCCAATGATATTTTTGCTCTAACTATTTTAACTAAATTGTCTCGTGAGGCCCTTATACTCCCGCCATAAAATCTATTAGTGGAGGATATACTCACTGTCTGCGGCCATCTCCCCCACAGCTACCACATGTTATGGACTTGTAGTAATGACGCTTGGTGTTGGAATTATAGCGTCTTACGTTCCTCCGTCCATCACCACCGCAACGACGACAACGTACCTGTCGCCATGTCAAATATGCATAAATGAATATATCATACTGAAATATGAAAGTCCTCTCCCATTAGGCCAAAACAAAAAAATCATTTAGTTGTCCTTGACAACCCGCTCGTCATTTTCGGGCCGCTCGTATTTTATAATTTTTGTTATACTTTTTTGTTATACTTTTTTTAATTTTTTTTAAATAATTTAATTTTTTTGGGGGAGCAATCTTAAATGCCAAACATACCATTCTATGCATTTGCAAGGATCAAAATGCGTCCCGTTGCCAGTTTGGTCTTTTAAGTACTTTAGTAATGTATTTATTAAACTTGCCATTTTTATTTTTCTATGTCAAAATGCCGTTCATTCAAATCAGGTTCTGAGCATTCTTAAACTCATTTTAAAGCCCATCTGTACTAGTTTACAGGAGGGATTAGACCACCCTGCAAGGTCACTGGACAGGTGGTTATCTCATCAAATCTGCTCACAGTAGAGGATCATGGAGGAACAATGGTCACCGATTAGGCATTGTTTGCTTATAGAGGGCACAAGTAGCTATAAGTAGTACAATGGAGATTTAAAAGGTGCTGTATTTCAAAGCCAAAAATACTTTCTGTGTTGGTATTGATATTCATTGTACATTAAACTACTCTTTTACCATATTTAAGTGTTTTATAGACTTTGTTTGACATCCCAATAATTTTAATTTTTGTATGGAAAAAAAATCCGTCCGCCCGCCCCTACTCCAGAAGAGCAATCGAGGACAACCAAATGATTGTTTATTGTTGGCCTAACTGGTATAGTTATATACACTATCAAAGGATTGGGGCTTTATTTTACTCAAATTATTAAAGAAAATAAACCCCCGAATTACTGTTTAATGCCCTGAATGACAACCGCAAAGTTAAACAAAAGTATTACAAAAAATGCCCGAAAACCGTAATTTTTTATCTTGTTTTGTAGGTCTTGGTAGATGTATATTTATCAATTGTGTAATCGTAAAATTCACAGTGCATTGTACAGTATAGTACACTTACCGTTCCTCTTCCACAACATCGTGGGCAGCGAACGTAACCAGACGCACGACAGTTGTGACATGGCTATAAAGAGATCAAGAGGATAACACTTAATACTTGTGGTATCTTTTAATAAATCGAGCATGGCATTTAGTCGGTCTAAATATTTAAGGCCAGCACAAAATAAAAATATGCTTACAAAAAGAAATAAAACAATTACTAGGCCCTAATGATTTTTTTTCTCTGAAAATTGAGAACTTTAGTTTAGGCAGCTGTTTTCAATGCATAAGAAAGAAAGGTGGTCTAATGACACCAAAAAAATCACTTGTTCAAAAGCACTTCCTATTTAACAAAAAAATGTTTTCTTTATTACATCTAACATTGTTTTTTTAAGGTATTTTTTGCATACAATATTTCTGTCAAAAGAGGAGATTCTGAAAATATTAACTTTCATATAAAAAATGTGCAGGCTTATATTGGTAATGTTTTTGGTCATACTTTGATCCTTGGAATATCAAATGTTTCAGGATCATTTATTGAAATAATCGCGTGTATAAGATCCTAAGGCAAATTTTCCGAATTACATCAATTCACATTTTTATTTTGTTATATTTACAATATATTGATGGAAACACCTACAATATACATTTGTCACATATTTGTTTATTTTCTTTTTTGGAAGCGATAAATATAAGATTTCCATGCCATCTATCTTTAATGAACGTTTTTCCTTGTATATATATATATATATATATAAATATAAGAGGGCATAAGGTAATCATTCCTAGCTTACTTTGACGGATGCTGTATGGGGCACTTCAATCTTCCTGGTATTATTCATAAACAGGGCTGGGAAATCGGCAGGTATGGACCAAGGGAGTGGAGCTGGTCCGTTTTGAGGTCCATCAATAGGTTGACCTGACATTGCCGGGTGAAGAAACATAAACACTTGGTCATTGAATGTGAGTTTCATCGATTTAAAATGGTGACCGTCAAATTTAATATCATCACAGTCGACACCAGCCGTGATTACTCCATCATCTAGGTGCACTGTGGTATACAAGCATTATGGGATCACTCGCCGTGGCATATCATTGGTATGGTGGCCCTGAAGGGACATCGCGAATAGACTAAATCGTGAAAAATATGCGATAAAATTCACGATATCGTCAATTTTATCGCATATTTTTCACGAAGAAATTCACGAAATTGACGATATCGTGAACTTTATCGTGAACTTTTCACGATGAAATTGACGATATCGTGAATTTTATCGTGAAAAGTTCACGATATAAAGTTCACGATATCGTCAATTTTATCGTGTACTCTATCGTGTACTCTATCGTGTACTCTCCTGACGGGCGCTTCGTAAACAAAACCAGCCCTAGCTGGGGGAGACAGAGAGAAGGAAAAAAGGGAAAGGGAAAGAGAAGATAAAAGGAAAGAAAGAATAATAAGAAGAAAAGAGGAAAACGGGGGAAGGGCGAAGGACTCTTGCCCCCCCCCCTCCCCCCCCCGCCAAAAAATAAATCAGAGAGAGAGAGAGAAGGGAAAGGGAAAGAGAAGAAAGAAAGAGAAAAACGAAAAAGAGGGAGAATAGGAAAGAAAGGAAAAGAAAGAAAAGAAAGGAGGCAAGAGCCCTTCGCCCCTGTTTCCCTCTTTTCTTATTCTTTTTCCTCTTCTTTCTTTCCTTTTATATTTTCTTTCCCTCTCCCTTCTCTTTCCCTTTATGGCGGGAGGGGGGAGGGGGAGGTAAGAGCCTTTCGCCCTTCCCCTGTTTCCCTCTTTCCGTCTTCTTCTTCTTTCTTTCCTTTTATATTTTCTTTCCCTTTCCCTTTCCCTTCTCTCTATCTCTCTCTCTCTCTCTCCTATTTATTTGTTGGCGCGGGAGGGGGGGGGGAGGAGGCAAGAGCCCCTCTTTTCTTCTTATTCTTCTTCCTTTCCTTTTTTTATTCTCTTTCCCTTTCCCTTCTCTCTCTCTCTCTCTCTTATTTATTTTTTGGGCGGGGGGATGCAAGAGCCCTTCGCTCCCGTTTCCCTCTTTTCTTCTTCTTCTTCCTCTTCTTTCTTTCCTTTTATCTTCTCTTTCCCTTTCCCTTTCCCTTCTCTCTCTATCTCTTATTTATTTTTTTGGCGGGGGGTGGGGAGGGAGGAGGCAAGAGCCCTTCGCCCTTCCCCCGTTTCCCTCTTTCCTTCTTATTCCTCTTCTTTCTTTCCTTTTATATTTTCTTTCCCTTTCCCTTCTCTCTCTTATTTATTTTTGGCGGGGGGGGGGGGAGGAGGCAAGAGCCCTTCGCCCTTCCCCTGTTTCCCTCTTATTCCTCTTCTTTCTTTCCCTTTCCCTTCTCTCTCTCTCTCTCTCTCTCTCTCTCTTATTTATTTTTTTTGGCGGGGGGGGGGGGGGGGGGGAGGTAAGAGCCTTTCGCCCTTCCCCCGTTTCCCTCTTACCTTCTTCCTCTTCTTTCTTTCCTTTTATATTTTCTTTCCCTTTCCCTTTCCCTTCTCTCTCTTATTTATTTTTGGCGGGGGGGGGGGGGGGGGAGGAGGCAAGAGCCCTTCGCCCTTCCCCTGTTTCCCTCTTATTCCTCTTCTTTCTTTCCCTTTCCCTTCTCTCTCTCTCTCTCTCTTATTTATTTTTTTGGCGGGGGGGGGGGAGGTAAGAGCCTTTCGCCCTTCCCCCGTTTCCCTCTTTCCTTCTTCCTCTTCTTTCTTTCCTTTTATATTTTCTTTCCCTTTCCCTTTCCCTTCTCTCTCTCCTTATTTATTTTTAGGCGGGGGGGGGGGGGGGAGTGAGGAGGAGGCAAGAGCCCTCCCCCCGTTTCCCTCTTTTCTTCTTATTATTCTTTCTTTCCTTTTATCTTCTCTTTCCCTTTCCCTTTTTTCCTTCTCTCTGTCTCCCCCAGCTAGGGCTGGTAATTTAGTTACGAAGCGCCCGTCAGGAGAGTACACGATAGAGTACACGATAAAATTGACGATATCGTGAACTTTATATCGTGAACTTTTCACGATAAAATTCACGATATCGTCAATTTCATCGTGAAAAGTTCACGATAAAGTTCACGATATCGTCAATTTCGTGAATTTCTTCGTGAAAAATATGCGATAAAATTGACGATATCGTGAATTTTATCGCATATTTTTCACGATTTAGTCTATTCGCGATGTCCCTTCAGGGCCACCATACATTGGAGTACTGTCACGAGTGTGGTATTCTAGGGAGCACTGTGGTACATTATTTGAACACTGTGGTATAGTATGAGAACAATATGGGGACATTGTTGTATATTATACGAGCACTGTGACATTTGATTTAGCACTGTCGCGACAGTGGTATACTAGAGGAGCACTGTGGTACATTATTGAACACTGTGGTATAGTATGAGAACACTATGGGGACATTGTTGTATATTATACGAGCACTGTGACATTTGATTTAGCACTGTCGCGACAGTGGTATACTAGAGGAGCACTGTGGTACATTATTGAACACTGTGGTATAGTATGAGAACACTATGGGGACATTGTTGTATATTATACGAGCACTGTGACATTTGATTTAGCACTGTCGCGAGTGTGGTATACTAGCATGGGCGTCAATCCTGGGGGGGGGGGGGGGGACAGGGGGACACGTCCCCCCCACGAATTTTCAGGTGGCGAAATGTCCCCCCCCCCCCATGATTCGGGGTTAAAATCTTCTTTTTTTTTCTTCTTTCTTCCTCTCTTTCTCTCTGTGTTGAGAAATATCAAGTCAAATCAGGCGATCAGATTTTATTAATAGAACTAGAAGCGTCATTAATATTACATTCATATTACCGGAAGTTCAAACATTGGTTTACGATGAAAATCCTTTGACCAACTGAAAAAAAATCAAATTAATCCCTTGTATCTTCCAAACTTTATGGCTGATAATGGAAACGACAAATTCATCTATCTATCCCCACCCCCCCCCCCCCGTTGCGTTCTTGTTCGTGTTAGTTGAACTTAAGACAAAAATTAAGCCCAAAATCGAGCCATCAATCCATCAATTTCAAAAAAATCTTCAACTTCTGAGGGGGGGGGGGGGGGCACTTCCCCCTCAGACACCCCCTGCGTTCTTGTTACTTGTTAGTTGAACTTAAGACTGTTTTCTTTTTTAATTTGGCAAAAAGTATGCCTCAAATCAAGCCATCTATCCATCAATTTAAACAAAAATCTTCAACTTCTGAGGGGGGCAAATCCCCCCTCAGACACCCCCTGCGTTCGTGTTCCTTGTTAGTTGAACTTAAGACTATTTTCTTTTTAATTTGGCAAAAAGTATGCCCCAAATCAAGCCATCTATCCATCAATTTAAACAAAAATCTTCAACTTCTGAGGGGGGCAAATCCCCCCTCAGACACCCCCTGCGTTCTACTGTTTTTGTTCTATTTTGGCAAAAAGAATGCACCTAATTGAGCCATTTATGCATCAATTTAAAAAAGTATTCAACTTCTGAGGGGGCACATCCCCTCAGACACCCCCCCCCTCTGCGTAGCGCGCCCATTCGCCCCCCTTACAAAATAACCTGGCGCCGCCCTGTCTGAACTTGTGTCCCCCCCCCCACGGTCTGATTTGGATTGACGCCCATGTATACTAGGGGAGCACTGTGGTACATTTTGGTGACAGTATGAGTGGTACTGGGTTAAGTCGGTGCTTATTACATCCTTGGACAAGTTTTTTAACCAATATATACAATCAAACCGGCTTTAGTGACCACCTGTCTACAAAGACCACACTTTTAGTTTCCCTTGAAAATGGTTTCTCATTGAAACATTTACTAAAGGCACCTATACTTTGATTACTATGTCTTTTTAATTTGTATAGGAATCAATAATAATGTTCCCCAATTTTGATAAATTCCAAACATACAATGTATCAATAATAATGTTCCACAATTTGTAAAACTTCCAATCATATCAATAATATTTTTCCATAACTTGGATAACTTCAAGTGAAATCAAATTATTAATAATAATGTTATACAGTTTTGCTAACTTCCAATATTACCGTATCCATATATGACTGTATAAATAGACAGTTTCTGCATTTTGATATGTATTATTGATTTCTTAATGCGTATGTTGTTATTATTATGTTCTTATTTAATGTACTTTCTCTATCAATGTGTCCTATCACATCCTTCTCACTATGACTGTATAAACAGACAGTTTTCTGCATTTTGATATGTTTTATTAATTTCTTAATGCATATGTTGTTATTATTAAGTTCTTATTTGATGTACTTCCTCTATCAATGTGTTCTATCACATTCTTCTACCTTTGATTACTATGTATTTTAAATTTGTCTATAAATCGATAATAATGTCTCCCAATTTGGATAACTTTCAATCATCAATAATAATTTTCCATAATTTGGATAACTTCAAATCAAATCAACTCAAATTCATAATGTTATACAGTTTTGCTAATTTCCAATATTACCGTATCCACATGACTGTATAAACAGACAATTTTCTGCATTTATCATACATGCATAGTTTGAACAGCTCTTTTTCGAATCCTTCTTTAAAATAATCCTAATAGTATTTGATCTACATGTATATTACCGTTAGTTTTAGTTACACATTCATTTATAAATTATGTTGACCTTATCTTTATATTTTGTTTTATGTATGCACCAGCCAATGTGGAGAGCCTCTCGACAGAATTTTTTAAATTCTTTTAGGTGATCCTCAGGCATTGGCTGGTGCTAAATATCATTATGTTTACAGTATGTTCTATCATTTGTTAACCTTGTGATATTTTGTATGTTATCATCTTGCCTGGAAATGAAATAAATAAAATAAATAAATACTTAAAGACCACCTGCCTATAAGACTACTTTTCTCGTCTCCATTTGGGTGGTCTTTATAGACATGTTTCACTGTATACGCACCTCATAATTACTGAACCCTCGAGAAGAAAAGTATTAACATGACGATGCTACCCTGGGTAACGGATAACATTATTATTATAGTTATTATTATTATTAGCAGTAGTAGTATCATCATCATCAACATCATCATTATACATTATGAGAAAACAACTTACCGACATATGGAGTGTGAACCCACTTAGTTGTTCGGTTTTCTGAAAATGTCTCCAATGTGTACTGGGAAGAAAGAGAGAGAGAGAGAGAGAGAGAGAGAGAGAGAGATTATCAGATAATAATGAGAATACATACAGTCATCATCCTACAGTAATTAATAGCACATCGCTCACAAGGCAAGTGCCATATCAGCTTAGAAGACAATTACGACAATTCATGCATGAGGGTTTTTAAAGAAGACAATGTCTGAGATTGAACCAAGGAACTTTTCATTATGTTATCTTAAACAATTACATTAATTTGAATAACTCTTTTTTAATTACATGATTATACATTTCTGTTTCATGTTGTTTAGGTCGCTAACGCAATGCGATAGCATAGAAGGATTAAATGTTGAGGAAGAGGGAAGAGAACTAAATGTAAACGCATCAATCAAAATCTGAACTAAAAGATCCGTATTACTAATTCAGTGAGACCCGACACAAGGCCATCATAATTTGTAGTTGATTCCATGGACTACTTACATGGAAAGCTGCACTATGTTCAATCTTGGTAAAGGTGAGACCCTCTGCAGCTCTCTTTCCCCAGCAGCAATGTTCAGCAACGTGTGACAGTAGCACCTCTCGTGCTTCGGCGTCTGAAATCATAGGCAACCTGGAGGAAAATCCGAAGAATAAATCAAATTTATTACGATTCTAGCATCAATAAGTGAGATTGATCAAAACATGGATCATGCAAATCATATTCTTAGTCAAAATATTCATCTGGAAGAGTATTGCGCTTTAAAATTTCGGCTGTCGGTATTTTACGCTAAGAGTGACGTTGAGAGGACGTCCGGCAAAAGTGAAGGTTCAGAAAAGATATAGCCAAGCAGGATACTTATAAATCATTAACAAAATAGTTTTTCTTCTTCTTCGTTATCAATACCCTTTTCTTCTTTATCATCATCTTCTTCTTCTTCTTCTTCCTCTTCCCCCTCTTTCTCTTCTTCTTCTTCTCCTTCTTCCTTGCACTCAGTTGGTATGATGGGTGGGTGATTTGGATTCACCTGGCAAGAATTCGAACCTTCAACCTTTCGATTGAGAGTCACGTCAATGAACCATGATATCACGATGCTTCCACATATACATTGTACATAATCAGGGTTACAATTCACTTACACTCCGTCGGTCTGATGGGTAGGTGGTTTGGTAGCCTCTTCATAGGTTGGTGGAGGGGGTGGTAAAAAGTTTGCCCCCATCACATCGTCGTATCCTGTTACCTTATCCATCTTATCAAAAGCTAAATCAGCAGTGGGAGGGTCGGTTACCTGTTATCATAAACAAGGAAAATATCCTATACTTTATTTCCATTTCTATGTTTAACACGGTGTATCGCTGTATGTTGAAATTATTTCTGATCCGTGGCATACGGCATGGGGTACTTGCCCTCTCATCCATCGGATGGCAAAAATACCAACAAGTGTATGTATGTGTGTGTGGGCGCGCGGGTGGATGTGCGTTGTGTGTGTGTGTGCGTGTGTGTGTGTGTGTGTGTGATAGATATATAAGTACAGAGAGAGAGAGAGAGAGAATGAAGTAGATATACTTATAGGAGGGGCGGAGCGTCTTTCAAACTGGGAGGCACCTACAAAAGAGGGCACTTTCTGGAGAGAGAAAAAAGGGGCACCTACGTAGTAAAATCTCAAAGCAAAAATATACAATTTTTAGACATTGTTATAATAATAATTATGCCCCGATTATTACCCTGGCTTTAGCTGGCTTTATATACCCATACATTGTAAATACATTACCAGGGATGATTTCAATGTTTGTTTTGCTTTTTGCATGGTCCAAGATACTGCTTAAGAATCACACTTTCGGTTGGGTATGATGGTCTAAATATAATGTTGAGATTTGTGACGTCTCAGTGCGTAAAATAAATCTTGTGAAGAGGAAAAAACAATCCTGATGGGGTTTTAATTGCAAAATTACCATGAAAGACTGAATAGATCTTTTAATGAGAAACATGATTACATCAACTTTAAATGCTCTTAGTCGCTCTAAATTAGGAGCACATTTTATGGTAAAAGGAAAAGAGGACACATATCCAGAGGGAAAAGGACACTTATTAAAAAATAAAAAGGAGCACATGTCAAAGTAAAATAGGGAATGATCAAGGGTTTAAATGGGGCACTTCTCGCACCTGATAAGGGGCACTCATCAAAAAACGGATAAAGGGCACTTATTATAACAAAGGAAAAGGGACAATTATCATAAGGAAAATGGTACTAATTAGAAAGGATAAGGAGGCATATGTAAAAATAGAAAGGGCACTTATCTCAGATTAAAAGGGGCAGTTATTACAAAGTTAAAGAGGACACCTCTCAAATATGAATTAAAGCACTCGTCGGAGATGAAAAGAGGCACTAGTAAGACTGAAAAGAGGTAATTCAAAGGAAAAGAGACACTTGTCAAAGTATAATGGACACCTCTCAGATTTGAAAAGAGGCAATATTGTTATAGGTGAAGGGGCACTTATCAGAGGTGGTAAGGGGCACTTATTGTAATTTTAAAAGGGGCACTTATTGTACCTTAAAAAGGGGCAGGGGTACTTGTAAGAATAGAAGGGGACACTTAGATCAAAAGAAAAGGGGAACCTATTAGATTTTAAAAGAGGCATCCATCAGAGGTGTGAGAAGGGACATTTATCAGAAAAGATAAAGGGCACTTTTTAGAATGAAAAAGGGGGCGCGTGTCAAAATGGAAGGGGCAATTACTAAAGTTGAGAAGGGGAACTCATCATAAATGAAAAGGAGCACTTGTCAGAGGTGGTTAGAGGCACTATTAAGAATGTGGAACGAGCACCTATATACAAGAAATAAAAAAGGGCAATTTAAAGGGGCACATTTCCTATGTATAAAGGGGTACTTACTAAAGTGAGGGGGGTACTGTGCCCCCTGCCCCCGGCTCTTTAGTAGACCTAAGAATGACCCCAATCTGATCTTTCGCCACTTTTATTAACACTCCAATTACAAGGCGTAGACAGAAAGACAGACAAGAATAATCACTTGCAAATCTTAATCTTTCACTTTGAATTCACTCCTTCACCGAAATGTAGTTTTATAGGCAAAGTGTGTTAAAAATGTACATGTGCATGAATATACATACTTCATCATCTGAATCTCCCGAAACGTCATCGTCGGGAACATCTCCAACGTATTTGGTCATGGCACCCCCAGCAGGTTGGACAGGGCCTTGATCTACACCCCCTGGTATCACGGCATTGCCCCCATTCTGGAAAGGAGTTGCCCCCAGTTGTCCAGTCGGTTGTTGTGGAGGAGGTACTTGGCCTACCTCCATTGGCACTGGTTGCTGCTGTTGAGGTGATTGTTGGTAGCCCTGGGGCGGAGGATAGTTTTGTTGCTGTGGAGCATACCCCTGTTGGGGTGGCTGTGCAGTCTGATGCTGAGGCGCTGGATACCCTTGTTGCGGTGGAGGGTACCCTTGTTGAGGTGGTGGGTATCCTTGCTGAGGTGGAGGGTACCCTTGTTGAGGTGGTGGGTATCCTTGCTGAGGCGGAGGGTACCCTTGTTGCGGTGGTGGGTATCCCTGTTGGGGCGGTGGATAACCTTGTCCGGCGGGATTCATTCTAAAAATTGTATTTACAAGCTGCAATACGTTCACACCAAGAGTGTAAATTAAGATCGTGTCATAGTATATTATACAAGAAAAATATCGTGTCATACACTGATAATTTATGTTGAAGTATATACAACTCGATGATTAGACCAACAACTTCGCACTCGTGGGTCTTGTAGCCACTTTCCAGAGGTTTCTCTAGCCAGAAGGCCCACAAGACCAACAGCCCAATATCCGATATTTTGTATCTGCTTTTATGTATTTTTCTTTGTTTTGTCGGTCTCCTGGTTTATCGGCCTTGTGAATCTTTTTAAAATTGTTTTCTTTTCTAAATGTTATTATTTACTTCTTCGTTTTGTCGGTCTCGTGGGCTATCGGTCTAGAATCTAGATGAATTGTGTCAGTGTCTGGCTCGCTGTATGTCGATCTACTGGAAATGGAATGACCTCAATAAGAGATGCGGAAAGGTTAATGTTCACTGGAAATGGAATGACCCCAATAAGAGATGCGGAAAGGTTAATGTTCCATCGATTACGTAGAATTTTCTTTCAATTCGAAAGAACTCTTGTAATTTTCCCCAGGGGCGGATCCAGGGGGAGCATGGGATGTGCACGCCTCCCCCTTTTATCCTTCCGAAAAAAATATAGCAGGAAAAAAAAGCGGAGAAATATTTAATGTTCAGTTTATGCATTCAGAAATGCCTCAGAATGTACCATAAAAGATGTTAAGGTTCAGTTTTTTCCGGGACCCTTAAGCGGGCCCCGTACCCCACGTCGTCGCAATTTCGTACATTCCCCGCCCCCCCCCCCCTATTTTGGAAAATCCTGGATCCGCCCCTGTTTCCGAACTGGTCAATGAGTATTATTTAAAAGTACTATGCTTATAATCATAACCTTTTTTATGGCCCATTTCTGATTAAACGACAGTGTAATGATACGATTTTTAGTGCGTATAATATAGGCAAAACAAAACAAGCCAGTGTTTTCGTATGATAGGCTTAAATATGGTTCCATGCTATCAATATAATGAAGGGTATCGTCGATTGTTGGAAAAAGTATTAAAAAAGCCATCCTTTCCAATTATATTTTAATGGTTTGATCGAGAAGGACTGTAAACATTGCTGCTTGACAGGGCGTGTCAGCATTTTACTTTTGTAAATCCGTCCCAATTCTTTAATGAGCTATACTATACAAAAAATAAGAAAAAAGTACTTACATTTTCAATTCCTTGTCATAGAGTAAAATATCCCTCTTTACAGTCTCTATTTCATATTATAATCCGTATGCATTTATTTTGTAGAATTGTCAAAAGGCCACCCTACTTTAATTATACGTCCAAGAAACTGGTCCGATTCGTGTTTGCTGAGCGTTCTTGTACCGTGGTAACGTCGATAACAAACGTCTTACCTGTCCATCGAATCAGCCTTGTGACAATAGTTCGCTTCGATAGTCAGAGGATAACGGATCGATAAGTGCTAATGAAGGTCTGGCAGCCTCGTCCTTTTGTGAAAAAGATTCTCTTTTCAAAAGATGTGTGCGTATGAAAGCTTGAGAGCCGTGGTAGGGGCAATGCAAAGAATAGATTTGTAAAGCTGTGAATCCATTTATGAGATATAAAGTGCCTTTGTGGTCTGGGGCATGGATACCTCACTCAAATGTGAATCAGTTGGTCAAAGGCATGCCAAGAAATATATACATCTGACTTTTTAAAAGTATAAATATTGTAAATAATATAAGTATGTTATATCATAGCCCCTCCAGATGTCTGATGCCTTTACATTGTAGCTTTCACACCCATACAGCACAGTATTGCAGATGATCGAGGGACTTCGCTAGTTGCTTCTTCAAACGGAGACTTACATCCAGGCGCGGATCATTCTTAGGAGGGGGGGGGGGGGGGCAAATTTGAAACCATATAGCAGGTGTTCTCAAACTTTTGCCTGGACGGTCCAGAAGTAACTTCAATGAAAGATAAAGGGTCCGAAACAATGCATGGGCAAATACTTACTCAATTATTTTCATACATATAAGTTTTTGACACGTACCTTAATTTCAAGAGTTATGACAATCAACAGTGGAAGTTCTGGTATGCTTTTGCATGTAGGGTATTTTAGTGGGAAAAATGGCACTGCTTTCCAGTAAGCTGCTTAATAATAACAGTAATAATAATAGGCATTTATATAGCGCCGTCTATCTAGACAGCCTAGCTGCCATTACAGCGCTCCTGCATTTGAAGGAATTAGTTCCTGCCAGGTACCCATTTACATCACCTAGGTCGAGTTTGGCAAATGTACAATATTTAGTGCCGTGTCGGGGATCGAAGTAGGGACTTCCACACGGGTGGTGCCGTTACTGTCCGAGCCATTGCTGCTTAATAATAATAATAATAAATTATATTTCTATAGCGCATTATACAAAATATGTCTCTATGCGCTTTACATTGTTTTATGTAAAAGCTTAATTAAATATCTACTATTAAACTATCTTCAAACGAAAATTCTGACAAGATCTTAACTAAAATATTACAACAGTAACTAAATCAAACAACATTATAATTCATTTTTAAATAATGATACAACAATTAGACATATACAATTTCAATTAAAATTATAGATGACAAAGCATGAACATAATTAATTCTTTAAAAGGTTCAATTCAATTCAATTCAATTCAGTTTTATTTCGTAATATATAAATCAAAATATACAAAGTAACGGTAAATTTTAACTATATATGTTTACAAAGGTTATATGCGGGGCTTTCCATGAAGGTTACGAAAACCTGTGAAGTTGGATCGCCTAAATAGGTCTTAAGTGCAGTCTTGAAGGTCTGGATGGAAGATGCAGTTCGAATGGCGAGCGGGAGAGAGTTCCAAAGGGTGGGAGCATTGAAGGTGAATGAGCTACGGCCGTAGTAGCCTACTGGGTCTTAAAACGAGGAACCTGGAGAAGATGTTTGTTCTGGGATCTGAGAGCACGGGAGGAGGTATGAATGAGTTCAGACATATAAGAAGGGGTATAAGACTAGAGTTAGAGAGAGACTTGAGTTGTAGGTGAGAAGTAGGATCTTAAAGTGAATCCGCTTGTTGATTGGGAGCCAGTGGAGGTTACGGAGAAGGGATGTGGTAGAAGTGAGACCAGTTGCTTTCTCTGTGATTCTGGCTGCGATGTTTGAACGACATGTGCTTATGCCCTGATATCCGTCTCCAAAAAAAAAGGAGACCCCATTCGTATAAAAAAAAAAAAGGAACAGACTTCAATTTACAATGAAAAGGAAGTCTTGAAAATATGAAATTTCAACAACAAACAAAATTAACTTTTGAAAATTAAAAAGACCTTACTATTGGCAATTCGGTTATGGTGTGATTTAATTGAACTTTGCAACCGTAAACTGAAGTAACAATGTAATAGCTACAATTTCTGTTGACTAACTCTCCTTATTATTCATGAAATTATTTTCGCCATTTTTTTTCTTTATTCAAACCCGTCAAAATGTAGTCAGCGAGGGCGCGCTCTCCACATGTCGTTCATTAATATATACATGTTCATCATTTTTTCTTCAGGAGGGCATATCATTTGGCAGAGATATGATTACCAAAAAAAAGTAACTAAAGCGAGGTACATTTTGGGTAATAGCAATAAATATTAGTAGGCCTGGAAGAAGAGACCAGAACACCAAATTAGACGTATTGGTTAGGCTGCCGCGAGAAGGGTTAAAAAAGAGGGTATTTACAACAAGGGGGGGGGGGGGTGTATCGGAAAATTGCATATTCGAACATGTCAAATGTGTAAATTATCGTCCTCCTCTCTCTTATGTTGTTACTGTTCTAATCTGTTTCCCCTTAGCCGTCCTGTATTGGAAACACCCTTCTATTCCATGGGGCGGCGGAGCGACTTCCAAAGTGGGGGGGGGGGGGGGGGGGGGGGGGGGACACCAACCAAAAAAAAAAAAACACTTACTGTCAAAAAGGACAAGTACAAAGGAAAATCTCAAAGCGAAAATATACAATTTGATATACGATGTGATGGTCTGATTATTCATTTGCAAGCGAGCGAAGTGAGCGAGGAAAAACTTTGATATTTGTGAGGTCCGGTGCGAAAAATTACATCTTATGAAGAGGAAAAACCCAATCCTGATGTGGTTATAAGCGCATTCTCATAACGGAAGACTTAAAAGACCTTTTATAAGTAACATAATTATATCATCTATAAATGCGAGCGAGCTTTGGGGAAAAAATCTCTTTCTCGCTTTAAATCCCCCAAGCAATACATGTAGCAATACAAGCAATACATGTAATGCAATACAAGCAATACATGTAGGGGGGGGGGGTATGTGCCCTTTTTTAAATGGGGGCACTTATCATAAGGAAAAGGGGCACTTATTAGAAAGAAAAGAGGGCACATGTGAAAATAAGTGCGTTTATCCGATTTAAAAAGGGCAGTTAAAAGGGGCTCCGAATTTGTCTATACCTGTGCCCTCTATATAGCTGTGCCCTCTATACATGTGCCCTCTATATAGCAAACAATGCCTAATTGGTGACCGTTGGCCCCCCCCCCCATGGTCCCCTTTCTCTTATGTTAACTGAGAGCTGATTTGATGAGATAACCACCTGTCAGTGACCATGCAGGGAGGTCTTCTCCCTCCTGACCAAATCAGTGCAGATATGCTTTAAATTAGGGGCACGTTTAATGATGAGAGGACACTTATCGAAAGGGATAAATCACTTAATTTAAAAGAAAAGGAGTTCGTGTCAAAGTACATGGGCAATTATCAGAGGTGAAAATGGGGCACTTCTTTCAACAGAAAAAGAGCAATCACCAGGGATGGAAAAAAAGGCACTTATAAATGAAAATGGAAAATGGGAATTATTTTGTCGACGGAAAAGGGACACCCGCCAGATTTTGATAGGGGTATTTATAAAGGGTGAAAAGGGGCATTTATTTAAAGGAATAGGCCTTTATTATAAAGGAAAAGGGGCGCGTTTCATTGTTAACAGGGAAATTATCAGAGGTGAAAAGGGACACTTATCGCACCTGAAAAGGGGCACTGACCAGAATAAGGCACCGATCAGATTTAAATAGGGACACTTATCAGAGATGAAAAGGGGTAATTATGAGAAGGGGAAGGGGCACTTATAAACAGGAAAAAGAGCATTTATTAGAAAGGAAAAGGGGCACGTGTCAAAATTATTAGAGGTGAAAAGGGGGACTCATCAGAGATGAAAAGACCACTATCAGGAGGGGAAGGGGCACATGTCAAATTAAAACGAGTACTGTCTCTCAGATTTGAATAGGGGCGATTATCGGAGGTGAAGGAGGCACTTATCTGAAACGAAGGAGTTACTTCTCTTCCCTGAAAATTAAGATTAATTACCAGAAATGAAAAGGGGGGCTCATGAGAATGAAAAGGGACACTTTTAATAGGTGAAAAGGGGGATTTATGGGAATGGGGGGGGGGGGGGGTATGTGCCCTTTTTTAAATGGGGGCACTTATCATAAGGAAAAGGGGCACTTATTAGAAAGGAAAGAGGGCACATGTGAAAATAAGTGCGTTTATCCGATTTAAAAAGGGCAGTTAAAAGGGGCTCCGAATTTGTCTATTTCTGTCTGGTATACCCTGCATGTATGCCTTTCTGCCGTTACACGTCACATTTTCTGGTAACTCGTGAAATTACAACTCTGCATCCTTTTCAGGAAAATTTGGTGCCGAACAAACGATAAAAACAACAGACAACGAAAAAGAGAAAAGAAATGTAGTATCAGTTCTCCTGTTTATTTAGAGGAACATTATAGCCTCAGGAGGAACACTATCATGGAGGCCGGGAATGAACACTTGTTTTTATTGCAGTAGGATATTTTTATTAGTTACTAGTTTGGAAAAAAAGAAGGAAGCATTTGAGGCCCCCGGCCCGCCCCGGGCCCCTTGGTTTCATGGTCGCTGATTCTCGATGAAGTGCCCTATGCAGCTAAATGCCTATCTGTGTCGGGTTATACGCAGGGAGGTGAAAGAAAGAAGTGGCATCAAGCAAGCGCGTATAGCCAGCATTTCATTTGGTCTTTGGGCGGTAGTGAGCACGCGAAGCGTGCGAATCACTTACAGAGCGCGCGTAGCGCGCTCCCTAGGGGTGGGTGCAGGGAAGAGAGGAGTTTCCCAGTTCCCCCCTCCCCTCCCGCGCGAACGCAAAAGCTTTGACGTTTCATTGCATTATTAGAGAAAGAAGACGATTCGTTGGACCGTTCTCGACTCTTAATCCTCATCTAGATTCAGTTTCTTTTGACGTTTCATTAGAGAAAGAAGACGATTCGTTGTACCGTTCAGTTTCCTCCACTCCCGCGCAAAGCGCGGAAGCTTTGACGTTTCATTAAATTATTAGAGAAAGAAGACAATTCGTTGTACCGTTCTCGACTCTTAATCCTTTTTCTTCCTACGTCCTCTTCCTTTCTTCTTCTTTTTTCTCTTTTTTTTTTTGGCCGGCGTTTTTTTTTTTTTTTTTTTTTTTGGGGGGGGGGGGGGGGGCGACCGCCCCCACCGCCCCCCTGGCTACGCGCCTGGTATCAAGCCGCTTTCCTTTGACCCCATGCTCTAAGCCGCCGAAAAGTTAAGCGCTAATTTGCAACTGTTGACCAGATAGTGAGATAAAAGAGGGCATGAAATTGGATTTAGCCTATTTCCTACATCAGAAAATGGTATCCCAGCGACTGTTCAATGTCCCTTTCAATGATTTCTCATCAAATTGTAACGAACAAGCGAACAAAAACTTGTGTAATTTGTACTAATTTCATCCTTTTTTCCAACTGCAAAAATACAAAAAACACACAAAAACATGCAGTGATCGAAGATTGTAAATCATGGATTAAAATAACGGGACTTTAAAACATGCACAAATTAGCGCATTCTCCTAAAATATTGAGTTTTTGTCAGGATCTTATTTTTCTTTTACCATCTCTGGCACACAAATTAGAGGAAGGGCGGAGTACTAAATTTGAAAAATTGTTTGATGCAATATTCCCAACAAAATCCCCATATAAAGTTTATAATTTACACTAACATTTTGCCGGTAATTAATTTTAATATTTTGTAATAAAATGTGAAACTGGTGCCTGGCCTCCGAAATTCCCCACCTGTCACCTGTGGAAGCTCGGCTCGGAGCATGGAACTTCAAAGCCAAGTGGAATGTTACAAATACCAATATTACGCTTTAGAACTTACGAATGCGTTTGAATAAATTACAAGAGGTTCCCTTGTCTAAATCGTTCTTCCGTGTGTCATAATTATGCATGCTGTATCAAGCCCAAAGAATGTCTGTGTAAAAGACTAGCCGTAATTATACGTCAGTATGCAGTGCATGCGCCATACATGAACTGCGCATGCACGCTCACATTTCTATTGATGACGTCACATACAGGAACCGGCGTTTTTACAGAACATGCGCTGATCACACGTCCGTCATCTTTCCCTATCAACCGACCAATACGTAAGTACACGACCTTTGGAAAATGTCTAGATTTTATCCTTTTTGCCTTAATCAAAAGTAAATTTATTTGTGTGGAGTGATAGATTGATATTTGAGGATTATCTATGTATACCCTTTTTTCAGATTCAAGATGTTTCAATCAGTAATTGACAGCGCTAAGCGCAACCACTTCTCGAGTCCATTTCTCTCGACTGCAAGCTGCGAGCCCGCTGCAGAGAACAGTATAGAATCGAGGGTATCCCCACTACCTACCACAAGAAATCTCGTTGCTGCTTCGACAGGTGAGTATTGATTTTATCCAAGAAAAAATAAAGACTGATGTAAAATAAGGGGCAAGTTAGAATACCGGATCTAAATCAAGTGGAATAAATACATCTTGTAAGTTGAAGTTGAATGTGGCCATGTGGATGAGTCATACAGAAAGTTGAGGGGGGGGGGGGGGGGTAGGTTGTGTGTCTGGAAAATGATGTTATCTTTCATCATGAAGTTAAACTAAAACTGATCATTGGTGCATGTGCAAATATCCTTTTTAATGCAACCACCTTTGCGCTGACATTAACAGTAAGGGCGCTGGTCTGAGAATGAGGATCGTCCACGTAAACGAGGATATCCTCGTAAACGCAGACGACTTGCGTCCTAAAAAAAATGGGGATCGACCGCACTTTCATGTACGATCCTTATTATTGATTCGCGCGCTGGCAATGCGAAAAACGGATTCCGGGTAATAAAATACCCCCAGTTCACCGTCTACGGGTTGTCTGTCTTCCCTCGGATATGTTTATATAACATGAAAGTCTCTGTGCTGCGTCAATGAGAAATGCGTCATCGCAGAATCCGTTTTTTGCATCGGCAACTTGCGGATCGTTAATAAGGATCGTCTGTGAAAATGCAGACAATCCTTATTTTTTAGGAATCGATTTGTCCGCATTTACATGTAGGAGAGCACCTCGTTAATGCGGACAATCCTAATTCATAAAGACCAGCTCCCCTACTGATTAACCAATGACTTGTCCCATTTTTTATTTGTCATGTCTCGTGTCTTCATGACAACTACATGTAACATTGTTTACTTTAACTATCATACTAAAAGATAAGTTAACACCGATTTCAGAATACCACCCCTAGTCTTTACTAATTACTATAGACTATAATAAAAGGGCAATCATCACCTCTATTTTAGTGGAAGTCTTCAAGAGTTCTTTTCAAATCCTCTACAGAAACCAGCTGTGAATTTGGGTCAGCAAAATACTATGCTCTGTGCGGCTTTGGTGGTGTTCTTAGTTGTGGAATCACACACACGGCTGTTGTACCTCTAGATCTTGTCAAATGTAGAATTCAGGTGAGAACGATGTAGATGTAAATAATATGTATATATTTGTCGTTTCTGTATCTATTCATCTTCATGTCATGGATATTTAAACGAAAAAAATATAAACATGTACGTTTTTTTTTTGGGGGGGGGGATGAGCTCATAAAAAGGATCTTGATATTTGTTTGGACCAATTGCATTATCTTTGGCACTTCATTCTCATCCTGGCAAATAAATGTTGAAATTTGATTTGTATCAAAGCACTTGGCCAAAAATACATCTTTAGGAGCAATGAATGATTTAGCACTGCAAAAGTAAGACTGAATTCTAGTTAAACAACAAAGAGGATAACAAGGAAATCGGACTATTGCCATGTGCAGCAAATCCAAGAAGAGCTCTGTGAGAACGTGTTCTGGCTATGTGTAAGTGTATAATGTGTACCCAATACTCGGTCCATATTCCTTACATTGTAGGCCCACAAAAAAAGCATTGCTTTCTGATCTGTAGTGATCCTGAAAAATTGAGAGGCCAAATTGAAAGTTCAAATGTGAACTATTTGACTATAAAAGTTCTTAATTTCATGACGCTCATTAATGTTACATGTAGATCTATGGGTAGATGATGGTAATTCATAATAATGAATTGTTACACATTATTTTATGTCATATTTACCTTGGAATTTATTGTGTAATGAAGCTGTGCGTACTGCATTGCTCAAAACCTAAGCAACATGATTTGTACCGGTAAACATTCTGAGCTGTGTTAACAAATTTGCCATATAATATGCAGGTTGATCCAACCAAGTACAAGGGCATCTTCCAAGGCTTCAGGTTGACAGTAGCAGAAGAAGGTTTCCGTGCTCTGGCCAAGGGATGGGCACCTACATTCATCGGCTACTCAATGCAGGGTCTCTGCAAGTTTGGATTCTATGAGGTTTTCAAGAATGTCTATGGCAACTTGCTTGGTGAGGTAAGCAAGTCTGAATATGCATCATTATTAACTTCTGGTCTGGAGGAGTGCTAATTTTTTGTAGATATGTCTGTACTAGGATAAGAATCCTAAAATAAACATTAATAGTAAGTAAGGGGCAAAATACTGTTTGTTTAGTGGTAACTGTTTTTTGTTGTAAAGAAACTAAAGAGAAATACGTTATGAAATGCATTTCTGTTATGTACAAAGATTTACAAATTAAAGAAACGAGTGCAAATCTCTGGCAAGAGTTATACTAGGATTAATCGGTAATGATTTCTTCATTTTTGTGACAATCATTAGGAAAGGGCCTTCCTGTACAGGACGTCCCTGTACCTTGCAGCCAGTGCTAGTGCTGAGTTCTTTGCTGATATAGCATTGTCTCCCATGGAGGCTGCTAAGGTTAGGATCCAGACCATGCCTGGATTCGCCAGCACTTTGAGAGAAGCAGCACCAAAGATCTATGGCCAGGAAGGACTCAATGGGTAAGTCTATTCAATCACTCACTTACCTATCATATGGAATGGAGAGTAAGAAGATATATATATAGTATTGGATTATTACATCATAACTAATTGCTGTCATTGCTTATTAAGGTTGCTTACTCCCACTACCTTATATTTCATGAAGATAAGTATTGTATCATGTGGGAGAAACACGCTTCCTTAGATCCGCTTCCAGGGTGGTGTTCTCACCTGCATCTTGCCTTTCACATCCATCTTTGACTTGACACCTTTGCACCCTGGTTCTTTGATGTTCTTTCTACTGTACGAGATATATGCATTGTGATTTCACTTCTCCATCTGCGAGCAGCGAATCCCTTGCATATTTTCTCTGTCAGTGGATATTGAGCAGCTTAGTGCTATGGGATGTTTAGCTGTTTTGTTATTGTAGGGCTGTGTTGGTCTCTTGCAAGAGGTGTTGTAGCCACCCAGCAACGCCACAACGTTGTGTACCATTGGAAGTGCTTGAGTCATTGGTGTGTGAAATCAATATACCTCCAGTAGGAGCATTTTGACAATCTTGTTTGATGCTTGCAAGATTGCTGCTCTTGCTTGGGACATCATATTTTTGTTCTTTCTATAAGAATGAATTAAGTCATGAATGTAAACTTTACAATACTGTATTTTAGATAAGTTTATCAAAGTGTGTATTTTAACATTTAAATAGAGATATTTGATGCAGAATAAGAAGGTGTTGACAAAGGTGTTGTTCAAAAATCAATAAAAAAAATAGAACTTAATGCTAGGTGAATGCCTATGTGAAATATTTATTTTGATTCATAAGATGAGGGATTTCTTTAGTTGTGAAACAGCCATTCATAGCATGGTGTTGGCAAGCTAATGTTGCTTTTGATTAACCAGCTATTGTCTCTGCTCTAACAATCAGCTTCTACAAAGGACTCCCCCCACTGTGGATGAGGCAGATCCCATACACCATGATGAAGTTTGCCTGCTTTGAACGTACAGTTGAGGCTCTGTACAAGCATGTTGTTCCCAAGCCACGCAGTGACTGCAGCAAGGGAGAGCAGCTGGTCGTCACCTTCCTTGCCGGTTACATTGGTATGTACAGTACACAGTACATTACTTTTCTCTTCAAAGATATTGGTACTTGAGGCAGTGTCTCATGATATCATAAGTCAAGATCATTGGCATGGGTGTCGATCCTTATGTAATACCTATTGTTCAGGGGGGATAAATGAATAGATCATCCCCCCTGAACAATAGGTATCAATTACAGATCGACACCCATGATCATGGGCATCCCATTGAAGCCCATGTTCATTTTTTAACTCATGTCTTTATGGGATATCTATGATCTTTCATGAAATGCGGCCCTGGTTCGTGGCAGATTTCAAGTAGATTTTTGCATTTGTATCGCAATACTACTGTATTGTTAGTAGTATTTGGTAAAGATGATTATTCTGGTAAGGTAACCTGGTTATCCAGATTTGAACTCCAAACTTAGAAAAGATGTATCATATTTCAAAGTTGGCATAATTATTACTAGTTTGTATAGTTGGTTGATTTATAATGTGCTATTAAGATATTGAATGAAATGTTTGCTAGCATGGAAACATTGTTGTATTTTGTTTGCCCCCCATTTCATATCATTTAACTAAAGAAGCCTCTCATATCATGAAACATATTTAAAGATAAATGATGATTTGTCTCCTTGCCTGCCTGCAGCTGGTGTATTCTGTGCTGTTGTATCTCACCCTGCTGATACTGTTGTATCTAAGCTGAACCAGGACAGTGGAAGCACTGCCATTGAGGCTGCCAAGAAGCTTGGCATGGCTGGTAAGCTATAATTTCTTCTTCAGTCTGGGTAAAAATCAAAGGGAGTTTAGATAAATTAGATTAGGCATAGTTTTATATATGTATGAATAAGACTTTATGTGGGTAGTTCACATCCCATTATAGCTAGCTCTGCAGCTATTTTAAGGATGTGCCACTCACTGATATACAGATCATTTGACATGATCCTATTGGATTATAACATCATTCCTGATAGTTGTGATAGCTAGTTAAGTTATTTACTCCCACTACCTTATATTCCATGAAGATACGTCTTGTATCTTGTGGGAGAAACACGCTTCCTTAGATCCACTTCCAGGGTGGTGTTCTCACCTGCATCTTGCCTTTCACATCCATCTTTGACTTGACACCTTTGCACCCTGGTTCTTTGATGTTCTTTCTACTGTATGAGATATATGCATTGTGATTTCACTTCTCCATCTGCGAGCAGTGAATCCCTTGCATATTTTCTCCGTCAGTGGATATTGAGCAGCTTAGTGCTATGGGTGTTAAGCTGTTTTGTTATTGTAGGGCTGTGTTTGGTGTCTTGCATGAGGTGTTGTAGCCACCCAGCAACGCCACAACGTTGTGTACCATTGGAAGTGCTTGAGTCATTGGTGTGTGAAATCAATATACCTCCAGTAGGAGCATTTTGTCAATCTTGTTTGATGCTTGCAAGATTGCTGCTCTTGCTTGGGACATATGAATTAAGTCATGAATGTTTGTCCTACGTTTAAAAGTGCAGTGTAGTTGGAGAAAATAGTTATATTTTTGTAAAGTTGGAAATATTTACGAATATTTGCATGCAATGATTTTTAGATTGATCAAATACATGTATTCATCTCAATGTAGAGTTTTATGAGTGTGATCCCACTATTGTCTTTAAACTTTACAATACTGTATTTTTAGTAAGTTTATAAAAGTGTGTGCATTTAAAAATTCATATAGAGATTATTGATGTTTGTATCCATCCTCCATGTATACTTTTTCAATAAACTAGTGTGATGATGAATGTAATGTTGATTATGAATGTGTATTCATTCTCTTGATTTGCTAGGTTTGTGGAAGGGTTTGGGACCACGTATCATCATGATTGGTACCCTGACTGCCCTGCAATGGTTCATCTATGACTCTGTCAAGGTCTTCTTCCGCATGCCCCGCCCACCTCCACCAGAGATGCCAAAGTCCCTCAAGGAGAAGATCCAATAAACAAACAAGGATCTGAAGCAACAAACATCCTAAAACCAAACATAACCTAAACAATAGAAACATATTTACCTGATACATATATTTAAAGGAGGCATACTTCTATTTAATTGAAACACAAACACTGATGTTTTTCTTCTCCTATTTCATATTGTGAGTTTACTGATTATTGAAAGCAAAACTTCCTTATTCTATATTTAAGCAAACAATCAAAGAAAATGTAAAGCAAAAACAAAAATACTAATATCATATGGTACACTGACTGCCCTACAGTTGTCTTTTAAAGAGAGAAGTGTAAGAAAGAGGAGAAGATTTTAACAGTAATGACACTGATAAACAAATAAAAGGAAAAAAATAATATATATGTATTACTTGTATATCATGGGTAGTAGGACTAAATAAAGCTATTATGTGTTATCATCCTGGTGAATTTGGATGATTATACTTAATACAAATGGAGACAAGGTTTATATTTAACATATTTATGCATATTGTGAGACATTCTATATGATGAATAAACGTTAAATTCTCATGCATTTTCATGAAGTTTTGTGAAAATTGTTTTGATGCAGCATTATGGGGAATTGCAACTTGTATTCATTTGGCCACTTTTTATTGCATTGATCGTGTGCTCATGGAGGATTGATCAAAGTAATATTAGAATACAGGTATTTAAGTGATTAATACAAACAATCACATCTTGATAGTAGATGGATTGGACAGAAACAAAGATAACTTATGATAAGAACTAAAAGGATACAAGTTGGTGGTCCCATTTTATTGTAGAATATCCATGAAAGAGAATGTTTATTTTTGTAGTGAGTATGATATCAAGACCCCAGAAGAGTGATGTAATTTTGACTAAAATTGCCACAACTTTGCATTGCTGTGCACAAATCTGCTTCTACCCATGAAATGCTAGTTGATCCAAAATGAATAAGTGAATAAGTGTTTTAACCAAGTTAAATACATTTTGAGATTTTGATTGTAATGTTAACTGTGTAATTGTTGTGTAACTTGCAGTGGAGATGGTAGTGAATATGAACCCTCTGCACAATCTGTGGAACATTGAAATTGAATGTGTGTCTGTCTGAAAATATGCATAAATAAATTGACCACATGGTCATACTTGAAGAATCTAATTCCATGTTCAAATCCTCATTTCGGTATGAAAGTGTATTTGTGTTTTCTAATTTGCTGTTGTTTGACAAGATGTATCGCATGTGCGAGTATTTAATCCCCTCTGTGTCATCAAGATTTTTGACAATAAGCATGAGCTTTCCAAGAGATAGATGAACAATGCTTCGAATTGGTCATGAGATATATTCCATGGAAATAAACTTTACAATGAGGTTAATTGTTTCTAAATCGGGAAGAACAAAGTAACTAATTTTGGTCCAAACATGTTGTTCAACTCTCTTGGGCAGGGCTTCCCGCTGATGGCACAAAAAGCAGCTTCATAGAAATGTACAGGGTATTTTCAATATTAAACTGAGTTTAATATAAGCTTGTGAAAGTTGATTGACAAATGGTCACTTGAAGTGTAAGATACTGAGTGGATGATGCTACTATCTTAGAATGTTATACAGTGTACATGTACAAGTGTTAGGTGTTTGCAAATGCATTGGATATAACTTCAAAAATTATTTTGGTGATGGGTCTACAAACCCGATCATAAAGGCAAGAATTGCAAAGTCATGGGGATGCTAATTCGATGGCCAACATTCTGGAACCTGTTTGATAAATCTATACGAGGCTAAATGATAGTTGGATCAGGCTCAGATATTAAGTCAATAGCATATTTGGTCATTTTTAGGTACTCCTTAGGAGTGTTAGTCAGTAGTTTACTCTACTACCCTTGCATGATTCTAGGGAGTGACAGTCTTGGTGTTTACCCAACAAGTAATAGATCCAAGTATGTACAAGTAGTGATGGCTTCATTGGTGAGGTAGAACGACAAACACACACACAAAGAGGCTTCTTTGTCTCTGCTACACTTCGCAAGGAAGTTCAATGACTCATTTATTAATTTCATTCTGGTTAGAATGACTCAATCCTGCCCTAATGCAGGGAGGTCGTAAGTTCAATGAAAGGATGTTTGGATAAACATGTCAGGAGTTCTCTGAAATGTAAGCCCCCCCCCCCCCCCCCCCACACACACACAACCACATAGAAATACTAGGAGTACTTTTTGTGCCCATTTTCTATATTTAGCTATAATGTTCAAATGATCGAACAAGCAGTAATTAGGCTTTTTCACATTTGACGTGATGAACAGTAGTGTTCAGGTTTTTTAAAAATGAACAACTTTATTGATGTGTGTAAATTAATGCCAAGTGGAGAGGGGATGGGTTAAATTAGCTGTGTGGATCAAAAGACGTACACGTACTCGCGTAGATCCCAAAATGTGATACCAGTACACACTATTCCCGTTTTGCCTTGGCGGTTAACCATTCCATATACAAACAAGGCTTAAAGGTAAAAACCAGTTTTGGAAACGCCCCCCTCTCAAAAAATGAAATGGAAGCTCTTATTACCAATCATGTGAAAGAATATGTTTTGACTAATATGTGATGATACAAATTTTGCCAGGAAACCGCCTACTAATTGATATATTTGGTAAATTATTATATCTATCTGGACTGAATAGATATCGCGTACGTTTCTCGTAGTCCCATATACATCTTTCTGTGTACAGTGCTTGTAACTTTTCCAAGACTGGGCCAAATTTCTTATCATTTTGATAATCCCAGGACCTTGCAGTACACACCAATATTTATATGCTAGATGATCAACGTTTTCTATCAATTCCACAACGTTTCTTTCACAATGCAATCGCATGACCAGAACTGAACTTTATCTTTAAATAGCCAGGTTAGTTTATCACTGTCTGAACTTCTTATATAACTCTTTGCTGTCTTAATTTCGCTTTTTTGGATGAAATTAGTTAGGACTATATCATATTCAATTTGGCTAACTACAAATACAGTATTTTTTTAACAAGCACCTATTAGACCTAACCTAGAGGAGGAAATTGAATCATTTCCTTTCATGTGTAAATCAGTCATTCATTAGGTCATTATTCAAGGAAAATTTGGAGTGTATTTTGACAAAGTATTAGTGTGGACATAGCAGATGCTGGTTAAACATCTACCCCCCCCCCCAATAAAAAACCACCTACAAATCTGCAACCTACAAACTTGGAGCAAGAGTCACTGGTGAATTTAGATGATGGTAGGGATCTGAGGGCACTACCAGCCATGCTCCCTTTTCAATTTTAGATCCATAAGGCCTAACAAAAAAAGATGTTGTGTTGCCCTTTACCGTTTTTTTTAGGAAAAAAATGTATTAAACCATTCAAAACTGACCGACCGACCCGTGTTTTGGCACTTAAAGGGCATAACAACATCTTTTTTTTTTAGGCCTAACCACCTGAAGATTTGGCTCGTCATATTTGTGTTCTCCAGGGGGAGGGGGGGGGGCAGTAAATACTACACATTTATAAAATACATTGTCTCCTCTCACTCCCTCTTTTACTCAACTACTTCTGGCAAATACAACACAGAACAAAAGAGCCATTACAAAACACAAATTTCTCATGATTCAATCATTTCTTTTTTTTATAAGAAATCAGGTGTAACCAACTTGACATTAATACGAGGAGGATCAGGTACAATAAGGACATAATATCTGTGATCCACACTTTCATGCCCAAACCCATCTCCTCTATTCACAGCTTTTTTAAATATCTCGTCGGCCATCACTATAAATTATTTGTATGTGTAAAATCATTCTCAACACTAAACATCTACTCTTTGGAAGGCTTTTGTTTTTACACTACGCAACAAAGTAGAATGAAAATTTGTCCTAAAGATTTTCATCAACGAAGAAGAGCATTTTTTCTTGAAAGCTTTGTACAATCTACTGCAGGTTGTATATCATTTGGTGTTGCTCAATTAACATGTGATACTTTGGTACACACCAATTTTTTCCCCAGGTTGGCATGACATTAGGTAGAAATTTGTATACATTTCAACAAACCTGCAACAAATGCAAGAACGTTATGATATATATCAACATGTATTCTAATTTGAGCATGCTAGTTTGAATCATATACATTTAGCACCTGAAATGCACATCATATGATAAGTTTAACTTGGATAGAAACTCTTAACATGCAGCATTGTCTTGCTATGTCAATTCATACATTACATGCATATCAGGAAAGTTAAAAAATCATTACCATGTAATAATTGGGTTCTTTCTATAAAAGATTTATCCAAGTAGATTGACTAGCATACAATTTCTCACAAAATTACTAATTTTTGCAACCACAAAAACAAGCAATACAACAGAAGTTAGCTAATGATTATCAATGTATTTTAAGACTGCTACTGCACTATAAACCTGGCCTTTTTTACTAAATATTTGTACAAAGAAAAGTAAATTGAGACATAAGAAAAAGCTTAAAATAAGACCACATTTGTGTGCAATAATTAAGATGATTCTTTAATCATTGGTCACAGTGCAATTCTTATATTTATGTTTGATTTTCTCACTGATCGGCATATATACAGCTTTTGTATAAACACATGGGATTTGTTCTCCCCGTTAATAGAAATGCTCACAGAAAGGGTGATTCTTAAATTAAGAATTTACTTCTTTAGTGCTAATATTAGAAGGCATTTTGGAAGCATTTACAAATCTCTCTCAAGGCCCAATGTATTTCCATCAGGGGATAGGCTCTGTTTATGTGTTTTTGTTTGTCTTCTTTGAAAGAAAATCTCAAAATCACAATTTAAAAACTTTTACAGTAAGGGCTCTCTTTGGTATCTTCAACATATTATACAAAAAACAAACAAAAAAGGAAAAATATACACAAATGACATCACTCTATCTATTCTTACATAATACATGTATATTCAACGAAAGATTGATTCACTTTTGATGTACATTGCAAAGAGTACAATATTCATAAATAGAACTGGAATGACATAGACCAGGACCAAACTATGGGGGTTCTACATAGATACAAAAGATTCCAAATATAGCTTCCTGTCCGAAAGCACATATCTGCATGCTGAGCATGTAGGTTAGTCAATACACTTAACATGCCACACAATTGCACAATAATGGAATGGACATAAGTTAGGTTAGTTCTAATCACAGAAAACAAGTTTCCTTGTTTCTTTCAGGTTAGTAATTTAAAAATATACATAAGGAAAACATGGCAGGTTTATATTGAAATGATTTCATTAAAGATAAAAGAAAATGAGAGAAAAACAGAGGGATACAGTGAAAATATGGGAGTTCAATCATATTAATATTTAAAAAGGTACCTGGACTAAGACAGTGTAAGGGAATAACAAAAAAGGTTCTAAGACAGAAACAATTGAAATTAGTACAATTTAACAGAAAAGAATACGATTACAAACAATCACCTGCACAAAATTCATCATTTGGGCAATTCATTTAGTGAGTCAAACTAAACTCTGTAGGATATGTGTGACTGTCTTCTCAAAATTACCAATAAGTTATCAAAATCCACTTCTTATGAGTGATTGTCTTTTTAAAACTAATAAATAATAATCATTAAAATGGCATAAAATACTTAGGCCCATATTTTAGCATTCACTTAAACCTGATGAGAAGACATGTTTAGCAATGGGTAAACTTAGACTTCAGTCCAGTTTCCTTTCTTCAAACCATCTTATACCAAGCTGAAACACAGCGTAGTATATACATGTGAGTACAATAGGGAGATTGGAGACTAAGAACCAATCGTCCGCTCAGAGCCAGAATGGTCTTAACTCTGTGTTGAAGCAGTTAATGCCCTTCTGGCTCCAAACATTTTGACGCAATACAAATGTTACACTGAGGGCAATCAGTAACATAATGCTAATCTATTTAATGACATCAGATTAGCAACTTATTGGTGATTTTGAACAGTTACCGGTAGGTCACATTTACACATTCATTAAACAACAAATGGTAATAACATTGCGAGTGAGATGGGCAAATAATCACAAAATGTGTATTGTATTCCTATACAATAATGGAACTCTAGCATCCTTAAATTATTATCTTGGTATATTTTACATGTCAAGGCAAAACAAACAATTAAGGTGTACATTTACTTGGAATAAACTACTACCTACACTGTTTCTATAGACCCACAATGGACCCCATGCTGTATATATACATATATATATGGCATTTCTATCTACCATAACAGGATTAAGCAATCTAACATATGTTTCTTTCATGATGATAACATTATTTGAGAACAAGGCCATTTCATAACATTTCACAAATACCCCCCCCCCCTCCCCTGCAATTTAAATTGCATATGCTTTGAATGTTTTTCAATGTTTTGCATATCAGCTCCTTTCATTTCAAGTCAAAGAAACATTTACACAAGTGGAGGAGTAACTACCATGTGGAGAGAAACAAATTTAGTAATTATACAACTTCCAGTATGGAAAATAGATTAAAAACTCACATTTAAACGAGGAGAGATAAAGGACTTTGGCAAGATCTACATACTACTTATGTTCACAACGGGATTACAAACATCATAATTGTGCAGCATAACTGGTCTACAAATCATGTAGCAGTGTAAAATATTTAGACATGAATTATTCACTACATTAAAACAAACCTGCAGATTTGACACTTGATAAAAATCATGAGAATAAAGTCTGTAGTATTAAGCTGTAACCATGGTTAATATTGAGATGAGCAGGATGAGGTTTGGTTTATCAAACCTACATAAACCTGTAAACTAGATGTAACACATCATGGCCATATCATCAGCGTGACCCCATTTATCTTTGTTAGAGGGAGGACAAAGGACAAGTTTAATATCAATGTACCAAATATCCTCTTATACAAACCCTCTTTCGTTCTGGTGTCATTTCTATGTCTCCCTCTCTCTTGGAAAATAAATTGTGCAAACCTGTATGATTCTCAAGTTTGTTGGAGTAGTTCTTTCAATGAAGATGCTTAAACAAGTGCAGGGAATACAAAAATATAATATCTACATAATAATCTATATTCTAATTCATCATTCTTCATAATCTTTTTGGTTGTATATGAATTGTCAAATAAAAATAAATCTCACAATTTGACGACACTTCTCCTTGGGTGTTTTTCTGCCTTATTGACAGCATAATCCACCTGATCTATCAACTAAATGCAATTTACTTCTCTTTCTGTCTTCCCATTTTCTCTTTGAAAGCAATTCAAAGGAAATTTGAAAAAATCTTAGAAGAAAAAAGAAATAATGCTGGAAGCCATCTCCAACAATACAATACAAATCATCTCATGTAATCAATAAACTAAAATCATATTACACACAACGCAGCATTCTTTATGTCATCATCACATACCACTATTTGATTCATTTACAACCCTATAAGATGAAACTGGAAAGCATCAGGTTTATATTCAACACACTACTGAAAAGAAACTAGCTGATAAAGAGTATTCTGCATATTTAAACAAAGTACACATCTGAAAGCCTTCTTCACACTTTGTGTTCTTGATGGCAGTTCTAATGTCTTCACAATCATCTCATGTCTACACCTATATAAAACCAAACATAATCTCAAGCATCAAATGATCACAAATTTTGTGAGTGCTTCAAGTTTGCAGATTTGCAAAAGAGTCATGCCGCAAAATAACTGGATAGCAAATGACTCAACAGTGAAGTTTTATAGCACTCATTGGAAAATGTTCCTGGGCAATTAATAGTTGATCACAATCCTACCTCGTTAAAAATACCCTATATTGATGTTTCCTGGAACTATAAATGTGGCCTTCCTCGGGTGACATTTTGATTGACATGACAGAGAGAAAACATATACACATGAACTAACATGCAAAATAATGTGAGACATCGACATGAAAATGTCAATATAGGACATTGACAACTTAGAGGGAGCAATCCATACTGGGGTCTCTATATGAGCCATCATTCATGTAAAACATGTGGGATGGGTTATGAGAGCATTATATTTTGGGGCCAAACATGATTTATACTAGATGCACTTCTTCCAATAACGGGGCAATGTCAGCCTTCAGGGGGCAAGATAAGACACACATGAGTTGCTCTAAATGAGATTTTTGAAAAACTGCGGTCATATTTTCAGGAATACAATTACATATTATATATTATGAACCACTTTTGATATCATGCTTCAGGAATCAGGATTAGCTTCTTTTTTTTTTTTTTACTAACAAAGATAATAGCTACATAACATCTAGGTATTTCTTTCAGTAAAATGTGACAAATCTTGATTTAGAACTTTCCACACAATCTTGAAATAGTGACTGTACAGTATTGGAAGTTATATTATCTTTTTCTAATATTGTATTGATTACATATTTGCATATATATCGTATGCAAGGCTGGAATGGTATTTGCATCCCATTTAAAAAAAAGAAGTAGAAGAAAAGTTAGTAGTCTACTTAATCAGACTTTACATTAAAATGACACATTTCTAATTTGTGACACTGGTGATAAAATAAAAACTAATCAATAGGTACGCAGAAGACTCACTCTCTGTTTGCAGAGAGAGGATCTCATGCTATACATACGCATAAATGTACATGAGTTTGAAGGATGATATCAATGATGGGTATCAAACACATGATTGGCAGTTCTAAACAGAGAAAAAAAAATATACAACAGCATTTCATCAAATACGTGAAATAAATAGTAAAAGTATCTTGATTGAGCTTGAGTGTTGCCACTTCTCAGCACTCCATATATAACACATTAATTACAATTCTGATCATCTGCCAGGCTTTCCATAAAGCCAGTACTCAAAGATGTACTCTTCTCTTTCAAACTGGACTCTTACCTACCATAATTAATCATATGATTGACTGATAGTTTACATATAGTACTTATCATTTCCTGTGGAGTGACGGCATAACAGGCATGCCTACGTTACGTACGAATCATGTCTATACTATAAAGACGTTTCCTTATTGGTTTTGAAAAGGATTATAAAGGTTTTGAAAAAACTAATACAACTGAAGTTCAATTAGGAGCATTTTCCATCAATGGAAAAATTAAAGATGTACTCCTAGGTCTTGATTAAATTGCTGGTGTCAACATTGCCTTTACTAGCCACTCCACAGTGGATGGATTGTCATATTAAGAATAAATAAACTGGAGACATTCAATGTACTTTGGCAAGTTCATTCACACTCCCTTACCACATTGTAACAGCCTAAAGGGATTATACAGGTTCCTTCAAATATGCAGCGGTAAAACACAGTGGTTTCTTTTTAGATGTGTAAATGAGTGGTAACTGTGAATTACAGGCTTATATCCACTTAGCTCTGTGTTTTAAGAAATGTTACAGAAATGGAAGGCGTATATACACTTACGCCATCATATCAAAAATGCTGTTGATTACCACAACATATCTGAACGAGACTTGAGAGGAGAGGAAACTCATTTCATATCACTCTACAGAATAACCACCATGTAATCTGCATATTTCATTTTACAAACATTAAATGTCATTATAAAAAATAAAAATAAATCAATAACAAATAATAAAAATGTTTATGTTTGCTATGCTTTGTGTACATCAAAGACATCATCTTTTCTTCCCTTGCAACTTGATCTACATGTATGTATGTACATGACTAATTAAAACCACATACCCTCTGAGAGCTTCTAATGCTACATCAAATTATATCATTTGATCATTCAAGACTAGGATTACAACATTTTCATCCATATGTATGAACACATGAGGTTGCTTCTTATCTTTCAGCCACCGAAATTGCCAGTGTTCTTGCTCAAATCGTAAGAAGGAACAACAATTCCATTTCAAAGTAACGGAGTACATCATCACATTCCACGATGCACATCCTTACATGGCAAAGTTAACTGTATTACTATAAGCCAATATTTGAGACAATCACAGGGACACCCAGGCAGAGGTAATATCTTTGTAATAACACTGGCTACTTGTTATACATGCTCACAAATGCATTGTCGGTCATTTCAAAGAGTTGTTAATTCTGCGACCCTAAAATTTAGTGAAAATAAAACCCTTGCAAAACTTATGGCTAGTAAGGTATTCAACAGAGCAACATGTATAACATTCAGTAGAATCACCAATGGATGAAGAACTACTTCCTACTTGAGATATTTTGAATTTCAATATTTTTTCATTTCATTTTCCAGGTATTTCCACCACCTTGGTGTCTCCCTAGATAGGATTCCCAAAGATTCCCAAGATCCATGTACAAGTAGGTCAGTGAAACTAAAAGAAGCGAGCGAAGGCAAACTGAAGTAGAGTGAATGATGAGTCGTTACATAACCCCCTGGCTGGGTCCCTCTAGGGATGGTTCTGGGTGATGTTCTGATGGGACCCATCCTTCCTTACATGACCCCCTGGCTGGGTCCCTCTAGGGATGGTTCTGGGTGATGTTCTGATTGCCCATTGGTTGGTACTGGAATCATCATCATAGGGTTGTGATGCATCATACGTTTCAATTGCTCCATCGTTAGCTGCCCAACCTTGCGACGGTTTGCTGCACTCTGGTGTTCAATGCTAAACAGGAGATGGTTGGAAGGGAAGAAAAGAAGAACAGAAATATGTAGCTTAGAAATTATCCTTTGATAGGCCGTGTACAAGCACATCATTTCAAAATTATACACATGTTTGATTGGACTTGTGGCTAGAAATTTATCGTCTTAGAGTAGTCAAATAAATAATAGGAAAGTCATCTAAAAACCAAAAACTTTGCATGTATCATTTTTGAGAGAAACTTCTAATACCCCTCTATCGGAGTCACACCGATAAAATAATTGATAGAATGTAAACAGGTGAAAGCGCAGCGTTCCCGCATGTGCCATTCATACTGTTGATGAAATTCACTCGCAGTGTGCAGCTAGCTAGCTAGTTACCTACAATTTTACAATGCAATATAACAGTGTAGCTAGATTGATATCGCCCTGGTGGTGGAACACAATCATGGATCTACGGTGGTTGCTACTATTTCCTTTGCTACAGACTTTACATCTACCTGCTACATGTAGTGTGTGTAACAACCTTTTACCATTTTCATCAGTGTTTTTCTCCCATTTTTTTCCCAATCCCAATCATAGTGGCCGTTTCATCGGAGTAACACCGATAAAAAGATAACTTCTTGTGCTCTTGATCAGGAGAATTTTATCGCCTATTTCTCCTCTGTACCATTCATAGTGGCCGTTTCATTGGATGCGTTCGGACATATCAGATGAAAATCAGGCCACTATGTAAGGGGTATAAGTCCATTTTAGATGATACTAGTTCATCAAACTGCCTGAATTCTATGCACTAAGAAACTGGTACTCACAGATCTGCAATAGCATGATTTGCTTCCTCACGTGGGTCTCTTTCATCCTCCATCTCATCATCCTCTTCTACCAGCTCATCACCAATAGCTGCATTCCTCACTCTCTCCTCTACTTCACCAATATCCTCTTCCTCCTCCTCCTCCTCCCTCAATCCCCGAGGATAAGTCTCTCTCTCTTCCCTCTCAAGAGCTGCAGCTTCTTCCTCTCCTTCTCTTGCATATCGATCTTCCTCTGCAGCCCTCCTAAACCGCTCTTCGGCCATGAAGCGCTCGCTTTCCTCACTGGCGAATCGCTCCCGTTGCTCCACCCGGTAGTGCAGCTCCCCCTCGCTCACTGCATCCCCTGGGGATCGTTCTCTGCCAGGAGGGTATACATCCCTACAGGTGTCAGGGTGGGGCGCACTTCCACACTGAGGGTACGAGTCTCTATCATCATCAGGGAAGGGGTCACCACCACCCCGCTCTCCACCAGGATACTCTCCTCTATCTTCTACCTCTAACAAGTATCGCTCCCTTTCTTCTTCAGGATAGGTATCACGCTCGTCACCAGGGTAACGACCTCTGGGATCTCCAGGATACTCGTCTCCATCAAGGTCATCTTCTTCGTTGTCCAACACTTGGATTGCATGATCTGCAGCTGCTGCTGCTGCATCGCTTAACAACGGCAAACTCCCACCCATGGGCTGTAAGGGAAGCATCATATCATCAAAGATTACATAATTCCAGAAATTGTTATTTTACATTAGAGCTGCTATGCCTCAAGCCATTACTGCCTTAGAAACTATCAAGACACAATTGCCTAACAGTGTACTGGACTGGATATACCAATGTTAAAATTGTAAACGTACATTTCTATAATTACTTGTATAATATGACATATGTCAAATGACCGAGAGTTTTTTTTTAAACCAAATAGATTGCTTCCTAACCTTTTTTTAAAATGCAGTGGCAACTGAAATGACTATCATCTATTTTGAACAAATTTGGCAGGGGATATTACATTCTGGTGATAACTACATACGCTACTTATATGGACTCAATATCTACCATCTAACATCTGATATATACAGACAGGTTCTATTATGGTGAAACCACAAATTGTCTGCTGTTGGGAGCCAGAAGGGCATTACCTCTGGCACCCTTCTGGCTCTAACTAGATAATACGTATAGAGGTCTGTCTGTCAGGACTATGACTTACATGCATGTGTGTTTCTAGATTGAGTGGCATATCCTCCGTGGGTAGCATATCAACTGACTTGCTGATGGGTGTGGTGGGTGTGTTGGGTGTCGACGGAGGTGTGTTCAGACTGTAGGAAGATAATGACGGTCTGTCAGCAGGTTATTTTATAAAGCTCATGCAAATTAAACATGCAGCAGATAATAATAGTGAGTGGTTAAAGCAGGTGGGCTCTGCAAAGTGTGAACAGAGAGCAAAAACAATAAGCAAGCAATACAGAAATAATTCATTGAACATCTTTACATGTAAGAACAACAAGAATGAGTCGATCATAATTATTCAGGAACTTTGGAGGATGAAAGCTGCGAATTCTGTATGTTGTGCTTGGAAAGAAAGGGGGAAAAAATGTTTATGAAATGCCAATTCCAGAAACAAACGTATAAACAATTTGTATCTTCTTTCATTCCAGTAATAACAAGGTCCTGTTCAGACTTGACCTGGTACAAAGACTTGAAATGGTCATGATGTAATAACATCTTGTACAACTGTACATTATATGGATAGATTATTTGCAAAAGCTAATTTTATAGAGGCTAAAACAGAGAGGGGGTGCTACCAAGGCCCTTCGCCGTGTTTACTTCCTAACGGGAAAAATATCTTCAAGGGCTACTTTAAATCCAAACTATCTATCATATCAGTGATTTTACAATGGTGCATGGATATGGTACAAAGTGTTCTCAGTTCTCTTCAATTCCTGTACTACAAACACATGTAGTTGCATTTGTTGAACAATAATTGGGCAACATCAATTTATGGAGAAAAAAAATCATGTGCAGAAACTATAAATTACAATAAAGGACAAACACAAAAGGAATTAACATAACAGAGTAGGTAAACCAATTAATAATCAGTGGAGAGCCTTCATGTCTAAATTTCAAGTGTAACAAAAGAATATTAGTTTGAATCCAAATGGCATGCTACTTTTTGGTACAAAATCATGCATTAATTAACAACCAGTGGACTTGTAATGAAATGTCCATGCAATGTCATGCAATATTAGGTTATAACACAAATTCCTTTACTTATGGGCATGCAGCAAAATGAAAAAGTTTAAATATTATCACTTTTTAATATGAGGCAAATAAACGGATAAATTTGGAGTACAAATTTGAAAGGAATCAAAGGAAGATGTTTGAAGCCAACCTAACATGTTCTGAAAACAGTTAATTCCTGTAAAAACTTCTTACCAAACACTATCTTTAAAAAAATGTGGATCTACAGCTAACATGTTCCAATAATTCAGTCCAGCAATGTGGAAAATCTAAGCATTCAGACTATTCAAGAATGTCTTGAAACATTGGATGACAATTTAAAAAATGTATTTACATCTGTGCCAATTTGTAGACCATGAATGAATTGTTATTGTATCCAGGCATTCCAAGATGCTATCTTCCTAATTGATAGTAGATGAATTGGAGCGGTATAATGCAACTCACCTTCCCATTCTCTGAGGTCTTCTCTTCATGAATTCAATCTCATCTACCGTCCATACTGCACCCTTCACATTCTCAACTCGTACAAAACACTTGTGAAGACTGAGGTTGTGCCGTACAGCATTCTAAATATACACAACATTGAAATGGATAACAGTTACATTTATTGTTTGCAATTAAGTTGAGCATTTGTGCATGTCAATCAAATACATGTATATCACTAATCCAAATGTAGGCTGTTGAATGCCACCTAAAATTTAACATTTGACATATATTTGCTATGGGATGAAATTGTAATAGGTCAATTCAATTTGCTCACAAAAATGTATTATAACGATTAAAAACCCTAAAACATAGATTTTCAGTTCATGACAAAATTAACAAGACATTAACAATTTTCATTCCATGGTCCATTTGACAGGTCTGATATCTCTTACAACACAATTGTACAGATTCTATTATTATCAATTTTATGGGAAACTATGGTCGGTAGATCTGACAAGTTGACCACATGGATTGATTATGGAAAATAACAATTATCATGCTTCTCTTGCAAAACAGAGACTACATTTTACAAGCATGATGACATCATAAATGCTTGCATCTCTCTCTCTAAACAAGGTTGGTTCATTCAAAGTAACTCACTTTGTTCAGCCAGGAACACTGCATACATGAATGAGTGTATGCTGACCTATTTCTAAACATTCATTGATGTAGATAATCCCTGATAATTCCCCCTTTATGAACATACACTTTCAATGGATCAATTTGTATTCAGCCTTCTCAGCCATTACAATTGAAATATCAACACATTTGTAATCCCTTGTCACCTACATGTAGGTCGGCCATTCAGGATCTGTTCATTGTGTGATTTGTAAACCTAAGCTACAGAGTAGCAGCATACTGATTGCCAACATACTGTGCAGATTGATTAGTTCACAAGCACTATAGGACATCATTTGGGAAAAAGAAGGTACTTTGCAATTTCTTGTTGCTTTCTTTCTGTATTTTTAGGAAACGTTATCCAGTTCTTGAAGCAGTGAAACACGATGATATTAATGTTGATTCTAGATAGCAATCATTTATGCTCAAAATAGACTTTATGCTCACTTTAATACTCCAAATGCCAATAAGACCTTTAAACCTGACCAAAGCTTGACACTATTCTAAATGTTACACACCTTCCATGTGGCAGCATTTCTTCTGAAGTATGCAAATGTTCTTGTGAACCAATTATAGATCTCATTCAGCGTTAATTGTCGGTCAGGTGCATCGATAATGCCTTGCCTGATGAGGGCAGCATACGTAAATGGCGGCCTCACATCAGTATTTTTGTAGAAGTCTGAGTTGTGATGAATTTCTGCTATGAACGAGAATAAAAAAATAAACAGAATAATGCTTATTTCATGACATTAAATTACTACCTATGTACAAGAAATCAAATATAAATATTAAAAAGTGAAACTTTTTTCAAAAATATTTTGTATACTCATTCATCAACAAAATCTGTTCTGTTTTTACTGAAATCTTTAAAAAAAAACTTTACAATTCTATACCAAAATATGGTTGAACAAGGGTCAAAGTAAAATGTAACAATTGGACTAGATCTTTACCTGTACTAAGTGACAAGCCATACTTCTCACTGTTCCGCCTCCTGATTGGACCACCAGGTGTCACATGATGTGAAGTAAGCTTGTGTGATTGGTTGTTAGCAGGATGTAACTGGAACTGTTGCTGTTGTTGTTTGATATGAAGGGGACTACGCAGGGCCTGGCTCATAAGAGACTGGACAGCAGCTTGAGTAGAGACTGGGATGAGGGGTGGGATCTTAGGGGTACCACTAGCAAGGGAGACATGGTAGGGGGCAGAGGCGATGGAGGTGATGGGCACAGGAGGTGTACTGGAGGGCACCATGGGTAGTGAGGGAGCCGTGTGCTGGACCACCGACACAGGCTTGGACAATGAAGGAGATGACTGTACAGACGACTAGAGAAGCAATGAGAAAATAACAAAGATTATAGAATTAATTCCTACATTATTCATATATTTCTCTTATTAAACCACTGCTATTTAAACATGTAAGATATGCACACAGAAATGATTGTGTACACAACCATTTCCATATTGTCTGTTTGGGGCAGGCCAGAAGGGTGTTAAATCTATCCTGGCTCTGAACAGATAAGAATAGTATTACTACATGTATGTATCTCATCAATACATGTATGTTCAACATTTCTTTCAGATCAGAATGTGTAGGACATAAAAATAGCAGGCACCATAATATCCTGTATCTCTCGCTCCATATGTTCACAATGATTCCTCTGTAAACTGAGACGTGTTTAGCTAAACAAAACCCTCCAATGCCCTCCCTTCCTGATTGTATTTCCTTAGAAACCAATAATATTTCTCTCTCTCCAAACACAAAAGAAAGATGTATATCAACAGTGCATGCATAACCATGATTAACAATGGTTTAGCAACCAGGATGAGGTAAAGGCTGTTTGTATTTTCCTTTCATAATCATAACAAAAATCGAAACAAGATGATAGTGTAAGTACTACCTTCTTGTCTCATTGCATTTGCATGAAAAAGTAGTTTAATAAATTTCTATTCCAGTGCACAGAATCTTACACTTTTGAAAGACAGATTTTGTTTCAGTCTTTTGAATACTCATGATTACCTTTACCCTACACTCTCTGAAAGCCATAAGATTAGAAAACAAAACAACAAATCTATATTCTCAAAACAAAGATTCTACTACATCAACATCAACTCAAAGTTCATAATAATTGGCAAGGGTACAAGTGATTCATTTCTACCCTCATGTAAATAATCACATGCTCTATGGTTAATCTCACTTTGTTTTTCATGTTTTCATTATCGCTGCCTCACCTTAAAATGACAGTTCATTCACATGATAGTTGCATGAGCTAGTTCTGTGGATCTAAAGATTGTATCAAGTGAGAATGAAAGCCTTGTTCAGATACTCTTCATACATCATTATCTTATATCACAGAGCTCAGTGAATTCATTTACACAAAATTATATCACTGTAATTTACTTTGTCATATCTGAACAATCCTTCATAAGAGAAATATCCTTAAAAGTCTTTAGGGCTCAATTTGTTACCTTAGGTGTTTCTTGCTTGGAGTCGATAGGAGGCTTCATATGTAGATGGGCCATCATAGCAGCTAACCTCTCCCTCTCCTTAGTCAGCTGTATCTCAAGCTGATTCACGACCTGCATCTGAACCCTGGCTTGCGCTGTGCTACGGTCATCGAGGGCATGCTCCGTGCTCAGGTGCCTGTAAATGCAAAGCATCCCTTATCATCATCATTGATCATTGATCATTTTTTGTTCAAGAGAAGGTTCAGTATATAAATACATGTGTGTTCTTCTTATTTAGGTGATATGAAAACCTCCCAGTATGCATCAGTTGTAAATAGGCTCCTATCCAAACCGCAGTACAGACAGTTCTTTTCGCATCATAAGGCCTAAACAAAAAAGATGTTGTATTGCCCTTTGCGACCGACCCAAAAATCTGGAAATTTACAATCAGCTTTTTGGTTGTTTTTTTTAACCCTTTTTTTAGAAAAAATATGTATTAATGCATTCAAAACTGAGAAATATCAGCACAAAGAGGGAGTAAAGAAGAAAAAAAAAAAAAGAAAAGATTTTTGACCGACCGACCCATGTTTTGGCACCTAAAGGGCAATACAACATCTTTTTTTTTTAAAGGCCTAATTGCAAGCCAGAACTCCACTTCATCTTTAGTAAAAGTAATTCCTGTGACCAGGGGGGTGTTTCACAAAACTTGTCATCAGTGACAAATGACACCCTTGCTTCTGATTGGTTATCAGTTGATTTGGCACTGATTTTTGTTTTGGTCGTTTTTGTCGTTGAAAAAAGGCTTTGTAAAACACCCCCCAGGATCATATTTTCTTACAGGTGACATTGAAAAATAACTCTGTCTCTCTGTTGTAGGCAACAAGAGAAATACTAAAAACAAGGTTTAAATGGTCATATTTCAATGATTTGGGTCATTCACAGCCTGATGCCGATGCAATTCAAACCCTGGCATGTACATCAATCTACGTTTACAATGTTACAAGCAATAGTCTATCAAGTCATACTGATATCTCTATGAGCATTCGTGTGATCCCAGCTAACAAAAAATGGTCCATTTAACAAAGTACTGTACTCTTCATGTATTTGGTGGTAAACAGTCCTTCTTCCTCTCTGTTTTGTTCTTCAGCATAAAACAACCTGACATTAGGAGTGATATGCCCATCAAAATCAAATTTTATGTATATTAAAAGTTTAGTTTAAACAAAATGAAACTTACTAAAACGAGTTGATTTATTATGTGCTAGCAAGCAATTTTATTTACCGGTAAATGAAAGGTCATTTAAGAGAATAAAGCCAAACATTTCTGAATAAGGAATATTTGTACATATTGTAATCACAGTTTTATTCTATTTTTACATTTTTGACCTAGAAAAAGAAGCCATACTACCCTACTTAGACATAGTAAAAACAAATAAACTATTGCTTCTCTTCAGGTATCTGTTTTTCAATCTATAAACAAATTAAGAAATAGGCAAATACGTCTATGATATAAAGTTTGTAAAAGACAATTAACAATATGGGCCATATTGTTTGTGCACTTGTAGACCATCTTGTTGTGATATGATGGAGCTTACTTACTTGAGGAATGCTGGGAAGTCCTCACACACCGTCTCACAGCCAGGCCACTTGCACATACCGTGGGCATAGAGGGGGTGGTTGTTAGGATTAGCCAATCGGTCCTCATGGGGCATCCTGTCAGAGAAATATTGCATAGTAAATTTATCTTCATGACCATCACTTGTGAGAATATCATTTGTAACATTGTATAAAATTGTATAAAACATGAGAAGAATTCAGTCCGATTCCCATAACATGGTATCTGCTAAGTTCACATAAGATGACAACTGAATAGATGTCTATATATGTAAGGTGACAAGAATCTTCTTGTACTCGTAATGTACAAGTCTACATTCGCAGTCCCTATATCTCTTTGTATACCTCTCTGTAGAAATCTAGCCATCTAGCCCACCTATGACCAAATACAGTAGTTGCAGTGGCGAGAATTGAACACACATAAAAAAGAAAAGAAACAAATTAAAGAACAATATGAGTAATTCTTACATCATGCCTTGGTGTGCCAGCAGAAATCCTGGATGTATGTGAGATCCATCTAAGAGACCATTCATCATATGACGATGATGTCCACTCAATCCAGGTAACATGGATGCTACAGAGCTTGTGGGGGCGCTCTTGACATCTTCTGGTGAGGAGACTTCCTTCCACAAAGACTGCAGCTCTGACACCGACATGGCTTAGGAGTGATGAGAGATGAATAATAAGATATCTTCAAAATATGCTTTTGGTTGGTTTGAAGGAAGTAGCACATGACTAGCTCACTCAGTCAGTGATCACTGGGTTTTTGGTTGCACACTAATTGGTATTAATGTGAATCACCTGTTTATGGCTCAAATCATTCTGGATACATTGCCATACCAATGCTAAAATCTTCAATTTCATATATTGACCTCTATGACCTTTGACCTTCTTACCCCAAAATCTAATCAGATTGTCTTTCTATGGTGATGCACACTATCACCATCTTCAAAGCTCATACCTCAAGTGGTTCTTGAGATATCGCTTTAACAAAAAAGCGGGACAGATGGTAACAGAGAAAAACAAAATGTCTCCAGCACCACCACTTGCCTGTATGTTCATAATCATCCATAAATAAAACTAATGTACAGGTAGCATTTTGCTATACATTCATCTCTTTACTGGATGAGAAGTACATGTATTTGTGACCACACCAGTACTGCTACATCATACCTGAATCATCCCTATGAATTATAATGAATTTTACATGAACGATAAAAAAACTTCAAAACCACATTTCCCCTTTTGATAGTTTCACAAGTGGTCCAGGTTTGCGAAAGTATGATTCATTTATAGGAATTTACAAAGATGAATTTTTGTTTTGAGGTAGCTTTAAGATGATGTAATACCTTGTTGCAACCTTGGTGGTAGCATCATTTGTCCCGAGGCAACAGCTTGTTGCTGGGCTTGTAGCTGGATCATATGGGCTTGTTGCAAGGCTAGGCTGTGAAGTTGTTGCTGGTGTGGTGAGAGTTTGGCTTGGGCTTTACCAGCATCACCGCTGGCTGCAGCAACAGCAGCTGCCTGCATCTGTTGAAGTAATGTAGCCTGCTCCTGTAACTTCAAAGAAGAAGACAAAAAAACACAATATATAAACAGGTCTGCAATTACAAGTACAGGTATACTATCAAGCTTATATCTTCTTGACCAAACTACTTTTTATAACACTCCAACTTATGACTTTCTTTTTTCAAGTAATGGGCGTCATTGACACTAGTTTACTGCAATCACATCAACAACGTAGTAATGTACCATGACACGGTCACATGACCTTTTGTTACTACATGCCTGCCTGCTCCAAAAATAGAAGATGACTTACAAAATGAAAACATCTCATCTACTTTTCTAAATTATTAAGACTTAATGGCCCGAATTCACAAAGGAGGTTTGTCGACAAACCTTGGTTTTCATACGTCATATGACGCGTTTTACACGTTTTTTACAAACCTGGTTTGTAAAGAACAAAAGGAGGTTTGGCGAAACAAAAGGAGGTTTGACCTCAAACCTTGGTCTGAGCTCAAACCTTGCTTTGTGAATTCGGGCCAATGATGCTTAAAATAGCAAAAATTCAAAATAGAAAAAAAAGGAGCAAAATACAAGAGACATAACACAACCTGGCAGTAGTCTGTGTTTCAGATTAATGGCCTAAACTTTCACACATTTGCCTAAATCTTCACAAAAAGGCGAGAAGAAAGTTTAGATATGTAAATATCACCAGACTGTGGATCACATGGTTTGCAATTCGAGTCTCAGCGCAGCACTAATGTCCTTTGGCAAGACATTCATCTACATTTGCCACTTTCCACCCAGGTGAAATAAATGGGTACCGGTAGGAAGTAATTCCTTAGATGCTTTAGAGCCTTATTATGGCAGCTCAGCTACAACTATGATGTGATACTTTGTATTAAACGCAGAAGAGTATACTCATATTGTAGCTGTGCTATATAAATGGACCTGTTATTATAAGGGAAAAACCAGTATGATCATGGGTGTCGATCCTTATGTAATACCTATTCATCAGGGGGGGATAAATGAATAGATCATCCCCCCCTGATGAATAGGTATCAGTTCCAGATCGACACCCATGAGTATGATACAAATTACAGTACATATCATTGCTTGTTATCTGAATAAAATATGCTGTTAGACTTAAATGGCAATATCTGGCTGAAAAATGAGTCACCTATTTCAATTCAAAGCTACTCCAAAATAGAATAATAAATAAATGACCAATAGTGAACAAATCTAGAGAGGCTGACTGCTGACTGCTTTTAATTTAATAAATGCCTCTAAAAGCACTTCTTTTATACTGACAATGAAGTAGACCCACGCTACACAACTTATAATCTGAGGGAATATAATAGAGGTTTAAGGAAGAATTTAAAGCACTGTAGCAGCAAGAAACAGAGGTCATCTACAAATAAAACCTACTTGTACATGTAATTGTATAACCATAAACTTTCCCTTGGATGAAATGTCCCCAATTTGTTGTTAAGTGGTTATTAATAAAACTAATAGTAATGATGGTGGCTTCTTAATGGCACAAAGTAGTGAGATTGTATAACTTTCTTGGATCAGATATGGTTTGCAACCATTCTATCAAAATACATGAGGCTTATTAGTAGCTATTAACTGGTTCTTTATAGTGGATCGATCTACTTATAATGAAGACCCTATATATCAAGCATCCTTACTTGTATTGTACTTCATGGACTGAAAATAAAACTAATCAATGTCTTTATTACAGAATAGATATCCTGTCATTAATCATCCCTTTCATTTCATATTACATAGGTTTAAGGCACATCTAGTGTATCAATTGCATTCATGACCAATGCTTCAGTTAGACCAGAGAACAAATTGACTAAATGGTGATCAAAATGGTCATTATAAATTTTGCTGAGAAGCCCTTTGTTTAGCTGAACAAACAAAATGCAATTCTTGGTTTCACTTCTCACACAAAGCAATCCTTACCACAGAATATTGTGCCTCAGACATTTCTTTGTACTTCCAGAGAGTGAAAGAGAGAGAGAGATAGGGCAGAAAAGGCCTGCAACAATCGCCTGATTATTTTGGAAAACTACCAAGGCCAGCTCGTTGTGTTTACATTCTGCGAGCATCTTGTTTACATTAGGTGATGGTTGTTTTCTTTATTTCCCTTCCCGGAGCGCAGTTTTGTTTGTGATGTAAACATCATGGAACCATGATTGAGTGCGCTGGCATGGCTTTTCTCAAATGGAGATTTGGGGAGGAAGGGAGAGATGAAGAGTTGAGAAGAGAGGGAGAGGGAGCAGAGTAGAGTTGGAGGGAGGAAGTAAGAGATGAAGAGTGGAGAAGAGATTGAGAGGGAGCAGAGTTGAGTTGGAGAGACCATGATGGATGTGGGGAGAGGGTAAAAGAGAAAGAGAAAGAGGAGAGCAGGACAAAATAGTCCGGGCAAGAAATGTTTGCGATAAACAAAAATGGGCTTGGCTTGGCTTGGCAGCAGTAGTTATGCATGCGCCTCTCACATGATGATTGCAATATACAAGATAAACATTGGGTCACACACTGCGTCCTGAGATAATTGGATTTAAAGGAAAGCATACCACTATTTTCACATCAACTAAATTCAACCGCGGAAACATTTGCATTTCAAATTGGATGGATGCAGGTGTCTTTCCGTAGAGCTGGAATGCTAAATTGAGCTTTAAATATTTTTTTCACTAAGACTCTTCATGATTCTAAAAAAAATTAAAACTGAAAACTGGTTTATCAAATCATGAACAAATCAATGAATTTTTATTCGCTTTGTCATAGATCCTAGAGTGATTCCACATGATTTCTTATCAACTAAGTGAACACTTTTTTAAAAGTTTACATCCTACGTTGTTCCACAATAATGTTACATAATACAGCATACTGATACACATTTCCATAAAACATGAAAGTTATTCCTTTTAAATATAACAATCGGAACCAAGGAACAGTGTGTGTACCTATGGAAATAAATGTGAGAGAAATCCCGTGTCATTCCATGTCTGCAAACCAATGGTAAATGCATCGTAAAATCAGAACCTTTCATGAATCCCATGGGTGGCCTGGTCTCACTAATGTTTCATTCCACCAAAATGACTGAATTACAACATTAAGTTTGTAAAATTTGAGACCCTTCCCTGCCTGAAAAATGGCCATTAGCATTTGGGGGGGGGGGGTGGTCAATAAGCTGTTTAAAAGATTGAGAGGGAGGGGAATGCTGGTTGCACACCCACCTGCTGTTGCTGCAAGAAGGACTGTTGTTGTAAGACCAGTTGCTGCAACTGATGTTGGCTAAGGACCTGACCCTGTAATAAACTCTGCATCTGTTGAGCAGACAGGGTCTGGGTTGCTCCAGGGGGCATCAAGAGATGCTGGAGCTGTAGATGGTGGTTAGACTGCCCCCCTACACTGCCACCGCCAGAATGTAGGCTCTTTTCACTTCCACTCAACATGGAGAGTGTTTCTGATTTCTGGAAAGATTGAAGAGAAATAGTGATGCACTATAAGGTTGTAGGATTGAAAACCTCAAGCATTCTTTATTGTATCTGTTATTACGTTGATGTGCTCTCATCTGTAATTTAAAACATTGTTGCCAACTATACAAGAATATACATTATCAAAGGGACTATATATTTCAAATGCTAACTAAGTTTTCATTTTCATTTGGTACCTGAAATAATATCCTCTTCAATATACTAACTGAAACACTGATTCAAGGTAATAGAGAAGAACTTAAGACTGTTCTTGAAATGCTTATTTAAGTCTGTTATTTTCTATGTAACTTGAGAGTTACACATCAAAGACATTTGTACATTAGGGCAATGGTGACCTAGAGTATTACCTTTGGTATATCTGAGTTTGATCTGACATCGTTTTCTGAAGTGATGCGCTGTTTGGAGTCAGGTGAAGCACCAGCACTGTTTGCCAGGGTTTCACTCATGGAGTCTGGTTTGGTACCATGCAACAATCACCAGCAGGAACTACAAGTCAGAGAAGAAAGAAAGAAAGAATGGAATGGAAGAAAGTCTAAATAAAGCTCACTGACTCAGAGTAGAGACAGAAAAATACTACATACATGTACATAGTCTGTCATAACAGGCACTTTACAAAGGTTTCAACGGACATCATTGCCAAAATCATTGTTACTTTTACGGAGTTAAGTAGTAAAGATTGACATCCAGACAAGAGAATAAATTAATTCAACCCCTTCTTTTGGTACATGACATTTTTCTCTTTTCTCTTTAACCATTTAAAACTTTTATTATGGACTTCTTTTCACGGAATGAATGTTTCTTCAAATCTGTAGAATCTATCATAATCAAACTCTTGCACTTGTTAGTCTATCACGAACAAGAACAAAAAAAAGTGTCTTTATTATATATGTACGGTATATTGAAACCTCGGTCCGTAAAACACAAAACCTCTGAAGAAGAAGAAAATAGGGCCAAAGTAGGCTTTGGGGTCAATCTCTTCAGTGGACTATGTATGTACTGGGTGTAGAAAAAACACTAGCTTGTTCAGAATCAAGTGCAGAGCATAATTTCATCTTCTTTTGTGTTTCTTCTCCCCGATATGGAAAACAATATTTTCTTTTTGCATTTAAGTCTTCCAAATTTAATGAGAAAAAGCTGGGAAGTGTCAGGGACATTGTTGACATGCCAGGTTTGTTTGCGTTAGTCGCTGCACAAACTCCGCTCTGCGCTCAAGACAAACATCGCTAGGTGCTGATGAAGGGGAGGCCTGGGTTTAATGCGTGAGGTAAATCCAATGAAAAATAAACAACGCGACTTGGGGATGCAGGAGGAGAGAGAGAAACTAGGACCGGAGGAAGGAAGGAAGGCGCGGTTTTACAGGTGTAAGCCATGGCGACTAAATTGATATTTTTGCTGCAGGGCGCTGCTTCCCGAGGTACGCAATCATGGTTTAGGAAGGGAATTTGTTTTTTGGGGCCGGGGCTTGTATATGGCAATTATCTCTGGTTGTTTGTTCAGAAGATATATCATGCAATGACAGATATTGGAGCGCCCGGTAATGCAAGAAATGAAATCATTGTTTGTGTTTGTCTCTAGTCATGTCTGTTAGTAGTTTCATGCTGCGCAGCTAGCTCTACATGCCAGTCTGCTTCTCTTTCTCTTCACCACAACTCATCCTCGACACAATCTTCACTTGTTTTGCATCCCTTCTGTTACAGCAATGAGAACCCAGTTGTTTGCTACTCAATCTTAATGAGAAGAGGATGTGATACGCAGAATCGCAGACAAGAAAGGATTAAAATGTTACTTATTTTTTGACAGTTGGCAATGCTTCAGACAATGGGAAAAAGAGAGTAACATAACAAAAACAAATTAATGGGTATTTCCACACAAGGCTAAAATATGCCAAGAATAATTCCCAAACAAATGCAACTACATGTTTGCAAGAATGACTGCAGAGTAACAACAAAGAGGCACGTACATGTATGTAATATCTAATTATTTGGTTTAGAGGAATGTAGTACATTTGCTCAAGAAAAAAAAAAGGTAAATGATAATAATGCCCAAGTACACTGTAGCAAGATTCAACAACATCTCTGTTTTTCACAATGGATTCTAAATATTATGTAATCAATCAGTGTTCCATTGTTTTTTTGTTGCAATTATACACTAATTATTTACGGTCCTTGAGAAAAATAATTTTTTATTCCACTTCTACAAAATAGGCGTACAATGTATCCGACTAAATCAAGTAAGGTAAAACAGCTTCATCATCTAGATGCCTCTTCCTGGGATGGACCAAGTAAATAATTGCCCATAGCTAAAATCCACAAGCCTTCATAATGCAATTCATTCTCTCTCTGTCTCTCACTTTTTCTCTTGATCCTCTTCATCCCAATAAATTGTGAATTCATTTCAGGACTACACCAGGCAATTATCCTGTGAGTAGCCAGAAGGCGTCATTTTCCAAATAGCTGCAAACATCATCGATTGCTCTTCATCACCAGTCACAAAATGTTGAAATGTAATTACTTGAACGATCATCTACTCTAGTGGCTGGGGATTACCACTATTCTAGAAGAATTAAGAGAGAAATTGACAAATCTTTACAGAGGAAAGGGAGAGGAGGATCAACAGAATATTCTCCACTGCACCCCGGAGTTCATTCATTTGAATAAGATATATGTTGGATTGCTATTGTAATTGTTGGCTTAAAATGAGGATCAGGATATTGGGATAATCCTATATTGTAGTGATATAAGAATCAGGTGTGAAATGCAGATCACTTCATACTGATAATCCATGTATAATGAAATGTCTTGAGGTTATTGTAAGCATTTATACGCCATTTTGCGCAGTGTACATGTATGTGCATGAACACATGGACATTGTACATGTTTTGTAAATGATCAGTATAGGCCTACAGCTGGAAGTACAACAAGATTTTAAACTGAACCCCATATAAAAAAAAACTCCTCTTTGGGTTATCATCCCTTCAAGAAAATTGCTTTTGAATTGAACATTTTATAGCCATTAAGAGTTGATGGCTTAATTCAATTCAATTTTTAAAGAAGTTTGTTAAAATCAAATTAAGTCCATAAGTTGTGTAAGGTTCGCAGTACTCCATATACATTAGCTAAATTCCATTTCTAGGTTGCCCTATGGGAATATTCAAAATGTAAGTTAACGACACTCTTGTAACACACTGATTTTGGAGCCTTTAAATGTAACTATTACAAATTGAAAAATCAAATCAAAAATCAAAATGAAACAAATGCTTAAAAAAAAAAAATAGATGTAAATGTAATACATGTATATACCGGTATATGATAAAAGAGCTCAATGTATTTTCTTACAAACACCTCATCCATTATTGTAGTTTACCAGGTATGTAAGAAATGAGAAAGTTTAAATCACGTTTCACAATTACATTTCATATGTGAATGGGTTCCTAACTGATTTCCTCCTCTTCTCCCTTCACACAGAGACAGAGACAGACAGAGACAGATTTATAGGATGAAGGTTAATCATCCATTACCCCATCCTGACCCCTAAGCTCAGCTGAAACAAGAGATGATGAGACAAAACAAGGTCTTGACCAAGTTTGTTGTCCTCTTTTCCTGTTTTTGTTTGTCACTGACGAGGTCAACCAGCAGGGGTTAGTCTGATGAGAAACCTTAGTCATGGCTTTCAGACACGCCTACACGCAATGGGCGCAGTTCACAATGAATTAATCTAGCTATGTTTGTGCTCACATCACTTTCAAAATGATAGCAGGCATTTCTACATGGAGCGCATCATGATTTAAAAATAATTCTATACAATGTAAATGTGTATGTACAAGTACCAGAAGTGATTTGTCATGACAAATGCAGCACAATTGCACACTGGTGAAAGTTTTATTGACTCTTTATTTCATCTCTTTCTATTTTCATAGCTCAACAAGCAACTACTTCCAACTAAATATTGACCGAGGTTGTTCAAATGAGTTAAATATTAATCGCAAACACAATGGATGTAAAAAGTGAAGATGTTTTCTGTTTTGCGTTTATTCAACTAGGCTGGTATTCAAATTCCATACTGATGTGAGAAATACTTACATGTAGTTTTCAGCTTAGATAAATACTCTACTAACTTTGTTATTTGATTGGTTAAGACTGCAGGCGTAAATTCGCTGACTGCTGGGCAGTATACTAGTAGCAAAATAATAATCAATCATAGCTGTACTTGCACGTACAAAGGACGCAATGGTTGTGATTAAGTTAACAATGGATACAAAAAGTGCTCTTAGGCCAAATTAAAAAAAAAACATGTTTAGCGTCCTGTTTTTTCGAAAAAAATGAAGGAGGAGGCCCTTTTTTTTTCTTTCAAAATGGCCGCTCGGTACATTTTCCCTGACATTCGGGCTATTTTTCAAGATGGCGGCCGACAATTTTTTTTTTCTTTTTAAAATCAGAAATAGATCCATTTTAGCAGTGTTTTTCATGTTTTTTTTCTTAACAAAAAAAAAAAAAATTTCAAAAAAAAAAAAAAAAATCAAAAAATTACAAAAGAAAAATAAAAAAATAAAAAGGGGTGGCCCCCAAAACGGAAGCAGGCGGGGACGCTAAACATGTATATTTTTCACATGGCCTTAATAGACAGCTAAATTTCATTTAACTATGAATAAATACACTTTGACGTACATATTTAGTTGAAATACCTCTTAGTGAGAAGGGAATGCAGTATGTAAAACAAAGTTTTGTACATTATTGGTGTCACCGTCAAACCTTCAGTCCACCTTTTTCCGTCTCGGAGATCGTTCTTGAACAATATTAAATTTGTTACTTAATATTCTGCCCTTTTTTTTTTTTTTCATTTTAAGATTTTATATTCTTATCATGTAAATCTTTTGTAAATATTGTGATTCTTGATGATTTGTTTAATAAAAACATAAACATAAAAAAAAAAAAAAGTTTTGTACATTATTATGTGTGAAAGAGCAATTGCATGAACTGTAGTTGGAAAGAAGTACACCATGTACCTTTCATTACCAAAGGCACTACATCATACACCTAGTCTCATGTACTTCAATGACATGGTCTTTGAAACAGAACTTTACTACTACCGGTAAACCTTTTTTTTTTAATCAACCATGTAATCATGCACAATGCTAGATTTATTTTAATGACTTTTAGCAGTTGCTTTGATAGTTCAAGCATTCTTTTTTTAAAATTCAAAATCAGGGTGGAAACAAATTTCTCAAGTATGATCTCAACTCAATCACTGATAAGATGTTCATTAGATGCAATAGCCTCTGGGAGATATTGTTACAGGATATCCATTGGATAAATAAAAATCCTCATATTGTTTGCTTATTTATAAAATCAAGAGGTTTTTGTGCCCTTCTTCTTCCTCTCTTCCTGCAATAGAAAAATAGCTGAAAGTTTTCTAACCTTAGGTTAAGCTCGGGCAATGGCACTAGCTGAACAGGACTCCTGTTTACATCATAATTCTAGATATACCTC